TACTAAAAGGGCTAGGTAGAAACTTTAAACCTTTTAGTAGAGAAAGCTTTCCTTATAACACTTTAATATAGAATTTATAAGGCTAGCCTTTAAAGCAAGAGAGAAGGGTAATACTAATAACCTAAAAATAAGGTATCTTAGTACCCTACAGCCTAACCTATAAGACTAAATAATATCTATAGAAGTACTAAGTAACTAGACTATTTAGTTACTAATAACTTAAGTAGTTACTATTAAGGAAAACCTTTTTAGAGCTAAGATTAGGTCTACCTTCTTATATATAAAGTTTCTTTAGAATAACTTTATAAATTAGGAACCTTTAAAAGCTTACTTTAGTTAGGTAATTAAAGTAATAGGTAGAACCTAGAATAAAGCTAAATAGGTCTCTAAAGAAGAGCACTTTCTTTATAAAAAAAAGAATCTATATCTATATTATAGAAAACTTAGGTACTACACTAATAAGTGCTTTCTAGTGCTAGCTAATTATTTAGCTTAAGCTACCCTTATAGTAACCTATAACCTAAAAGAATCCTTAAATAAGGAAATAGTAGGTTTAGAAAACTAGAAACCCCTATATATAGATATAAGTAGAAGTATAAGAAACTAAATTAAGAAGAAAAGTAGTTCTTATTATTTTAGTAAAACTAGCTAAATAAAAAACTATTAACTATTTATATAATTATAAATAATATAGCTATAGTATCTACCTTAATTAATATTAGCTACTTAACTTATTTAGTTATCTCTTCTAAGTTTATAAGAAATAATAATCTAAAGTATACTATAATTATATAGAGACCTATTATTAGAGTAGAAAGAAAGTCCTCCTAGATAGAAGCAGCTATCTAAATACAAATAGATATAAATAGCTATAAGAAAGAAATATAAGCCTATAAGTTAAGAGAAGATAAAGAGTATAACCTTATCTTAGGAAGACCTTAGATAGATAGATACTAGGTAATACTAGCGCTAGCTAAGAAATCTATATTTATCTATAATAGCTAGACTAGAATACAGAGCTAGAAAGGCAGAATACCTATAAAGGTCCCTAAGGCTATTAGTACGTAGGTATATTTAGCCTAGGCTAAATAATTTTAGAAAGATAAATAGATCTAACTATATTCTACTTTTATAGCAGATATTAAGAAAGCGCTAAAGAAAAAGAAAATAGTTAACCCCTAAAAGAAGTTACTAAGCTATCTATAAAGTAAGTTTAGAACTTTTCTAAGAAAGAAAGCTAATAAGCTTATACTACTAAGAGGAGCTACTATTAACTACTTTATTAAGATTATAGAGAAAGATAGTAAGCTAGCAGAAATTCTATAAAGGCTACTATATAATATATTAAGAAAAGAACTACTAGTATTACAGAAGAAACTTATATTATACCTAGACTATAGGTTTATTTAGGTAAGTAAATTTAGTGCTGCTACCCCTATTCTATTTATAAAGAAACCTAGAAGAGAGCTATAATTCTGTATAGACTACTAAGCTTTAAATACTATTATATATAAGAATAGATATTCCCTTTTACTTATTTATAAAATACTATCCTAAATTACTAAAGTAAAATAGTTTATAAAGGTAGATATTATCTAAGCCTTCTACTAGATACGCGTAGTAGAGAGAGATAAATAGAAAACAGTGTTCTATACCTAATTTAGGCTATATAAATAGCTAGTTACTTTATTTAGCCTTACTAACACCCCTAGTATATTTTAATAATATATTAATTAGGTACTTTAGGAAGACTTAGATATATACTGCTTAGCCTATATAGATAATATACTTATCTACTTAGACAGATTATAGGAGGATTATAAGCACTAGGTTAAAATAATTATTTAAAAACTTAGGGCAGTAGGCCTATAACTAGATATTAATAAATATAACTTTAGTATTAGAAAGACTAAGTACCTAGAGTTTATAATAAAGGTAGGTAGCAGTATTTAAATAGACCTAGAAAAGATAGTAGTAATCTATACTTAAGAATAGCTAAAAAGTGTTAAGAGTATTTAGAGTTTTATAGAATTTACTAACTTTTACTAATAGTTTATTAAGGAATTCTTAGAAATTATTACTCTACTAACTAAACTTACTAGAAAAGGAGTAGTATTCTAATAAGAAGAACTCTAGGAAATAGTGTTTTCTAAACTTAAAAGTACCTTTATTTCTAAACTAGCGTTAGCTAACTTTAACCTAGACCTAGAAATAGTAATAGAATATAATACCTTTAGGTAGGTAACTAGTAGGGTCCTTTTATAGTTTAGAAAAAATAGGCTACTTTATACAGTAGTATACTACTTAGTAAAGAATATAGTAGCTAAAGTAAACTATACTATATATAATAAGAAGCTATTAGCTATTATAAAGTGTATTAATTAATAGAGTACTAAACTCTAGTAAGTTTTAAAGTTTACTATTATTATAAATTATAAGAACCTAGAGTATTTCTATACTATAAGGCTACTATCTAAGAGGTATATATACTAGTTAAATATACTTAGCTAATTTAATTTAACCTTTATATACTACCTAGGGAAGGTTAATAGAAGGGCTAATATACTCTTCTAGAAAGAAGAGAATTTACTAATAAGCTAAAATAATAAGTATATAAAGATAAGAGAATTCTAGCTCTTATAGCTATATATAAGGAGCTAACCCTAACTTAAAGAGGAGAAAGAGGTAGGTATTTTATTCTACTACTAAATATAAAGTCTACAGCCTTAGAAACCTAATAATATACCTCTAGTAGATAATAACCCCCTACTAAAACCTAATAGTATACCTATAAAAATTACTACTAACTCTACTCTAGCCTATAATAGCTTAGAGAAGCTTAAGAGAATATAGAAAGTTATAGCTAAAAATAACCTAATATATAGAAGAGTAAAGAAGGCTATAGAAATAGGTTAAAGAAAGTTCCTTTTAAACCTAAACTTAAAAGTCTTATTAGTAGAGTATACTATTAATAAAAGAGAGTTTCTATACTACTAAGAGTAAAAATAGGTACTAGATTTTAAAGAACTATGTACTAAAATTATCTTAGAAACCTATAAATCCTTAGCTATAGGCTATCTAAGCTGTAAAAATACCTATATAATCCTAGCTTATAACTACTTCTTTCTAGAAATATTATCTATAATAAGGTAATTTATCTAAAACTGTAACGTATATAGAAGAACTAAGCCTTAGAGAGAACTAAAAAGAAGACTACTAAGACTACTTCCCCTTCTAGATAGAGTATAGAAGAAAATCTTAATAGACTTTATTATTAATTTACTTATAAGTAATAGGTACTAGTACCTTATAGTAGTTATAGATAGGTTAAGTAAAAACATAATACTTATTCTATTAAAAGACCTAGATACCTAAACAGTAATAAAAGCTTTTATAGAAAGAGTTATAGCCTACTATTAACTTCTAAATACTATTATATCTAACTATAGTAGCTAGTTTATTAGGGATTTTTAGAGAACCCTTTATAGAAAATTAGGTATTACCTATTAAGTATCTACTAGCTACTATCTAGAAACTAACAGTACTACTAAAAGAATAAACAGTACTATAGAATCCTACTTATAGGCCTATATTAATTAGAAATAAGATAACTAAGTACTAATATATCCTACTACTTAAATTACTATTAAAGAAAGAAACGTAGTATCTACTAGTATTAGCCTATTCTTTCTATAATACAGATATAATATAAATATAGTATAGGAAGATATAGAATAGGTAATCTAGTAATAATATTAGAGGCCTAATAATCTAAAGAAGTTAGCTAGAGTACTTACTATAAAATTTATAGAAATACTAGATTATATATAAGTAAGAATAGCAGAAGCCTAATAACTCTAAAAAATCTAGGCTAACTACTATTAATAAGAAGTACTATAACTATAAGAGAGAGACTAAGTATAGCTATAGTATAGTAAACACTTCTCTAATAGTAGGCTAAGTAAGAAACTAGACTAAAAAAATATAAAGTTCTAGGTAGAAGAAGTAATCTCCCTCTATACTATAAGATTAAATACTTCTTTTAGTATCTACCTAGTATTTTACGTAGATAGGCTATAGCTATACTCTAGAAACTTCCTAGTAGAATAAGATACTAATAATTACTAACCTAAGAGTATATTAGAAAATGTTAATAGAAAACTAAAAAACTACTAAAAAATTAAGGAAATTATAGGTAAAAGATAGAAATACTATAGTAAAGGATATAGAAAATAATACCTAGTTAAGTAGAAGAACTATACTATAACTTTATAAGAACCTATAGAAAACCTTAAAGAAGCTAAAGTACTAGATAGCTAGTTAGCCTTTTTAAAAGATAAATAAAATAAAATAGGTAAATTACTAAAGAAGTTCTATAAGGGTTCCTCTAATAAACTATAATAATACTAGAGGCCCTAGTAATAGTAGAGTATAGTAGAGGAGGTAGTAATTTTAGTAATAGTACTACTAGAAACTATAAGTAGTACACTAATAAGTACTCTTACTAAGGCTAAGAATATAGGTAGCTAAGGAAAAACAAAAAATATAGAAACTATAAGGAAATAGGTTAATAAAGATAAAATTAACTACCTATATATAGTAAAGAGAAGAGAGAAATAGTAAAGAGCTAACTAGCCTAAAGCTAGTAAATATCTAGAGTATCTATCTTATAAATACTAAAGAACCTAGGAAAATACTAGTAAAACCTATTTCTAATTAGTATTTATAGCTTAGAAACTATCCTTCTACTTATTAATATACCTATTAGGCTTACTATTACTAGTAGCCTTAAGTTTCTAAAAGACAGTATACTTAAAAATAACAGAAACTAAACCCTCTTATCTAGACTAGAAAAAATAATTAGAAGAGCTAATAATAGAAGCCTAAAGGCTACTACTAAAAGAACTAAAAGCTAGAATACTAGTGCTATAGCTATAGAGTAGTAGGAGATTAAACTTAGTAGGTAAGTAGCTTAACTTCTAGGATTTAATAACCTTTTTAAGGGCCTAAGTAATAGAGTAGGTCTAATTATTAATAGTAAAAGCCTAGAAAACCTATAAATTAGCTAGGAAAATAGGTAGAAAATAAGGTTTTAGATACTAAGGAAAAGACTTACTAAGTTTATAAAGCCTTAGTTCTACTTCTAAATACTAGTATATATTAAGCCTAACTTATTAGTAATTCTATAGAGTAAACCCTTAGTAACTAAGTTAGAAGTATAATTATCCTAATACTCTCTTTAGCTAGGAGTAAGCTCTTAAGCCTTATTCTAGGCCTCTTTTAGATTTTAGATAAAGTCCTTATTAATATTCTTAAGTAACTTAAAGAACTATAAGTCTATTTTAATAAGTAGTAAAAGCTTATAGATATAAATAATAATAGGCTTAAGTTTATTAAGAATCTATAAAAATATTAGCTATAAATAAAGAAAAGAAAGTAATTCTAGTAGACTTATAGTATAATAAGTAGAATTTACTTTAGTAGAGTAGTAATAGTAAGTAGCCCTACTCTTATTAAACTTATAAATTTTACCCTAGGTAGCTAGATATATTATATAGTTAATATAGTAAGAAGGGTTAAGCTTACTAATAAAGAGAATATTAACTATAGAAGCAGAGTAGTTAGTAGGCTATAAGGTAAGTATCTATTTAGATAATATTAAGAAATAGGTAAGAGAATAGGTAAAACTTAGATAAGAAACTTATACTAGGTTCCTTACTAAATAAGTTAGATATAAATATAAAAGTAGTAGTAGAGAGCTTAGCCTTAGCTTTAGTAAGATTAGCTCTCTAAGTATCTATCTTAGCCTTCTTTCTCTTACGCTAGGTAGGCATAAGAGTAGTAAAAGTAGACTGCTTACTACTAGAAATAATACTAGTATAAGTATTAACTATATTAATAAAGAAGAGTAAGAGAGGTAAGAGCGTATATAAGTTAAAGCTAAAAATATATATATAAATATAGGTAGGAGCGTTAGTAATAGGTTAACACGTTATATTATAGTAAGGTTAAAATATAAGAATTTTTGCTAGGGAGGGGCTTATATAATAGGCTAGGTTTAGTAAAACCTTAGTAAGTAAAGCCTTAAAGCTTAGTAGGCCTAACTACTAATACTTATACTACTACCTATACTTTAGAAACTCTTAGCACGCTACTAGAAGAACTATAAGTAGAAGAAAACTAGTACTATAGATTCTTAGCAAATTTATCTAATTTATACTAGTAACTACTCTTAGAGTTAGCCCCTTATAGGTACTAGTAAAATATATCTCTAGCGCTGTATCTATACTTACTACTATTTATAGAGCCGCGTAGTTCTTTATATAGCCTTATCTAGTATTATAGCTATATTACTGCTAGGTAAACAGACTATATACTCCTATTTCTAGATTTCTCTAGATATCTATAATAACTCTATCTATTTAGTTCTGCTAGCCTCTAATTTAGGGCAGTTACTAAGGTAAGTAGTACTTATTATATAGGATAAAATACCTATACAGTACTATTACTACTTTAAAGCAGTTTACTATATACTTTAGAATATCTATAACTTAACTAATCTATTTAGTAGCCTTTCTGTTATTACTAGTAGTAATTTTACGCAGATTCTTCTAGTTATTTACTAGAGTTAGTAGCCTACTATTATTAATATATATTTCTAATAATTAACTATTATATAGCTGTATTTAACTATTTTATACCTTTATTAGAATATATAGGTACTCTTTAGGCTTAAAAACACTTATTTTATAAACTAGACTTATATATTAGCTACTCTGTAAACTAATAGTCTAGTCTTATTACCTACTTAGATAAAAGTATTTTATAGTTTAGATAAGTTCCTATCTTATATATACTCTTTACAGATAGTTATAGCTACTATTACTAACTATTAGGCTTTAAGTAGTTAGGCTATTTTAGCTATATAAAATAATAATATAGCTACTATTAATAGTTTAATACTTACAGCCTTCTCTAGTAACCTTATTAAGCTAATTATAATAGATTCTATAGCTATAGAAAATAATACTATATAAAATATACCTTCTATAGAAGTTTTATAGTCTTTTAAGCCTCTAAGTCTACTGCCTTTATACTTATTACTAAAGGTTAGCGTCCTAGTTATACTTTTATAGAACTTATACCCTAAGTAGAGTCTATATAATAGTACTTACTTAACTGTTATATATATTAATACTTAAGTTATTAAGGTATATATTCTTTTAGGTAAATTTATAAGTTAACTTTAGTTAATATTACGTATTAAACTTATATTTATAGATAGTAAGCTACTATTTATTATTATATAGGTCTAGTTTCTAATCTATCTTTCTTTTATAATTACTATTAATAAGTTTTAGAAATAATTACTATCTATTATAGGTATAGACCTCTACTATATAGTCTTTACGTATAGTTAGCTTTACGTTACTTTATCCTATATAACTACTATTATAGGTCTTTCTATTCTATTACCTTCTATTTCTATAGTTGTAAGAGAGACTTACTTTATTATAAATATTATATATTTAAAGGTCTTACTAGCGTAAATCTACTAAATATTATCTATTTTTAGTTTTTTTATTACCTATTTTTTTATTTATATATAGTTACTGCCTTTACTACTTACTTACCTTACTTACTTACTATAACTTACTTTTACTTTAGGTTTCTAGCACCTTCTACAGCCTAGTAGCTTACCTATATAAAGGCTACTTTTCTTTTAACTCCTTTATCCTTTCTTTACTAACCTGCCTACTAGCCTACTTACTAGTACTACTAGTACTACTACTAGTAAGTTACTACTTTATTTTTAGTTTCTTACAGGCTCTTACTAATTAATTTACAGCTTTTACTCCTACCTATATATCTATAATAGTAAGTTTTATAGCCTATTCTATAGTTTTTATTCTTTTTTCTAGCTATTACTAACCTGTTTATAGTCTATAACTAGCAGTAATAACTTTAAAGTTAATCTTAACCCTCTTTCTAATAAGAATAGTAGCTATAATATAAACTATAGTAGTAGTACTCCTTTACCTACTTTAGAAGTAATACCTATTAGGCCTATATCTAAGCCTCTAAAGCTAAAAACTACTAAGACTAATACTAGTAAACTTACTATAATCTATAAACGTAATACCTACTAAATCTATAAATTCTATAAAATACTAGTTAAATAGGCTATTATCCTCTACTTAAATACTATTTATAACCTTAATAGTTAGTTTCTATACCTATTATAGGCCCTAATAGTCTAGTTTACTAACTATAATACTTATAGCCTAAGACTAGAATATTAAAGCTGCCCTAATTTAGGCTATAGGAAAGGTCTATAAGACTAGCTATTTTTCCTATAATAGGGGTTTTAGTCTATTTATAGCCTATACTTCTATTAAGAACACCTATAAAAAGAAGTATAAAAATTATTATTATAGTAGTAAGGGTACCTACTATAGCTTTTAAGGTCTATTTACTATCTTATTTAAGCTTATTTACTAGCGTTTACTAACTATTTTATAGATAACTATAATACAAAGTACCTACTAAAAGAAGTAAAGATAGAGAAGATAGCTAAAAAAAAGAAGAAGTAGACTACTAAAAGCATAAAGAGTAGTTAGAGTAAGAAGGCTATAGCCTATAAATAGGTAGTTATAGAGAAAGTTAATAATTTTAATAATAAGTCTAAAGAGTTTAGTAATAAGTCTAAGGAGTTTCTACTTATAAAGAAGCTAAAACTATTTATAAAAAAGACTAAGAAGCCTATTAAAAGTAGTAAGACTTTTAGTTATAAGACTTTAACTAGTATATTTTACTTATTTACTACTTATAGATAGTTTACTAACTTTTATAGAACTTTATAAAATAGTCTATAAACTTTACTATTCTATTTTAAAGATTAAGCTATAGCTAGATAAGATTAAGTTAAAGTAGTTTATAGGTACAAAGCTATAGTTTAGTTAGTTCTTTATATAGTTTATAAGTATAAGATATAGTTTATCTAGCTTATTATATAGGTATTAGGCTTTAATACTTAGATTTACAGGCTATTATAGCTCTTTAAAATAAAATCTTATTCTATAAAATTTAATTTACAGGCTAATTTATATGCTTACGTAATTTTTACTGCTAATTACTAATCTATATTTGCCTTCTACCCTATTTTTCTGCTAATATATACATGTAGACTTTGCTTTGCTGGCCTATATATTAGCATTATATAGAAGCACCATCTCCCGCTATATTCAATTCAAATCCATTGGAACTGTATCAATGAACGAAAGTGTGGCTGGAAATCCAGCAGATAAGCAGTCACAATACCCTCCTCATCAATATCAACGCTTATCTTCTGCTCATTCCATCCAACTATTCCGACTGACAGGCTTTAACCCTAAGGCCAAGCAATTCCATGGCAATTTCTTCGAAAGGAACTCGGACGATCACACTGTTTCTGAAGCACATAACACCAAATACACAGCTCTTTCTTATACTTGGGGCGCAGCTATTGAGGGTGAGAATGAAGACGTAGACGAGCCTTGGATTGTTGTGATACACGAGACCACTCGCGATGACGATGGTACTGAAAAAGCTATTGCTACATCCATCGCAATCCAACAAAATCTTGCCACCTATCTAAAAGCCCTTTCATCCTTTCATATGCGCAATGGTCTAGTCCTTTCCTTCGCCATCTGGATTGACGCCATTTCTATCGATCAGACGAACGATGAAGAAAGAACGATACAGATAAGTCTCATGGGCAACATATACAGAGAAGCATTACAGGTACATATATGGCTTGGAGAATCCAACAGTAACTGGGAGGCATTCATGTGGATCCACCTACACGTACTTCCAGAACTCCGGAGTTTCTACGACCTCGAGGGTGTTACTAGATGTGTGGACATGATGTCTGGATACGACCCAATCAAGGAGGAGTTTTGGGACAAGTACATGCCACATCTCCAGCCGTTGGATATGGGCGGCAAAGTCTCCTGGAAGGATTGCTGGGAGTCGTATTGGTACTTCCTGTATGAGCGCCGATGGTTTCGAAGGGCGTGGACGTACCAGGAAGTCTTGCTGGCTCGCCACCCTAGCATCATCTGTGGACCAAGCTATGAAAGTGTGAGCTTTGATTCAGTCGCGATAATATCTTCGCTTCTTCTCAAAAGCGGTTGGGGAAATCAGCTAAATTTACGGTTTCCCAGTTACAAAACTGTGGAAAACGGTCCGCACATCATGCCTGCGTACATTGGTCGGGAGAAAAATACCATTTCGAAATACATTTCTGAAACGCCGTTTCTGAAACCTGTGGCTATACTCATGTCTGAAGGTTCATGGGTAGAGTTCTGGTCTGAAATTTGTTATTCGATGCAGAATCGAGAGTGTACTTTCATGGAAGACAGGATACATGCTACCATTGGCATCATGAACGCAATTCGCCCTCCGAGTGTGTCCGAGGAATTACTCCAAGAGCCCAAAGGGATGAGTGTCGAGCAAATGTATTACTGGGCGGGTAGTCTCTTTCTTCGCAAGTCTCTTAACCTGAACTATCTGTCCTATATAGGTCAACCTTCTAAGTCGAACCCAGGATGGATCGTAAATCATTCGAGAATGAACGAATTCATACCAATTGCAAATAACGTGGACCCATTCGATGCCTGTCCTTTGCGATACCATAGGCAAGTCACGATCGTCGATAACACACTTATAGGCGCTGGGGTGAAGGTTGATACCATCCGATCTTGTAGTTACCCCCACATGTTGGCTCTCCCCGAATGGTGTCTGTACTATTCAACTCACCTTTCTCAAACATACCACCCTTGTGCAGCATGTCAGAGCAGCATCGAGGCTGTCTGGAGAACTCTGGTTTGGAACCATAACAGACATCGGATTTCTGCTGAAGACAGCTGGGGAGGAGAGTTCAAAGAGTGGCTCGAGAGTATTATGATCATCAAGTTCCTCTTACCGAAGTTCCGCGCCGTTTTACCCGGAGAAGGCTGGGAGCAAACTGCCAACGAATGGCTCCAGCAAGTCGAGTTTGTTGGCTGGAAGTCCAACTATCTGGCGACACCTTCCATAAGAGTCATCAGAGCAAAGATAGCTTGTATCAGCAAACACCCAGCTTGGCCTTCAGTGCGAGCGATGTATACGACTTCTCCCTCTTTAATAGAGCTTTCCCCAGACGTTGGAGCCGCGATCGAACCTTTTAGAGACGTGTTGGACAAAGCGTTTCATTCAAACTTCTACCGGGAACTGGCACGAATTACCTGGAATCGAAAGTTGATTGGCACTCGGTCAGGATATATTGGAATGGCTCACAATCGATGTGAAATAGGGGACGAAATTTGGCTCCTAGCTGGCGGGCAGGTACCCTATGTACTACGGCCCTGCGATGCGAAGCCACATGAGTCGAACGACTCTACGCCTAGGTACACATTCCAAGGAGACTGTTACATTCATGGCATCATGGAGGGAGAGTTTTTCGAAGGAAAGCAGCAAGACGAGATAAGCTTCGAGACGGTGCACATCCTGTGATTGTCGCGCGTGAATAAGGCTCGAGTAGTTGATGGATGAGAGGTTCTCCAAGTAAACGAATACATTCTCCTTTTGTGTTTGACCATTTTAACATGTCAGGAGCAGGTTTTACTTCTGTTTCATACAAATCATCTCACCTCGCACATCATTCACACGTTGGTTGTCCAAGTATGCATAGTCCCTACAATACACCCATTCAGCATTCCATCAAAATCGCACCGTCACCGTCGCTCATCAGAGATCCTTTAAGATTTATACATCCGCCCGAAAATACCTACGAACCCAACATCTCCAGCTGCTGCTGACACTTCCCCATTTTCCGATCCTCATCAGATAAGTTCTCATCCACCCACCCACCCTCTCACCCACTCGCGGACAGATCGACACGTACAAACTATTTCAACGCGAACGAGTCACACAACCAGACGCCACAGAGCAACTCAAGCAATCCCCCACATAACCCCACAGAAGTAAAATCCATCAGTGAAAGCATCTCCAGGCCCCACAATCCCCATACCCCATTTCCCCAAACACATTCTTTCACTCTCCCCTCCCCTCATACCACCCCCTCCCCTCCCTCCCCTCCCCATCCGCATCCGCATCCCCACAAGCCCTCCATCTACCCCAAAACTCCACGCTCTCCCATCAATCCAAGCGCCTTGGAAAACTCGCTTGGCGGGATTAGGCCTGCCGACGGACAGACAAACAAGCAACCCACCTATTAAGTTAGACGAGGGTTGCAAGTTCGAACCCCCAACTCGTGATAAAACCGCGCTGGCTAAAAGAAATATAGCTTGGGTTTTCAGACAACTATGGCACATCTACGGCTGAAATTACGCTCAAGGCAGGTCCGTTGTTTCTTTTTGCTTGATTTTTGGCTTTTGGCTTGTGGTGATGGCACAAGTGGAGGGAGAGAGGTATATGGAACAACTTGTATATAGATAGGACATGGCGTGGTAATAGATTACTTGTAGACAAGATCTGGGAGTTGAGCAAATTCGTTCAATAAATTGAAGAAATTTTCATTTTGGGAGGCCGACTCGTAAAAGTCTGCCCTCACAAGCAAATATCAACAACTCAAGCAATCAACTAACAACCAACAAACGTACACAATCCACGATGCGCTTCCATCTCCCTCTCGTCCACCAAACCACCCTACTCCTCCAAGTAAGACAGCTTCCGCATCTCGCCCAACCGACTCCTAGCCTGCGACAGCGAGTTCTCAAGCTGCAAGATCTCAACCTATACGACGCGATTAGCACCATCCCACTCAGAAGACGCAATTCACGAAAAAGACATACCTGCTGCTCCATCTGCCTGACCTTGAACTCGTGATCGCTCAACTTGGTGTAGTCGACCACATCGCCCTCGTCCTTGTTCTTCTGTGCGATGATCTCCTGCACCTGCCTGACGAGCGTGCGACACGCCGAGGTGACGGCCTTGGACGCGCCCTCGAGCTTGTCCTGCGTCTTGCTCATGAAGCTGGCCTTGACACGGCTAGCGGCGACGAGCTGCGCGGTGGAAGCGGCGACGTCGTTGGAGGCGACGATGAGCTGCTCGGGCGAGTTGCGGCCGGAGATGACGCCGTCGGCTGTCTCGATGAGCATGTTGGTCGATGTGGCGACTGCTTTGGCGGCGCTGATGAGGCCCTCGGTCCAGCGGTTGTGCTTCTTGTAGAACTGTGTCTTGGACATGCTGCCTCGGCCTTCGCGGACGATTTCTTGCTGCGACGCGGTCGCTGCTTTGATGAGCTGCGCGACGGCGTTCGTGACAGCGATGGCGGCCTCGAGGATGATGTCGTGTATCTTCAGCTCGTAGGTAGAGTACTGATCTCTGGGCTTGTTCATCAGCTTGGAGAGGCGCTCCGCGGCGGCATCAATGGCGTTGGCGGCCTTGGTCAATTCGCCGTCAACCAAGTCACCTAGATCGCCCGATGCGTTCGTGATTTTGCTCTTGGGAGCGAATGCGTCGGCCAGTTTGGACAAACTCTGAAGATTGCGCACAACCTCAGTGCTGTTGTTGATCACGACATTGATCTTCTGCTCAGCGTCGAGATCATACGTCCGCACCGATTGTACGTTGCGGAAGAATCTGATCGTCGACGTTGCGGACGCTCGCGCACCGTTGATGAGTTGATCAGCCTTGTTTTCGTCTGATGCAAACCTTGTAAGACCCTTCGTGTTTACGAGCACGTCGACAATCGAGCCGGCGAACGCATTGACAGCATTGATTACCTCGGAGTGCTTCGCGTTCGGCCCATCAGCGATGAAGTTGTTGTAGGCAGTCGAAAACTCCATGGTACATGTTGAAGCCTTCTCGATCTGTGAAAGGACAAATGGACCTGTGGCGTTTTGATTACCGGCCTGCATGGAAGAATCAAGCTCGTATAACGCATCGTCCACGCGCTGGACTCCACTCTGCAGGACCGAATCAATCAACTCGTTGATCTTTTGAAGGCTGTCTTGAATGAGCGTGTCCAGATGTCCGTCGAGTACGTTGTCGTTGGCATTGGCGTTCAGCTTCAAGTCATTCAATTCGAGTAGTGTCTGGTCCATGCCGGCTCGGAAGATATCCAACTCTTCCTCCTTGTCCCGTAGTTGACGTTCAAGATCTGAGTCGCCTTCACGGTACTTCATTTGCATGTCGTCCAGAGCACGAGTCTTGTTCCGCAGGGCTTCCTCGAGGTCGGCAATCTCTCGGTTATGCCTTGACAGCATAGACGAAAGCTCTGAGCCCTTGCCACGTTCCATGTTGTCGGCTCTGTCCAGCGCTGCACGAAGCTCTCGCTTGAGCTTCTCCACTTCTTCGCGCTGCCCGCCAGTGCTACGATCTTTCTCCATCAATGCTCGGTCGCGCTCCCGGATCATATCGGCCAACTCAAGGTTCTTAGTCTTTAGCTCTCGCTGCAGTCTGTCACGAGCATCGATGGCTTCTTGCGCGGAGTTTGCCTTGAGCTGAACCTGCTTGAACTTTTGCAGGAGTTGGAGATGCTCATGTCGCAGTTGCGAGTACAGCTTCGCCAGCGACTCATACTTTGATCGCCATGTGTTCAGTTGCTCTTGCAGTGCCCGGATCTGGTCGTCTCGCGACCCCATCTGCTGCTGGAAGTTTTGGTTCATGTGGTTGATCTCCCCCTCGAGGGCCTTCATCCTTTGATCGTATTGTTGCAGCATCAATTGGTCGCGCTCGTACTGCGCGCGCGCATTAAGGTTCTCTCGCTCGAGTTCGGCAAGACGTCCTTGGGTCTGTTGCTGATACTGGTCGCGCATGAGTTGGTCTTGCGCCAACCGAGCTTGCTCAGCCTGGAGTCTCTGCTGCTCCTCGAAATCCATTTGCGCTTGCATGGCAGCCTGCTGTTGTTGGCGCTGAGAATCCTCCCATTGTTGCTGCAGTCTTCGTTGTTCCGCCTCGTACTCTTCCTGCTGTCGCTTCTGGTCATTCTTCCAGAACTCGTTGATGGGCTCGGGATCGATGGCAGGTGCGGGTGGTTGCGGGGTGGGTTCTGTGGGCTGTTCGTTTCTCGGTCGCGCTGGGAGTGCTGGTGCTGACTCGTCATCGGAGAGCAAGTTTGGTGGATCTTGAGGCAGCTTGGGCACTGTGATTAGACTTGTCAAGTATCGTAAGTTCGAGCACTCGTAGTAGAACTTGACCAAGCGGTAATGCTGTGCATCGTATCGTCCGCGAAGGGGAGAGAGCGCCTCATCATCGCCGAGAGCTATCAATGTTAGCCAAAATTATGTCTCCAATATGCGCCAGAACGTACCCGTGTGCATCGCACGCAGCATGCTGGTGATAAACTTGTAAATGCCATAGCTTTCTTGCACCAGAGGCGTCAGGGCAGATATCCTGCACTCGTTGTTGTTGCCGCCTCGGAAATGCGAAAAGATCAGCTTCTGGAACGCGTCGATCTGGTCTTGCAGTGTCATCAAATCGGAGATGGTTTCGTAACCCTCGTTCGGGTCGTTGATCGACTTGAGACTGATGTATTCCTCGTACTCAAAAGTTCCTGTCCACGTCAGCCAGTTTCCTGAGATCCGCGGGCTTTTGTTGTACCATTGAACTCGGGGTGTTGCCGGTGGAACGCGAGCTTGGCCAGCAGGTAGTAAATGTATTCCGAGATGAGCGGACCGTAGCCACGTGAACCATCTCCACCCGTTGAGCCTCGCGACAAGCTCTCTAGCCAGCTGGTGTTGGATTGCGCCTCCCTGAGCACGATGGGGTGACCTTCTTGGAGGACCTTGTGACACGTAATGAGGGCTTTGAACGTTTGGACTTCGTCTTGGAGGATAGGCTGCCTAGAATTGCAATCAGCTCCGTTGTGGTGGGTGTGCTGGACCCGCAGAACAGAGGAGAGGTAATCTGGCAAGCACGGTATGCGCCAGGCTGGACAAAGCTCAAATCGCAGCAATGGAGCTCTACTTACACTTTCATGCCCTGCCAGAACGAGTTGGAGCTCTTATGATCCCACGTGTACACAATGCACGCTCGCACATGCTTTCCTGCGCATCTATAAGCTTCGTTCGTGTCGTCTCATGTGTCGCAGACATACGCTTGGGCGCTGTCTCGTCGATGCTCGTCGCCTTGCGGATGTTGATGGCGAGCTCCGTCTCTTGCCTGTGAGGAAGTTGAGTTTGAGTGCAAAAGACAGGCTCTGCCATGGCGAGTGTGGACTAACTTTCCCATGTTCACATTGCGTGATGAACTGGACATGTTGACTGTCGTTGATGCTCTATCGAGCTATACACGCGCAGTCGCTATTAATTATGGCAAGGAACAATGTACGGTGGGTGGGTAGTAGGAGAAAGCGATTGAATGAGCCCTCGACCAGGTTATGGTGAACGGTGTACCTCCTGCTCGGTCAGAGCTTCCGAGGGTGGCTGATGTTAGTCTCTCTCTTGGCGCATGGCGGAGAGCTTCGTCATCGCACTTGGCCAGCGTCTGTCCGCTGCCCTGCCGCTGTTGCCTACAACGCATACGCGCGGCTGCATGCGCACCACTTCCCTTTGCTTCCCCGTCTGCGTTGTCAGCCGTGGTGGAGGGCGAGAAATGCGAACACAGCACGAATAGGGCTACGGGCGCACCCTGGACCCTTGATGCACACACCGACTAGCACCGCATACTGCAAGACAACGCACTTGGTGCTCACGAACTGGGTGATTTCATATGCTACGCTGAATGATACTATTGGGTATGAACGCCACGCGATGCTACATATTCTAGACCTGACAAAAAGATCGGGCGAAAAAGATACTCAGATGGCCTCACCCTTACTGCCCTGCGCCAGGTAAGCGGCCATAGGATCTGCTGCCATGGTGCGCTTGCGTCTGTACTCGTCCATTTCCTCCTCCGTCACCCCATTTGACATCATTTCTAGCGTTCTCTTCCGGCTTGCAGCGTCTTGTTTCGCCTTCTCGGCGCGGTCTGGCGCATTGGGCACATGTTCTTGGAGAGCTTCTTCTTCTTTCCAAGCAATAGCTTTAGGGACCTCGTCCAGTTCAGCGCCAGTGCGTATCCGGTCTGCGAGTTCGAAGGCATCTTTACCTGCATCGCCCGTACAGTAAGAATTCTTAGTTGTTGAGTGACAGCAGGCAAACCCCCATTGAAAGTCCGACCACCAGCTGCCCCAGACTGACGTGTGATTGTTGGGATGAATGTCCTCGGCGTACTTAGATTTGGCTTTGATCTTTGGTGCTCCTTTGATGCCGCCCCGTTCATCGTACTCGACGTATCGCTCGGACTCTGTGACACCGGTCTTGCGGAGTGTGTCGTCTGTGAACTTTTCTTGGGTTCCGTACTTTGCAGCCAAAGCCTTCCTCTTGGCTTCTGCCTTTTCCTCCGCCTCCTTCAACTCCTTTTTGCGCATTACTTCCCCTGAAGTGGGATTTGCCTGCAGATGAAGCTTGTTCTTGTCCCCACGCTCTTGTGTCTCCCAAGCGTACCGCTGTGCCCTCTCAAACTCTGCAGCGTCGCCAGACGCCCGCATAAAACCTTCCTCTGCTACCAGCTTGGCTGCATTGTCCGAAGTCACGCCGCTGTCTACCATGGATCGTGTTTTGGGATCGTATTTGGCCGAGTCCAAGTCGAGGTTCAGCAGATATTTGGCCGTGTCCTCTCGCAGTCGCAGATTCCGTGTGGAGGTAGCCTGCTTCCTGCCCATGTCCGTCTCAGCGTCGTACTTGTCGCCATCATCGTCCTCGTCGCCAGACTTGTCGTCATCCTTCTCGGCCTCCTTGGCCTTCTTCCGCAGCTGTTCCATCTCGTTGTATTCTTCGATGACCTCGGTGAAGTCTGACGCGTCGTAACCGTTCCATCGATCGCGCTTGGCATCAAATCCCAATTGCACGTCTTGGACGACCTCATCCGCCTCGATGTTCTTGCCGGTAAACTTTGCGCCAGCTTTGCGCGGCCGGCTTAAGCAGTCCCTTTTCTTGTGTGTCATGGCTCCGCAATTCTCGCATGCGCCCTTACGGAACTTGGTCGCGGCCGGCCCGATCTTCTTCCCTCGATCGTACCATTTTGAGTCTTGTTCTTGCTTCTGTAGACGCTGATGCTCGAGGTAGTCGTTCTCTTCGCCGTTCTCGTCGACGGCGTAGAAGGGCGCTTTCGAGATAAAGGAGGGGATGTATTCGTTGCGCTCCTTGTTGGCCGCGGACAAGTCCGGCTTCTTCGGCTGCGAGGGCGGCATGGCGGGCTTGGGATGTTTGTGTTGCGGAGTGGTGAAAGAGGCGCCGAGTTGAGATGTGGAGAGAGCTAGTGTAGGCTGCGTCACTTAGCGGAGGATCTCACGGGACCACGCGTCATGCTCAGCGCGTCTATCTGTTGTTTAGCACGCGCCTTTCACTGTCGCCACCCCGCCGGAGCGCGCAGTGACATTCTTGGTCTTAGATAACACTTATGGCCACTATGCGACATCTTCCTTCTCTGCACACTTTCCCCGACCGAGCTGTGCCGTCATGGACACGTTCCGCTTCCGTCTGAATTGCATCGACCACTATCAGGCGGCGCCAACAGATCTCGACCCGATTCTAAGGCGCAGTGCAGGGCTGTCTGATCGACAGGACGCGCCTCAAGTCCCAGTCATCCGGGTATTTGGCGCGACCGAAACCGGCCAGAAGGTATGCGCCCATATTCACGGAGCATTGCCCTATCTGTATTTGGAGTATAATGGAAGCTTGGAGAAAGATGCCGGTAGGAGATGCGCTTCAGAACACAAAACTCATCCTGATTGTCTACAGTGAACCGATATGTACTTGCCCTCCGAGCTTCGATCGACCACGCCCTCGCTGCGACCTACCGCCAAAATGCATACGACGCAAAGTCCGTCTACGCCGGCCACATCTCGCTGGTTAAGGGAGTGCCCTTTTTCGGATATAATGTTGGATATAAAGTTTTCTTGAAAGTCTACATGCTCAACCCGAAGCACATGACGCGACTTGCAGATCTATTATACCAGGGTGCCATCTTGAATCGTCCGCTGCAGCCATACGAGAGCCACATGCAATATCTGCTGCAGTGGATGTGCGATTACAACTTGTACGGATGCAGCTATGTAGATTGCGCCAAAGTCCAGTTCCGAGGTCCTGTCCCTGATTGCGACGAGATAGACCCGCTTCACAAATGGCACGACGCGTCCATTCCGGACACATTTCTTGCATCAGAGGACCAGTATCCTCGTCAGAGCCACTGCACGCTTGAGGTCGATGTTTGCATTCAGGATATATTGAACAGGCATGAGTTGCGTTACCGACCTATTCACCATGATTTCCTGGAACGTTCGAGTCAAACGCCTAGGAACGTTGACGATAAGTATGTCCCGTCCATGGCTGACCTATGGAGGGACGAAACGCGTCGTCGAAAGCTTCGCATGGGTCTTTCCAACCCATCCAGCAGTCCCTTTCCTACCGATGTGCTCACACCCATGGCTGCAGATCTAAGAAATACTCACCAAGCCGGGTGGATACACGAGGAAGAGTACCGAGAGCTTGTAGCTGCGCTGATTCAGGAAGAGAAGGGTCAGAAAGGTGAAATCAATTTCAAGACCTTTATCAAGCCTGTCGAAGGTCTGGAGCACATCAAGACTGCGGTGGAGAGTGTCGAAGATCTGTATCCGGAGAACCTTTCGGCCCAACAACTTCCCGAAGAGTATCAGCAGCCAGTAACTAATCTTGATGCTCTCCCGGAGTTTTCAGCGGACGTGTTCCTAGCGGATGACGAACAGCAAGTGGATATTCCTATCGGGGAGGCAGACGACGACGATGAGACCGATCCGGAGAAGTCATCAGATACAGAGGAGCAGATGTCTCATGACCCTTTAACGATATCTCTACTGCAGAAAGATGATGAGACATCCGATGAGCCTGATGAGGGGATTGATCTCATTGATCCCAACGACGATGGCCACGTTGAGAATTCAAGCCCAACGCACAACACACGCAAACGACCTCTCGAAACCAACGAAACCAACCTCGAAGAGTCCACCAAGAGGCAACGAATTTTAGTTGCAACACAGACTGCGAAACGCGTAGCATTTCGCGAGGCTATCGCCAGCACGAACAACGAGTACGTGAGTGCTTCACAGAGAGGCACCGAAGACGATCCACGGCGACCCAGCCAATGTTCACAGGTGAGCATCAAAGCTCAAGGATTTGGAGGGCCTAGTACATTGTCGTACCCCGTGGTAAAGAATCCCAGCGCTCCAGAGACGCTACTCCGTCTAAGTCAGTCGGGATACTCAAACTCTCAGGAAGCACCAAAAACGCCTGCGCGCAAACATATACCAACCAAAGCTCTGCTTGAGTCTCCCGCAACACCCTGGGCACACCAGAAGACGTCACCCATGATGTCGAGCAGCAGCGCTCCAAAGCCTTATACCGAAGCTATCGCCCTTGCGCAACAATTGGAAGATTCCTTCAAACATAAACATGCAACTGTATACTATGGTATCTTGCCCCCTTCTGTTGGGCTGATCAACAATACAATGCTGCATGCTGGACTGCCGCCTGTCATCTTTCAAGATGCTTACTACAGCAATGAGAAAGATGTTCCAGAGCGAGCACGGGAGTATGCCGGAAGGGAGTTTAAGCTCCAGAGCACGACGTTACCTTACCTCCCACCTTTTGATCCAACGGGAAATTCTCCTGCAAACTTCGGGGAGTATCCACCTATCGTTCTGGACAAAGCCAAACAAGACGCCGAACACCGAACAAGATCATATCGATGTAGCCTACGACATTGGGAAATTTCGAAGCCTCCGCCGTCATTTCAAGAAGTCAAAGAGTGGGTGCGCCAGGAGAAGCCCAAGAAGGTCAAGTCTAAACGAAAGAGTAAGCAAACGGACGCGCCTAAGGCACCACGCAAGACAGCCGTTTCAAATTTCCTCTCGCAGATTGAAGGCCCAACACAAAGGAACAAGCATGGTTTCAAGTTCTCGCAGAAGAAGAAGTCAACCAGTGTCAAGCATGAGACTCAATACATGAGTATCTTGAGTCTAGAAGTGCATGCTAACTCCCGAGGATCACTGGTGCCGGATCCTGCTGAGGATCAGATCCAGGCTGTATTTTGGAAAGTCGAAGGCGAGGAAGAGAATGCGACAACTGACCGTCCAAGTGCTGGGATATTATGCCTCTCAACCGATGATGGTATTGCCGAACGCATTGCCAAGCAAGCTCCAGTTGAAGTGGAGTATGAGGAAGACGAGTTGGAGCTCATCAATCGCATAGTCGATATTGTTCGCCAGTTCGACCCGGACATTCTCACTGGATACGAGGTGCACAATGGCTCTTGGGGCTACCTCATAGAGCGTGCTCGGATGAAGTTCGAGTATGACTTGTGCGATGAGATCAGCAGGACGAAATCGCTGTCGCGTGGCCGGTCCGGGAGGGATGCAGACCGATGGGGCTTTACTCATACATCGACTATCCGGATCACAGGCCGCCACATGATCAACATCTGGAGAGCAATGCGTGGAGAGCTCAACCTCCTGCAATATACTATGGAAAATGTCGCTTTCCATCTGCTTCACAAGCGAATTCCCCATTACCAGCACTCTGATTTGACAACTTGGTACACGAGTTCGAAACCAAGAGATCTGGCAAAGGTTCTCAATCACTTCCTCACACGCGTCCAAGTCAACCTCGATATTATGGAAGTCAACGATGTCGTTCCGCGTACCAGTGAACAAGCTCGCCTTCTGGGTGTCGACTTTTTCTCGGTCATTTCGAGGGGTTCGCAGTACAAGGTCGAGTCTACAATGTTTCGCATTGCTAAGCCCGAAAACTTCATCCTTGTATCTCCGAGTCGGAAACAGGTCGGCCAGCAGAACGCTTTGGAGTGTTTGCCTCTCGTCATGGAGCCACAGAGTGCGTTCTATTCCAGTCCTCTACTAGTCTTGGACTTCCAGTCTCTATACCCGAGTGTCATGATCGCGTACAACTACTGCTATTCCACCTGTCTGGGACGCATCGTGAGCTGGCGAGGAACAAACAAAATGGGTTTCATGGACTTCAAGCGTGAGCCACGATTGTTAGAACTCGTCAAAGATCATGTCAACATCGCGCCAAACGGTATGATGTACGTCAAACCCACTATGCGCAAATCCCTCCTAGCCAAAATGCTCGGCGAGCTCCTGGAGACTCGTATCATGGTGAAATCAGGCATGAAGCAAGACAAAGACGATAAACCTCTTCAGCAACTCCTCAACAACCGACAGCTCGCGTTGAAGCTGCTAGCTAATGTTACCTACGGCTACACATCCGCTTCCTTCTCCGGCCGCATGCCATGCTCCGAGATCGCAGACTCCATTGTCCAAACCGGGCGCGAGACACTCGAAAAGGCAATAGCCCTCATCCACGCCACAGAGAAATGGGGCGCGGAAGTCGTCTACGGCGACACAGACAGCGTATTCGTATACCTCAAAGGCCGTACACGCGACCAGGCCTTCACCATCGGCGAGGAGATAGCCGCAGCCGTCACCGCCGCCAACCCCCGGCCCATCAAGCTGAAATTCGAAAAAGTCTACCACCCCTGCGTGCTGCTCGCCAAAAAGCGCTACGTCGGCTTCAAATACGAGTACCGCGACCAAACCGAGCCCGATTTCGACGCCAAAGGCATAGAAACAGTGCGCCGAGACGGCACGCCAGCGGAGCAAAAAATCGAAGAAAAAGCCCTCAAGATACTATTCCGCACCGCGGACCTCTCCCAAGTAAAAGCCTACTTCCAAGACCAATGCGCAAAGATAATGCAAGGCCGCATCTCCATCCAAGACTTCCTCTTCGCCAAGGAAGTAAAACTAGGCAGCTACTCTGCCCACGCCGCGCCCCCGGGCGCCCTCATAGCAACGAAGCGCATGCTGGCCGACCCGCGCACAGAACCCCAGTACGGCGAGCGCGTGCCCTACGTCGTCATCACGGGGGCCCCGGGCGCGCGCCTCATCGACCGCTGCGTCGCCCCAGAGACACTACTAAGTAACGAACACCTCGAGCTCGACGCAGAGTACTACATCTCGAAGAACCTCATCCCGCCGCTCCAACGCATTTTCAACCTCGTCGGCGCGAACGTGCGCGCCTGGTTCGACGAGATGCCAAAGGTTATGCGTATGCGCAATGTGGCTATCCCCGTGGGCCTCAGGCTCGACGGAAACGCCAACGCCAACACGGCAGGCAAAACAATGGAATCCTACATGCGCAGCTCCGCCTGCCTCGTCTGCCGCGCTAAACTTCCGCCCCCGCCCCCACAGTCCCACGCCCTCTCCCTATATCCTACTTCCAATGAACCCATACACCTCCCCCTCTGCACAGCCTGTCTGCGCCGACCGGCGCGCTCGCTCCTCGCGCTTAAAGACCGCATTCATAAAAGTGAGGTGCGCGCGAAGAACGTCGATTTAGTCTGTCGGTCGTGTGCGGGGCTCGCGTGGGGAGAGGAGATTAGGTGCGATAGTCGGGATTGTCCGGTGTTTTATACGCGGACGAGGGAGAGGGCTAAGGTTGTGGGACTGAGGGAGGGGGTGGGGAGGGTGGTTGGGGAGCTGGAGAGGAGGGAGGAGGGGGAGGGGGAGGGTGGGCTTGTGTGGTGAGAGGGGAGGGCGTGGGTGTGGAGTGGAGATGCGGGAGTTGGTTAGGAGGGGGATGTGTTGCTGAAACGTTTTGCTTGGTGTGATGGTTGTCAAAAATCAATGTTTGTGCGTAGTATTATGTTGATATCTTTCGTTCTCGTCCTGGTCGCTTCACTCACTAGCCAAGATGTCCATCCATCCATCCATCCATCCTGTCGAAAACACACCAGTCTCTCCTCCCTCCCCTCGCCTGGTCAATATCATCCAACACTCCCCACCCGACCAAACAGAGCCAATCTAAGTACTCCACAGACCTGAAAGCGCGAAGACGCAGCGAAGTATCATCTTCCAAACTGCGGAAACACACACCAGTTCAGCGATTTATGTATAGTGTACCAAGCAGACAAACAGAACATATATCAAGGCCGCCAACTGAAGGAGAAAATCACAACAAGAAGATAAAGAATGCGTGGAATAATTGTGATTTCTGATAATCCACGTCTACTTGGTTAAGACTGCTATTCTTCAAAGACCAACTCATCTATCTACCTACCTAATGATGATACTTAACACCTCCCAACACTACAACAAAGAATAACGAGCATTAGGCGCGGGGAAACAAGTGCGTAGCGACGGATTGGATAGACTCCATCACAGCTCTTGGGGCTGTGTTCTGATGCGTACTGCCTCACAACGAACGTTGCGTCTCGATGACCAGCGTGCTGCGGGTGTTGACTGGAAGGACTTGTTCATGCGAGATATTGCGGCGTGGTGCGTGGGGTATACCATCCAGCGTCGTAGTAGCTCGTCCCAAGCGTAAGTCCACGCGCTGTCGTTGGCTTGAGTCGTTCGTAGTGCGGCGACTTCCATGTCCTCGGACCTGACGCGATTTGTACCTACGTCTCTGGTCTGTTTGCTCATACGAGTCCTTTGTGTCTGAGGCACAGCCTCGTTATCTCGGCTTAGTCGGCGCAAGGCGTCTCCCGCCTTCTCGTCCACGACGAGCCGTTCATGCTGAATCGCGCAGCTCAGCCAGACGACGCGTCTGCAGCGAAACGGCGCGCTAGCCAGGAGGCGTAGGAATTCGAGCATCAATGCACCCATAGATACCATCTCCCATCTCAAGTCCTCATCCTTATCTCCACATCGCGAATCTCCCTGCTCAAATCCTGCACCTCATCCCGCCCCATCATCTGCGCACTCACATCCAGATCCTGAATAACATTCTCCAGCCCACGCACCAGGGCCTCGATCTCAGCGCGCTGCGCAGTGACGGCGGAGAGCAGCTCCGTGTTTGCGCGCTGCGTGTCGGCGAGCTTGGTGTTCATGTCCGCGGCCTGTTTCTCCAGGAAGGGCATCAGATGCGCGAGGTGGATGTCAGCCGGTGCCAGGGTATGGGGACTGCATGGGACGTGTCAGTCTGGCACAAAACCATGCAGGTAAGCAAGTAAGCAGACGGATACTACTCACGGCACAGGCGCCTCGACCGGCCCGCCATTCGCGCTCACCTCCGCGCGCTTCTTCCTCAGCTTCGCATCCTCGATACTCTGATCGAGCGAATTCAGCAGCTTGACCACATCCCTGCGCGCCATGATGTCGTCGAAATTCCCCTTCCACGTCCGATCCAACTGGTCCACGATCTGCCCGCGCAGATTGTCCAGCACCTCGGGGCTGTATTGCGCGGCGGTGGGGAAACACGAGGCGAAGTTCTTGGACGAGCATTTGTCCAGCGTCGCTTTGGAGGCTTGGTTGAAGACGTTGATGAGGCCTTGGGCGCGCGGGCCCGGTGCGTCGGCGATGGGCGGCGCGGGTGTGGGGGAGGGGGAGCGCGAGGCGGGGTTCGGGGGGGCGGACATGCTGGTTGTTGTTGTGGGGGATATGAATGAAATGCGATGCGATGCGCGACGGTAGAGAGGGTGGGATGTGTTGCTGTTGTGAGGCGCATTCGCGTCGCATTCTTGGTGTTTACAGAACAGCGCGCTAGTGCACGGGTGCCCCACCTTTCACCTTTACTGCGAGCATCGCGTTCATGATGAGGGTGTTTGCAATTTGGGAAGCATGCAAGTATTCACAGGAACAGAGCAAGAGAGAATGAAGATGAATGTTATATTGTATATGCATATAAACATGGCGGCACTGATCCGCTATTCTCAACTGTGGTCTCAGTAATGACTGCGCTCTTTGAAATAGTAATACACGTTATCCTCCTAGACGTCGTTGAAAATATATATACGTGGTTTCCAATCCATCCCAACCGCATCATCTTACCCAATTGATGCAATTGAACAAAGCCAAATCAAGCACATCATCCACGTCTATCAGGAACAACCGCTTCCTGCTGTACACGTCCAAACCTCGTACCTACCCTGCTGTAGCGTGGTGCTAGAGGACTGCCCAGCCTTGCAGTACCCTGTTCTTGCAACTTGAAGTTCTCTTTCCACCGATTCGCTTGGAACTGAACCGAAGGCTGCTCTTTACAGGGCGTGAGAAGACTCGGCGCATTGCTGCGCTTGTTGTTGAGGTGGTGGCGTGCAGGGCCGCGTTCGATGCACACGTTTGGACTCAACGGGCTCAGCTCGACGCCACCTTCTTCCAGAGATTGATATTCAAATGGGTCGTTTGTTGTGATTACGTTGTGTCGAAGACGGTTGCGTGGAAACAGGGGAGTGGCGTGAGCATCGGCGTGAGCATCGGCGTCTTTGTTCGTCCGTAAGGGCTGGCCAAAGTCAAGTCGTTTGCGAGCGCTGGGAATTAGTTCTGACGAAATGAAAGGATCGTTCTGCATCTGCTGAACACGTCCAGAAACCATGCGATCGTCAAGTCGCTGGGTTGATAGCGGAGGAGACATATCTGCATCTATCTCGCTCGCTGTGTCAAATAGAACAGATTCAATATCATCCTGATCGCTGGGACAAAACCTCAGGCGATGGGTTTCGAGACTACCATCTCCAGTCCCTTCGACGTTGTCTTCCCGAGTCTGTGGAACCTCGAGCAGCCAACAATGAACTCGCTCCTTGAACGCGTCATCGAGGACAGACGCTCCAGCACACGAGTCTGTACCCAGGTAACCCGAATCATTCGTCCAGGACTCAGAAGGCGGCGGCTCTTTTCGTGTCACCGCTGACAGGGGAACTGTGGGTAAGGGGAAACTGGATCCTAGCCGATCAGTACGCGCAGCATATGCAGTGTTTGATTGAGAGGCTATGCTGTGGCTCGGTGGCGGCGAGACCACCCTGCTTATATTAGGCAGTTGCGGATATAGACCGACCGCGTAGTCCTGGGTGTAATAGCTACGATTTGCTTCTTCGAAGATTTGTTTCATGCATAGAGAATGGCCAGCGCGAGCAGGCGAATGCAGCAACGTGAACCCACGGTGAGATCGACGGACAGAAACGTTCGCAATCTTAGAGGGCGAGGATGGTCGCAATCTCGATTGATCCTGGATCGCTGCAAGTGCAGGTGTTTGCGCGAGAGCAACCCCACCGTCCGGAGAGCATTGAGACTGGATATGATTTCTTCCATATTGTCGCGAACACTTCTTGGGTGTTCTAGGCGTAGCACTGGCATGGTCTTGTTGTGTTAGCTCAGTAAGATCTGGGGTCACAGCAAGGGAAGGTACATCTGTGATGATCCCTTCGAAAATCGCCAGACGACACGACGCTCAGAGCACGGTTGTGCTGTATAGCGACGTCCTACATGAAGGTTGAGCAACGGTTCGAGACGCTTTCAGCTGCGTGATGTGACATGAACAAACTTGGTGTATCGAGGCCATGTAAGATAGACCTGCACGGCACCTCCGAATGAGTCTCTATCGTCGTCGAGGGATGGTATGTGGCGTGCGTAGTTGAGCCACGGGCTTGGAGGTGACAGGCTCTGGCCCGTGAAGCAGCTGAGATGCACGTTGGACTCGTACTACCTACAACTGCAGCAAGAGCATAGGAGGAGCTACAGTCGGCGCTTCTGTGTGCTACACTCACTCGTTGCTTCTCGCCAAACACGCGCAAAGCCTTCGCTCGTGCCTGATTCCTTCGTAGGACATGCTGATAGGACTGAGATACGTCACAGATGGCCCGGTGAGAGATGACGTTGATGCGACGAGAAAGTGAGATGATTGAAAGGAAGGAGCTTGCTGCAGATCGACGAAGCGACGGCTGCTCGCAGTATGCGAACCTTTTGTGCAAAGCTCCCGCGCCTGAGACAGCCCATCGTATTCTTAACAAACCCGTGTTGCACGAGTCGAGAGAACGAAAGCCAAACTCTCCTATTCCGCCATTGCAAATGGGTTGCACGCCTTAGTGTGACTTGGGCATTGCGCATTCAAACGTCACCAGCCACCGAGTCCAATCGTTACGCTACGGTTGCTCGATAACGCACACTGACGTTGGCGTCAGATATATCTCAACCTCAACGTCCTGTCAAGATCGTCGCCTGAGCTCCCGTCTGTCGTAGCAGTCCATGACGGTGGTTCGACCTTAATTAGCCTATCACCCCTCTTTTCATCTCGCCTGGTCTTAGTCTCCCCTGTCTAATCCTTCCGTCCAATCCTTCGATCATTCGAAGGGACTCTATTAACAGCATGCACTCGCCCGCACAGTCGACGTGCAGCAGTGGTCTCAACAGCGGCCGCACCGTCCGAGTCTAAAGCACTCTGCTGCATGTAAGCAAATGGCGACGTGTCTCGAAATGGCTGCCTTGGCCGGGTATCGAGTCGTGACCCCGGTTCGCGCAAGCCTAAAACGCGCCATCCAGCATGTATATCAGGTTCCTCCAGGCCTGACACGGCATCATATTTGAATTGCTAATGAACAACGGCGCTGTGAGGCTCCGTCTCCCAAGGCTGTGACATTGCAAACTCGGCCCAGCAGCCCGGATAAAAGCTGCATCTTCAAACACAACCCAACAGGCCGCTCGAGCCCGTAAGCCGTCATCTTCTTCTTCGGATCCCCCTCTTCGCCTCGTGCTGGAGACGGGAGCATGTGCGCTGCCCGCTATGGTCGCACAACAGTGCACCCAATCGCGGCCCTCATATGGGGCCCCTGGGCTCTCAATCTGCGTTATGGTGCATCTCGCTTCTTGCATCAAACGTCCTAGTCCGTGCATCTTACGTTCCCTGCATGTTCCACAGTCAGCGCCCCATCCCCCATCCATGGCTGCTGCCCTCCGAGTGTCTCTGCAACTGCGAGACATTGTGTCGCTGCCTCGGTGTCTGTCTCTTCGTCCTCATCCCTCGTCGCCTGGTGCCGGTTGAGTCTCTCTTCTGGGCTTGATGCTCCTTCAGCGCAGCCTGTCTGCTTAACCTCACCTTCAATTCACTCGTTACCTGTTTCTTTTCTCTACCTACGCATTTTTCCGGACTTCCCGCGTTACGAGTCGGTTGCATTGTATTGAAAGCTCGACCCTATGCGATCAGCCTGAACGCGTTCACTCATCACGGCCGTCGCATTCTTAACAATCGACCTTTTCGGAAAGCAAGATTCTGACAAATCCCGTTTGACTTCCTGCCAGGTAATGCTGATACTGTACGTACACAGTTCTCTTTTGAAACCCGTCTCTCAAAGTTCTCTCCACAGTAGTGCAACGGATAACGTCCCGAATTCCTATGTTTCTTTTGTCCCCGTCTCCCCTCAGCTGCTCTCTGCCTGTCAGTCTCGTTCACTTCCAGAGACAAGGCGCGAACGGCATACCTCCCCTTGACATGCTCTGCCTCAATGACAGATCCTTTACCGTTCTAGTCAGCTCCCACGATTTATGCAAGGATATTTTCTGATCTTGAGAAACACCAGACCACCATCATCATTAGTTCAGTGTCTTCTCCCGCGCGTGCCAGCTCTTGTGGTCTCGTCATCTCGGAGACCGCTGCATAGAGGCCTGCTTGAAGCAAGGGACCGCTACATCTCGCTGGCTGTCTGTACCGACACCATACCGTTCCACTCGTATCCAAGATAACACTTTACCCATACCTCGCCTTCTGGTCCAGTGACTCGACAACACTGAGGTATCAGCTCTGTGCCCGGCACACTCGGCGGCTGCATGACGTACTTCTTCGCATGGAATAATCGCCGTCTTTTCTAGCGTATCGTTAATTCACATCTCTGGCCGCGCGCAGCGTTTTCCAACAGTGTGTGAAGGACTAAAATCACACGGCAAGCTCTCGACGTCCGCAAACGATACTCCAGATCTGCTCCATATAACGGACCTGTGTCGGCCGGCAGAAATCTCGATCGTCGACATCTCCGCGAAGGATTCATGAGCAACGAGCAAAGACTACCCTCGGAGGCATACGGTGCGCCGGGTGGAGGTGATTATGGCAGAAAAAACAAAGGCTCTGTGCGATCAGCGCGGGAAAGGCTGCAGGCTGCACAAAAGCAAGCACAGTTGCCAGACACGTCAAGAATCGTAGGATTGCCTCCAAGATCGAATCAGCCTGATCCACAATCTTATGTTCAAAACACGTCGGAACAGCCCCCGCAATCGTCTTTGTCAGGGTATAGGGAAGATGAAGACCTCTTCTCTCCACCACCACAATGGCCTCTTCCGAACGATGCCAACATTTTGCTGGAATCTAGTCCGGTCGTCCCGCCTCGCTCGCCAAAGAGAACGCAACAATCACACCCGACCATGTGGCCCGTGTTAGACGACTATCCCATCGAACAGCTCTCTCCGGGTTATCCTCAACCGGCTTCCCCGGACTATCTGCAACCACCTCCAATGAACTACCGCGGTTCTTCCCATAGTGACGGTGCGTTCTCACCAACGTATTATCGATCATCCCGCCCGCTCACGACGTCTTCCTTCGCTTCCGAGACATCTTCTCTAGGCGATATACCCGACTTTCCCGTACCACTGCTACCGATGCCCACCGCTCAGCCCATGGCTCGACGCACTCCGACTCTGGGTCCGCCACCTTCTGCGCGACGAGGACCCTTGTCATATTACACTGAGATGGCTTACGTATCGCCGATAGTGGAAGAGTCAGAAACGCGCTCCAACACCATAAGGTCGCATCGTGGCTCTCTGTCGCACCGCGGATCGTTTGCATCCAGTAACGTTTTTCCATCGCACAATGACGACTTCTACCCGGACGACTACCCGATATCAGATTACGATGAAGGGATGTCAAGCGATCCTGGTACATTGTCGCCTATGAGTGAACATGGTGATCGGCGTGATCTTGTCAAGCAACAGCCTGTTCTCGTTCGTCAAGCAAGTTTGGGAAGAAGACGTAAACCGTCACTCCTAACAATCAAGTCATCTGACGGCCTTGGAGACAAGAACAATAGTTCCGGAGCGCGCAGCCACGAACTTGTAGGAAAGGGTGCTGCCATAGCAGGATCTGGAAGCGCAAGCCTGCCTTTCAGAGAGCAAATGCAGAGTCAAGGTTCACCTAGGCTAATGAGCTCTTCGACAAATTCATCTAACTCCGCAAATACCTTTAGAGCTATGAAACTCAAGGAATTCGGCCCCGAAGAACCTGAATCACCAATTTCTCCGTTCGATACGACTTTGGCAGGCCGCATCGGGAAACGACGACCACCGGCACTTGATGTGGACGCTGTGCGAACGGCTGAAGCGCGCGGCAGCTTGACAAGTCTCCCTGATCTGATTAGGAGAGCAACAAGGCTGGCAGCCAACCTCGACCGTGGACGCACGGCTAGTCGGTTGGGCCTGGAATTTTGGGAAGCTGGAGGGCCCGACAGGAATGACGTCCGGCAATCCGGATTGTCCGATATGCTCGCCGCATTTCCACCGCCCGGCCAGGTTACTCCTTTACGATCAGGCACTCCTCTACGATCCGGTACCCCATTTGGTTTCGATCGCCTGCGTAACGGCGCCGCGAATAGCGGATTGCGCAATGAGAAAACCAACCAGCGCCGCAGATGTTGCGGCATGCCCATGTGGGTGTTCGTTATTCTGCTAGTTGTGCTTTTCCTGATAATAGCCGCTGCTGTCATCGTACCAGTCATCTTTTTCATCGTGGTTCCAAACGCAAAAGCTGCAAACAACAACAACGGAAATACTGGGACAGGCAGCAGTACGCCTGCCGTACCGGCGCCGACAGCCCCCGTGGGATCTGATCAATGCAACGGTGTTATTTCCTGTCAGAACGACGGTGTCGCGATCTTCAACGCTGATCGAACATGTGACTGTGTATGTATTAATGGCTTCACAGGAAGCACATGTACGAACGAGGACGCCACCGGATGCACAACGACCAGCATCCAAGGCACCGCCAACAATGCTACGTTGGGCTCCGCTATTCCCCGTCTGCTCGAGAGTGCAGTCACCGATTTCGGTGTGCCTCTCAACTCGACACGTATTTTATCACTCTTCTCCACCCTAAGCCTCAGCTGCGCATCCGAAAACGCACTCATCACGTTCAACGGCCTGGCCTCTCGCTCAGTATCGGAAAACAAGCACCCCGTCAACCTGTATATGTCAGGACAACCAACGAGATCGCTCGACCTACGCACTCATCCGGACTTGTCTCGAACTCGACAGATCGCAAAGCGACAGACTGCTCAGCCTATCTCCAGCAATGTAACCTCTCTCGACTACGCCCGCATCGGCGTTCTTCTTGCGTTGCAAGAGTCGGGCGAGTTGAATACCGCAGCTAGCGCGCAGGAGGCGATCCAGGAATTCCTCAGCGATGACCGAAGCGGGAATGCCGAAAACAGTACCGTCGATGTTGGCCCTTTCAAGATGGATCTCGCAAACCTCACTATCACGTTCACCAACGGAACCACAATTAGCGCTACGCCATCGTCGTCTTCATCAGCCTCATCATCAGCTTCATTAACAACTGCCACTGCTACCAGCGGCTAAGTACATCTATATTGTCATTGCATTCAATGACTGCCTTGACTTCCTGCTTCATCAGCACAGCGATAACCTGCTTCTAAGCATTTTCTTTCATTCTTCCATCTTGTGCGTTCTTTTTAAGACGTTCTTTTGTACATTATCTACGACTAGACAAGCAGCGTGTCAAGGTTTCCGAGTCTGCCATCTTTTTTTCGGTTTGATTTCATTCCCACCTTCTTGTGCACATTTTTGGTTTCGTTCTCAGATTGAAGGTTAGGTTTAATGTCTTATCTGAATGGAGCTTTGAAATATTCTTTGGTGGCTTTGCCGTTGTCACGATTTAAGGTGTCACTTCTTGGGAATGGCGCGTGTTCTTAGATTGGTGTAGTATATTGTGCACAGCTTGAATATGGTGCGAGCGGTAATACTAAACTTATTGCTCCTAACATGCATATTTGCTTGGTTGCTGATAGTGACAGTGGTTCATGTGCATAACGATATATTGGAGACTACAGATTCGAACTTAGACAACAATGCGCCTTGCTCAGACTCTCGGTGACCCCGGTTTTGGGGGTTCACCGGCCAACACTTGCCTTTCACCATCACAATAGCCTTGGGGAAAGCTCACGACCCACCCGAAAACGAATCTCAATTGGCTCGCTGCACAATAGGAAATCTCATGTAAACGGTCCACGACTACTATAAAGCCTGCTGCCGTGTCGCTCTTGCTCACTCCTCTCCCAACAACACGCCTACCTTCCCAATCACACCTCCAGACGGATACGATACGATTAAGACACTCATAACGACAGAGTACTCCTGGACCATTCCTCCACGATGTGGGGGCTCGGCGAACTGTTCCTGAGGGCGCTCGCGTCCAAGGCAGTCGTCGACCCAATTATCCTCGATCGTATTGAGATCACTACGCTTGTTGCACACTACATGCCTCCTCCGATTACTGTCACAGCTACCGTTACGACTACTGTAGGCAGTAAGTGCCCTTTTCCCCTATCACTATCAGCGCTGTGTTCAATCGTTCACATCTCACATCCCGCCTGCTGGCTTCTCCCCTGCTCAGAAAGACTGCTAACATGTGCCTCCACCAGTTCCCGCCACTGCTATCTTCCACAACGTCCCGACCATCCCGATTCCCGCACTTGAAGCGCGCCTTGCACCCTGGCCCAACAATGATGTTGTCGAACCGCACGCATTCGAAGCCTCGCCGTCTTCTCTCATTGTCCGATGCTTGGCTTTTGGCCAGTGGCTTCAGGATCCGCTGGTGTCGCTCTCGCCACTCCAGATCCTTGTGTCTCTTGTTGATCTCGCTTTCTTGATGGCCCTCTTCCACCTTGTGTCCCACTTCTACGACCCGGAGTATAATGTGGTGCGGGTAGCCCACCACTCCTTCGTCCGCGGGTGGCGCACGGTATGTACCTTGTTTTATCTTCCTGTCTCGGAACTTGCTGACTGTGTTGTCTCTAGGGTTCCATTGTCCTGTGGGTGTGGATATGTGGCTTGTCCATGTTCCTAACCTATGACACGAGCACTAACCCGATGACTCTTCTCATGAACACGTTCCAGGAGCTGGCCATGAACGACTCTACCTACGCCACTCGGTTTGCCTGTTGGTCATTCGCCTGGTGGAAGAAACATCATACGAAAGACCACAACATCTTTGTGGCGCTGTGGTCGGAGTCCTGCCTTGCAGTGGTTGCTCTGGAGAAGACCGCGGTTGAGCGCTTCTGGTGGCTCGTCTACGGATCGCCGGCATTCCTTCAGATGGCCTGGACCTCTGCTCGTCTTGCCTGGACTAACGGTTATAACGTGTCCTGCGTCCCTGCGTCCTTCTTTCGCGCTTATGTCCTCGTGCCCATTGCGATCGTTCTCTGCGCACTGTATGGATATCTCCATTCCATTCTCATCCAGCCAGTCTGGGACGTCATCTGCGGTTTCGTCTCCTCCGTCGCCACCAGTTTCTATCCACGTATATGGGTCTACAAGATGTATCTGGTCTGGTCTTGGAGATTTCATAACCACGCGGAGTACCGCTTCACACGCTCTGAACTCAGAAAGGCCGCGACCATGTCCCCGACAGAGCTCAAGCAAAAGATGGAACTCGCAAACATCCAGTCAGTTTGGTTGAACAAGTTCTCCCACACGGAAGTCGTCGGGCTCGCAAGAAAGACCATCGAGTACCGCACGACCATCCTCGAGCTGCTCAAAGACGTCAACTGGTGCCGCAAAGTAATCGACTCGCTCATGAACTACCGCCACAACGAAAAGATGTTCCAGCACGCGCAACAATCCAAATCGGGGAACAAGTTCAAATACCCAACCTACTACCCAGCCGACATACTCGAATTCGAAGAACCCTACTACTCCAACACGCTTATATTCACCGCCGAAGCAGACCCCGTGTCAGGCCTATACTACACAGAAGCGCGCCGCACGCGTCCCCTCTTCAGCCTCAAGAAGACCTTCACAAGCACAAACAAATGGTCCTACTACGACGTCAAGCACAACGGCTTCAAGCTCTTCGCCCACGCATCCTGGTTCACGAACTACATGCACATGCCCGGCTGCTTCAGCCTGTTCGAGCACGACCCCTGGGCCCTGAAGGCAAACTTCCCAGGCATCCACCTGCCGGAGTACAAGGCGCATGAAGATCCTATCGACCTGACGAACCGACGCCCAGTTGTAGCGGAGCCGCTGAGAAAGTGGGGCAGGCTGATTGAGGACGTTGCTGAGAAGGGCAGGCTGGTGAATTGGCAGGTGGAGAGGCTGAGGCCGCTGGAGAAGAAGACCGTGCGTTGGGGTCAGTACAGTGAGGTGAGGGAGTTTTCAACGATGAACTCGGAGTCAGAGAGTGTTTCGCAGATGCGGCGAGTGCCTGGTCCCCGGAAGCGATTCAGCTGAGGTGGGATGCAAGAGGAGGAATGGGTTGGAATGAATGGACACGGAACTTTCATATTTGTTATATGCTTGTAGTACTCAAAACACTATTTATGGAATTCAATTCTCATGGTTTACATCCTTTCGTTCGTTCTCTCACGCAATTCAATCTACAAGTTCCCGTTGACTTTACAGAAACGCATCGTTTTTTTCCAGCAACTGTTGAGCACCACGGGCTTGATCCTCAAAGCCCATCACACCGCCGTGCCCCGCGTTCGACAATACTAACACAACCAAAACAAAACAGCACGAAGAACAATGCATAAGCACAACTACCCAAGCCCCACAACACCCAGCCACCCACCTACCCAACACCCCCATACCCCTCAAGCACACCCACCTCCCTCACCGCACATTCATCCCCCACCCCCGCCAACCACTCCTCAACATACCGCCGCCGCAACAGCCTACGAGCCTCTTCCTCCTCTTCCTCCCACGCGTCCAGCGCGGCTTCGATGTCGGAGTCAAAGTCCCAGGCGCGGTCGCGGGCGCGGGCATGGGGTAGTAGGCATGTGCAGAATGTGAGGGAGATGAGGAGGAGGAAGATGATTATTAGGGGGATGGGAGAGGTGGGGGGGTGGGGGGGAACTGGCATTGGGGGTGGGGTGGTGTGTGTTTGTGTGTTTAGAGGGGGGAAGTGGGTTGAGTGAGAGGACGTGTAATGATGGGTGGGTTTGAGTGTGAGACTGGGAGGGGAGGTGGTGTCTGGGTGGGGAGAACGACGGGGGATTTGATAAGAGAGTGTCTTGTGAGGGGAGTGTGCATTGTTTGTGCACAAAGGGGGTGTGATTGTGCGGCGGCGAGAGAGACTGGTCTGTGGACTTGGGCGAATTTAAGTGGTTTCGGGGTTATATCATGGTAGGTGTAAAACTCCCTGATCATACGGTGTGGGATAAAAGGTTTTGCGGTCAGTTGATAGGTGTACGAGAGCGTCTCAGTGTCAAACAAATAGCAGAATTTAAAAATCAAATTCATACACATTGAATACTATGTATGGCAGCGCTCGCAGGGGATATCTCTCGTATTAAGATTACTCGATGGTCGTAGATGGAGCATAATCCAACCTTGTCTCGTAAATTTGTAGATCCTTGGATCGAACGACGCATTCACCATCATTGGTGACACGCTTCGATCCCACATATTAGCCTAGTAACGTCCGCCCTCTGCCGTTGGGGGGACAACGCCCTCGTGTCCATGGTGCATGGCCTTCTCTTCCGCAGACAGCTTGTTCTTTCGGTGGTGGTCCTTAACCTCGTGGAAGGCGGCAGTGATCGCGTGGAGGACGCTACAATATCAATGTTAGTCATCTGTAAAGTGTGATTGATGTGTTGGAGAACTCACGTGCTGAGGATGGCTAGAATGAATGTACCCCAAGGCAGGTCGCAGGTGTCATCTCTAACATTCGCCCTCTGGCCGGTAACAGTGTTTGTGTTGGTCAGACTGGTACCGTTGTAGCAGTGCCTGGGGCCAGCCTTTCCGCCGTTTGGTCGTGTGATGACGGAGACGGCGATGAAGCCACCTACGAAGAGAAGATCGAGAAGGACCAACAACCAACGCAACATCTTGGACCCCGGGCTACTGTTCTTCTTGATGCAGCTGAGTAGCGTGACGAGGAGAGTGTACAGGACAGCTGCGGCGAGAATGCCTTCGACTGCGCCAAACGACCCTGAGACACCACGGCGGGTCTTGAGGGAGTTGACGAGACGGTAGATTTTGTAGACGCGCTTCGAAAAGAGCGCGAGAGAGATCACAGAAGAGATGAATTGAAGCACGCGCGTAAGACGGAGAAAGAGCCGGTAGAGAGCCGTGTGCCTAAGCTTGTCGGGCACGAAGCGCGTAAGAAGGCCGGTGGGCTTCTCGTATGGGGTGCCATAGGCAGGACCGTCGACAGGGCGGCGCGAGTCCATCGTGGATCTGGTTGTGTGTTGGGGTTGTGGGGAGAAGGGCCGTGTAAAAGTGGAACGTGGGGAACGAGGTTGTGGTGAATGAATTTGTATAGCGACAAGGAATTATTTATATACAACAAAGCAATGCTTAACAGGTTGTGGCTGCGAAATTCGTCACTGCCACGTTGAAACCGGCGCGTTGGGCCACAGCCAATAAACAACTCTTTCAGAGGAGATCTTACTTTGTTTTGAATTGGACGTGACCGCATAGCCAAGATTATCGCGTAACAGAGAGGTGCAAAGATGGTCGTGCGTCATGACAGTGAATGTACGTCACGCACAGGGCTACAGAATGAAATTTTGCGCTACAAGGCACTGCGCCAGAATGCCCATGAGGTGTTCGAACAAAGAAACTCAATACTCACGCTCAGCGGACTTTAGTGCGCAACGTGCTGGTTTTATGCCTAGTCTTCTCCACGAGTGAATCAGAGCACTTGAAATGACGACTTAGACCGAGTCGTTACTGTTGCTGTTAAGTTATAAGTAGGGACACAGATAGCTACGCGCTACACGCTCTGAAACGTCTTGTGGTGAGGACCCGACGGTGTGACAACAGGCTTTGGAAATCGTTTGCTGACTCATTAGGCTTTACAGAGCCACTTGTTCACGGTCTGTGCAGAATTCTCAAAGGAGTTCAGTTTCCCATAAACCACGCGAACATTCGGCCGGCGATCTTATGGTAATAAGTACTGACAATGTCGAAGACCTGCCAGACCGATAAGCAGTGCGATACGTATCGTTTCCTTATCGTTGCGCTTGTGCGCAGCAGGTGCTGTGTGTCGTACAGCCACGAGTGCGTTGCGTGATTGCATGGGCGCCCTGCACCTGCGAGTGTTGTATGCCTACGAATGTCGTGCAGCTGGGAGTGAGTCGTGCGATTGCGCGTGCGAGAAGCAGGTTTTGCTTGTTGTTTGTCGTTGGGAAAAGGTCGTTGAGGCATGCATGACGGAGGATATGCTTAGCGCCTTGGTGGTGCCGCTACGAAAGTCTTGTGCGAGCTTGGTATGAAGAACGTCACCATCGAGGTATTGAAGGTGAGGTCAAGGGTCAGATATACGGCATGGTCCGTTCTATTCATACTGTTAGCTGGAAATAGAGGGCTGTGAGGATAAACGCTGTGCACGAGACGAGCAGACAGGCAAATTACCCGTGAGTCAATCCATGCTTCGACTTACTGGAAAGGGTTCGCGGACATCGAGAGGTTGAGAGGGAAAAAAGAGGCGTGATCAATGTTGGCATTGTCGAGGGTTAGACTTAGTTGACCTCGACTCAAGTTACCGTTCAATGTGCGTTCGAAAGAACGCAATCTCATCACTGCACAGCATCGAGATCTCGACTACAGGCCACGCAAGCGTGATACCCTTCCATTGCCCATCTTTTTCAGATGATCACCTTCTAGCTCCACTTCTATGTCTGGTGACCAAACATATAGTTCCGCGGCTTGGTAGTGACCCTGTGCTGGTCTACCTTGATCCACACTGTTGAGTGTTCAATACTGCATGAGTATTGAGTTTGACTACAGCCTGACCGGAAAGTTCGACCCGCATGAGCTGATAAGCCAGAGTAACCCACGTGTTCGCAAAGACCTGAGTCAATATGTGCTTGAAGAGACGGTGAGTGGTAATCGTTTATCCCTAGCGTGGGCTCAGGTTTGAGTAAGTCGAACAGGTGAACGGGAGTGCGGTTCCTCCCTAGCGTCCGTCGACGAAACGAGGGCCTGCATAGAAGATACAGCATCTAAAAGAATAGAAGCCCTAGGCTCCTCATGCATTCAGGGTCTGGAAGAACACAAATGACCCCTGGCCCCCGATGTAGCGGTCTAAGTCACACACCTACTACTGTTATCTGTGGTCGCAAAGGACGAACCTAGACTATCTCGAAAGCTGTACAAGAACATTTGCACGATTGTGCTCGATCTAGAATAGGTTCAGTCCAAAACAAAGTAGAGGTTTGGTCGATGCGAACCATGTACTGTAACACCCCCCTCATGGCTTTCTGAACTGCCATCCTCCGCACAGACTGTATATGTCCTGATCTTGGCGAAACAGAAGCCTGCAGCTTTGAGATCTGATTGCAGGTATTCCCTCGGCTTAGTGCGAATAGTTGCTAAACGTGGTGAAACTGAGAAACATCCGGGGAATGCCATAGACCATGGCCAACATTCACTTTCGCACTATGTGTATCCGTTTTGCTCTCGGTCTTGCAGTGTACTAGGCCTTGATGAAGACGTGCTTTAGCGGTGAAGTCTTCCAGAGGGTCTGCGCCATAACATCTGACTCGGGTCGCTGCGAGTCAGGGGTTGATCCGCGGAATAGATCTCATCTATCTTAGAAAGAAACTGCCAGTGTCGTCGTCAGTCCGGCGGTTGAAACCTCAGGTACCAAAGCCCGCGAATACTTTAACGGTGGAGACGAGTATGATCCTTGAAAGGAACGAACACTAGCGGCATGTGTAATGAAACAAATGTGTCCAACAATGTATTTGCAGCGTAGCGGGTATGACAGCAAACTCTAAGAGCCCGCGAGTATGTATCACGAGTACAGACAAGGTATGGATGACCTGGTAAAACTGCTCACAGCCATGAAAGATCCCTACAAGAGAGAAGTAGTAACGAACTACGCAAGAGGCGTTGGATAGTGTCTCTTTTGTACCACCGATAGCCGAACTGATGCTTGGAAGAAACAGGCTCAATTAGATTTTAGCAGAGGTTAACGAATTAAGCGTGATAGGCTGCACAAACGTCTCCTGCCAGGGTGGTCATTGGTAGTATACATAAGTGCCATGCACAGGTATGTAGGCTGCGGGTTGAGCCGAAGCCACTGACTCGACGGAGAAACACCTAGCCGTTGGGGAAAGCACCGATCCGTAATGAACTTCGACTCCTCCCCAATCTCGTGAGTCGCATCGAGTGACGTGGCCAACTGAACATGAAAGGGGAATTTCGTTCCGAGAGATACCTTGGCTGTAGAAATTGAGTTCAAGCCACATTTACGAGGATGCTGCTTCTGGTGAAAGTTCGATAATTTGACTATCACGAAGATCCTCCCGATATCGGTGTTGTTTGCATCGCCGTGTCCATCGCTCAAGCTAGTTCGATGAAAAATCGTACGGCTTGAGACGATTCATGGATTCTCAAACAGGCTTAGCAAAAGTGATAGTACTGCGTGTATACAGTATGGTTCTTCTAGGGGAACGTTACTTCGACATGCGAACTATCATAGATGTTGACGTCGTAGGCGAAGGCTTTCTCTACGAGTCATTGCTTCGAAATAGGAAAAAGCTGGCGCTAGCCGAACTTGAGCTGAGAGTGTTCGTCAGCTAAGTCGGAAGCCATCATCCGGGTTTGCCATCTTGGACTAGAGTCGATCAGTACAATTGGCCGTTGCACGTCTAATGCACACGTGGATATCCGCGCGTTTGCGGCTCTTGAGTGACCGGGGACACGGATGCAAGCAGCAGCCTTACATTTGCATCTAGTCAGGAAAACCATTTATAAAGGAAGAGATGTCTCGATGGTGTTGAATGGAACCAGCTCAATCGGATATGGCACCCTGTTGTCAACGGATATGCGGATGCACAGTGCAGTAGTTCCCCCTCATAGGATCACTACGTCTAGGCACTCGAGTCGATCGGCGTGATTCCGGTGTATTCGGCGTTGCTGTACGGCCGCTCTTCAACTCTACTCTCTTAACTTAGCGTCTTCTCTATCGAATACCCATAGAGCTGTATCGTGGTGCACCGAACGTCACAGAGATAACGATTGCGTATTGCACATGCTGTTTTGTAGTCACGGCAATGCAGATCTCGCTGTGTTATCGCATACTGTACATGTCCTCGGCGACGATGGTAACTAGGATTGAATGTGACAGGAAGAGCTTGATATGCAGAAGTACAATAGACACTGATAGCGTTTGGTGGCTTGGTCGGTCCTGTGCGTAGAATGGAAGGACCGCGATGGATCAGACGAAGGTTGTGCAGATCGTGGTCGCAGAGATCGAGAGCACAAGATCGCAGAATAACACAATTCGAGAGCCTAGACAGTCATTACACCCCACCATAGATCGACACGGTACTAACTGGATTGTCAAACCATAGTTCTTTGACCCTACGTCGAAAGTCAGACGATCCGGTGCTGAAAGAGTTATTGTTCGAGTGTAACGACCAAAATTGAGATGTGATGTTGACCATGCAGTCATGGAGTTGGAATTGGAATGACACGGTATCACGTGATGTCGGAGCTAGCTTAAGCTTGGGCCGCCTCGACGCGTTTTCTCGAAGGTGAGAGCAGCTTTATTCCAAACAAACGGATCCAGCAACCACACTACCTTCGTCGAGTCTACCAACACTTCTCTTTGCTCAACTCATCAAGGCGATCACGAAGATGTAAGTGAAACCTTCCTCTGAAGGCGGTCCATATAGTAGGCTGACAATCAACAGGGAGGCGTTTAACGACATCTACCTCAATTTATCGCGCAAGCCAGGCGCCACCCGATTCTCGGACAGTGGCTTTGGCTGGAAGCCCGTAAACGGCGAAACCTACACTTGCGATCAGTCACAAATCATACAAGCGCAATGGAGCCGAGCCGCAAGGGGCTATGAAGTGAAGATTCTCTCGCGAAATGACGGCGTAATACAGCTTGATGGGTTCAAGCAGGAGGTGAGAGACGCAAATATGGCAAGCGCGAACTTCGTCTGATAATCACAGGATTTTGATCGAGTTAGCAAGGTCTTCAAGAGCTGGTACGGCATCAATCTGGACAGTCGAGAGCACGCCTTGCGAGGTTGGAACTGGGGTAAGGCAGAGTTTGGAAAAGCCGAGCTTTCATTCAACGTCGCCAACCGCCCAGCCTTTGAAGTGCCGTACACAGAAGTCTCCAACACGAATTTGGCTGGAAAGAATGAAGTCGCAGTTGACTTTTCGCTTCCTGCGGACGCTGACGCTGGCGCAAATGGATCTCTTGGAGGTGCGAGATTTCGGGGCAAGAAGTCAGCCGGAGCTCGCGATCAGTTGGTGGAGATGCGTTTCTACATACCCGGTGTCGCCTCAAAGAAGGAGAAGAAGGAGGATGGTGAAGACGCCTCTGGCGCTGAAGATGGCGAGGAGCAGAACGCTGCCAATTTGTTCTATGAGACACTCATGGACAAGGCAGAGATTGGCGAAGTTGCAGGCGACACCTTCGCCACCTTCCTGGACATTCTCCACTTGACTCCTAGGTAAGCATCAAGTCCGTCATTGCTGGATGTGACTAACCAGCGAGCAGGGGTCGTTTCGATATCGACATGTACGAGAGCTCCTTCCGGCTTCGAGGCAAAACCTACGACTACAAAATCCAGTTCGACTCCGTCAAAAAGTTCATGGTACTGCCAAAGCCTGATGATATGCACACGCTGATCACGATTGGTCTGGACCCTCCCCTGCGACAAGGCCAGACGCGTTACCCTTTCCTAGTCATGCAGTTCAAGCGCGACGAGGAGGTCAATCTCGCCTTGAACATGAAGGAGGATGTGTTGGAATCGAAATACAAAGACAAGCTGCAGTCACAGTACGAGGCGCCGATTTCTGTTGTCGTATCCGACATATTCAAAGGGTTGAGTGGTAAACGTATCACCAAACCCTCTCGTGACTTCGTCAGCCACCATGAGCAGTCGGGTGTGAAGTGTTCAATCAAGGCCAACGAAGGTCATTTGTTCTGTCTCGACAAAGCCTTCATGTTTATCCCTAAGCCGGCAACTTATATCAGCATGGACAACATCGCATCGGTCACCATGTCTCGTGTTGGAGGAGCTATGGCGGCGAGTCGAACGTTTGACATCACATTCACTATGAAAGGGGGAATGGCAGAGCACCAATTTTCCAACATCAACCGGTAAGTACAAATATGCCGGTATTTCTATCGACCCGGCAAAGCTAACTCTTGACTACAGTGAGGAGCAACAGCCACTAGAGAACTTCTTCCGTGCCAAGGGGATCAAAACAAAGAACGAGATGGCAGACGATGTAAGTGCTTCACCGTCTTATTTGTGTGTCTGCGCTAATCATGCTCTCCTCAGTCTGGAGCAATCCTCGCAGCTGCACTCCAAGATGAAGACCTTGCTTCTAGTGACGATGGCGGTGTCGCGAATCGCGGCAGCGCAGACGAAGATGACGAGAGCGTTGACGAGGACTTCCAAGCAGAGTCCGAGTCTGAGGTTGGCGAAGAGTTTGATTCGGACCATGAAAGCAGTGGCTCGGATAGTGACGCAGAGATGCAGGACGCAAATAGCGACGGTGGTCCGAATGAGGAGATGGAAGTGGCAGAGCGACCTAAGAAGAAACAGAAGGTCTCGAAATCATGATTACGCACGCCACATCCTCGTGGCTAGGGAGGGTTTACTGCAGGGGCCCATAGCGGTGAGGCAAGTGGGAATCCGATAATTTTCCGATGATTACAAAATTCTTGAAGGTATTGGATGCTTGGACATTTTGTGTTTTTGCTCGGAAAATGAAATCGGCGGGTGGCATGCTCAACCACCTCAGCATGGAGGTGCCTCCGGCGTTTCTAATAAGCGGACAGTATTGACTGAAACATGAGGAGCTAGCAGGAAGGATCAATCCGGATCTTCGACTAGCATACTGCAAGGAATGTGGCTCACCAAACGGTCCGAAGATGTTACGCGATTGCAGCAAGCAGAAAGGTGTAAAAGATTGTGGCAAACTACGGCTTGATTTCCGGACTGATTATATGGCACGTGCCCAGCCTTCGTGCAACGATGTGCGCGTTGCAGGTCGGCCATGAGTCGGCGGTGGCGCTTGACGCGATCCGGCCCATGCACACCTTGCTCTCAAACTGAACTCTAGTTTTTCGTTCTACCCCAGATCAAGCAATGTCATGGCGACTCAGGATGATGCAACTAGGGCAAGGAAGAAGGCTTTTGCCAATTCTCTCAGGGCCTCCTTAGATTGTGACGGCGGATCCGCTGGCGCGAACCATGCTTAGACCCCGCATGAATACAGGAAGAAGGCTGCGTCGCCCACCACGCTGATAGATATAGCCCAGCACCCACCGACTCATGTGGGTGTTTCCTCATACCCACCGGTTTGACACAAGACTCTCGTGACCTGAGTTGTCTAGACAGACCCACACAGATCATCTTCCTTTTTCAACATGCGTTCACGAACTGGATGGCAAGTGGAGCTTGTGGTCCACATCATCACTTTTGCTAACCCTGTAACAGTCTCACATGCCGCCAGCGGAAGCTGAAGTGCGACGAGAAGAAGCCTGTGTGTGGACAATGTACCAAGGCTTCGAGGGAATGTATCCCAAGCTCTGGGATAGTCTTTCGTCACCAACACAATGCCTCCATGAATGGCGATGACTCGGGGGACGAAAACTCATTGAAGGGATTCTACGCATACAAGAACACATTCGAGAATGACACCATATGGCTAGACATTCCCAGAAGTGGTGAGTTCTGCCCCGTTTCCTATTACTCTGTCTTTACTAACATCTTCCATAGTGACCTTCATCAACACCACCAACCCATACCTTGATCCTTGCACACCGGACTTCGAGACCATGTCCATCGCTTCCATGGACTCGCCGGCTCCCTTTGAGCCCCGTTCATTTGCTTCATGGTCTACCCCTGGCAACATTCAATCAATCACTAGTACACCTTTAACTCTAGATCCAATGAGTATGCCTATGTGCTACTCACCAGAGCTCGATGCATTGCCATTATTGATGCAATCACCTCCAACATCCGTTCCAAATTCTACAGTAGGAACACCTATCTCACCACCGGCCTCACTATGCAACCGCCGCACGTACCCAATTATGGACCACTCAAGGTCTATGACGCCACCAGCTATTGATCCACGTCTTACCTCATCCTTCGAGTTCTCCGCAGAGCAGCTGCCGCATATGCCACGATCAAGCTCGCGACGGTCCCCGCCTCGCTCAGACTTTGAGTCATTGGCAGAACAGGATCACGAGATTGCTTTCCTATTACGGTGGTTTTCAGAAGGCCCTGGATACTGGATGGATCTTTTCGACCTAGGGACATACTTCGCGTCTTATGTACCAGTAAAGGCACGTGATAACCCATTACTTAAATACGCAGCTGTCGCTTGTGCCGCTAAGGCTCTCGCCCGTGTGCAAGGGCACAAGCCTGTCATGGGAGGTAGTGTAGCCTGTCAAGCTCGGATGGAATTATACCCTGATGCACAATTCGTCGACTGGAAACACAAAGCAGCAGTATATTACGACAACGCTGTCTCTCTGCTCCTACAAGCCCTGAGGATGGATGCTACCGTTGCGTTCAATGATTCGGACTACGAATATGAGCGGTACAGTGGCGATTCAACATTTGGATCGGACGGGCCAACCCCTAAACGACGTAAGACTTTGAGCACTCCCTCGTTTGTTTCTAGCACAGACGAGTTATTGGCAGCCTCGGCCATTCTATGTGTCTACGAATCCCTGGACACTTCAGTCTCTGAGTGGGCCAAACACCTGAACGGAGCCAAATCTCTCCTTGTAATGACACAGGAACGAATGATGCCCCAACAGATGCCATCTCCATCTTCAACGATTTCTTCGATGACCCCCAGTTCCATGTCCAAGGCCCGAAGGGCGACTTTCTGGAATATTGCGAGACAGGATATGCTCGCAGCTTGTAAGTTTTCTCCAGTCAACTTGCCATCATGTCACTTATACCTTCCAGTAATCAACAAGACACATACACGACTTGACACTGAAGACATGTCGCTATGGAGAGAGGCAGGCCTGCTTATCGACGATCAGGGATTCATCATTCCTAGCAACGCAGCCGAGAGCGGTTACCCTGAAGATGACGATCATATGATGAAAGAAGATCTCATCTCCAATGCCTTGGTCTGGCTCATGGCCAAGCTAGTCAATTTCATCGCTGCTGGTGACGAAATCCCGGGCAACACGGGAATGACTTGGGCTGGAATTACCCAACAAACTCTTCTGGACTATTGGCACCACCTGCAAAAACAGTTCCAGATTTGGCATGACGGATTGCCAGTCACTTTCAGGCCCTCGGCTAGGGTCAACCCTGCGCTCACGCCAGGACAACTCCTCAAGGGAGACAACAAAGCCATGTTTCCCGAGGTGTGGTACAGCATTCCGATGTGTGCTTCGACCATGCAGACCTACCATATGAGCCAAATCCTTCTATTCATGAATAAGCCACAAGAGTCAACTCAGGGGCGTAGCACAGTATGCACTCGCCTCAACTCCTATCAATCTGTTCTTTCTGCTTGCCAGAAGCATAGCTACGAGATTGTGGGGATTTCGCTTGCTCGTTCCGACGAAGCGGTCCGCATTCACTCTATCCAGCCCTTGTTCACCGCTGGGCAATGTCTCAGCAATTCTCGAGAACGCCAGGTGGTGGTCAACCTCCTTCACGACGTAGAATCAGATATCGGCTGGGCAACAGATTACCGAGTGCGACAGCTTATTGAACAATGGCAATGGGAGGAACAACAAGGCATTTTCGCGCCTTGAGCGACGTACATCGGCCCTTTTCACCCATTTACTGGGAGATCATTATCACGTCACTTTGAGTTTTCATGCGGTCCATCCGGTTTGCAACAGATACCCGCTTCTTTGGGGTTTCACCAGTTTGTTTTTTAGACGTACATCAGCATCGCTTGCCTGGAATTTGGAGTTGCATCGGTTTCCTTGAAATTCAGGACCGAACCGGTTAGACATCATTTCGACGGAGTTTGAAGAAATCTGAACGGGTTGGCAGCATTTAGTCATATGATATCCCACGTAGTCACAGCATGATAGAACAACATTTCAACACAACAGTTTTCTCTACATCCCGCGACTACAACAAGGTTACGTTCGTCTTTTTCTCTATCATCGATTGTGAACATTACTCTAGCCACACCAAGTCTCACACCACATACGTCAGAACGGTAAACTTTTCCGTATATGGGCAATTTATCAACACGTAGCGTGTCTCGCGCGTATCAGACTATTTACCCCACTTGAGCTTGCGTGTCATGCCGATCGGTATGCATATCCAGCCCTGCAGCCTGTAACCCAGATGAGTTTAGTTATAAAAGTCATTGGCGACTGAACTGCAGGCAGCCCAGCGCCAACGCCTCAAAGGCCAGCGAAAACAGGCGCACTCCCATGGTGCATACAGTGGTCCGTCAACTCAACTATCGAACAACGGATCTTTCTCCAGCCTCAGTTTCACGCTCGCCCTCCATATATTGGGTGAGGTCAGAGTCGTTTCACGATTGCATGCTCGGGCAAATGACCCGCAATGCGCAGGATGTTGTGGCGGTACATTAAGCTTACTGCTCCTGCCGTTCGCGGCAAGCCACGGCGTACACGCACGTGGCGCGTGTAAGTTAGAGGAGGTCTTGAGTCAGTCAGTCGTGCAAGTGTATGTATGGTATGGTGAGCATCAGATTAGGTACGTAATCTGGGCGGTAAGCTTTAGGCTTAGGATCCCGTAGAAGGCCAGGTTTCTCTGTTGAAGACGGCGCTCCACGTGTTTCTGGCGGTGAAGGCTTACAGGGTATCATACATATGCAGGGTGCGGGTTGGTGGGAGGCCTATGTACTCCCTATCGTGTCTCGGGGAATAAATGTGGAAATTGTCGTTTATCTTTTAGCGACAACATGCGCGCTGGGAATACATAGTGCCTCTGATCATCCCTAGTGAGCGACTCAGTACCATGCATGGGATATAATTATCCCTCCCTCGATTGAAGTCCTGTCATAACCAATCATTCAGGAAGGATGCACTCCTAGTGCATGGCTAAGTAGTCATCTCGAGACTTCGTATTGGATGCAGACACCGCCTTTCCCATGCAAGATGGTGCGACTTCAGTGGGGCAAAGTCTTGTTTCCTGCACATAGCTTATGTTTGCAAAATCATGCAGCCACCAATTAGCGTATGAAGAATCCTTCTGGAAGGACAGACCATTGCTCTAGCGGTGGAAACAACGAGCTGCATTTCATACATGGGGCCACACACTTCGCATACTCCCTTGGCCCTATCGCCTTACCCAGCCATCCGCTCGTCCACGGACAGACCCTGTCAGATCACCATCCGACCACAATGATATGCTTCATGGTTCGATGTGCAAACTCAATCCGCTCACATCCAACGGACACATCCCCGATAGGCGGTGGGGCATTGGCAATTCCCCCGCATGATCACCTTTCAAAAGTTCGATACTTTTATTATGGACGATCTGCACCTTGATGTCTCGATGCACAAGACAATAATCACCCCCGCTATAAAGCTTCCGGTCAATCAAGCACAGCTTAACTAATGCACGTTGAACGTGCGCGTCTCATGGCTGCATCAACGCCTTACGAAACCGACTGTCGTTGATTCGCACGGTGTGACAATTCTTGCCGACATGTCGCCGAATATGTTTGTCCTGGGCTTGCCTACCTATTGGTATCGTAACATCGTGTTACTAGTGATCCTACGAAATGGATTGCCTCTTGACAATGCAAGTGTGATTCAACAAGATTCTGCCCTTGTACATGCGTGTCTTGTCGTGGGGCATCCAATTCCAGACAAGATCGCGGATTCCGCGTCGCTTTCGAGACAAAAAAGCCATGTTCGCTTGCCCACGTCGAATCTGTCATGATACTCGATCCATTGACGCCCTACCCAGCCACTTGTTCCATCCATGTTCTAGAAAGGACTGTGCGTTACGATGCGTCGCATTCGCTCTACCTAGCAATAGTGTCGGGTAGGCCGCTGTTGAGTTTACCTAGTCGCGTTGGCTAGGCGGAGGCTGTCTCACTTGGCGTCTCCAATTCTCGTTACGAAGATATTCGGGAATGAGAAACCGCCGACCCCCCCCCGAGCATCTTCGTCTTTCGGCGTCCGCGAGATATTGTAGTCTATCGTCAAGGTGAGATGAGAAACAAACGAGCGGCAACGGGGCGGGACGGGATCTGCGTGGGGCTAGAAGTTTGGAAGAATTTAGACGGATGGATCATCCCGAACTAGTGGTCTGTGCTGGATCTTCAATACGACTTATACGACCACGTGATCAGATACATATATGAAGGGTTTGCTCGTGAACTTTGCAGTTTGATGCTGAAGTATATGATTTACTTGGTTGATACCGCTGGGTAGGAGACTATGCCATTAGTTATGAGAACGTTGAATCATGAGGAAGTTCGCAGATGTCTAATTGTGAGACTACCAACCCGCTTTGTACGCGTAACCTTGTTATATTGTTACAAAATTATTTGGTATACATGACGTATTGCTGCGGTTAAGTTAGTTGCAGAGCTCGTCTTCTCTTATCTTCTCCACACTCGCAGAGTCTATTCAATCGTTGATGATAGTGGCCTTCAGTAATCAATCCTTCACTGATCGACAGGATGTTATAGCACAACTTGTCTGCTTATGATAACTTTTCGTTCAGACAGCAATACAAACCTTGGGCTACACTATCTCGGACTGCACAATAGGAGTATGAAGCGGTCGAATATAATAACATAAGTACAGCATCTATCCTAGGTAGGATCGAGTAAAAGTCCATCCAGTGCACCCAGATCGTGACAAGACCTAAGGGATCAGGTACGGTAACAAGCACAGTCCCCAGTCTGGTTACCATCAGCCCTAGGTCTGCATGGGTTCTTTGCTCGAACTTCGTTCCGCAACGCGTCTTTCTAGCCCATGGCTCGCATCAGGGCCATGGGCGCACCCATCCAGTACTACATGTTCGAACGAGCGCAACGTTTGTTGCAATACTCGTAAGTACATGCAGTCTTCCTCTATGCTTCTATATCCGAGACACATGGCTCCAGATCATATTGTCCTATCGTTGTTGCTATCCGTCAAGAAGATTTTGCGTACGGTTGTACCCCCGGCGGGCAGGTTGAAGACGTGCGAGGTCGGGGTAGACGACAGTCGCCAGAAGTTTCACGTTTTGGTTGTCGCGTGTAAGGAGGAGATTCGTTTTGCTGCTGGAGATCATGATGATCATGCCACTGTATCTCCTACAGGAAGATCTAGCCCAAGAAGAGTCAGACGCGTGCTGGTTATGATTTATATTGAGTTCGTTATCGAGGGGCTATAAGATGAACAGATTCAGGATGTTGGTGGCATTGAATCGGGCTTACCTTGATACAGAGACTCACCGAGCATTTGCCCTTAGGCACTCGCTCACTTGAGAGTGGTGCAGTGGTGCTACTACCAGCCATCGTGGCCAAGGACTATGATGCTCCAAGAGACAGAGTGATGAAGAACTGATTTGCGGGCTGGTGTTATGCGAATCAGGACGCGTGTTTGTCTGTTCATGAGCGCGACGGCCTCGCCCCCCGAACAAGGCCGGCCTCCTCGACCATCAGACAGGATCCATGAATCCCAGCTCCGGCGCTGCAATGGTCTGAAGTATCTGATATGATTCCGTGTAGTGAGCTCGCTCGCCATGGAGCTGCTAGGGTTCGTGGTCGCGTAAGACTATTTGTTGGTGGTGTCACGTCTGACCGCGGCAGCCTAGTGGTCAGTGAGGGTAGGGTGAGACTAAAGGATGAGTGCAACGAAGCATCATCGCGGTGGCTGTTGCAGCGTAGCATTTGCATGCACAAAAGATGAAAGAATGTGTGTTTTTGGAAAGACGAGGTCTCATCTGCGGAGAGAAGCCGCTCTGTGGTCAGTGTATGGTGGTCGGGGATGTGTTTGGCGTTCAGCCGTGTCTTGAGCGCTCAACGACTTGCAAAGAAGATGATGAATGTGATGGGTTGGGACATGTTTTGCTGGAGAAGCCTAATGCTGAGGGTGATCAACAAGCGGCGTCGGTACCATTCCATCGTTATAGTGGAAGGAACAAGCACTCAACTTGCCGAGCGGACACCGAACGGCGATCTTCTTCCCCTGGTATGACGCCTCGTGTTCGGCACACAACATCTTCGGTTCATCGTTCCGTCCCGATTGCCCTACTTTAGGCTCGCGGGAAGGCGCTCGTGGACCTCGACCAACCATAGGGCATACCGAACAACGGGAGTGTGTTTCCGCCGCAATCAACGCTCGTAGGATACCTACTGCATCGGGGAATTGGCCTGCTCTTAACATGACTTTTCCAGGATTCACTTTGTTAACGTTCTTTACAGTCCATTCTGGCAGAGTAGACGTCGTAATCTATTGACTGAGCCCTAGTTCAGATTATGCATCAATACAGCAGTCTTGGCTTATCGTGTGGGATGTCATTCCAAGTGTCCGTTTGATTCGAAATACCAATATACCTAGCAGCTGAGTCCTCTGCTCCACATCGCGACAAGGCTCAGTCTACTCACTCAACATGTCTACCTCAACTGTAGCATCTGTTTGATACAATTCTGAATTCCACTAACTGAGCAATTAACGGTGATGTGTAGTTTTTGAACACCCAAACATGTACCATTTGGAACCTAGTTTCGCCCATATTCACCGAACCACTCTGGAATTCGAAAATACCCCATGCGAACTGGACACAAAGTCAGATGATTGGACCACGCGTCTTTTTTCACCAGCCACAATCCACTTGTGCGAGCAAGTACCATATCAAGCGTAGTAAATACCGTTATGGGATCAGCGGCTCATAGTACCATGGTTCGAAAGTGGACTTGTAGATAGGCTGACGTGGAGTCAGCCAGCCTTGTCAATGGGCTGTTGTACCATCATACGAGTTTCTGATTCGGCAGTTACTAAGTCCGTCCGTACGTGCTCGTGCTTCGGGAACTTCCTGGAAAGCATCGCTGTGCAGGATCTTGTGACTTGGCTGTGAAATACTGTGCCTCACCAGTTTCGATTCCTACACAATACCCTGCACGAGATTGCGTGCTCGAGCCTCCACGGTTTTCCTCGGTGGGCAGCGGCGAATCAATGTTACTGTGTTGTTTAGGTACAGCCCTGCATGAAATTGGTGACCGCTCTTATAGAGATCTCCTTCTGTGGTATCAGATCTGCCGGATCGCTTGAAGTAGTCAGATCTGCAGCGTCCGGGCAATTTGTCTGCTTAATTTCCTTCAGCCTCTTGTCCGTGGTTATTGCCCCCACACCCTTCGTATCCTGTTCAACACGCTTATCTGTGTTCGTTATACCCTCCACTGGTATTCGCGAAGCCGTGTTCATCGCGCTAGCAAGAGCCTCCTCTTGTTTGACATGGAATGGTGCTGTACTGCCGCGCGAATCGCGCTCCGCGGAGCCCTCGCTTGTGTCTTTTTCTTGAAAGGATGATGAGTCGTGGACACCTGCTGTATCCTGCATCCATATTTTCTCCCGTCGGTCTGCCCTATCATCTGCCGCATTGCTGTTGTCTACAGACACGGGCTGGCGTCGTTTATTCGACAGGTGCAAAATTCCGTTTTCATATGGTGATGTCACTCCAGCACTCTCGATGTCGGAAATCTTTTCCTGTGAATCATGTACCTGCAAGGCGTAGTGAGCGTTCTTGGATGCATTGTATGTCTTGCCGATCCGTCCTATCAAACTTGTTTTGCTGCAAGTTTGTTGGGCTTCCAAGCTTGGCGAAACCCTTCTTCTCACCAATCTCAGAGCTCGTTCATCAGGCTCAGGCTCTGCAACCTCTCTCATCCCCTCCTCCATAGTAGTAGTTGGGCTTTCAGCCTTCGTGCTGGCTTTGTCTTTCGTCTCGTCATTTGTCAAGCCCTTGTTCTTCTCATCATCTTCTTCCTTGAGCTCAATCCATTGACTCCCAACTTTCTTTGTGCGAGAGAATTTTGACAGCGTCTGCGAATGCCCGCTTGTGTCCAGGTATTCCGTTCCGCCAGGTGGGGCGTACCGGCCTGGTACGTAGGTATCCTCATGCCGATTAAATTCCAGGTAATTCCTGTAATCATCTCGGTCCTCGATCAAACCTGAGAATTGGAGGCGCTTACGTGTCGGGAGGAAATCGTTGCTGTGACAGCGCTTCAGGCCCTGGTTGTTTTCCAGCTCGCCTTTTTCTTCATCCTCCCTATTCTTCCGAATTATGCCAGCCTCGACTCGCATCAGGAAGTTCTCGAACGTGATTCTTGCCCTGCTCGCCGCTTCTCGTGCCATTTGGCGACCCCTATGATCCTGTCTTTTACTTCTCAGTATCTCAAATTCTCCACGTGCAATTTCCAAAGTCTCATAAAACGCGCTGAAATCTCGACACGTGTCGCACGCCTGAGCCTGTGAGTCGACCGGAACGAGCCCTGTCGGCGCGATTGTCGCGAGCAATCGGGCGCAGTCTCTACATTCGACATTTTTGGGGTCAGACCTGGACCTTGCGATGTTGTTGTTGGCCATATCGAGTGAAAGCGAATGGAGTGCGCACTTCGCTATTGATCGGCTGTGGCGACTCTTCCAAGTTTGTCCAGGACGTCAGTTTTGAGTTGTAGTATCCGCGGATGTTGTGTGTCAAGGAGTGGAGAAGGAAGTGCTTTATGTGGGGCAAACTAGACGTGAAAGTAGGCGCGATACAAGAAGAACCAAACTAACAAATCGATAAGAACTCTTTAGACGATCGCAATCACGACCACGACAACACCAACACACCGCATCGCGTTCCCGCGAAGCAGCGACACGGAAGCCTCGAACAAGAACGGATAGCAAGACTGGAGCACCCCCAACATGTCTTTAGCCACGCAGTGGTATTGAACTCATAAGTCGAGGTTGTTGTTGTAGTGACAACCAGGAAAAAGAAGAAGAATGACAAGCGCCATGATAAACGCAATGGTTCATAAACAGCACTCTCTTGATTCACTCGTCACAACCAAGATACAAGCATGCCATAAGCAGGAGAATACGCGAAAAGGGCCCTATTACATACGCGACGCCTTTCCAAGTCAGACCAAGAACCCAACGGTCTCGCTTCCGCACAGCCCCAAGGCCCCTTCGCAACACACTCCATTTGTCCAAACACGAATAAGGCAAGATTGAACAATATAATGCCCCGAGTCTGGGCATGTATGTGAGGTATGTTCGAGCCACCAACCTAGCTCTCTCACCTTACCCTACACAATCTCCATCAAAGTTCGATCAACGGCTCCCTGGGCTCTAGAATACGCGTTCTCGTATCGGTACATTGAATCACCAATTGTCAAAAGACAGTTTTGTTGAAGTGTATTTATATGCTCTACACAGCGCAGACCTTGACGAGTCAATAAGCCACGCTCAATAAGTTTATTGATCAACTATGCTTCTCTAACCCTATCACCGCGTACTCTGACTGATAGTAACTATGAGCAAAAGCTCGAGCTTTTAGCTTCTCAGCTGTGTTGAAATAGGTAACCGGGGGTTCTTGTACTGCATTTATCTGCTTCGGTGACATGCATCAATATCCTAAAGAATAACAAAATGACAATCGGCCATAAGCCTAATTACACACTCAATCAGCCATCTCAACCAACTCTCCCATCGCTCTTATAATTCTGTGCCCAACAAAGAACTAAACAATCTACACCCCATCTCCACTCACCCCCCTCGCCTGCTAATACCAATCTCGAACCCAACCCCCTCCGAAGAGTGGGACGAATCTAGCACTATAGAACGGCCCGTCGACGCTTCAGTAAGACCTCGCTTCGCTGGCATCTCAGCGACATGTTGAGTCGAAAACCGGAGAAATAGAGAATTCCCCCTTTCACCACCCCATCCCATACATCTCACCCCCAATCCCCGCTACGCTCATTCACCTAATACACAATACCCTCGAGTTCACATGCCTTACACCACTCTGTACGCGACACAAAAAGACCACAAACGACGCATTTACATACAGCGAACAGCTAAATACATTCAGCATCCAGAAGAGTCATCATGGCAAGGAATAGCAAGCAGCGCGAGATACCAAGCACCCTTGCATAAATCCCAAGACCTATCTTACACATCGATATAGCGTTTCTTTTTCTTTTTCTTTTTCTGTCTCATCATCGCCTTGTTTCGTCCTCCTATTCGGTGCCCAGTGTTGTGAATAAGAGGGTGTCTTCCTGAACCGTAGGATGTGAAATGGCGGGAGTACGAGATCTACCCAGAGCTAGGTTCGTGATGAAGTGGATCCAAGAAGGCGTTGTGTGGTGCTGAGGACGCCAAATGTTCGCTGTTGGAGTACATGGGATGGCGGATGGGATGAAGTGTATATACGTTTATATCCAGAACCTGTGCGTAGATAGACATACATACACTCAGAGCCACAGCACGACAGTGCGCGACTTCAAAAAGAGGAACACACCATCTCCCCCCCCCCCCCCCCCCCCCCCCCCCCCCCCCCCCCACATTCAACCCAAACCCAACCCTTACACAAAACAGCAAAACAAACAACCCATCACCGACCCACGCCCCGATCAAAAAACGCCCTATCGCAATCCATAACCGCCTCCACCAGCTCCTCAGGCCCGCGCATCAGCCCCGCCCTAAGAAAATAATACTCGCGGCGATACTTCTTGAAATACGCCTTACAAAGCTCTCTCCACGACCCTTTACCCAACCCCCGTAGACGCTCATCATCCTTCCCCACAGCCCTAGCCTTACCTTGCCTCCCGTCCTTCGTCACCCCAGAATCGACAAACACCCACCGCTCCACCCCGCCAAACGCCTCGCCTAAAACGCGCACTACGATCCGCACATCCACGTCCGGAACCCCCGCGAGATCGAGGGTGAGCGTGTGGATGTGCAGCTCGCGCGTGAGGTCGCGCAGTTGGGCGCGCCAGAAGAATTGCAGGCCTGGGGGGCTGGTGTGGACGGGGGGTTCGAAGAGGGCGAAGACGGGGTCGGGCGCGAGCCAGCGGATGCAATGCAGGAGGGCAAGGGGGCCGAAGCGGAAGGTTAGGCGGCGGATGTGCGGGCGGTGCGTGGGCGTGAGGTGCCAGAGGAAAGAGGTGAAACTAGCATACATTAGCTAAACAGCATGCGATGAAAGGAAAGGCGGGGATTTTAGGTACCCAGTAAGTCCAAACGCAAAATCCGTACTGCGATATACCCACGGCCTCATCCTATGCGTTATCTCCCGCGAAATGCAGAACATGGTCGCCAGACTGATACCGCCTGTCTCCCTCTTCCCCCCCGCCTTCTCCTCGTCACTGGTGCAGAAATCCATAACCCGCGTCCACCCCACCGCGGTCCGGAGGATCATTTCTTGCAGCTCAGGCGGCAGGGCGAGAAACCTGCGAAACAGCGGTCGTACCGTGACGCTATCTTTCAGCGCAGGCGACGGGCCTAGACAGCGCGAGCGCACTTGCACTGCCTGCGACGCATCTAGACGTGTGTCACCGGCCAGGTTCTTTACTTTTGCAGACCGCGCAGCGAGGCGTGCGAAGTATATTTTGCCGAAAAAGGTGCGGGCGGGGATCCAGCCAGCGCCGCTGCGAATAACGAGGGTGTAATGCCGCGGCCCAGCGTCTTTCTGGCCGTAGATACAGTGCGCTGCCTCGCTGCCACGTCGCCGTCGATGCTGTATTGCGTCTCCCTCGCCCTGGGGCGCAAAGAGTCGCACCACGATCCTGCGCCGCGCATCCTCGAAACTAAGCACACACGTCACTGAGCGTCCCAGCTCGAGTGTCTGACCCGCTCCTGGCAAGAGGCTGATTTTGCCGTGGAAGTGCGGGCTGGAATCGTGGTTTAGCGACCATTGCGTTAGGTGGTGCAGGAAGGTTCTGCGTTGCTGCTCCTGGGTCCAGAGTTTGTTCGAGGGGTTGCGGGGGGATTTTCTGGTTGGCGAGGGGGAGATGGGGAGCGTGGGTTTGGAGGGGGGGGTTGAGGGGGAGTTGAGGGGGGAGGGCGTGGGCGTTTTGGGGCGGTGGGACCGGGGACTGGACATGGCGGGGATTGTACGCCGGTTGGTTGGGCGGGGTGGTTGATGGTTCGTGGGTTGGTGTCGTGTTGTTGGTAGCGATTCCACGGTAGTAGATGTAGGTCGTGGAATGAATCTAGATGTGAGATTCCCTTCTTTTTCTCTTTCTCTTTCTCTTTCTCTCAACTTTCAATTTTTCAATTCGTCGCGTCAAGTCCCAATCCCTTCTCTTCCTCGGCACTAGTCCAACCCTCAACCCTCAATCTGATCCAACCCACCTACCCTCAACCAACCAACTATTCTATCTTGCCCAACACTAAATTATCTCTATCCCACCCTCAACACTTGAGCAACTCCTATCCAACACAGCACAGCACAACACAGTACAAGACACCAAAAGCATACAACAAATCAGACGAGGTAGCAAAGACGCAATGCGACGAGACGAGACGTGAAGGAATGAAGTCTCCCAACCGACGCGGACGCGGGCTAGAACATGACATAGGTCGGAAGGCGGGGCGCATGATGACGCAGTGGTTCCGTTCCCGTCTCCACATTGCGCTACTCATGTTGCATGCGCGCTAGGCGTATGTGGTGTAGTTGGGGTAGCGGGGGATGGATATGGAGATGTGATGAGCACGTGGAACGCAGGACGACGTGATGGAGTATAGAGAAAAATAATGTATGGGGGCAGGTATTCATCGAGTGTGATGTACCTACGGGGTGTAGACGTAACGCCATCCTGTGATTTGCCGAGCCGGGTATCCCATCACATTCCCATTCCCATTCCCATTCCCATTCCCATCCCATCCCATCCATCCCAACCAACCTATATAACACCTCACCTCACACAACACCCCCCCAGCATCATACTACGCCCTCCCCTCCAACCACCCCGCCGCCCTCTCCAACACGCCATTAAAGCACCTAACACCCGCCAACAACCCCCCTCCAAACGAGCCCACCCCCCTCCCCACATCCCCAATCAGCATACCCAGCGGAATCTCCGGGCCCTCGTCCACCCTCCCCTCATCCGCCGCTCTCCTCCGCCCACTCAGCACCGCAGCCTCAATATCGAAGATCGCCTTGCTAAGCGAGTCGCGCGCTTCAATCTTCGCCTTGTGCGCAGCGTACCGTGCCTGCACGTCGTCGTGCTCGAGCGCTACGTCCTGCCTGCTGTTCTGGAGGGCGAGGATATCGCGTCTTAGGTCGGCGTTGTCCCGCTTGAGGGTCTTGCTGCGCTTGAAGTTCGCGGTTAGGACGTCGTTTGCGTCTTGTAGGTCTAGTAGCTTCTCGTTTAGACTCTCTTTGAAGGAGAGGGAGAGGTTGATTTCGCTGCGGAGGTCTTTGCGACGGTCGCGGTCGGGCACGGACTGCATTTTCGATGCGATTCGAGTGAGGCGGTGGTCGATTGTTTCGTCGAGGAGGGTGCGTGTTGTGTCGGCTACGGTGATGCCGCGGACGGTTGAGCCTTTGATGCGCATTACGGAGATGGCTTGTTTGGGGCCTGAGAACTTCTGGCGCTTGCGGGGCGGCTGGGAGGTAGGAGGTTTGGTGCGTTGTGGTTTTGCGGGAGATGGGCGTTTTGTGGTAGGGCGGGGCGTGAGATCGAGTTCTTCCTCTACATCTTCTTCGTCCGATAGTTCTCGCGCTTCTTGGTGGCGATGTGCGGATTTTGTTCGCTCAGTCTCGGGAGACAGCTCGTCTGGTACTTCGTCGTTTTCATCTTCCGTGGGTACTTGCTTGTTTCGTCCCCTCCCAGGCTTCCGCACTACTGGCGTGGCTAGAGTCTCAGCTTCCTCTTGGACAACCTTTCGTGGCCTGCCACGTTTTGCCGCCTTAACTACAGCAGGCTCAACTGGAGTCTCCTCCTCCTCCTCCTCGTCCTGCACCACGCGCCCTATTGCTCCACGCTTGGCTGGTTGCCGAGTGATGGCTTGTTCATTTGTTCGTTCTTCCACTGGTGTCTCCTCGATAACCGCTTCTTCAACAGTCGATGTTTCTTGCGTTGGAGTTGCTTGGATTATGGAGGAAAGCTCATCCTCGCCCATATCTTCATCTTCCTGCTGTTCAACAGGCGATTGGCGTGCCCTGGCCGTACTTAGTGGCGTCGTCCCATTCACTTCAGGTGATGCCAGCTCGTCATCGCTCTCCTCTCCATCCGGGGCAACGCCTATGACAGTGAAGTCAACAGCAGAAGGCGAGGCTGCTGCAAGTTCTGACCGGCCATTGGGGAGCATGCCAGGTGTGACGGGTGCAACGTCTGTCGATTTCGACCTGCGTGTGCTCGATCGCCGGGAACTTCTTGCTATGCTGCCACTTCTCTCCGCACTGGGCGTGCCACTTGTGATTATCGATGCGCCCCCTATTGCTTTGCGTGCAGTGCTTGCGCCCTCGTCTGCAACAAACGACAACTCGTCCTGCTCCTCGTCGACTGTCTCGCGGATCGGTGAGACGGTTCTGGCAACCCTCCTGCTCTTCTCCACCGAGCCAGAATTCTCATCGCGCTCGGGACTGAGTTCATCTTCTTCATCGACTGTAGCGTGTGTCGAAGCCCGCTTCCGCTTTCCTGTCTGCGGGGTCACAGTGCGATGTCTTGGCGTGCCCTTCTGCTTTGCGCTGGTGCTGCGCTGGGCTGACGCGCTGCGATGTCGCTGGCCAGAGCCGTTTGCGCCGCGTGGTGTACTTTGGGCAGGCGCGCGGCGAGGAGAGCGTTGAGGCGGAAGAGATGCCTGCTTGGCGCCGAGGGCTCCAAAATTGAAGCCAAACGCTGCCTGGACGGATGACGGTCTGATATTGTTAGTATGGCGAGTGTGTGTAGGGTAAGGGGCTGCTTACCCAGCGCCGCGCACGCGCTGCTGTCGATGTTCGCGGCGGTCTAGCGAATGTTAGTAATGGCACTTGGATTATAAAGCAAGAAAGTGTACATACCGACGGGCGCCATAGCGATGAATGGTTAACAATTAGGCAGTCTGGTGTTGGAGTCGTCGCGTGGGAGAGTGTTGTGTGTGTGTTATGACGCCGACGCGTTAGGGAAAGCTAGGACCACCCGTTTACCCACTTCATTCACTCCACTCTTCAATTCAGTCCCCACCACACACCAAAACCACAAAACCACATCCAAAACCACTCCCCATAACACCACGCTCACCATGGGCTGGCTCTGGAGCAGCGACGCGCCCCCAAACGGGCAAGAGAACCTCGACCCCACCCTCCGCGACTTCCTCAAAACCGAAGCACCCACAGGACCAAAACCCACACTACCCTCACAGCCAAAACAAAAGCCTGTCGAAACACCCACACAACCACAATCACAAACACAAGCCCAAACACCAACCCCCACCGACCCCACGAAGCCATACGTCCCCCCACAGTCCCAGTTCCAAGATGGCCGCTACGCGCACCTCTGGAAAAACTACACGCCGCAAACCACCATCGACGACCGGGGAAAATCCGAGCAAGACCGCCTGCGCGACCTAGTCGACACCTACAATGCGCGGCAAGGCAGTGTAGGGAGAGCGGCGATGGAAAACTGTGCGCTAGAGTACATGGAGCAGTTTGAGTGTTTCCGCAACCCATCCAGCTGGTGGTCACGGGGGACAATGTGCCACGCAGAATCCATGCGGTTCAATCGCTGCTACGACGTGCAGTCCAAGTTCATGAAAGCCCTCGGGTACTTGACGATGGATGCGCGCACCCCTGACGAGGATGAGAGGATCCAGATGCACGCGGATAAACTGTACCAGCAGATGATGGCGCAGGAAGCTGAGATGGAAAAGGCTAGGGAGGAGGGCCGTCCCGTACCTAATTTCGACAGCGTGCTGTCTAAGCGCAAGGCAGCAGCATCTTCATCATCTACACAAGACGAAACCGAACTATGGAGCCAGATCAAGCCCGAATCCCGCAAGGAATACGAGCGCAAACTCGCCGAGCTACCCCCTGAAGACCAGGAGTTCGAGCGTCTGGCCATGCTGGGCGAGCTGCGTGCGCAGACGGGCATGGCGAAGAAAGTCGAGGCTACGTTTCTGTCTGAGCGTATGGAGCGCATGAAGCGCAAGGAGGCTGGGCAGGCGACGCTGGGGGATACGATTAAGAATTGGTGGGGGTGGGGATGAACATTCAATTAAGATGGACTTGTGTCATGCATATGTCATGTGTGTTTTCTTGTGGAAAGGTGCAGTTTTAAATGGTGATGTGATGATGGTTTGAGATGTGTGACTTTGTGCTAGTTCAGTTCTGTTCAGTTCAGTTCAGGCCGTTAATGGCGTTTATACGCTTGTGTTTTCCACGCTGGGATTTGTTCGTTCTGTACTCCTGAACGCCGAGAAAAGATATGAAGGTATGATGGGAGAATATGCAACTGGGTCATGTCGCTAGGATCCTGGGCGCTGGTTAGCCGTTCTGTGCGGTTTGTTGTAGGATAGAGAGTACACTGTGATGAAAATGGTAATGAGATTTGTTCGAACGTACCGGACTACGTGCGGATTGGTGTTGCGCCTTTGTCGAGCAGTAGCTGTACTATATCCTCTTCACGTCCCGCTGTCGCTGCCTCGAGCGCGGTGCGGTACTGGGATGTGCGATCGAGGACGAGGTTGACGTCGGCGCCTCTTTCAAGTAGCAGTTGCACTATCTGCTTGTGGCCCCTACGCGAAGCTACAAAGAGCGGACTGCCCTAATTTCCACCCTAGACGTTAATGTTGGCGCTGTTGTCAAGTAGCAGCTTTACTATCTGCTCGCTGCCTCTAATTAACGCTGCCTAGAGTGCACTGCTATAGTTTCTACCTTAGGCGTTAACATTAGCGCCTTTATCTAGCAGTAGCTTTACTATCTGCTTACTGCCTTTATATAACGCTACCTAGAGTGCATTGCTAAACTCTCTACCTTAAGCATTAATATTAGCGCTATTATCTAGTAGTAGCTTTACTGTAAGGGCACTGTAAACAGGTAATTAAGATATAGGACAAATAGGTATTTATTAAGAGATTAGACAAATCCTTAGGGTATAAGCCCTAGGAATTTATAAGTACTATATACTAGAGCTCTAAGGGCCTTACGCCCTTAGCCTAGAGGTCTACTAAAGGTAGGCTAATAGGAGCTTAGATAGAAATACCTATAACAAAGCCTTTCTCTTTCTTATAGTTTATCCTAAACTACTAGAATTTTTAGAGTAGATAAATAGGTATTTAATTTATATAGTTACCTTAATTAAACTTTACAAAAACCTTCTATAAAGAGAAAATAGTTTAGGAGAAATTTAGTACTAAATTATTTAAGTTTTCCTTAGGCTAGTCCTTAGATCTAGCCTAGGGGCCTACTATACTAGGCCTATATCCTTATTACTAAGTCTTTATAACTTTAGTAAGCGTAGCCTAGTTTATTATAGGTAACTACTAGGCCTCTATAGAGGGTCCTATTTACTGTTATCTCTAGATTATAATCTTTAGAGGCGTAGTTATACTTACTACATATTATTATTAGTAATTTTATATTTATAAGTTTTGCCTTATTAGGTACCTATTAACTATATAGATAGTTTATTAGGCTCTATTACTTCCCTAGCCCTATTCTAGGGGCTTTATAATATATAATTATATAAAGTAAGGGCTTAATATAGAGTTTACTTATAATAATTTATTATTTACTTACTCTATTATTATAGTTAGCGTTTACACTAACTTATATAATTATTTATAGGCTAGTGTTATCCTTATAAGGTATATTACTAGTAGCCTCCTTAGAGGTTTATTCTATATAGGCGGCGCTTCCTTTAATATTAGTGCCTATTATACTCTCTATAGGGTTTATAACTATAGTTTCTTTATAGGGGTCTATTAGCTCTTTATAAGTAGTCTACTAGGTATAGTCCTAGTATCTTAAGCAGCGTTTATTATTTATTTATATTATAATAACTTTTTATAGTTATTAGTATACGTAAAGTAAGGTAAAGCAGTGTAGTATTATAGTAGTCCTAGAGGGCCTATACGCATATACTAGATAGGTATAAAATACCTACGTATTACCTTATAACTCTAATATTACTATAATAACCTTCTTCTTATTAACTTACTATGCTTCTACCTTTCTATATTAGTAATATACTTCTACCTAAGTAGATCTACTAGCTCCCTACTAGTATAGCCCCTTAGCCTACCCTTACTTACTTCTAGTATATAGGCTATATTAACTTTCTTACTACTACCTCCTAAAAGCGCCTTTCTAATAGTACTATTATATTATTTTTTAAGCTATAGTAGGGTAATAAGCTGTACTATAAACGTAAGGCTAGTTAGGGTATCTATAGTAGTTATTCTAATACTAAGACTAAAGGTTATACTAAGGTAAGTTTCCTATTCTATTCTATCTATACCTTATTTATTACTAACTCTAATAGATTCTACCTAAGTTTTATTATACTATTAATATCCTTAACTACTACCTTAAGTACGCCTTACGTAAGACTTAGGAGTTTACTAGCTTTATATTTACTACTAACTCTAATATACTCTTTATAGATAACTAGGTATAGGCTAACTAGGTAAATACTTACACCTATACTAAGGCTTATTATAAGAGTTTCCTTAAGTATAATTATACTAAGTACTATACTATTACTAATAGTAGTCTCTTTACTATAGCTTTTAGTTAGGCTTATTAAGTTTCTGCTTAGTATAACTTAGAGTAATATAAGGTTAGTTTACTATTATTCTAGTATCTTTCTATTACTAATCTATTCTAGTTAGGTCTTAGTACTACTAGCCTATATTATCCTAATAATATTATTATTTACGCTCCTATAGAGGCTTACTTTCTATATAATAGCGCTTCTAAGAATATTAACTAGCGCTTCTACTACTACAGTACTAATATTCCTAATACTAAGAAGAAGGAGATCCTATTCTTACTATTACCTTAGAAGCGTCTTTATTTAGTAGCTCTCTATACTTCTAGTTAGAAGGTAGCTAGTAGTACTTCTAGGAAGGCTTCTACTACTAGCTCTTCTAGTTCTCTAATAGCTAAGCGTAACCCTAGTAGTATTAGTTCTAACCCTATAGCGTTCTAATAGGTAACTATAAAGGTTCCCTTAGTAGATATATATTTTAGTTTTTTTAGATAGTATAAGGAATAATAATTATAATTTTCTATCTTTACTAAGGCCTATATTATTCTGTACTAGTTTATAATTTTAGTTTTAGAGGTAATTACTATACTATAGCTCTAGCTTCCTTTCTCTCCTTCCTTTTAAATATTCTTCCTAGAATGTCCTTATTTCTACCTTAGTAGATTATTAACTTCTAGATCTAGTAGGGCCTCTACCTTCTACCTATGTCTCTTAGGCAGCCTGTAGGTACTCTAAGACGTATCTTATAGGTTTACTAGATAGTCTTAGAGAATCTTATTATAGTAATTAAGATTCTTAAGTAGTTCCTAGGTAGTATCCTTATTAGACTAACCTAGCTACTTTACCCTATACTTCTGCCCTTAGGCAGTAGTATTATAGTATTCTATAATTCCTTTAACCTTATACCTATCTCTAGGTAGAGTATCCTTTAGAAGTTATATAGGCCCTAGCTAGAAGCCCTTCTTAGTAAGGGGTTCCTGCTATAGTTTAAGTAATAATATATTAAATACTAGATATATACGCTCTATAGAGGGTAGCAGTACTAGTTTATAGGCTAATTTCCTAATACGCTTTATAATTATAAAGGGCCTAAGGTACCTAGCGTTAAATTTCTTTAAAGGCTACCTAGTAGTAATATTTTTTACTTAAAGAAGTACCTACTTACCTTTAGTATAGTATTTCTTAGAGTACTTAGTATTATACTATTTTATTATACCCTTCTAGGTATACTTAAGGCTCTACTTTACCCCTTTCTATATTTCTTACTATTAAGTAAGTTTCCTAGTAACTTACTAGTAGAGCTCTAGCGCCTTTATATCCTTATCCTAGACTTTAGGAGGTTACCTTAACTAGTGCTTATCTAGAATTCTATTAAAGCCTTTTAGGTTTAACCTAAATACTACTTTAATAGGGTATTCTCTATATATAGAGTACGCTTTAGAGTTATATATATATTTAGTATATAGTAATAATAGGACCTAGTTATCCTGCTTATAGTTTATATAGATATATAGGTATATTTTAAGCTTCTAGTTTAGCCTTTTAGTCTAACTATTAGTCTAGGGGTAGAATACTATACTTAGGTAATAGTTAATTTTAAGGTAGTAGTATATATTTAACTAGAATTAACTAGTAAACACTAAGCTATAATCTAATAGTAGGGTATCTAGGGGTCCTTATTTTAAGAATACTTATTTAAGGAGTAGTTTAGCTACTCTCTAAAATAAGATTATTTTAGTTATAGGGAGGTAGTAAATATACTTACTAAACCTATCTACTAATACTAGAATTAAATTATATATATTTCCTAGGTTGTCTTTTAACTTAGGTAAGTTAGTAACAAAGTCTAAGAAGTAATATTACTACGCTATATTAGGTATAGGGAGAGGTACTAGTATCCTCTATAGCTTATACTATTAAATCTTATTTAACTAGTAAGTAGTATACCTTTTAATATATTTATAGATATCTAGTTTAAGGTATAGCTAGTAATACTTCCTTATAAGGAGATCTCTAGTTTTCTTAACTCTATAGTAACCCTTTATAGGATTATTATAGTTCCTTATAAGTATATTTTAGCGTAAAGTAATATTATTAGGAATCTATACTTTCCTACTCCTATATAGGATACTACTAGGGTTAACTTCCTATAAGGTAGTACTCTTAATTACTCTACTATCTCTCTGTATTACTAGCGCTTTATTTACAGAATAGGCCTTATTCTATTCTTAAACCTATCTAATAAAATTAGAGAGCTATTCTAGAATTTCTAGTGTATAAGTGTTTTCCCCTTATATAGCTTTATTTATAAGGTATATAGGGGCTAGGACCTAATTATTAAGCTTATAGTCTAATACTATAGCTATATTAAAGTCCTACCCCTAAGCTTTAAATAATTTAGATTAACCCTAACTATTATAGCCTATAGAAGGGCTATTAAGAGCTAAGGGTAGTACACTGCTAGTAGCTAAACTACTATTAGGGAATTCCTGTTTAGGGACTATTTTAGAGGGTTAACAGAGCTATACTAGCCTACCCCTAAAGTAGTCTTCTACTAAAATTACCTAATTAATTAATTAAGCCTTAGACTTTTAAAGGGTCTATATTTAAAGCTTCTGTTAAAGTGTAGGTAATATTATATTACAAAGTACCTATTATTCTCTAACTATAAGGCCCTATATATAGTTAGGGTATCTTAAGGGACTATTAGCTAGGTTCTCTAGTCCTAGCTTATATTTAACTTTAAAGTTAAATTAAGCTAGCTCTTCTACCTAATGTACTTATTTAGGGAAGAGTTCCTTTATAGTTATAAAGTACTAAAGGTTATTATAATTAGAGAGGACTTAAATTATTAATAGAGTATATTTAAGGTAGTATCTCTACTACCTAAATAATTCTATAATTACAGAAAGCTCCTTATTATATATATACTATTAAATTAATAGGCTAGTAAACTTATAGCTCTAGAACACTACTAGCTTCTAATAAAGGTTAGTTACTAGCTTAGATATTTAGGGCTAAAGTAAGATTACTACTATAGTAAAGTCTAATATATTAGTTAAGACTATTACTAGCTTTACTAGATTAAAGTACTAGAGTATAGGGGCTTTAGTAAACTTTAATTAGATAGAAAGAAAGGCCTTATAAACCTTATTAGGCTAACTCTATAGTTAATACTATTTTGTTAGACCCTTTTAAGTCTTCTTTAGGTTTTTCTTCCCCTTTCTATCTACGCTAGCTCCTGTAGGGGCTAGTGCTAGAGACTAGGTAGCTATTATATAGTCTACTAGCAGGCGTATAATACTAGAGTAGTTATAGATAAATCTTCTATAGAAGTTTATAAAACTTAAGAATACTTAGATATTCTTATATCCCTTAGGCTTTAGCTACTCTCTAATAGTTTATACCCTTACTAGGTCTATAACTATACTACTAGGGGTAATAATAAAGCCTAGGAACTTTACAGATTTTATTAAAAAGATATATTTACTTACCTTATAATATAAGCCCTACTTAATAAGCCTATTAAGGATCTCCTTAACGTAGGTATTATAGTCTTTCTTATTCTTAGAGTAGATTAAGATATTATCTAGATATATTATATAGGTATAATCTACTAGGCTACCTAAGGCTTTATAAATATAGGATTAGAATATTACTAGTGCGTTTACTAATCTAAAGGGTATAACTAGATACTTAAAATAGCTATACCTTATTTTAAAGGCTGTCTTCTACTTATTACCCTCCCTAATCTATAGCCTATAATAGGCTTTATAGAGGTTAAGCTTAAAGAAGATAGCTACCTTTAATAATTAATCTAATATCTTACCTATAAGTAGGATAGGGTATTAATTCTTAATTATAACTTTATTTAGTTTATAATAGTCTACGTAAAGTCTTATTATTCTATTAGCTTTTAGTATAAAGAGGATTAAAGTACCTATAGGTAATTTACTAGAATAGATCTATCCCTTCTCCTAGGCTATATTAAGGTAGTCCTATAGAATTTCTAGCTTATAGCTAGAGAGGTTATAGATAGGGAGATTTAGGACCTTAGTCTCTAGCTTTAAGTTAATAGGGTAATTATACTCCCTATTAGGTTAAAGTATACCTACTTAATACTTACTAAATATAAGCTACTTATAGTGTAGCTTCTCTAGTATAAATTTTAATTTATTTAGATTAGGCGTATTATCTTTAACTACTAGATATAGAGTATCTATCTTAATATTATTAGTTAGGATATAGGCTACGCCTAAAGGTAGTCTAGCCTAATTAGGGTTCTTATTATATATACTAGTAACTATTTAATAAGCTACTATTTCTAGTAGCTAGGCTAAGTCTAGATAGTTCTATATATAGTAGTAAAGATAATTAATAATCTCTAAGGACTTATTCTTTAACTAGAGGATCCTCTTTTAGTAATAGTACTTTATATCTTAAACTATATCCCCTTCTAGTTATACCCTGCCTATAGGTATAGGTATTTTAGGGTTTTTCTATAGGAGTTCCTTACGTAGAGCTTCCTAGCTACTAGGCAGGAGCTTATACGCTAGATTACTAGGGTAGAGGATATATACTCTTTTCCCTAGACTTATATTATCTAGTAGTTATTCTGCAGAGAGTAACTAAATTCTATTAGTATTATCTGCCTACTATTTAAACTTACCTATTAAGAAGCAGATCTTTAGATCTACCTCTTACAGCTAAGAGTACCTTAGTATAAGGTTATAACCTATAAAGTTTACTACCTAGAATATCTAAGGGCCTACTTCTTTAGCAGTTCCCCTTATATTACTATATAAGAGTATAAGTTTATATAGTTTAAGAATATTTAAATAGTTACTATTAATAAAGCTTACTACTAGCTTCTAATAAAATAGACTATAGAGGAGATTCCTCTCCTTAACTATATATTAGTTAATAATATTAATCTCTACACCTAAGTTATATAGTGTATAGAGGAGTATTATAGACCTATTAAACCCTTATAAAATTATAGTAACTTTAATATAGGTTTATTTCCCTTTTAACTCTAGCCCTAGCTATAATTAGGAAAGATTTATAATTAGGGCTTTTCTTTTCTTAGGCCTTAGCTCTTTAAGTCTTAGGGTTAGTTAGTATTAGTTTTCTAATTTAGTTTCTACTAACTCTTCCCCTTATTATCTTAATTATTACTAGTATTTACTGCTTACCTACTGCCCTAGTTCTAGGCCTAGGGCAGGGTACTAGTAGATTAGTCCTAGTACTATCTTAAGGGTTTAAAGTTATATCTTTTCTTATAGCTACCTTAAGTTAGGAAGGTAGCTATTTATTTAGGCTTTATAGAGTCTAATAGTTTTAACTCTATCTTTATACCTATAGTAGTCTCTACGTTGCAGAGAGCCTACTTAAACTCTAACTATTTAGTAATAGTCTCTAATACTCTATTACACTAAATCTCTTATTAGTAAGCCTTAGGGGCCTTTACCTATACTAAGGAGATCTTTAACTTATTATCTATACTACTATCTATAAGCTTAAAGAAGCTTTAATAGAGTAAAGATTCCTTATAGTTTAGGTATAGTAAGAATACGTTAACTAAGTTATTAGTATACTACTTAAAGTTCTAAAACTTTAAGTAGTTTTTATACTATATAAGGACTAGGTCTTACACTAGCTTCTACTCCTCTATATAGATATTAGCCTAGGTATAGATTACCTTCTTATTAATCTTTTATTAGATTAATTCTTAGTATACTCTATATTAGATAGTACCTATTACTTAGTAAGTTCTAGTTATAGAGTCCTCTAGTACCTAGGCGTACTTAAATACTATATCTATATCCTTAACCTACTAATCTACTTATTAGAGAGTAGAAACGTAGGATTCTATACCTAATTTAGGCTTAAGGTTTACTATATTAAGTACCCTAATTAGCCTTCCTACTATATTAGATACTAACTAGAAAGGCTCTACTAAGGCAGCAAAGCGTCCTAGGCCTAAGTACTATAAGGTAACTTAGAGGTATCTTTTTAGGATTATAATATATTCTAGGCTAGTACCTTAAAGTTATTCTTCTAGGAGCCTATCTAAGATTAATTAAATATACTACTTACTACTTAGTAGGGCTACTTACGTATAGACCCTTAGGGGTAATTCCTAAGGAGGTTACAAAATACTAAACTAGTAGATTACCCTTAGAACCCTATTAATACTACTTCCTAGCTATATTCTAGGGGAAAGTATATAGCTTATTTCCTTAATTAAAGGTTATTCTAAGGGGCTCTTATATATTTCCTTAAGTAGCTAGTTCTCTGTTAGGAAGTAAGTTACTTCTTACTTAGAGGTTTCTCCTTCTTTATCTAGGCTCTCTACGTCTTTAATATAGGTAGCTAGGCCTTACTCTAGGGCTAGGTTACTTTTAGTCCTAGATAAGAATACTATTAGGCCCTTCTTAGGTATAACATTTTATTCTTTTTAAGAAGGTATTATTTTTCTATTAAAGAAAATAGCTCCTATTTATCTTAAATTAACTACTCTTTCTAAGGAGGAGTATAAAGGATTTAAATTATAAGGGCATTATAAATAGGTAATTAAGATATAGGATAAATAGGTATTTATTAAGAGATTAGATAAATCCTTAGGGTATAAGCCCTAGGGATTTATAAGTACTATATACTAGAGCTCTAAGGGTCTTACGCCCTTAGCCTAGAGGTCTACTAAAGGTAGGCCAACAGGAGCTTAGATAGAAATACCCATAACATTTACTATCTACTTACTACCTTTATATAACGCTGCCTAAAGTATATTACTAAACTCTCTACCTTAAGCGTTAATATTAGCGCTATTATCTAGTAGTAGCTTTACTATCTGCTTACTGCCTTTAATTAACACTGCCTAGAGTACACTGCTATAGTTTCTACTCTAGGCGTTAATATTAGTGCCTTTGTCTAGCAGTAGCTTTACTATCTGCTTACTGCCTTTATATAACGCTGCCTAGAGTATATTGCTATAGGATCTACCCTAAGTATTAGTATTGGCGCCTTTAACTAGCAGCAGCTTTACTATCTACTTGTGGCCCTTATATAACGCTGCTGTGAGTGCACTGCCACGGTAGCTACTCTGGATGTTGACATGAATATATTCTTCTGAGAGTAGTCGTTTTACCACATCTACTAAACCAGCCTGACTCATGTAGTATAGCGGCGGAGCGATCTCCCATGGAGTACGTGTGAAATCCGGTCCGCGCCGTGGGCTATCAGGATAGTGAAGGCAAGTCCACGTTCGATACGTTCGTTCCTTAACGTTCAACAGAACTATAATTAAATCAACCAATCCTGCTTCTTGCCTTTCGCTTGTCCTTGAATGAGTTACCCATTCACCTGCTGAATACTTTGCCAGCGCAAACTCGTGGATATTCTCTTCGGTCAGAGCATGTGGCGTGTTGAATTGTAGCAAGTACTGAATGCAGCATTTGGCTATATGTTGGTGACAGAGGACAGGATCCATGCTGTATATACTCGCTTTACTTTGGCGAATGCGCTCTGAAATCAGATATTCTTTCACAGAGTAGTGTGCCAAGAGGACCACAGACCCTACAGGAACGTCGTATCGACTATCGCTGTCCACACTATGCGAAGCTGCTAGAGTCACTAAGCTGGAGCATATGCTGAGCACTTCCAACGGGTCTTCGAGCACCTCGTCGCGATCGAAGCCTGGACGGCGGTCGGCATCGATAGCAGCAATCTCAGCTACTTCTGCTAGCATCATGGGCCTTGAAGAAAAGGCCAGCCATCGTAGAATGCGAATAGCATATGGAATGTCGCTTTTCTTGATTGCACCAAGAATCCGGTTGTATGTCTCGTCCAAGTCTGGTGGGAGATCTGCAAGAGCCTGCAGGAGTTGTCTCCGATTACGACATTCTCCAAGGATGTCGAGCTGGCAAGCAGCCCATCTGAACCTAATTCTATGAGTCTAGCTATTTGCGGAGATCAGAATAGGAGTGTTTACATTCCGTGAGCTCCTTCCATTACCGAACTCTCTATCCGTTGCCGGATTGTGGTATCCGCCTTCCACTTCTGCAAGCTTTCTTCATCGGAGAGTCGCTGACGCACATAGGACTTTATGTCATGGTCGACTGCTTCAGTCTGAATGCACAAGATGTTCTCGCCTTTCAAGATACGTCCTAGTGTGGTCTCGATGTCTCCTTCTCTGCGGCTTGTCAGCAGAAGATGTAGTCCTTGCGATTGCCACGCAGACATCTTCTTGATCACGCCCATGAGTTCCTTGCGACTACCGCACTCGTCCAAGGCATCAAGAATGATGTATGCGCATGGAAACCCTTCGACCAGCTCTTGCAAGACTTTAAGAAGTCCATCTAGTGAAGGCTGTCGCTGACCGTTCTCAGAAGACGAAAAGAGCGCATCAAGACCAGGGGAGGCTTTAATGCACTGCTGTGACAACTGGCAAACTAGTGATCGGACCATCAAGCCGGGGTCCTGCTTCTGTTGATCATTGAAGTCGAAGTAGAAGTAGGCAACTGCTTTGCCAGGATCCCCTGCGGTATACTTGAGAACATTCTCTATTACGGTTGAGCTGAGCACGGTCTTTCCGCATCCTGGAATACCATGCAACCAGACGGCCGAAGCCGTGACTCGCCACGTTCTGTACAAATCGCTTCCAAGCAGCCACAGACCAGTATCAGGCTGACGCAAAGCCAGGGCTTTTTGATAGTTGACAGACGGATCTGGTGCTGACAGCCAATGTCGTATCTTGACGAGCTTCGCGTCTGGAGTGACCGTTATTAGCTATACCTCCATTTCAACAGCTGTCTTAACTGTGAGAGGTTGTAACGTCGAGGATGATGCAGCAAAATAAAATGTCAGCGTTCCAGTGTAGTCCCGTAGCGCTTTCGCGATGCTCTCGATCTTTCCATCGTTCCAGACGCTGCCTATTGATTTGAAAACCTTCTTGGTGCGTCCGTCACTTTGTTTCAGCAGTGTCTTCGCTAGTATCGAATTTATCTCCCGGATCGACTCCTCACAGCCTTGGACCACCGGTACGAGCGCGGTTGCGCACCCCTTCGGGAAGAGTCCGCTGTTGATGGCTTCCTCTATCAGTTGGAGAGCGCGGACCAGCACAGGTAGCTCGGCCTTCAGATGGCCTAGCGACTTTTGAGCATCGCTCGTGTCTGAACGAAGCTCGTCGAGGCGGGTGACGACCTTTGATGTGAAGTCTACGAGCTGGACGATGCTGGAGATGATTGCGACTACGGCAAGCGCTTCAGCCATTGCCGCGAACTGGGATGCTGTTAGGCTAATCGCTAGACTGAGATCGGGGAGCTGCTAGTCTCCTAGTGGGCAAATCCTGCGTCGGGACAGATTCTTCTTTAGTAGATAGTGATGAATCGTGAAAACGGTGAGAAGCATCTGATTGTAGATCAATATGGTGTTGCCGCGGCGGCTGTTCACTTTGTTGGAGTCTCAGCTGCTGCCTGGTGCTGTTGGATTGCGGGGTGACTACACCCAATGACGTAGCAGAAACCCGACGCCTTCACACGCTATTCTCTAGGTCAGACTATCTCCATCAGCCTCGACCTCGATCTCAACTGGCCACAAAGAAGCCGCACAACGACCAAAACGTGCAACAGGAAGGATTCTAATAGAAGCAGTTTTGGTTCTAGTAAGACTCCACACTCTACATCCGAAAATGCGCCGGAAGTTTTGACATGGAGCTCAGTACTGATATGCCAACACACTCTGATAACGAATTAGTAGTCGGCCCGAGAACCGTGGACAGAACTTGACGGACGATGAGATACCTCCGATAATTCCTGGGCTTCCCGATTTCTATTTTTTAAATCCGGTAATCCCATGATGACCCACTGTGTCAGACAGAATCAAATATAAAGCTTCGCCGCTATAAAGGAGGAGTATCGGTGATCTAAACCATAGCAACTGTATTCTAGCCAAGAGTTCTTTAGTACACTTCTCTCGACGCAATGTCCAACCTAGTCACACTCACAGCACTTAGTCCACGCGAAGCCGTCGCAGATGCTCTCTACCGCTGCGCCCTCGGTATCGACAGCAACAATCGGGACATGTTCGAGTCAGGGTGTTTGAAGGATGAGAGCATGAGTCTTGTCGTTGGCCCAAGTACTATCGAGGGCTGGACTGCAATTAACGAATTATTTTCCAAGGTCTTCGTCCTGATCACCACGCATATTATCAGCAATATCCGCATTGAGCTCAAGGACGGCGCGGACACGGCATCCATGACTGCGAACGCGCTCGCGTATCATGTTCGACCGGACGATGCACTCAAGCCGGAGGACACGTCGTACACGTCGTCGTGCATGTACTTCATAGATCTTGTCAAGGATGGCAACGATGGCTTGTGGAAGATCAAGAAGTGGGAGATAAAGATTCAGTGGACTACGGGTGATATTGCGGTTCTTCATGGTAAGACTTCGCCATTTTGGATCATGAACGTTACACCTAACTCTGATTCTAGGTTGAACAGAAGTGCACCAAACAAGAACAAAACGGGTTTGCGAGCGGGAGATATTCCGGAGGTACTAAATTGTTGAAATGCGGTGTGAACAGCCTTCATACTGCTATGCTATGTGTAAATTGTGGATCCTGTACAAAAAGGTACCAAATCGAGGTTACGCTACAGAACTACCAGTCCGCCAGAAGGTTGTTTGTACGGGGCTGAGTGAACCGGAAGGCTTTTGTTACACGTTCTATGGTCATATGCGAAAGAGTATTCATTTCTGCAACATCATGACGCGTTTTTTAGTGCAAACAACAAGAGACCAACTGTCACAAATGTCACAGACATGCACCGAAGGCACAAAGAAAGAAAAAGGGCATGGTGCAAGGACTTCATACATTCTCCTCTCTTTGTGATTCTTACATACGAGATCCACCATCAAACCCAGCATCACATCACATCACACACCAGCATCACGCATACTCGCTCCTATCCGTCCACCCTGTCTGCAGCGCCTCCCCATCGATGCTGCTAAATCCAAACCCGCTCTCAAACCGCGCATACTCTACCAGCCTGACTGTATCCAGCTTCGCGCCAGCCCCCGTCTGTGCCCACACCGCCAGACTAAGCGTATTGTCACCGCGCATATTGAGAATACCAGGTGGGACGGGGAACACCGTCTGCGGCCCGATATGCGGCAGATACTTGCCAAACTGGTACCCGTTGACGAAGAGCAAGATGCGCGCGACGGTTCCTGCCGGCGCGATGAGTTCGACGCCAATCGGGACGTCGAGGTCCGCGTCGATGGCGAGCGGGAAGGAGGTTGTGAACCATGTAATTCCTGTACCTGATACGCCGGTGGTGATGGGGTCTCGGGGCTGCCAGTCAGTAGAGGGGAAGCCGGGCAGGTGCCAGCCGAGGCGCTCGCCGTACAGGCCGCCTTCGTTCATGGGGCCGCGGACGGGGTCGATGTTCGCTTCGCCGCCGGCATTGCCCGTTATTTTCCAGCTTAGGGAGGGTAATGTGGTAGAGTTTGTGCCGAGGAGTTGGGCGCCGAGGATGCCGCGGGGGTTTTCGGCACCGGTAGGGCCTGTAGAGGTTTGGTCGTGGCCGGTGTAATCTGTGATTACGGTAAGGACGTTGGAGGCAGCGAGGGTGATGTTGTTGAAAGACAGCACGGCGGTGGTGGAGGTTTGCGAGACATTGCCTGGGTGGTATCCTAGTGGCTGGCCGTTGAGCCATGCATTCCATCCTGCTGCTACGCCACCCTGCACCGTTAGGTTCAGTGCTGTGGCGCTTGTGCCAGCGAAGTAGCCGCGGTAGATTTTCGCTCCAGTGTAGAACGCGTAGTCGCTGCTGAACAGGACGGGGAGCGTTAGGGGCTTGACTTGGCTGAGCGTTGTGTTCTTATTAGCAACGGTCCATTTGCTGTCGTCATAGGCGGGGGAGATTTCGGGCGCCGAGTCGGCAGCGAGGAAGTCTGTCAGTGGAGGGAGGGTGACGGTGCGGTCTTGTACGCCTGGGATTTGTGCTGTGAGAGAGCCATAGCGGGTTGCAGATGTGGAGAGCTCCTTGCCGTTCCAGGATATCGTGTTCACTCCGGCTCCGGCGTAGACTTCGAGCGTCGTGGCGACGGCGTTGTCGCCGATTATAGATACTACATCTCCTGATACGCTGGCGGACCGAACGAGATAGGGACCGATGGCGAATATCTGTTGGTCGGGGGTCACGTTGGGGTCACTTGTCGTTGAAGGCGCGTAGAAGGTGTATGCCGTAGGAACGTCAAGAAGGTAGGCCAGTACGCCGTTGGAGAACTGTACTACTGTCGCCCCCTCGCTTTGCTCGTAGGTGAAGCTCGTATAGCCAGTACCATTGCTAAACGTCCGTGCGAAATTAGAATCCGCCCCATATGTGCTGAAGGTGACGTTGCTCTGCGACTTGAAAGCGAACTCTCCAGTCTGGCCTTCTTTGAGATAGAACACGACGACGGGGTGGTTGAAAGTCCCATACGTAAGGACTTCAGCCGACGAGTAGAGCAGTGTTTCGTTGCCAAGTGCGTAGTCGGTCACAACCCATCGACTTTGTCGGCCCTTGAGCTGCATGCTTGGGATTGTGATGTCACCAGCAGAGGTGTCGACAGTGATTGCAAAGTCGGTTACTGCTCTAGTCTTGGTGTTGTCGTTTTGTGCAAGATAGAACCTCGCATCCGTGTCGCGGTTTTTGAGGACCCACGTCCAGATGGCTGGACTGCTGACTGCATTTCCGGTCCCATTGCTTTCCATCTCAGTATTATGGAGGCCTTTGCTGACGCGAGTAAACAGAGACAGTAGCTTGTACTGCATGAACTTCTCGCGAATCTCACGAGTCTCGCGTAGGGGAGCGCTGTAATCGTAAGACGTGAAAACCTGATGTTGCCGTTAGAAATGTCATCAACTCGCAACCCAGACAGAACTCACCACAGGTGCAGCACTGTGTCCCCAGTTGGTACCGCCGAAAGCCATGTACAAGTTGAGGAGCGTGACTCGTTGAGCAATCATGCCCTTGTAGAAAACATCCGCAAACTCTGGGCTATGTTCCGCCTGGCATTGGTCGAAGAAGTAGCCACCCCACGGCTGGAACCAACCTCCTTCGAATTCGGGAATGTACATGGGTTGAGTCGGCGACGCCTCTTGGAACCACTGGTAGTATGTTTTTGGCAAATTGAAGCCAGTGTCGAGGTTGGTACAGCTCATACCACCGGGATAGCTGTCCAGGCCGTAGACGTCGATTGCGCCGCCGACATTCTGATAATCGGTCGACCAGCTCTTTCCTCTAAATCCCTTCTCGTTGTGCGTTAGGGGAACAATGATGCCTGCTTCCTTGAAAGCGGTCTTTAGTTGCTCCATATACACAACAAGTGTATTCGTCGGGCTACGAGTTCCCTCCGTCAACTCGTTCTCGACTTGCGTCAGGATCACTGGACCGCCGTTGGTGATCTGATTTCTCTTGATAATCGCACCGATTTCCGTGATCCACTCTGACCAGACCTGCTGATACGTTCCATCTGAAGTTCTGTATGATCCACCGCTTCCGTCGCTGGTCCAGAGGGCAAACCCTCCAGCATTCGTCTCGGCGTTGCAGTACGGTCCAGGCCTAGCAATTACATAGAGCCCAGCTTCTTGAGCCATGTCGAACAAACGTTGGATGTCTTTCCCCGGAGTCGTAAAGTCGTACACGCCCTTGGATGCAGAATGGTAGGACCAGAAGAAGTAGATGCTCACAGTATTCATACCGCTAGCCTTGAATTTCTGGAAGACGTCGAGCCACAGCTCGGGGACAGGCAGACGGGCGTAGTGAAATTCTCCACTCATGATCATGACGCGCTCGCCCTTGACCATCAGGGAGCCGTTGTCCCATGTGACTGTTGTTTGGAGGCCATTATCTGTAGCCAGCACCCCCAGCAGGAGGGTGGCCAGGCCAAAAAGCGACCGAAATAACCGCATTGTCGATTGCTTGTTTCGAGGGTTCCGAGAAAGCGTCTCGCCGATTTGACGCCATGATGGATTTCTTTTAACCTACACCATCCCTTGGTATTGCGTAATTCGTCAACGACATGTCGGAAAATTCAGTGCTGCTATTGCTGGCGTTCGAATTAACCGTCCTATAGTGCTCCGTGTTACTTGTCAGGGGTGTCATGCAAGGTACAAGGTGGCCTGCCGTTTTGCGGGGTATTTTTGGGAAAACATCATTCCGAACGCCGAAAACACTATCGTGGTGCCGTGACGCTCGTACCGCGGGCGCTTCAGTGGCAAATTTACACTGATGAACGCGTTCGTGAAGTCTGAAGGTGGAGTCGCCAATGCAGTGTCAAAAGACGCGGAGCGCTCATTCCTTGTTTTCGCGGCAGCGTGGTCTTGGTACGCTGGGCGTTCCGTATCCCATCACGTCTCGCTCGAGACTCGCGTCACTCTTTTCATCCTTCACTCGGTGCAGCGTGACATTGAGGCTCAACTAATTTCTCAATCGAGGTGTTATTAATCAAAATGCCGTCGAACCACAATTCCGAGTCGACGCCTCTCCTCTCTCGCATCCTTCCGCAGCACATCCATCCCGACGGCGAGAGCGGACGCAGCGGCTTCAGTCCCTCGCACTTCCTCAATGTTGCCTGGAGGTCTGGCAGCAATGCAGCAAAATGGGTCAATTTGTTATGGCCTTTCGTGCCTGTTGCAATCATAATGCATTTCGTCGCGCCAGGATTCCCGCTTACAATCTTCGCGTTCAGCTACATCGCCATGATACCTGTTGCTAATCTTGTCGGGTTTGCTGGACAAGAGTACGCGCGGAAGATGCCCAAAGTTTCTGGCATCTTGATTGAGACGGCCTTTGGATCGGTTGTGGAGATTGTTCTGTTCATCATCCTCATCGCTCAGCACAAGTCCGAGCACGGCTCCTCCGAACACGGTAACCTTATCCCGGTTATCCAGGCCGCGATTTTGGGCTCCATTCTTACGAATCTGCTCTTGTGCCTCGGACTATGTTTCTTTGTTGGCGGTCTTCGGCAAGCAAGCCAGAAATTTCACGCTTCTATCAGCGAGGTCGGCAGTGGATTGCTGCTTGTCGCTGGATTCGGACTACTCATTCCCAGCGCGTATTACTCTGCGCTCAAAGGATCAGCCGTTGCGAAAGCCACCAAACATCATGAGTTTACCGAGAAAATACTCCAGCACAATACTCTGAGAATCAGCCAAGTAACCTCGATCTTGCTGATAATTGCTTTTGTCATGTGAGCGACGACCTCCACGGTGATGGTTAGCTGAGCTAACACACACAGTTTCATTTTCTACAATGCACGATCGAATCACTCAATCTTCGACGAAGTTTTGGAAGCCGATGAGCATGCCGATCTTGACCGCCACGACGACCTTGCTAAGCCCAAATTCACCCTCACCGAGTGCATGGTTGCTCTTGTCGTCTCACTTACGATTGTCACCCTACTTGCCTTCTTCCTGGTTGTACGCATCGAGGATGTGGTTGAAGCCGGTGTGCCCGATCAGTTCCTCGGCCTGATCTTGCTCCCGTTGGTCGAAAAGGCTGCTGAGCACTTGACTGCCATCGACGAGGCATGGGACGGACAGATTGTGAGTTGAGTTCACTATACTGTGGTATCCGGCAAAAGTAGTGTACAGTGGAGACAGTGGCGCAGTAGCTGGCATGGTAGCCAACACAGACCAAGACAAGGGATTGAACCAACTACAGTCTACGCGGGTCTTTGGCCACGTACACTACTTTTGCCGGATACCATAGTAGGTTGTCGACACCGCTAAACGACAACAGAATTTTGCCCTCTTCCATTGCATCGGTCCCTCCATCCAGACCGCTCTTTTCAACGCGCCTCTCGTCGTTATCGTCGGATGGATCATGGGTAAAGATATGGATCTCAACTTTGAGATCTTCATGATCGTCTTGCTGGTCCTCTCCATCCTCGTTGTGGGCAACTTCCTGCGTGATGGCGAGTCCAACTACCTCGAAGGTGCCTTATTGGTGGTAAGTCTTGATGAACAAGTTTTGTTTAGACGCGTTTTAACACCTTACTAGATTGTGTATATCATCGTTGCTGTAGCATCTTGGTACTACCCAAACCCGGATGTTGCTACGTCAAACGGCGTTGAAAGTCTATCAGTTCCAGGGATGAAACTGTAAACACGTCAGACTTTATCTAGATTACCTCACAACAGCACCTCACGGCACGACGCCGCCATGGCGACAAGTCATCAAACACGCGTCGTGATATACACATCAAGTCAACGCGTGTATTGTCCCTCTAGCTATCAGTATGACTATAAGGCAATACAATTAGGAGCATCTCTTTTCATGATTTAGTATCCTGTTACATGTCACTAAATCAAGCCAAAAGCGGTAGCTCGAACAGATATTATGTACATTCTCGACGAGAAGTTAGCTTAGATATCTACAAAGCACAATGCAAATCTCGTTCACCAATTCCATCACGCCTAGCCCAATCAGTGGCCCTTCACACCCGCCTGTTTCAAAAGCTTGGGGAAGTTAGGCGTGCCGAAACCAGTAACTGGGTCCCATCCCTTAGTGACTGGGAAGCCGTCAACGTTGCAGCCATGGCTGGTGCCCTTGGTGATATCGGTCAAGCCCTTGTGGCCCTTCTTGTACAGCCAGGGGTTCATCCAGCCAAGCGTTGGCTTGCCAGCCGCGAGCAGCGCATCATTGACAAGGGCGAAGATACCAGCAGTGAGCGGTGTGGACGCAGAAGTTCCGCTAATAGCACCTTCAGTTCCGTTCCAGAAGTAGGCAAAGTACAAGCCCTGGGCTGCAAGATCCGGGTAAGCACGTCCAGTCTTGTTGTAGAAGCCCTCGTACTGGGTACCCAGAGCCTTGACGTAAGAAGGAACGACCTTGTCTTGGTAAGAAGGACGGGGGAAGTAGTTGCTGAAACCACTGCCACCAGCATACAGATCGTGGAAACCAGTGGAGGTGTTGCGGGCCGCGCGGTAGACAGCCTCCTCGGGCTCGAAGTTCATGGTGGCACCGACTGTGGTGACGTATGGGCAGGAGGCGGGGAAGTTGGGCAGGAAACGGTAGGTGTTGGTTCCATCGTTGGAGTAGCACTTGTTCGTTCCACCAAGACCGGAGTCGCCGGAGGAGAAGAAGAGAGTTGTGCCACGAGCGCCGACCTGAGCAAACTGCTTGCAAACGCGCTCAGCATATGAGCGGGGAATCGACTGTTCAGGCTCGCCGTATGATGTGCTGATAATCTTGGGAATGCTCTTCTGCTCGAGCAGCCAGTTGATCCATGTAAGGTATGGCTCGTTTGTGTCTGTGGGCGTGGAAAGATCTGGCACAAAGGGAGGCGAGCCACCAGTCGAGTAACTGGTGATTGGGGTCTTCCAGCTGATGCCAGAAATAGCTTGGACATCGAGGTTGGCCTCGCGACTGATGCCCTCGACCGTAGATTGGTTGTATGTCAAACCGGTGTCCTGAACGGGACCGTTATCGATAGAGTACTGCTTGAAGGCGTATGCCTGAGACACGGCCTCGGGGCGGTACTTCTGCAAGAAGAGCTTGGTGTCCGGACGAATGGGGATTTCGCCAAGGTAGTTGGTGAATCCAATGGAGTTCTTGTCGCTCGCTTGGGTCTTGTAGCCCTTAGTAGAGTACAAGGTCTGGAAGCACTCGGGCGTGACAGAAGTCACGTTGCAAACGCTGGCGATGGTCTGGTTCGTGGGAGCTTTGTAGCTCGCGGGAACCGTGACAGCCTTGTCCACATACGTAGCCGCATGCGCAGCACCACGGAAGAACGACGTCGTCGGCTGGATAGCGTCAATGTGGTCGTGGAGGTGGCGAGGAAGCGACCAGGCAGTCGTACGGGCCACGACGGAGCCATCCTCATGCTTGTAGTTGTGGTATTCCGTATCCAACAGTCGCTCGACCATTTCGATAGGAAGATGAACGACGATCCAGTCCTTGGCGGAGCTGTAGCCCAAGTCCTTAATCCCGTTTTCGGCAAGCCATTCATGAACAAGCTTGTACGTCTCAGAAGTAGGGGCGACAAGCGCATCTACCTCGTCGCCGCTGAGGTGCTGGCCATATCGCGGGTGGTCAGGGTCAGACACTTCGTGCAAATGGCGGTCGAGCTCGTCAAATCGTCCCTGCTTGAGACCAATTTGCAGCTGAATCGTCTTTGTTCCATGGGAGCGCTCCAATTTGGTCCATTCCTGGGGAACGAAATGCGTCTCCTTCACCACATAGGGCGAACGTCCTTGGATTGGAGTTGCCAGGGCGTGGGCGGCAAGCGCCGCCAACAGTGCTGCCGTGATCTTCATCGTGAATAGCGGAGCGTAGAGGTCCTCGGAAAATTGACAATAGAGGAGACGCAGAAAGAAAGTGTATCATGGCGACTGCAAGGTCTATTTATCTCCTCTATTATGGAACGCAGGCATGCTGCCTCCATAACGGCACGTTATGTGTAACCCTAAAAGGCAGGTCATTGTATGCCCCAGCCCTGAACAGACATGAGATGAATCAGCTCACCTTGCGATTCGTCGTTCTCGGGATGGATTCTTGCTCAAAGAGGATCCGAGAGGTTGGATAACGGCCAAGATTGGAGACTAGGCTCAATTAGGAAGGTGTCGGCGCTTGATTATGATAAACAAGCATGTCAAGAACACTAAAATTGCTCAAGCTTTGCATGCAGAGCTTGTATGTTCTTGGAAGGTGATCGTCTTGCATGACATTGGGAGGATTTACAGCATGTCGCCACTGATATAGCCAATGACATGGAAGTTTCGGTTCCTCGGTTGAAGGTGGACTGCAAATGAACAACGCTTTTGAGAAACGTCAACTGCTTCTGAAGTGGTAGTACTTTACCTATACTAAACGATTGGCAAGCCAGTTACTATGTTACTGCATAAACGAACAATGATTCTCTTCTCTCCGACGTCTAACACCGTTGTCAACGCTGGCGCAAACTCCGAGGTTTATGGCCGATGACGTCTTTCGATATCGCGACATGGCGTGTTCCTCACCCGTCATCGTGAAGCTTTAACTCCATCTCGCAAACTCACCGTACAATATTGTGCATTAGGTTTACGGTGAGCTAGGAATCAACTGCGGCACAGTGCGACTCTGGCTTTCGCTGTCGGCAGACCTTTTGCGCAAAACTCCAAGGTACTACAGCGAGTTCGCTACCAAATCCTTCCCTTCCAGAAACAGGCGTTGAAGCACTTCCATGATCGGAAACTGAGATGTTCCATGCACAGTTCAATTTACGACATGTACTGCTAAGCCAACTCGACACCTCGAGTGTGCTGCGACTTCGTCGTTAGAAGGAGTCCTGCAAAGATTGATCATCGTTGTGTGCTTTGACTTCGGGAAAAATTGCACAATCGCGTGAACATGTACACAACGAAGGAATGTAGCAAAATGATCACTTGTCTTCGTGAACGATAAATTCAAATGAAGAACTTCAAATTCAACAGTCTTCAAAGGAGTGCATTCAATGTTCCAAGAATAGGTCTTCTCGACATCGTTTGACCAATACTGCACCCTTCGCTGTTCGTTCACACCACACGTCACGTCTGGCAGGCACTTCGCAAACGTGTTGACAATCTGCACTGTGTGACCTAGCCTATATGCTACCTCCTAGCTACATTCGATTTCAGCTCTAACTGTCCAACCCTCCTTCTCTCGCCCTCATTCTTACTAGCCCAAATCTCCATTAAAAAAGCACTACCATGGGAAACTCAGCAGAAACCCCCAAGAAAGAGCCTCGATCTGCAGGCGCTCCGCTCCGGAGACGTAGCTTTTGCGAATCACCTAACATCTTCCCCGTGGATCATGGGCATTTGACGTTTTGGGAGTTTATGGAAGAGAGCAGACAGGAAGTCAAGAAGAAAGAGATGACACCAAAAGAGGCGCATGAGGTGAACCACAAGAAGGTTGACGACAAGTGTGGGGAAGACGACAAGTGTGGTGCTACAGACTTGAAGGGTTCGTAGGACTGCACTGATGGTGATTTCATATAAAGAGAACTCATCTTGCGAGCTGCAGCAATGTATTTGATACGAGTAGACGTAGTTGAGGCTTGTAAAGATGAAATGATACAGGGGGTGTTAAGGCAACACTGAGAAAGAGATGTTCTGCATCTTCCAACAAGTCTTGGAAGTCCATCGGTTGAGTTTCTCCCTTTCAATTATACACCATCTCTAATTCAGCTATTTATCTCATTGTCCAGCTCCTTGCGTAGCTCTCCTCTTCATCTCCTCCATCAACTTGGGAAGAAAGTCCCTCGCCATGCCAACATCCACAAACTCACTCCACCCACACACTCTCTCCCCTCCCTCCTCAAAAGTCATCTTCCAGACATACTCGTTCTCGTACACGCCGATTGGCGTATCACCTCGAGCGCTTGCGAATATTACGATCTTTTTTTCTTCTTTGCCAGCCCCTTCCGATACTGCTGATGTCGAACCGCTCTCGATTACATCGTGAACGGTAACTTTGAAGTTCGTGAAGATGGACTTCATGGACGTAAGATTCGCGCGAAATGCGTCGTTTGACTGTGATGGGTATTTGAGAGAGGATGGGAGGAAGATGCGTTTGCAATCCGGTGTTCGAAGGCTGACAATGGTGTCGATGTCCATACGGTTGTATGCTTGGACAATAGTGTCGGCGGTTTGGCGCTCTTTAGATGGCATATTGGATGTGAGAATTTAGAATGTATGTCGATCTTTTTCTCTCAAAGCTGATTTAGATAGACAAGGCAAAGTCTTCTTCACGACTGGAACCCGGGTGTAGGAAGCATTGCGGCGGGGCATAGTAGTGACGTGAATGGCGCCCACCTTACCCTTTCTTGAGCTGACAGCAGGGGTAGACGACGCCAAAGTCAACCAATCTCCCGCCAATCACTTTCTCGAGGGTACACGGCGAACTCAGTTAGAAAGATGATGTTCTTGATAAGACGTCAACTGAACTATTCTAGTTCTTAGCGCCAATAAGTAGGCGCAGAAGCCTTAGCAATCATCCATGCCTCATCCAGCGTCTTCACCACTTCCTCGGGCAGTGGTCCCTTCTCCAAATTCGCCAGGTTTCCCTCCAGTTGCTCAAATCGACTTACGCCAATGATTACACCGTCGTTTCCACCCTTGACTCTCGTCTTCAGTTCCGAGTGATGTATGCACCATCTCAGCGCAATCTCCAGCAACGTCAAATCATGTTTCTGGGCTGTAGCCTCGATCAACTGCAGCGCCTTGAATGTAGAGTCTTTGAAGTAGCGGTCTCGATACATCGAACCAACACGCTCAGCTTTGTTGGAGAAACGACCCTCGTCAGGTGCAATGTCGGCAGATTTGATTTTCCCCGAGAAGAGACCGCCGGCGAGGGGATTGTAGACAACAATGTCAATCTTGTATTTGCGGCAGCAGGGAACAAGCTCGGTTTCAATGGCACGAGCTGCAAATTGTCAGCGCACTTTCTGTATAGACTCCAGCGTTTCACTCACTGATAGCGTTGTACATGGCCTGGTAGATTGTCGGTCTCACCCACTTTCTCTCCTTGCAGATGTTGTAGATCTCGGCAACTTCCCATGCGGCATAGTTGCTCAGACCCAACTGAACGAAAGCGCCCTGCTTATGCAGATCATTGACCGCCTCGAGCGTCTCCTCAAATGGCACAGACCGATCCGGCGCATGTAGGTAGAAAATATCCACAGTCTGCGCACCTAGCTCTTTCAGGCTCGTGTTGAAGTGTTCTTTTAGCTGATCAGGCTTGTGAACGCCAGCTTTGTATGGGAAGACCTTTGTTGCGAGGGTGAGACCACGATCTTGCCATTTTGCATCGCGTGTCCAGGCTTCTTGCTTGCCGCCCACATACATGCGGGCGGTGTCAATTTCATCATAGCCCTGTGACTGAAAGTAGTCGAGATGCTTTGTGAATTCATCAAAGTCTGTTACGCGAGCGCCACTGGATTCATCGGGACCTAGGATGGGATAAGTGGAAGACCCGGCGTCGCAAAGAGGAGACTCTTACCAAAGGTCATGAGTCCCAAGATGACTCGGTCTTTGGGGTTCTGTGCAATGAGCGGCATCTTGAAAGCTGTTCTTGAAATGGATCTGAGGATTATGATGGATGTGAGAATTGAGACGCTGTTTATCACTGTCACGACGAAGTGTCTTGATGACGAACGTGGGGTCGTTACTTGCCCCGCTCTTCGGTGTTAAGGGCTCTATCACCGACTGAGTTATCTCCAGTCCGGGTTGCTGATGTGAATATTAATCTTTTGTCGTAACCCATTAACTCCCTCAACAGGTAGAGCTAACTAGAGGTTTCCAGCCAAAATTCTGGACCTTAACCATTGCCGTATCTAAAACCCGGGTGAATCTGAATAAAAATATCAGAATGTCCGATGGAACTCATGCATCATTTGGTGTTGTAATAGCTAGCGAAGACTATGTCACGTGCGTCTTCCTTGGCTAATAACCGACGGATATTAGAATATCGAAAAGGCCCTGTGATTAGAGGCGAATGGAGCGAGGTCTGTCGATACTGTTTGTCATTCTGTGATGACGAGATTCCAAATTATATGCCGTGGTGGATTTAGTTCAAGACATGAGTTGTTTAAGGTTTCTCTGAGTCATGTCGAAACATCCTCGATGTATGTCTGACATGGAACTCACTGTCAAGAGACAATGGGGCGTGAGCTGATGTCTGCGATGAACTTCGCATCTACCCAACTTACATATTCACTTGCAGTCCCATTTGCCGACAATGTCAGAAACCGAAGCAAATGGTATTGTTAGAGAAGATCGTTTCAGCGCTCGATCCTGCACCTGAGAGGATTGCAGTCTATGACTCTTCACGATAGCTCCGCCTCCTCTTGATGCACATTTCAGGTTTCGCATGACAGAACCATCGGCTGGGCAGAGGCGTGGTTGTTTGACTAAGGTTGCGGCGGCGCCGGTGATACTACTCATGTCGTGATAAAAAACCAGGTTGTATCTTCGGGATTCATTGAATGCGCCACAACGCTGTGCAAGAAGTGCTGCTTTCGAGTCTTCATTGGCTAATCGCTCCCGTTCCACAAATGTGCCATTGTTCGTATCCGGTTAGGCTGTTGATGAACCCAGAATGCCCCCTGTTAAGCGTACATTCAGAACCAGGAACGTTGCGATCTCCCGCGGCCGTACGAAGACGTGATGATGCTTTGAGTGAGGAGGCTGGGAGCTTACGGCTGACGCGATTGTTCGAGGTTCACCTTTGTCGGGGCCAATTCGGAACAATGACGTCGAATGGGGCGATAACGATAAGACATCTAGCAGTGTCAGCTGCCAACATATTCACACTGCAGCTAGCATGCCCTATCACACACCAGTCTTCCGCTACTACACATGCAGCGTTGAGTTTGCTGTGTTCAGGATCGTCCCGCTCCGGGCCGCCCTCGCTCTGTACAGCACAGGTGCCACGTAGCAGCGACGCAGGTACGCACAGAAGCCGCACATAAGGGCAGAAATCGCCTCAAAAGGACGTCTGCGTCCATATAAGACGAGCATGTCGCCCCACCCGCTGTTTCCAGCGTTCTACATGTCCATTTCACGACAGAGTGCTGCGGTGCAAGATAAATTTGCCTGATCAGCTGGAGATAGAGGTGTCATGTGGCCCGGTAAGCCACCCTCCGAGTTTGCGCGCGAACGTACGAATCAGTCTCGTTCTCGTACACCATCAGGAAGTTTGATGTCTGATTGGAGCGCAAGAACTCGGTGCAAGGTACTTCTATGGTTGGCTTTCTTGATTTAGCTCTAGACCATGCAGTCACGTCGCTCTATTGGAATACGGCTCTGGCGTGTGCTCCCTTGCGAAGCCTTCCGACTCTTTGTTCGTGTATGAGATCATAATACTCAGGTCCCTCTCTCTTCTTTAAGCCTCATTGTTCAAGCATCTTTACCTGAAACACTTCGTCTGTTGCGCATCGTTACAATTCAAATCTTTCGTCACCTGCAACCTTCTCAACATCGCGCGAGTTCCCCCGCAGTCATATGCACACAATCATCCTTTATTCAAACCCCATATATTGGATGCAAGTTCTGAGCGCGCAGTGATTTCAGGCCCTTTTCTGGATCGCCATGTGCTGGTCTGCTTTGAATTCTTGCTTTTCCAGCAACAAAAAGCCCAAGGATCCCTCGTCGGAAGAGAAGAGGAAGAAGCGGGGCTCTCCAGCAGACGACGTGCTCCATGGGAGAGGGAAACCAGTTGTCGCGGAGGTGTCTGAAAAGCGCAGGTCCAAAGAAACACATAGAAAAAGAAGTTCTGCAGAAACAGAGACTCCTCGTTCACCACGACGTGAGAGGGAAGGACGTCGCTCACGGTCGCAGTACGATGACGTGCACCGCCATCGCGAACCATACACGCCAACTCTGGATGAGCGACCATCTGGCAGCATGGGATCATCACAAGAAACGCTTCTGAATCCACGGCCCCATAGAAGTCAACACAATCGTCAACGGCATCCGAAGCAAACATCGCAATCCACACTGCGTGGCCGTGGAGCCAAGCGCGATCCTCCCCGGCATTCGAAATCGAAGAAGAACTTGAAATCCGAGCCTTCAGGATGGTCTTTATTCTCGCCGTCTCCTCCCAAGACTCCTTCCCGGCGCAACTACCAGACCTTGGATTCCTCCCCTCGCAGTCATCGCTCGTCGCGCCAGCACCGCTCACCACAAAGTCAAGAATCTCCAGTGTCTTCTAGATCCCAACATCGAGGTCATCGCTCACGTCAGCACGACCGAGAATCTTCCTCTTCACGCCGGACACGTTCTCGCACGCCCAACGCAGCCGCTCCTCGTGTACCCGACCGACGCTTCGCCGTGCTTGCTGCGACAAACCAAGCCCTGGAGAATGTTCGACGAGAGGCATTTTCACAGGCGTCGCCACCGCCGCCGCCGCGACGGGAGAGACTGAGACGGTATGAGGGCGTCACACTTCCAACCAGCCAGATTCCCTTCAATTGGGATTGCATGAGCAGCTCCCAGGCGAGCGCTGGGAATGGCGAGGCAACGCCGCGGCCGAGACGATCCAGACGATGATATTGAGAATACTTTTGCTTGTTTGGAGTTCCCATGTTTGAGGCGTTCGGTCATCTTAGGCGGAAGTGCGTCCGGGTTTATGTGTGGTTCACCGACTATACGAAGCTTTCTACCATACGATGTCCCAACGGTACTTTCTTTGTTTTCCTTACTTTTAGGTTCTTGATTGGGCTTAGTTCTGATAGGTGTTTATTTCAGGCTTCGGCTTTCTGGTATCTTGGTCTACGTTCTTGTTTGGCGATTTCTTCCTAGGCATTATATCCCCCACCCGCATGCACATAATGAAATTTCAAGCTACCCAACTCTCATCTGTCGTGCTTCTGACGATGTGACCCACGCTGCCAAGTTCTAATCTTGTTTTTCTTCGAACAGAGAACGATGCATTCCTTTCGTAGACCTTTGTCACTGTGTTTGTGTGAGACACACACGTCAGCATAACGCAAGTGAATAACTGTTTCTAACACCACTGCCAAACTTCTGTTCGCCTAAACTTGGCAACGCATTCGAATGTGTCAACCAAAAACCGACAAGTTCCACCATGACCAGTTTATTCACACTTCCTAGCCCACTTTTTACTCGAAGTTGCCGATCTCACGTTCTACACTTCCAGCCCGATTTAGCTTCTGATAACCTGTACCTGCATGCTGAGGCTTCCCATTTCTCGGCAGCCTACGCAGACTAATTACGTCTCATTTTCTGAAAGTTTCGGGTCCGTCAAAGACTTGCTCGGCCGCGCCAAAGTTAGCCCCCAACTTGCTAGCGGGTGGGCGGGAAGTCGCGTCGCGTCGTCTTACGCCCTACGTCATTTGTGAATTGTGCCGGACTGCTTGCCGAAGATGAATCGACTCGCAGTATTACAAATCGACTTTGACCACTTGACATACAATTCATCTTACACAGTGACTAAGTTCGTATTTGTGTTTATGCTGATGAAGATTTAAGACATTTTAGTCTTGGTTGAATGCGCAAATACGACCGAACCATGTTGGTTTAGTTGTAGTACCTCTACTAGTTTATGCCGGAAACATCACGGTCATTAGTGTCAATTTCATGAACAAGATGGTAGAGGGCCGGGCGAGGCGCGTTGGTCGCAGGCCGAATCATCGCCTTGATATTGAACATCATTCGTTTCTTGGCTCTAAAATCAGCAGAGTGCGCCGTATTGATCATAGTGCATCAGAGTTGTCCCTCATATGCAATCGAGTTTCAAGTCGTATTTTCGATAGAGAACTTGTTCGGTGAGTTATCCCAAGTCGGAAGAGATACCGTGCAAATCAGCGGGGAAACGAATAGCACAAATGGCTCTTATATTGAGAACCTACTACTGCAAAACTATGAGTACGCTCTGAATCAACCCAGGCGAAGACCAAGCTGTGACATATCTAATAGCCATATCTTCAGGCGGTGTTTGAGATATTAATGTGTTATTCAGGAGGTCGAAAGTGCTCGCTTGATGTACAGAATGGTGCAACAGTGTACATGGTAATTGCCACGACTTCTAACCTAGATACTTTCCGACTCAGAATCCTGCATGGGAAATGCCAATGTACGGTTGTATGGGTCGAAGTCTGGGGAGGTGAAAGCTCGCTAATAGGCATGGATAATCCATGCTTTCGACCACGTGACAAGGCGCTAGCATCCATGCATGTTTGTTTATCGCGTTTCCAGGGTGGTTCGCGTCTTAGTTTGGACTACTCCGCGATATCACGACCCTCCTGCGACCCTGTTTTCTTGATAGATCATACTATACGGACCTCATGAAACGCTACTCACGATTTATCTCCGAAAGCCGGTAATCTATGGCGACAAAGGACCAAACAGCGCGCACACGCATCGACAAAATCAGGGCGGAGCTGCGATCAACGTCAACATGCTCGAACACGACCGTTACAGCGCTTCAGGAGCTACTCGTACGAAATCACGATGAACCAGCACAGAAGGAAAACGTCAGAGTGAAGGCACAGGGAGCGGCGCGGAGGAAAGCAGGGACAGCTACTGCCACATCCCTGGATGTTGTCAAGCAGACTACAATTGCACTCGCGCCGAGAGAAAAATACATACTAGCAACCGAAGTCGCCAACACAACACTCAAGAATCTCGCGAACGCACTGAGAAGCCAACCGCCGGCAACGGCTGCTCGAAATGCCTCCCAGTCGAAGCCCGCCCACAATGACGACGCGCGCAAGCCGACAAGAACCCAAACAGGCCGCGCGAAGAGCCCCTCAGGCGCGCACCAGGCGCTGAAAGAACGATCTGTCACCCAAACAGTCAACTCCCCACAGAAACGGGCGGCGCTGCGGCGGTCCTCGTCGTACTCGTCATTTCTAACGCCGGGCCCAGATACTGGTTTGGTCGCAACAGCGGAGTGCGCTAGGATCGCATTTGGATACTTGGGAACATTGGAGGCGACAAAGGTTCTTGGAAAGGATTCTCAGGAGTTGCAGTTGGAAAATGGCAACCTCGCTCTTGTCGGCAAGCTTGTTGCGCACGGTCTGGACAGCCTTGCTATCAAAGAGATGAAGATTCTGAAGAAGAGGCTGGATAGGTTCCTAGGCCACGAAACAAAGAAATCGGAAACCGAGTCTGAGGCTGTGGCAGGAGAAAAGGAGAGTTTAGCATCTCTACTGGATTTCAGGTCGGTCGATCCGAAGAGCCCTGCGCTGCCGCTCATCGCGAATTTTCAAATGTACACTTTACGGGTCATTTCGAGACTGAATAGACCCCGAATTGTTGAAGCCACCTGGGAATACCTAAAGATGTCAAATCCTTCATCCCCCGTAAACTTGCTGTGGCATGTCGCCAATACCCCAGATGGTCAAACAAAAGGAGCAAGACAACTCGAATCACTCGCGCAGACAATTCTCGCTCTTTGTCCGAGTATCTCGAGTTCAGACGACGAGAACCCTCTACAACCGTCAGCGGATGCAGTGCTGTCGTTGCAACATCTGGCATTCAAGGTCCGGAAGCGGTGGTGGGCGTTGGTCAAGCATCGAGGCAACGAAGAACAAGAGTTACTAGAGCCTTTCACTAGGTGCATAATCGCCTTCTCTCGCAGATCAAAGCTTTCGCCAGTCAAGAAGTACAAACTAGCGGAAATGCTGTACACCGACTTGACTGAGCAACCAAGCGAGTCTGGTACGAGCAAGCGCGATGCCTCAGAATCTACAGAAATGGTCGTTAAGACTTTGTCTTCTCTTGCTCAAGCTGCGGAGTTGTCTGAAGAAGCGCTGCGATGGTTAGGATCATCAAGCTCGTCGACAGCACCGAATACTTCAGCGGCGAAACAAGCTGCACACCTCATTCGCATTGCGACTGTGTCAGTAGAAGCGTCGATGAAAAGCGGTGGGAATATGCAACTAGAAGACACAATTGCAAACGCGCTTGAGGCCTTGTCTGGGAGCTTGGGTGGAACTTCCACGGACCTGGATTCTCTTTTCATGGAAGCCAACACTCTGAGACGTGCTGCATCAAGATTACTAGTCACCAGTCTTTCGACACAAGCAAACTGCCTTGACGGCGAATCGGTCCAACAACCAGCCGTTTGTATCATAGCAGCATGCGTACGGTTTACTGCGAGGTTTATTGGTGCGAGATTGGCTGTAGATACGGTCTCGAAAGCGCAACTTCGGCACAAAGAGCGAATGACCATGGCTTGGAAATGTTTAAAGGGTGTCGTCGATTCTGTACTTACTTGCTGCAAGCTGCCTGTGGATCTTGATGACCGGTGGAAAGAGCTGGACAATGTTCTTCAGGAGTGCTCGCACATTCTGCAACGATTTGAGGAGGAAGTCGAGGATCACGTCATTGATAATTCACAAGAGACTGGGCTTATTGGATCATGTATCGTCAAGCTCTCGAACGCTTACTGGACTTTGAACATGAAGCTGCGCAAAGCGAACGTCGATATGGAAACCTACATTACGGCCATGCAGCGTTCTGTCACCCTTGTACAGGCAAGGCCGCAAGCTGAGATGGAGTCTGCCCATTTTACAATGAAGCTTGAACGACTGGCAGAAACTCTCGAAAACATGAACAGCGCTGAAGGTTCCCGAAAAGCTTTGGATCAGTGTATCCGGAGCCATCTTGACTCTAGCGCCTCTCAAATACTCGCCGACCTTGTGACGAAACGTTCGATTCATAACATCTTCGACAGTGATGGAGATTTGAGTACCCTAGCCAGGGTGTTGAAATCCAAACACCGTTCTTCCATCAAGTTCGGCGTAAAAAGCCCCGACGAATTGGCTTTCTACGACGATGTCGAGCTCCAGCCGGGAATTCGAGGAGCTCTGTTAGAATATCAATTGGGGTTGTATTTGCGGACCCTCTCCAGGAATCGGCAATGGGATTCGAGTCTTGACACATCTGTTGTCTCTTTGGCGGAGCGACTTCGCGAGGTCTATATACCAGAGAAATACCCTCTTCGTCGTCTGAGAATCTCTGTTATGCTTCTACAACTTCACCAAAGCCAGCCTCACATACTACCCGAGCAATCATTGCCCTCGGATTTCCTGGATGTGGACGCAGATATGGCGATAAGATCAGACGATGCGGAACTGGTGAGGACGGAGCGACACTTGAAAGCTCTTCACAACCTCAAACTATTAATGCAGCAGAATACTCCATCCGCATCGGTTGTTCGGCAATGCTTTTTGGAGTGGGAATCACTTGTTGGCTCCACTGCTTCATGGGGCGATCTAGAAGACCTCGTGGATAACATGGAGTACTGGCTACAAGACATTCAAGCAAGTGTTGACTTTCTCAATGCAAAGGGGGAAGAATACCTTGCACTTCCCGTACTTCATCTTCTGGTAAAGATTTTCGAATTGCGAAAGGGATCGGATGTTTCTGAACTTCTATCGACTACTTGCTCACTCGCGCTGCAATACCTCCGCTTAGGATACACCGGAAAAGCTGGACATGCCTTCGTCAAAGCTGAAGCATTGCTCGGACACAAGTCCATTTCCACAGAAGCAAGTCTGGCGTGGCATCTGAGCTATGCTGAATATCTAGCGAGGATAGGCAATATAACAAAATGGTAAGGCCCCGATCTGGACACAACTGTTGACTTTGCTGATGTTTGCAGCACGAATATTTTGTCTACCGCACAATCAATCGCTCAGGCAGACTCCACATTCATGGATTTGGCAAAGCCATCGACAACCCTCTCTGGCAGACTACGCTTCAACAGGATCCTAGCGGACGCGTGTTATGTCTATTCGCTCCTGGCCACCACGGTTGGCTCTCATAAAGATGCCGCAAGACATGCAAGGCAATGCGTGACTGTCAACCGTCGTATCTGGTCTGCGTTGGAATCAAGAGTTGACTCTAGGAAGACTGCCAATGGCCCAAGCAAGACTCCATTTGATCCACTTAGCTCTATGCGTACTGAACAAGGTGTTCCTCTTGTTACATCTGTTACTCATGACGCACTTGGTGGAGCTAGCTTCTGGTCTTTAGTACCCGCCCTTTATCGGGGAATCATGCAGCACTCACAGGTTTTTTCCAATCAAGGGTTATTACAAGAAGCAATCTACGTTGCAGAACAGGCTGAGAAGGTTGCTTCAGCGACACACTCACCTTCGCTCATGATTGACAACGCCAGCTGGCGGGCGGAATGCTGGGCGCAGAGTGGCAGGTCCGACAAAGCTGGACCAATTCTGGAGTCTATTGAGGAACTGACCTCACGCAAATGCTTGTCTGTCGTAGGTTATCACTCGGCTGTCGCCAGGGCGCATCACTGGAATGGGGACTTCGAGAAGGAGATCGCATCGTACGACACTCTAGAGCAGTTACTAGGGGATCTCATGTCCCCGTCTTACATCAAAACGCTTGACTCATTCTCTCCCAACATCGACGCACTGGCCGAGCAAATCGCTACCATGACACTCGATGTCTCCGAGCCTCAAGAGGTGACAACTTCGACTCGTACTAGGGGTCGAAAGGCTGCGTCCAAACCTGCGCCACGCACTGCGTCGAAGGCTGCTCCGAGTACTCGGTCCAGAGCCAACACAGCAAGTGCTCCAAAAGCTGCTGCCAAACCCAAGCGCAAAGTTGTCACACCTGTGGCGCCAGAAGTGTTGAGCACCTCTGATCAGTGTTCAATCTTAACTGCATTCCACGTTGGAATCATGCACCGAGGAGTGTTGGCAAATCTTCTTGGAGAGGACATCGAAAAGGCTCTTGACCTACTCAAGCGGGTCGAGCAACTCCATCCTGGTCTGGACCTGGAAGTTTCGCACATCTGGGCCAAGTTCAAAGCCATGTTCGCACAGACTACCAAGCAGATTGCTGAAGACATGGCCTTCAATACGCTTCCGGAATCTACTATCGCTTTCCCTGCCATCGGGTTCAAAGACCAGACTTCTTCTGATGGGTCTGATGTCAAACGAGTCACACCTGCCGCTTCAACAACAGTTAGAGGCGGCAAAGGTAAGAAATCGGCTACAGAAGATGTTGCGGAGACGCTCCGTATTGCTCGGGAACAGCTCGTTCAAGCGCATGCGTTGGCCGCTATTCGCGGTTCGAACCACTTGTTCGAACAGATCTCCATGGCACTTGGACACGTCACCGTTTTATTATCTGCGATTTCTGGAGGAGCTTCACGGGGTTCGCTTCACCCATTGTACGCAGCGTACATGAGCGGTATGTGTTCTTCTAGAATTACAATGCTTTACCCAGACTGACTGTTTGCAGAACTGCCAAAATGCAATGCCCTCCGGCTTGCGCAAGAGTCAACCGAAGCAGAAAGGGAGCAAATGACTCGTGACGAATGCCTGCAGTGGCCGATAGCTGAGTCTTCGAGCTTCAGCTTCACGTCTGCACCAGACTTCCAGAAAGATTACGTCGACATCATTCCGGAAACCTGGACTGCCATATCCATGGCGCTGAACGACACTCGAGATGAACTCTTCATCACGCGTTTCGAAAGTGGCTCCTCCCCATTTGTGCTGCGTCTGCCACTGGCTCGACATGCTTCTCGCGATATGGACGAGGAAGAGTTCTCATTCGAGGACGGGAAGAAAGACTTTGATGAGATCATTGAGCTCAGTGACTTCAGTACGCGAACTGCGCAGGATATGACAACTAGTGAGGCCCGACGGCAATGGTGGGCTGAGCGTGAAGCTCTGGACCAGCGTCTTCATGAGTTGCTCATCAACATGGAGAACATCTGGCTTGGTGGTTTCAGGGGTGTCTTTTCGCAACATACGAAACAGCCCGTCCTTTTAGCCAAATTTCGAAAAGCATTTGACACCGTCCTGAATAGGAGTTTGCCATCACGCAGAAAGAAGTCGCAGCAGAAGCGAGTCGTCTTGGATGCAAGGGTTTTGGAACTCTTCGTTGGACTAGGCGACGCTACGGACGAGGAGATCGACCTGGACGAGGCGCTCATGGATCTTCTGTACTTCGTCGTCGACATTCTCCAGTTCAACGGCGAGCGCAATGCGTACGACGAGATCGATTTTGACGCCATGGTCATCGAAACGCAGGATGCACTACGTGCTTACCATAGCGCCTCTCACGACGTATCCCCACGCTCTCCCCATATGATTTTCATCTTGGACAAGAACCTGCACGCCTTCCCGTGGGAATCGATGCCCTGCCTAGAAAAGCTCTCCATATCCCGACTCCCCTCACTGGCTGCTCTACGCGAACGACTCCTCGCCGCGAAGCCTCCCACCGCTCAGCAAGACGCTGCACCTGGACACTACATACAAGCCGAGAGTGGCGGTACAAGCATCCTCAATCCATCCGGTGATCTCAGCCACACTCTCTCCACGCTCAACCCACACATACACGAGCTCCAAGGCCCCTGGACCCACATCACCAGCCGGGCCCCCTCGGAGAAAGAATTCGAAGACTCGCTACGAGAGAAAGATCTAGTACTCTACTTCGGTCACGGAAGCGGCGCGCAATTCGTAAGATCGAAATCCGTCCGTCGTCTCTACCCCGGACCACAAGACGAGCTCAACACCAAACCCAAAGCGGGTTGTGCGACGACGCTCCTTTTCGGCTGCTCGTCTGCGCATCTCACTGAGAACGGAATCTTCGAGCCGAGCGGCATGCTCGCGGCGTATCTGACGGCCGGCGCACCTGCAGTTGTGGGCATGCTGTGGGATGTTACAGACAAAGACTGCGATCGGCTTGCTGTCAGAGCAGGAGAGCTGTGGGGACTCTGGCCGGAGGTCGTGGAAGATAGCACGTCCAAATCACGCAAAACGCCAGCGAAGAAGACGAAAGGGAAGGGCAAAGCTGCGGATGTTGAGACTGCGCGGAACGCAAAGACTGGGAAGAAGGGGAAGGCTGGGGGACCAGGCGGTGAGGATAGTGATCTTGGAGCACCGAGATCTAGGGGCGTGGGATTGGATGAAGCGATTCGAGAGGCGAGGAAATCGTGTGTGCTGCGGTATTTGAATGGCGCTGCGGCGGTTGTGTATGGAATTCCGGTGTATTTGGAGTAGAGTCGCGTTTTGGGGCATGGCCGTGGAGTTACAGAGGGAGGTGGGATACAAAGGTTACGTTTGCGTTTGGCTATCGAGTATATTCGAGAATTGAGAAAGTGCCCATCAGTCCTACGACTTCAAGATCATACGTTCGGGTTAATACTGAAAAGGTACCAGTCGATATTGGTGTAGATGTATCTTCCCGTCGGCGTGCTACCTACTAACTGGTCTGGACACCACCGGTGAGCAATAACGACCCTTCGCGCATATTCAGTCACTCGAATAAGGAGCGTGGAATAGTTTACACGCAGGAAGCACGCCGTTCTTGTACCCCTCAAATCCAAATCCCGAATCCCTGACTGGCCTCTATACTCCCCTCTGTGAAAGCGTTAGTCCGCTTCCAGATAATTGGCAGGCACTGTAACACATTAAGTGATGTGATGAACCACAACGCAATGAATCACACCGTTGAATTCCCGTACTGCATCTACTCAACCAGTAACACAAACGGGATAAGAAACAAGATCACGACCACAACATCAATATATACGCAGACTCAAATACACAGTATACGCCGCACATCAAGACAATAACCACCCGAACCCACTCCCCCCTCCTCGTCTCCCTACAAACCCCCATCCATTCACTCTCTACTCAACAATCAACTCACTACCCTTCATCCCCTGAACTACCTATCCTCAAACTCCATCCACGCACGCCCACAATGTCCTCCTCCCCCCTTCTACACTACGCCCTCCGCGCCGCCCAAGCCCTCTTCGCCACCATCGCCCTCGGCCTCACCATCACGCTGATCCACGGCCACCACTGGGGCCCCGTCCCCACGACCCTCGGCTTCGCCGCATTCGTAGGCGTCATATCGCTGCTCGGCGCCGCGGCAGGATTCGCCTCGCACACCTACGCAGTGCTGGAGGGGAAAGTAGGAATACTAATTGACGGCGTGGTGGCGGTTGCGAATATGGCTGCGGGGATTGTGAGTAGATCCATCTCCATTTCCATTTCCATTTCCATTTCCATTTCCATTTCCATTTCCATTCCCGTTCCCTCCACCCAACTACCCACACACTCCACATCACCAACATACGACTAACCCCCCACCCCACAGCTACTAGCCATCAAGTTACGCGGCGTAAGCTGTCGCTCGTACGGCGCTGATAGTTCGGACAAGCTCGCGGGCAGCGAGATCCTCAATGGAGGATGTCGCGCGCATGAATGCTATTATTTTCTGCAGAGGGAGGGGTGGCCTGGGCATCTTGTTGCGAGGTGTAGGGAGGCTAGGGCGGATATGGTGTTTTTGTTTCTTGTGGGTGGGGTTGTGGGGGGTTGTGGGGTGTTGGCGTGGAGGAGGGGGAGGAGGGGGTATTAGGTGGGTGGTTTGGGAGGGGGTGCGTTGTGAGGGTGTTGGGGTGGGTGTTGTGGTGCTGGTTTGTTGCTGAGTCTGAGTGTGGAATGAGTCCCTCGATTGTTGTTGTTTTGTTATTGTTGCTGTTGGCTTCTGGAGAGACTCGGTTGTGCTTCTAGGAATGGACGGATTCAGCGTGTAGTATTTCCATTTCAGTGTGAGATGGATTGCACGGTGTTACTTTTTACCTGCTGCTCAGCCTCGACATACTCCTGTCAATGCTTGGAATTGAAGCAAATTGGTCTTCCGAATCAAGCAAGGTGTAATTGGTAGTAACAGAACACAAGTGATATTAACAAACACAGGAGTGAGTTGTACTCCCAAGTCTGACATCTACCCGCAAGTCGTGCAAGGCAGTACGAACGATCGAATAGCCACATCTTGCAGCTTTCGTTTACTTGTCAGTGACACAATTCACAAGACATTGAGACATCACAACACCCGATTATGAGTCCTGTCTGTGATATCCCGCATTGTCAGCTTTACTCCAATGCGGAAGTGCCGTTTTGTTGTGCTGTTGTGCTCAGAAGTGGGATGAATACTCAGAATGCGGATGCGTGTGGATGAGTAGTGGCATAAAGACGCGTGCCATTTTGTTGTCGGATGACCGAGCGAAGACCGACCATAGTTTGCGGCATGACAACGGCATTGCGGCATGACGAATTCTACCTGCCCTGAGGTATGACTCTGTATGAATTCGGCAGAGTCATTCGCCATCTAAATCTGCCCATCTCGTTTCTACAGCCGGAGTACGACGAGTGATGTGATGCGCAAATCTTACGAGCATGGTGCTACTATTGCGGATAGTGTTTTGTAGAGTAGCACTGTGACGCAAGAAAGACGCGAGCTAGGTATTAGCTTCGTGTAATTCCCAGCTTTTCTGTTGATGCTACACTCAAGCAGGATAGTCACTTTGGTGCAGGCGCATGGCGAGCTGACCGAAGTTGGCTAGCGATCAGCTGCTGCAGGGTCAGGGACGAAAGGCTGAACATGCGTCAAATCACGACGAGACAGACTGATCTTCGCTTGCGTTGTAGAGTCTATTAGCACTGCAGTCGCTGTCGTGGCACATGTCTGATATGGGCGCGAAAGACAAAGAGAGTGTTGTTCTACGTGTTATTCTACGTGTTGTGGCGTCTCTGACGGTTGATGCAGGCTGTATGAGAAAGCAACGAAAGTAGACGGCTGACATGGTGGTGGTGTGGGGACGACAGCAGCAAGTGGCTGCGGGAACCCACGTTGTTCTAAAAAACGTGGCGAAAGCGTGGGGCTGCATGCCGGGCAAATGGCGAAGCGAGGGCAGCATTGGAGCGTTTTAGCCCCTTGGGCGGGTGTGTTTGAGCATGGGCGCATGCGAGTAACGGTATGTCCGCATGGGGAGGGCTTCGGTATGCGAATACAGCTACCCCTAGAGAGTACATTGAGCTGTTTCAGAGTGCTGTGTATGCTGAAAGTCGCCTTTCCCCGCCTGGACATGTTGTATCCCTCCAGCGTGCCCTTTCTGTAGACGACGATCTTGATAAGGCTGGCATGCACCTGCGATTACGACAGCAATCTGGCAATCTGTTCCGCACGTGCGCTAGCCTCTATACCCTTGTGCACTATACGCAGGACCTCACCTCTCACGTTGGCCCCTTGTCGATCTGAGCCCCTTTGAAACACGCGTAAGCCGCCAGAAGGACTGAGCACAGCATCCTTCTGATCACAGCATCCTCCTCCACCTCCCCTACCCTACAAGGTTGTTCTCCAGCAAACCCCCTCTTCCCATCTTCACGCGTCTGCCTCTTGCCACCCGTCGACTAAGAATTGTCCGCGACGTTGAAGAAGCAAGAGCCCCAGCAAACTATAGTCGTCTCCCGCCCGCGTACTATATACGACGCTACACACGCTACAAACGCCTCGCACATCATGACAAACTCATTGGAGTCCACGCGCCCCATGCTAGCCAACGTAAGTCCCGTCTCCACCTATCGTTTCACATCTCCCCTGTCGCAACCTGCGATGCTTGCCCACCACACGTTGGCCGTGGATAAACTCTGCGCCTCGCCCACTCTGCCCAACCTATCACTCACTACCACCACTACCATGGCCGAATCCCAATCTAACGCGAAAAACCCACAGTCGACTGGCAACCGCGTCTCGACCCGCATGTCTACCTACAGCGCCGCCCCGACTCTCGCACCCTCCATCGCGCCTTCACACACTTCCGACGCCTCGTCCATGTCGGGCGACCCCAAGTCCCAGGACATCAAGACGTGGAACGCCGGGTTCGAGCGCCTCGAGGACAAGCGCTTGGTGCAGCAACGCTATGCGCTCAGCAATGAGAAGAACGAGGACCTGAGCAAACTGGCGCTGGGCGCGAAGCTGGACCGCGCACTCTCGCGTCGCATGTCCGGCCAAGACGCCGTCTTCCGGCCAAAGGTGCTCAGCGAGAAGAAACTGCAGACATAAACCAGCGAGCTATGGAGAGCACGCGAGTTTCACCTTCGCCACACGGTTTTGACGCAACGGCTGTTCGCAGCACTACCATTAGCAACAACATCAACGATACTTATGGGTATACACGTATACACCCACGGATACCACAGCACTATGAACGACAGCCCTCGTTGGCGCTATGCGCATCGTTGGGGGGAGGGCCAGTAGCCTGTTTCTCAGCAGGGCAGCCATATCGAGGGGAAGGGGGGGCAGATCAGGAGCAAGTCATCTCGTTTCAGCAGCTAGAGATACCCACGGGCAAGCTCAGGGACTCACAGGGCATTGGGCAGCCAGTTTTTTGTCCACCATTATACCAAGCCATGTCATATTACCGGCGTCATCATGTTTTATCCTCCTACTTTCCCACTAATTATCTCCTTGTTCTTTTTTTATACTGTGCGCTCTAGGTACTATCCGAGCCTGGTGTCTTTCGGTCCAGGCTTGTGCGTCATGATTGAATCAAATATACCATCTACTACTACAACTACCACTATCTACACAGAAATCTTTCGTGTCTCTGCAGCGCGCATCCCTAGCCTTCGTATCTCTCTAGACCCGTTCCGTCTCGGCAGTGCCCAAGTTGGAAAGTCCGTTTCTTGGCAGTCCGTATTCGTGGTTTTATGCTGATCCCGCAGGATCTTTGTCCACTTTCTGCTTTGTTTCATGTGCCGATCACAAGGGTTGGGGTATCTGGGCTGGTTGTTAAAAGGGGTGGTTTTGATCGGCCGGACGGACGGAAATTATCCCCGTTGATGTGGGGGGAGACGGAGGAAAGAATGGCACGGGTAAGAAAGATTCTATTCTAGGAGATTATGTCTATTTACATGATGTTGGGGACGAGACGGTTTAGTTCCTTGGTTGCTGTTGTGGAGGAGTTGACGGGAAGGAGGTTACGAGCAGCGTGTATCGGCACTTAGAAGCCCATTAAAGAATCGCTGGGCCAGACTGCGTTGTGATACACCAGCACACTCCTGCCGACTCCGTTTCAACCTTGCCAAGTCACCATATCAACGTCTTGAGCTTGAAAAATGGGCGTGAGGTTGTCCAAAAGTTTGCTTGTGCCAACTACGTAAAGCACCTGTCGCGTGATTCTTCAATTGAATGGTCCTTAGATGTATGCACTGCAGCTTCTCAAACGACTGGATTATTTTGTGTGCCAGTTGGGCTCGCATCTGACTCGCTCCTACCCCAGATCAAATCGGCATTATTTACTGGTCTAGAATGTAGTGTGCCCTTTCTAGAAGAAAAAAGAACATCAAGACGTTGGGCATTTTGCACTGTGAGTCTGAGATAGGATGTAGCCGAGAAGCTAAGCGGTGCGTTGCCGGGGAAACGCTTAGTAAGAGGGCTCGCGCTTGATAACAAAGCACGAACTGTTACCCTCCCGCTCCCACCATCGTCCACCCCGCCCAAGTCACGACGAAACGGCAACACATAACCAAACACAGCAAAAACCAGGAAGTCATCATGGTCGCCACCCGTCGCGGCGCGAAGAAGGCCCCAGAGGTCGCGCCTGCGCCCACAAACACGCTTAATGCGCCTCCCAAACGCGGCGGAAAGAAGAAGGCAGTCGTTGAGGAAGCTGCTGCCCCAGCACCTGTCATCTCAAAACCCGCCAAACCAACTGTGTTGAAGCGCAAGGCGGTCTCAGAGCCTGAGGAAGCCGAGCTTCCCAAGGCAAAGAAGCCTGCTGCAAACACACGGACAACACGCGCTGTAAAGGTCGCACCTACGCCAGAGCCAGCGCCTGCCGCTGCGCCTAAGAGGGCAACTCGAGGTCGCAAGGCCACCGAGTCTGCAGATGTTGAGGAACCTGCTGTCGTTGAGGAGGCTCCCAAGCCAGCAGCTACTCGGGTACGCAAGGCGCCCGCGAAGAAGGCGCCCACACCACAGATCGAGGAGCCTGTAGTCGAAGAAGCTCCCAAGCCAGCCCCTCGAGCGCGTAAGGCGCCAGTCAAGAAGCAAGTAGTCACAAAGCCTGTTGAAGCCCCAGTTGTAGAGGACACCATCGCTGTCGAGCCAGCGAAACCCGCTCCTCGTCTGCGCAAAGCACCAGTACCGAAAGCACCAGCAACGAAAGCACCAGCGCCAGTCCTCGCAAGCAGAGCCACTCGCGGTCGCAATGTCGCTGCTGCGTCTGATGTCTCGCCTCTCAAGGCGCCTGCTCGCAAGCCCGCGACCAAGGCTGCAGTCGTCATCACAAAGGCCGTGCCAGAGCCAGAGCCTGTCGAGGAGGCTGTCGAGGAGGCTGTCGAGGTGCCTGTCGAGGTGCCTGTCGAGGAACCCTTCTCACAGTACCCTGGCTACCCTACAACTCCTGCCCACGTCACTGCTCCTATTACGAACAAACAGGCAATGGCCGAGCTCCCACAATATCCCAACACCCCAGCCCACATCAGCGCACCCATCTCCAACAAGGACGCGTTGGCCGAGATGGCTGGCTACCCGAAGACTCCGTCGCACATCGTCGCGCCCATCAACAACGCGGCTGCTCTGAAGGAGCTTCCAGATTACCCCAAGACGCCTGCACACATCACTGCTCTGATGGCGAGGAAAGCAGAACTGGACGCCATGCCAGAATACCCCAAGACTCCGGCCCACATCAAAGCTCCGATAGCCACCAAGGATGCTCTGACTGAGCTCCCTGACTATCCTAAGACTCCAGCACACATCCAGGCACCGATCAGCACAAAAGCGGCTCTGGCTGAACTCCCCGACTACCCCAAGACGCCGGCACATATTGTGGCCCTTGAGAGTGTGGCTTCAGTGGTCCACGTAGCGACTCCAGAAGTTGCTGCAACTTCGGCTCATGTCGCTTCGCCAGCACACGAAACCTCACCAGCCCAGGTCGCCAGCCCAGAACACGTTGACACTCCTGCACCTGTCGCCTTGGTTTCGGTTGAATCTCCAGCGCAGGCTACCACACCCGTGCAAGCTACCACACCAGTGCAAGTTACCACACCTGTGGAGGCTGCTACATCAGTGCAAGCTACAACACCTGTGCAGGCTACCACGTTGGTGGAACCAACCACACCAGTGGAGGCTACCTCTCCAGTGCAGGCTATCTCTCTAGAGCGGGCCCCTTCTCCAATCCAGGCTCCTTCTCCGGTGCAGGCTACTACACCAGTGCAGGCTACTACACCAGTGCAAACAATTTCTTCATCAGAAGAAATCTCTACAGTGCGACCTAGCACCCCAACAAAAGCTATTTCTCCAGTAGAAGTTGATACTCCAACACATGTTGCACCTGAAAGTGTTGTTTCACCGGCCCCTGTTGTCGCCAGCTCACCGGCTGTCGCAAGCCCAGCTCTCTCAACGGCTGGCCTGGATGAGCTTCCTGCTGGTTACCCAACTACCCCAGCCCACATCTCGGCACCTATCACCACACGAGAGGCATTGGCTGAGCTGCCCGGCTATCCTCAAACTCCTTCGCTCGCTACGACAGGAGCTATCCATCAGGAGACTCTCACCGAGCAGTATGATACTCCACACACTCCGGAACGCCTCCCTGCAACTCCAGAGAACCAAGACGACGAATCGCTAATCTACCCAACCACACCGGCGATGGCGCTCGAGGCTGCTATCCAGCAAGAAATCACAGCATCTGTTAAGAAGCAGACACCTTCTCCTCTGCAGTTTGCATCATCCACCAAGAAGCGAAGGTCTTCCCCTCTCGGGTTTGTTGGTCTAGAGGAAGTCGAGTTCGAGTTTACGAACAAAAGCGAAATCACGGACGCTGACTCCGTCATCACTGAGGACGAGGGTGCATCTGAGATGACACCTAATGCGCACTTCTCGCCTGTGCAGATCGCTCCGTTGCAGCTCGCGCTACCTAAACTCGCACCCACTTTCTCGGCTCCTACCTTCTCGGCTCCCACTTTCGCAGCTCGTGCGTTCACGTCGCCTACGAAGTCTGCGTTGCGATCACCCCAGAAGTCGTCCTTACGATCACCTCAGAAGTTTGACGCTAAAACCCCAAAGAAGGCTGTCAAATGGGACTTCGAAGAGGAAGAGAGCGAGTTGCTATTGCACGGTGGGCCACTTCAAGGCATGACTTTCTACGTCGACGTCACCTCCAACGGAAGGGACCAGAGCTTCTTGTTCACTGGCCTGCTAGAGGACCTCGGTGCTAAAGTGCTCAAGGAATGGACTACCACTGGTCTCAGTCACGTTTTGTTCAAGGAGGGTAACATCTCTACGCTGGAAAACGTGCTTGCTACTAAGGGAGCCGTTAAGTGTGTCAACATTGGCTTTGTGCTCGATTCCGAGACTCACGAGAAGCGCATGGACGAGGCCTCGTACCTTGTTGACCTCGCGCCTGCAATGCCACCTACTCCCAAGGCAACAACGTGCGCTACCCCAGCAAAGACACCCTCAAGATACGCTATCCCGCCCACACCGGTCACCAAGAACACCCCTACTACTCCCACCAGCTCGGAGTTTGACCGCACCTTTGACGAGGACAAGGAGAACTCGGAACTGGGCATCTACTTCGACAACGCAGGCGATATGCAAATCCGCACCCTACCGCAGAAAAAGACCAACTACCTCTTCGCTAGATCGCCCATCAAGACGCCTTCGAAACTCAAGTGGCTACAGGGCACCGCGCCCATGAGGCCCTTCTCCACAACCAAGAAGCGCAGCGCCGACTCGTCGTTTGCGGACATCTCGCTCGCGCCCCCGAAGAAGCTGCGCTTCACCTAGTTTTGATTGTTCGTTTGAGTTGAGTTGAATGGAATGTTAGGGCGCTTTGTTTTTGGAGTTGGGGTATCACAGATGCATGCATGAGCGGAGCATTGGAGTTTGGCGTGTTTTGCTGTTTTGGCATTCACTGTCCCTTCTACGTATTACAGCACTCCTTCCTTCTTCCCTGTCCCCTTCATCGCGGCTTGAGAGGATCCCATTGCGTTGTAGCCGCCCTTCACGGGGCCGGCTCCCTTTGGTAGTACTCAACATAGCCAGGTGAAGGGTGGGGTGAAGGAGGGGTATATGTCTGCGTTTGGGGGATACGTTTTGTCACCTTTTGCTTTTGGGTTTGGTGGCCGGGTGGGAAGGGTAACATACATTGCATGGATGGATGGACGGTACTGTACGACTCACACACAGTAGGATGTGGCGTTTGAGGGCATGACTTGATGGATGTGTTTGCTGTTTTGGCACTATCGTCACGTAGACTCAATGGAGATAATTATTTCATGTTTGCTCTTCTGTGACATGGTGGTGTGTGAAGATAAGTGGTATGATGTGACTGACATGACGTTACATTCCAGCATCCCTTCCTTCACACTCACGCGTATCTATATACCGAGCCCACCCACCTACTTCGCTACCCCGACATACTCTTCCTACACATCACACAACGCCCACACTTCCAGCTTCCCAGTGAAAAACAACACATCCACATCCAAAACAACCATTATGTACCCTCCAGCTCCCTCCAACCCCCACCCACAACCCCCCCTCCACCTCCGAGGCGGCGCCGCCAACCCCCCCAAAACATTCACCACATACAGCGACTTCGCGTCCTACCTCGCGGGCCGAAAATGCTCCACGTGCAGCACGTCCTTTATCCAGAGCTCAACGGACGTCGACGTGCTGTTCAAGGGGTGGCTGTCTGGAAAAAGTGCGTCACCCCCCTCTCCATCGCCGCCCGCCATCGTCACACTAACAAGCCCCCAGCGCCCATAACCCCCCGCATAACATGCCGAAAGTGCACCCAAATCACATGCATCGCCTGTCCCGGAAGCAGCACGACGACAGAAAAAGACGTCGAGGGGAGTAAAGTGGGGTGGTGCTGTAGCCGCGGCCGGTTATTCGTAATCTGGGTGCTATTGTGTGGGTTTGACGCGCAGTACAGCGCTGCGAAGCGGGCGGAGAGTCAGAGTGCGAGGAAGAATTGCGGGCGGCGGATTGCGGCGGGGAGTGGGGTGGGGTATGATGGGTTTGATTTGGAGAGCCTTTTCCAGGGGTCGGGTATGTTTGGTCGTGCTAATGGTGTGAAGAAAGGCGATGCGGGACGGGACCGGGCGGAGAGCGCAGAGGCGAAGAGCGATGAGTTTTATCGCATGGTGTTTTCGCTGCTGGGGGTGCTGCTTCCGTCGCCCGACGATGGGACTGCGTTCGATGTTAGCCCGCCGGAGGCTGTGGTGGATATGTTGCTGCATAGTAGGGTGCTGGGGAAGGCGGCGGAACTGCTAAGGAATGATTCCCTGGATAATGCGACGAAGCGGAAGGGTTTGTATTCTGCGCTTCTGGCGTTTCTGCGCACGATTGGTGCGCATGGGGGGGTGGCGGGGAGGGCGATGTTTGCGGAGCGCAGTGTGCGCGAGGAGAATCTTCTTACGCTGAGCTTTTCCGGTGGGGGTGGGAGTTCCGGGGAGAGGGCGTCGTCGCTGGCGGATGGTCTGCGGAAACTTAACATCCAGAGCAATATGATGTTGAAGGGGGCGCAGAACAATAAGCACGAGTTTCAGAATCAGCACGCGGCGGATATGCTCTGGTTGTGTCGCCAGATCTCGGATCTCTCGGGTTATCTGCTTGGGGGCGAGGGGCTGAAGGATGTGGCTGCTGGCTTTGCCGTCGTGGATGTGCCCGAGAGCCAGATTCTTCCGACGTATTACTATGCGAGGGAGGCGAGGGGTTTGCGTCAGTCGCCGTTTGGACGCATACCGAGGCTGATTACGGAGATTACGAGTCTGATGACGGGACTTTCGGCTGGCATCTTTGTCAAGCATGGGTCGGATAGGTTGGATATTATGAAGTGAGTTGGGGTAATGACCTCGTCCTTACGGTCTAACTGACAGATATTAGGATCCTCATCGTTGGTCCCGAGGACACGCCGTACGAGAACGGACTGTTTGAATTCGACCTGTTCTGCCCAGCCGAGTATCCCCAAGTACCGCCGAAGGTGTGGTTCAAAGGGACGAATGGAGGGACAGTCGATACCAACCCCAATCTGCATGCTGATGGTAAAGGTACGTATTGTATACACACCCATGGATAGATATTCTTCTAACCCTTACAACATAGTATGTCTCAGTCTACTTGGAACATTTTCCGGCGAACCGTGGCACCCAGGTCAATCCACGATCCTGCAAGTCCTCGTTAGCATTCAAGCCATGATACTGTGCGCCGACCCTCTGAATAACGAGCCCGGGATTGGGATGGATCGCTCTAGCATCGAGTCCTATACTAAGATGGTCCGCGGGCTGACAACCAAATACGCCGTGCTGGCATGGGCCAAGAGCCCTCCCACGCTGTGGGCGGACGTGGTGAACTCGCATTTCAGAAAGAAAGCGGATCGTATTCTACAGACTGTTGATCAGTGGGCGCAATCACCGCAATTCAGCCTAGGCTCGGTTCCAATGAGGGGGCGAGAAAACATGGTGAACGTTGCTGCGTTGTTGCCTGCGTTGCAAGCGGCGCTCAAGGGCTATGGCGCTACTTATGTTCCTCAAAATACTGCATCAGCGAGTGGTCGGCAGATGGGTGGTGGACGAGAGTCCGGCTATGGTTCGCAGAATTATCCGTCAGCAGGATATGGGGGTCGAGGCGGGTTTGGCGGGCCAGGAGGAAGGAGCGGGTTTGGAGGGCCTGGTTCACGGTATGGATGGTGATAGGGGGTTCGTATATCTGGAGATAGACACTGAAGTATCTTGAGGTGATGTCGATACATCTGTGTCTTGCCCTCCGACTTTCAGATGCACTGCTTTTGGTGGCCCTAACAAGTGTAAATCACACTCGATTTTTAAAGTCGTCAAGGGATTAGCCAGTCGTGATGTATTAGTAGGATCTTATGATGGCAAAGTTCTTGAGTAGAGACATGATCTGCCCTTCAAAAAAGAATGTAGTGAGTATCGAGGCGCGAGGGAAGATGACTACTATAGTTCTTGAGATGTCACCGGTAGCAAGAGAAGGTCGTCTGTGAGCATTTGCATCAATTGCAGTCATGGTAGAATGAGTGAACATCAAGGTCAATGCTGAGTAAGCCAAACATGGCGCTAGGCTGTCCGACATGACCGCCGCTCAAGTTTGGAGACCAAACAACAACGTCACGCCGTCAACACGCTACTCCCTCTGAACCCAGCTGTGTCGCCTCTCACCCGCGTTATTTGGACAATCCACGCCAACTCGACACCCCCAAACACCAAAGACACGACGACCCCGCCACCATGTCTAGCGGAGAGGTGCTGAAGGCGGACAAGGACTTCACCAAGGATGTCGATGCGGCGATTCCAGAAGCCGAGAAGCTCGGATCTGTATGCGCAATGCTTTCTGGACGGTGATGGAGCTAACGGGGAGTGTGCAGGTCAACGCACAAGGCGCCATCGACAAGCTGCTTCCTCTCGAGAAGCAGACCCGCCAGGTACGCAACCACCTACCATCTGTCCCCACGACCCTATGCTCACAGAACCAAGGCCTCCGATCTCGCCTCGACGTCCCGAATCCTCGTCGCCATCGTCACAATAGCCAAGCGCGCAAATGACTGGAATCTGTTGAACGAGCAGGTCCTACTCCTTTCCAAGAAGCATGGCCAGCTCAAGCAGGCCACCACCAAAATGGTGCAGACCGTCATGGAATTTCTGGGCGACATCAAGAACCTCGATACAAAGCTCTCCGTGATTGAGACGCTCCGCACAGTGACCGAGGGCAAGGTGAGCGGCGTTGGTCTCTTGTTGGGGTGGGGATACTGACAAGCATGGCAGATCTTCGTCGAAGTCGAGCGCGCTCGCGTGACCCGGATACTGTCGGACATCAAGAAGGAGCAAGGCGACATCAATGCGGCGGCAGATATTCTCTGTGAGCTGCAGGTCGAGACGTTCGGTTCCATGACGCGACGCGAGAAGACCGAGTTCATCCTACAGCAGGTGTCGCTGTGCATAGAGAAGGGCGACTGGACACAGGCCGGCATTCTGAGCAGGAAGATTGGCACAAAGTACTTCCAGCGGAGGCCCAAGAAGTCGCCCGAGCAGCTCGAGAAGGACCAGAAGGAGCGGGAAGAGAAGGAGAAGAACCGCAGCGTCGACGATCCCCCAGTGGAGCCCGAGGACGACGTTACCGACCTGAAGCTCAAGTACTACGAACAGCAAATCACCCTGGCCAAGCACGATGACAAGTACCTCGACGTATGCAAGCACTACCGACAGGTGCTGGACACAGAGGCGGTTGAGGAGGATCCGAAGAAGCTTCAAGCGGTATGTCTACAAATCTTCTTCCTCTAACTGTTCTGACAACAACCCCAGATCCTCCAGCGCGTCATCTACTTCATAATCCTCGCGCCATACGACAACGAGCAGTCGGACCTTATCCACCGCATCCAGCGAGACACGCGCAATTCGCGCATCCCACAAGACGCGCAGCTCGTGAAGCTGTTCACAGTGCCAGAGCTGATGAGGTGGCCCATGGTTTCAAAGCAGTTTGGCCCTCACTTGACCGAGACGGACGTGTTTGATGCAGAGAAGGACGACTCGGACGACGCCAAGGCATTCACGAGGTGGCAGGATCTGCGAAAGCGTGTTATTGAACACAACGTTCGCGTCGTCGCCAAGTACTACACACGCATCCAGATTCCGCGATTGACAGAACTTCTGGATCTGACCGAGGACGAGACGGAGAAGTACATCAGCGAGTTGGTGACGGGTAAAACTATCTTCGCCAAGATCGACCGACCGGCGCGTGTCGTTACCTTTTCCAAGCCCAGAGATGCTGACGACGTGCTCAACGAATGGAGTGGGAACATGAAGAGCCTGCTAGGCTTGCTCGAGCGGATCGACCACCTCATCACCAAGGAGGAGATGATGGCCCGCATCCAGCCAACAAAGGTTGACAAGAGCAAGGTGGCCAAGGGCAAGGCGAAATGAAGTGATGAAGTTTAGAAACAATCATGATTAGGCTAGATATGAGCGAGCCCTCTATACGGCTCCGCGCATGCACTGCGCATGCATGATACACGTCTAAACCAATGCCAATCTATCTATCCATCTATCTATATCTTGCTCCCTCTAGTAAACTCCATACTCCCAAAATGCTGTTCCGAAAATGATTGTCAAAATGGGACATCCATATCCTCAACACTCTCTTCCTCCTTCTTCCCCTCCCCATCCCCCTCCCCATCCGCAACAACCCCCTTAATAAACCCCACCAACGCATTAACACACGCCTTCTGCGTACTCGGCAAAAAGTGCCCCCCAGGATGATACACGACATCCCCCTCCCCGCGCCCCACACACGCCCTCACAAGCGCCAAACTCCGCTCCTCAAGCACAACCACATCCTGCGACCCAATAAAATGCAGCACCGGCGTCGCAATCTTCGGCTCGTAAAACGCACGGTACGGATTCTCCCCCTGCGCCGCGAACCCCGAGTAGCTAACCGCGAACTTCAGCGGCGCGTGGTCCAGCGCTTCAAACGAGGAGGGATACTGCATCCCTCCTGTGCTGTACGCCGCTTCGAATGCGGACCGCCGCCCGGGTTCCAGCAGCGATGCGACCATCCCCGCCATCGCGCCGCCCTGCGAAAAGCCTACGACGCCGTCGAAGGGGCCGGAGCGCCGCAGCACGTCCGCGATGCGGGATAGTCCCTCCTCGAGGCCTTCGTATGTGTATGGTCCGCTGTCCGCGTCGCCTTTGCGGCGCCACCATGCCCAGGCGTCGACTTCCGCCTCTTCAGCTTCAGCGGAGGTGTCTTTTTCCAACTGCCACGGCACGTCGGCGGGGTGGAGGCGGATTGGGGCTGTGGGGTAGTGCAGGGTAATTCCTGCCGGAAAGGCTTTTTGGAGGGTTTTTCGTAAGGCGCCGGTTTTGGCTTGGAAGGAGGGGCCGGATTGCGTGTAGCCGTGGAGGAAGAGGATGTTTAGGGGGCGGGTGGGGGGTGGGAGGGTGGTCATTTTGGGGAGGCGGCGCATGGGATTGGGGGAGGTGGTGGTGGGTTGGAGGTTTGGAGGGGAGAGGTTGAGGGTAGGTGGGGTGAGGTCATGAGGTGATCCTTGTCATGACGAGCATTTTGTGTTTCTTCGAGATGGTATGGGGCATGTTTACCGCGATGATATGGATGTTGGTCTATTTGTTCGTTTGTTTGTTCATCTTTTTATTAATATCTTGATCTCTCAATGTGTTTTCTTTGATGGGGACAGCAAGTAGTAATTCCACATTTCACCACGCCAACCAAGCACATAGATACAACACATACAAACCGCGAGGGATAAGTCCAGACCAGCATTTACTATTTAGGCTTTCATCCTGATGTTCTCGTCCGCGGTACATGATATAATGCATGTGAACAGACAGGACGTCAAATCTAGATCTACCAGAAACATGAGAATGGCCGACCAAACTTTGATAATGGAGGTATTCCGGCCTCTGCCGATATCCCACGACACGATACGGCCAATACAACGTTCCCTGAGGACTTCCTGAAGTGCGGGGCGCAGATCAAAACGTACACTTTCTTTGTTGTAAGTCTGCTGTAGACGGCGGACTCAAGTGTCAAGTCGGCGTATGCTCCTATGACAGATCAATCCGGACCCTGAAGCCTGAGGTGTTTAATATAGCAGGGTCTTGGAAGAGGACTAACAGTATGACAAATGAATGCACGACAGAAAGGAAGAGAGTGATATCTGACAACAAAGCACAAGCACGTTCACGAACCCATACCTAGCTCGTTGATCTGCCGTGATTCCTACCTTCCGGCTGGACCGCGCCGAGCGGGAAGCATCACCACGCAAACAAAGCGAAGGATAGATTGCGGGGAATCTTACTCAAACTCCGGCGGCCCTTTCAACGTACCGTCTCTGAAAGAGAACCCCGGAAATATGTATGTCGCCTAGTTCAATGCAGGCAACAGCTTTTCTTTGTGTGGGAGAATGGGATCCTCCCGATAAATTCGCCGCACTACTTACAATCTGCTTTTGACCACCAAGTCTAGCCAAGTCACAGGGCAATGACAGCTCAAGCAGGTATTGGGTCCCGGATTTCCAAGCTGTGCGGGGGTGTTGCTACTGCGCGAGCTCGAGGAGTCTAGACACTAACCTCTGCCCCGGATTCCCATCCGCATCCGTAGTACAGGTGAAGCAAACTATGGTTCTGTCTGGTGTTGAGTGAGAGCGGAAGTTTCCGTGGTGGTGTATACTCTAGTAGCAACTCCTGATCTGTGTGACACCAACGATGTGCGTTACATATTCTCCAGTAACGGCTGTGGTGGCTTACGTATAGATTGGAGTTCTCAGCCACTCGTCTGCTGTATACGAGCTACTAGTGAGTTAAATCCAGAGGCGTCACACAGTCGACGCCTTTGTTCGTCCTTCACGCTCTTACTCGTCGGCCCAGACGCCAAGACCTGGGAATGTATGTCTGGTCGGCTAAACAACACAGCCTCGAGGGGCCAGAACTCGAGCTGAACTTGAACACGAACTCATTCAATAAGCATCCGTTCCAGCGGGTCAGCGCCCTTGGAATGGGACAATCCAGCGATTCTCAGTGGGGCATCCTGAAGAGTGCCTGATCGATGTTGGGACGTCGGAGGGTTTCATGTTGAGCAGAGCTCGTGAAAGCCGCGCGTGTTATGCTAGAGCGTATTCTCGTAAGTTGTGACATCCAAGATCCTGCTCGTGTTTACAATGTAGATAAACTCCAGGCCAGTCCAGATGAAGATGCGGGGAAGTCTGTTGAATGAGCAACAAATTCCTCGGCCAGGATGTCGGTCCCAGCTTCCTCAGTCGGACAAAGCTGGACCTGGTGATCTAAACCTCATTCGCTGCGCTGTACGGTTCGGCCCGCGGCAACAGCAACGTTGAACTACAAGAGATTCTGATCGACCAGAGGTCCACAATCAGGCGACGGATGGGTCGACTCCTTCATGAAATTTGACCGGCAGCCTGGCGTGAAAGGACACGGTGGAGGTGGTGGTGTTTGCTGCAAAACGGGGCTCGGTGACCGGAAAGGCGAGTAAGCGAGAACACGCTGGCAGCCTTGAGATTATGTGACGCTCCCGAATGTTCCTATCTGAGGCAGCAGCCCAGCCACGCTGGCGGCGCCCCGTTGAGTAAAGTTTGCGCAAGCAAAGTGCGCGGCCAAAGGCGCAGTTGAGGGCAGAGAGGACTGAGTGTGCAGTCAACGGGCATGATTGGCGCCGACATGTGACCAAACTTGGGATAAACTCTAGCCTACAACTGCGGGGTGTCAGCCAGAGACAGCATTATTCCTAGTGCCTTGTTTTCTCGATGCTATGACAGAGTTGCTGCCGCTCGTCTCAGATGCTCGATCTGTTTCGACATAGTGGCTGGGCCCCCTTTGGAGACCGTGGCTGTCGATCGGGCTCCTGCTGGAGAATCTGCTCAGATGGGGCGCATGCCTGGGCGCTCGCCGATTCTTTTGGGCGCATTGTTGTCTGCAGGGATCAGACCAATCAGCCTGTTTCACGTCCGCTCAGGCTCTGACTGGTTATTCACTCAATGATCGCCGATCACTCCCTACATCGCTCATATCATATAATCTCGGCATTCTCGGTTTATCATAAGGCGCTTTACATCGACGCAGTGAACTTCACACTCCATCCCGCCCACGATCCCTGACTACTATTACGATTCTCCGGCGCTTGCACCCTACGTACCATGTATGCCGATCAACTACATATCACAGACACTGTCTGCTACTTCTCGATACCATTATTAGAACCAAACTCCCACTTCTCTTCGGAAACTCCAAGCACATCACCAGTCTTTGAGTTTACTTCATCAACAACACCTGATCCAATCAACCCTTTGCTGGCCTATCGATCAGCACGTGCGCTTATGTCGAGCCCTATTGACGCCTCGCGTCTACTTCAACTACAAACAGACGCTGCCCACCGTCCATCTCCTGAGCCACTTCAATCGAGTGCTTCTTCTATCTCCAGCAACAACTCATCCTCCTCCTCTTCCAGCTCAGGCTCCAACTCCAACATGCCTTCACCAAGAAGCAGCATATCCTCATCACCAGCGCCTTGCTGCTGCCGCTGTCGCCGCGAGCATGGTCATTCATCCATGTTTCAATTCGGCACCAACCTGTACTACTGCGGCCACTGCGCGAAGATGACTGGCTACAGTGTTGGATGAAGAGCACAATACAACCATTTGGATTTAGCAGCGAACACACACTTACCAACTGCCTAATACTCACCGACCGAGTTATGACGGCATATTTTCGGACGAAATGACTACCATAACGCCCATACACAGACAGAAATGTCACTCCGCATCGTCACTTTACAGCCGGCTCGCAAGTTGCAGCTATGGCATTCGGAGTTATCAGACCAACAACCCGTAAAGGGTCATGTTCCGGATTCACGGATGGTCAGCGCGTTGATAATGCTACTTAGCATGTGGTGGAGGGAGAGGAAGGACTAGGAAGGGATTGGGCCAAACCATGGGGTTGGCGGAGTCGGAAGGAAGCAGGTCTTCATGATTGTCATATTGAGACAGCTGGTCTGGTGATTAGTTAAGACTATGATACCCCGTTACGATAAGCATTGAATATATTATTATATCCACTCTATCTTGCCAAGTCCCTCTCTTCTCCTCGTCCGCGTCATTTCTGCTCCAACAGCGACCCATTCTCCCATCTGCCCACAAAACCACTCAACCTCTGTACACACCATAACATCTGCCAAACGATGTAAACCGCACCCTGACGCGATTCGCAAGGTCCAGGGTTTTATTTTTGGAAAAAGACCCCCTGAGTAACACCTCGAGCCCCAAGCAACCAAAAAAGAAAATCAACCTTACAAGTAGATAATATCACGATGGGATCCCCAGAAACCATGAAGCCGTCATGGACAGCTCGACTCCTGAATTCTTCCTTTTTTCCACATCAATAATGATCGTCGTCACGAACCCCTCGTGGAGATTTCGATCCGACGATGGGGGAGAACAAAGACATGTAGATCAGCGCCCCACAGCCCCCCACTCGTACGACTAATCTCACTCGGGCCAAGGTCGGACGATCGTTCATGACACTGGTTTCCTTGGATTCCGCGCGCCGTCTCAAGCCACAATCAACGGCTGCAGGGTCTGATTGGGCTCGGAGCGGGTCACGGGAAAGTGGATGGTGGCTTGGGTCCAAGTGTAGCTCGGAAAGAGAGCTTTCCGGAGAGGGTGGGCGTGTTCTGTTTGGCTAGGAGCAGATTGGGTGCTTGCGTATCTTGACTGCCCAGGACTGCGTAACTCTGCGCAGAGTTACGCAGCGCTGGGCGGGCCTTGTTCTTCCGGCGTAATGAAACGCGCTGGGTTTCCTTCTGCTTTGATGAACCGGTTGCGGTGATTAGGGTTGCTTATCGCCTTTTTCTCATGGACTCTATCTCCAACCAGCCGTTTTGTTTCACGGCAAGCCACAGCCTTGCCTGTGGGACGGAGCTCCACCATTATCGCATTGTGCATAGTCCATCTTCACAACTTGGCAGACCCTTTTTCCTGCACGTCTTCCATCCAGCAACCTACTAGTCAACTCTGCTATCCTGCGCCGAAACGCGTCGGAGGTCACATTGACCAGGTAGTTGTAATGATCGCGTCAAGGCATGCGGGCCTTCTCGGCACAGGGCATGGCTTTGTATAAGATAGCGTGTCCGCATGTCCATTTGCATCGAGCGATGGTTTCTCTCCATCGGTGATCTCCCGACATCTACGATCTGTACGCGAGATATTTGCGATCAAACGCCAACCCCCATCTGCACCGGCGCCCTTTGCGGTTAGGTAACCGTCTAGCGCTGCAAGAATGCCCATGTTAGAAATACCATGTTGGAAATACCATGCCGTTCCGCTCGGGTTAGGCTCGACTTCCTCGTCGTCTGACTGACGCTGCCGACGACGCAACACGGAGATAAGACGTGCATACCTCCCCACGCTACGTTACAGCGCTGATCTGGGGGGTTTTCTAACGCTCTACTTACTCTTCAGCCGCGTCATGCCCGTATGTGTGCTACGCATGCCACGTCAACAGCAATGTGGACCACGCGCCGTCGATACGAAAAATGACATGCTTTCCACCAGTCATGCAAGCGCGACCTGGAGAGCTACACGACAAACACCTGCCCAATTCAATACCATATTCACGATGCCCATCGGGAGAAGTGCAACGGATCAGACAGGCACGGAGCATTTCTTCCATCCTGCTATTTCCGTCTTTTCACTTGGAAATTGGTAGTGTCGGGGTACCTACGTATTGGTACCTCGTACACACACCCTAGCACTGTACAAAGACATTTTCCTATCAGGATAGCTCTTGTTTACTGATCACAGAGTAAAAAAACTTTTAGCTGGTTTATTGAACAGAATCGATTTTTTTTTCTGCAGTATGCTTGGCCCCACGGTTATGGAGACTGGGCGGAAGAAATTTTAACTGTATCGTGAACCGCGGTAATTGCAAAAATAAGCTAAGGGGGGTTTCTTGCGAATGCTAACCGAAATTTACAACATGCACACACGTGATTCAGACATCCATTGGAACGTAATTTCATAAACGGCATATCTACAGGGCAACTGCCAGCAAGCTAACAACATCTCCATCGACGAAATAGCTCACGGCCACATGAACCCATCGGGCATGAAGTTCGACGTGCTCATGTCCGTAAAGACATCTAGCGGGTAATCCTCCGCTCTCAACGTCCTCCTCCACTGGTGCATCCGCCTGCTCAGCACCTTGTCCTGGACCGTCAACTCCCTCTTGGCCATCTTCTTGTACCCGCCCAGTTCTCCAGCGATGCAGTGGTTCTTACCACCCCATGTTGAATCAGCAGCAGCCTTCCAGATTGCCGTAACATCGACCGTCATCTCCTTGGTGTACAGGATCCTGCAGTCAGAAGCCTCGTACACGAACTGCAGCGGGGTGTTTGTCTCGTCGCCCTCGCGGATGCCGTCGCGGAAGTTGACGTTGTATGAGCTGCCGATGGCTACGCGGTCATTGATGACGTTGCTCCAGTATTCGTTGAGCTCTGTAGTGTTGAGGTATGCAGCCTCCTCGGGAGAAGATGCCAGGTTCTCGATTGTGTATTGAGCCAGGGCCTGGATGTATGTCCATGGCAAGTCGTTTGTGCCCTTGACACCACCTACGGCTTGCGTGATGCCTTCGCGGGGACGGCCGCCAAGGGAGATGTACTTGACACCACCGCGCTGGCGCATCAGTTCCGAGAAGATGGTGCATGTCGATGCGCAGTAGCCATCTGTAACGACGATAATGTCTTCAGCGGCAAATGGTTGTGTGGTGTAGTTGCTCAGCGGTCCGTAGCCATGAACGAAGACACCGCCCGAGTTGAGCGGCGTGAGAACATCCGAGAGGTTCCAGCGGAAGAGGTTTGTGAAGTTATCGCCCTTCTGATGGAGACCAGGGCCAAACTTGGCATCCCAACTGGGGAAGTTGTTTCCGTTGACGTCGACATCAGTCTGGTAGTTGAACACCGAAGAAACAACGTCGCTCTCCAGTTCGTACAATGTCTCGTTCTGCTCTTCGGTAACAAGTACACGTGGCAGGCCCTCGGCGACTTCAGAGAACTTCTGGCCCAGGATGTCGGTAGATTCAAATGCTCGGAACCTGTCATCCGCGGCGTGGTCAACTTTAGTGGGGAACAGCAATTTGTACAGGTCGTAGCCTAACAAAATCGTACCACCGCCGTTGGCCTGAACGTCGACGACTAGCTTCTTCTTGCCTGCGGCTTTCGCAGCAGCAAGGAATGTCTCGGCAGTCTGCTGGAACTCAGCCTGCGCGTCGATGCCAACGAAAGACGGAACGGAGAGGACGGCAACATCGGAGTATTCGTCTTCGAGGAAGTAACCTCCAATGAGGTTGTGCTCTTCACGAACGACTGGTGGCGGGTAGCCAGGAGCAGGAATCGATGTAGTTGTAGCCGTGGGAGTGGCAGAAGCCGCAGCAGACGAAGAGGGTGTAGGTGTTGTAGAGTTTGAAGGCACAGGATCCTCAGTCGCAGTTGGCTGGTTACCAGTGAACCACAGCTGGTACAGGCTCTCTCCATCTGTGATGCCGTCGAATGGAATCAAGACCTTTGCGTAGTTGTCATAAGTGTGAGTCGTGCCGTTCTCGAACTCGAGCTCGGTGGTAGCATTGGGGTAGATCTGATGTGCATGTTAGTGAAAAATTCAACCAGGTATTTGAACGAAAGTCTGAAGACTATCACATACCCATCGTCCTCTTCCGCTTCCAGCGAATGTGCCAATGCCCGATCCTACAGGACCCAATGAAACAGTGGCCAGTTCGTAGAACACGTTGTTGTAAAGAGCATCCCGATCCTGAAGTGAACCGTACTGAGCCCAGTTCTCCAAAAACTCCTGCGCATCTACACCATCGATCTTGGCAATCGCAGAGGCGCTGAACGAAGCGTTACCGAACGACTCCGCCAGAACATCCGAATATACGTAGGCTTTCGGAAGCTCTACGCCATCCGACGAGGCGGATACAAGGGGAACCGGACGCGCGTAGTTGAAAACCGTGCCCACGACGTCGGGAACATACACGAAATGTCCATCGTGTGTGCTCTGGAGAAGCAGGTAAAGCTCAAATCCGAACTGCAAAAGATTAGCTCTACCTCCAATAAATAATCCTCTGCCGAATGCGTACCTCGAACTCGTTCTCGTATGCTCCACTTGTGACCTTTTCTCTGATCTTTTCCAGCCCGCCCCAGATGTCGACGGGGCCTTGAATCTTCTCAACATATTCCTCCGGCGGGTCCTTGAGGAAGACTGTAGTACTCTGCCATCGGAAGTACGGGACAACGCCGTCGACAAGTGCCAAAGCTGCGCTCTGATTGAATGGAACTGAAGTGATGCACTCGTACGCCAGCTGCGCAGGGACTGTGGGGACAGCAGCGGTTTGTGTAGCGACAGACGCGCTCACTTGTGCACAAGGGCTCGACGCATTCTGACGAGGATAAAGCTGCGCTCCAAACGGTGAAGACAGGGCAGTAGACGCGAGCGAGAGACCTGCGAGGGTTCGAAGATATCGAGCCATGATTGCGCAATTCTTACACCAACAAAGGTATAGAAGTCAGTGCTGGCCCTTCGTCCAGAGCTGATCGCTCCTTCTTATATATTCAAGTTACAATGGACCGCGGACTTGGAATTACATGCAAGCTTTTGGATAGTCATCATAGCTGCAGTATCCTGGACGATATCCTGGCCCGACAAGGCGAACGACTCAATGCAGCAAATGAACGCAGCTTGCTTGATAGAGACCAAGACATTCTCAACGGTTCATGCATGTGCATTTCTCGATTAGGCAGTTGAGAAGTTCGTGGTGACGATCATAGCCGGGATATAACATCGATTGCAAAGCACGAACAGAGAAGAGACGTGACACAATGAGTCGAAAAAAAGGCACAATCGAGCAGAGACGGTATCACAAAAGCGCATTGAAGAAGGAGGACGGATTATGATGGGGGAAAGTGCTACACATCGTAAGTATCACAAAGTTTCTAACAATCGAAGCTTTGTGGAGAGGCGGAAGCTCGTCCAAGCTTTCAGTGGTTGCCGTTGAGCTACGCCGCATGAGGAAGGAGCGTTTGTGGCGAGCCGGATCGATGACACTACCCTTATCAACACCTGATCCTGGATGCCGACCTTGTAATAGTCTCTTCATTGCTATGACGATGTCGCGCGAGAGCAGTTTACTTGAAAGAGAGTAGTATCGGCAATCCGTCGGACATTCTTACAAATGATCGCTAAGCGTCAATTGCCAGCCTAACTTGCACAATCGGAAAACACCGGATGTTCGTTGCCTTGAGAATTCCCCGACAGGAACATTGAAGCCTTGCAGTCGGGCTTGGGAAGTTTGGAGTTTGCGAGTTTAGAAGCTTAAAGTCCAGAATCGCGTCATCGTTTGTTAACTCTTTCCGTTATTTGCAGTTAGTCATGCCCAAAACATCGGGTGACTCCTTCCAAAACTTGAGAGGATGATTGTGAAGCGTATTCCAAAGCAGCATATGTGTGTATGAAGATACTCAAGGTGAGCCAAAGTAGACTTGTATCTTCCTCGGGTAGTTTGTTGAATACAGGTTCTGGGTAACGGCTGCGATGGTGGGGGATCTGAAGCATTCCCCGCAACGGCTAACGGGTTACCCAATGCAGAGATCCCAGCAACCCCGCAATATAGCTACACCTGGAAGCTCAAACTCACTTGGAGGAAGTATTATGGCCAAGCCTTGTGTACGAAGCATCATATGATGCGGTGTTCAATTGAGTGGCTTATTTATATACCGTCATGGCGCTGCCTCGCGGAGTCGAGCTTCAATACTTGAGTTCACTCAACTGGAGTAAGGCGTCTTGATATTTGCCAATTACAATTGTCTCTTCTTCTAATAGAACTACCCGCCTGTCGAACAACTTCACCATGGCATCGACGCATGGACTCCCAGAGTTCAGCCTGAAGAACAAAGTGGTGCTGGTGTCTGGCGCTGCTCGAGGTCTTGGTCTTACACAAGCAGAAGCATTGCTAGAGGCTGGAGCACGAGGTAGGGCTATAATTCAAGTCAGAACGCTATGATCTATGCATGCTTACATGTGCGCAGTATACGCTCTGGACAGACTGCCCGAACCCTCACCCGACTTTCACACCATCGCAGAACGAGCCAAAAATGAGCTGGGGACATCACTCGAATACCGACAGATCGATGTGCGAGAAGTGAAGGATCTCCATAAGATCGTCGAAGATATCGCAGATAAAGAGGGCAGGATGGACGGCCTGATCGCGGCTGCTGGCATACAGCAAGAGACTCCAGCGCTCGAATACACTGCTGAGGATGCGAATCGCATGTTCGAAGTTAACATCACGGGTGTGATGATGACTGCTCAAGCGGTCGCAAAGCAGATGATTAGGTTTGGCAGTGGTGGAAGTCTGGTGTTCATCGCCAGTATGTCTGGCACTGTTGCCAACAGGGTACGTAGTCATTGGGTCTTTTTAGCGTCGTACTTGCTAACGTCTTCAAAAGGGTCTGATCTGCTCAGCTTACAACACATCAAAGGCTGGAGTGATTCAGCTCGCTCGAAATCTGGCATCTGAATGGGGTCAGTACAATATTAGAGTCAACAGCATCTCACCAGGGTATATCGTTACACAGATGGTGGAGGAGCTGTTCAAGCAATATCCAGATCGGCGAGAGGAGTGGCCAAAGCAAAACATGCTAGGTCGTCTTTCGGCTCCTAAGGAGTACAGGGGCGCTGCAGTATTCTTGATTAGCGATGCTAGTTCGTTCATGACAGGGTCAGATCTGAGGATAGATGGTGGCCATTGTGCGTGGTAGACGAATGATAAACGATACCATGAACAAGAAATTTGTGCAATTTCAATTTTCAACGATGATAGTGATGGTGGAAGTTGGTAAAAGTATTCGAGACTGCTGAGTCAGCGAATTTTGGTGAAGCCTGAACTTCGGAAGGTGCGTTTGACTACACATGGCCTCCACGAGCATGCCAACAAACGGGCAGCCGTTGTGCTGCTGGCACTCACTGCGCTGAACTAGGTCATCTACCTCTGGTCTTCCAAGCTGATATATCTCAAAAGACATTGGTGTTGACCAATTGTCTGGGCTGACCGACAGAGCATCTCTCACTCTGCAATGCCGAGCTCGACACCATCCTCTGTCACCCGCTATCGCCCAGCCATCCTTGTCTGTACTGGAGCCGCGGCGGCATACACAGCATACCTCATATACAGCACTCTTCAGCAATCACCCAGCGATGGCCTGCACCGAAGCAACGCGATCCGTCGCCCGAATGCGCGCCAACGTCGACGGGCGTCACATGCAGCGCATCTCCTCTCGCGTCTCGAACGGGATCTCCCCACTATGGGCGAGTACACAATGTTCGGGGCTGCACTCACAATCGATCCCTATAATATACCACCAGCGGCTGAGCTTCGAGACTTGATCACCCGTCTGGAGCCAAATGCTGGTCCTGAGACCGTCGAAATTTCGATTGCGCATCTGTATGATGAGTTCCTGAATCGGCTGCTTGCATTTCTGTTCCCTGGTCGACCGCTCTCTCCAACAGACAAGGTTGTCATTGAGAGGTGGCTCGGTGATCGAGCCCCAAATTCTGGCGTAGTCGAGCGCGCAGCGGAGCGACACGCCCACAGGGTCTCCCAAGGTGGAAACACTGCCGTTGATGGTGCTGAAAGTGTCGCAGCTACAGATCTCTCATGGGCGAGTGACGAGGATGCTGAGGGCGATACCATGGACTCAGATGATCAAACTCTTCAGCGCACCTTATATCACATTGCTGAACATAGAGCAAAGCAGGAAGGTGTAATTCATCGAGGCATTACCTGCAATGGTTGTGACGAGAAGCCGTAAGCAATCACCCACGTATGCTACGACCATCCGTGAGACAAAAACTGACTTCGTATTCCTCTTATAGGATACGCGGCGTCAGATGGCACTGCGCCAATTGTGTCGACTTCGACTTATGCTCTAATTGTGAAGCGACAAATTCCCATCTCAAGACTCACATCTTCTACAAAATTCGCGTGCCTGCGCCTTACCTCGCTATGCCAAAACAGACACCACTCTACCCTGGCAAACCACACATGATGAGCCCCTCCATCGATTCCCCGATCAAAAAACGCCTCGTCACAGAGACAAGAATGGAGGCAGAGGAGATCGAGGCCCTCTGGGATCAGTTCACATGCCTTGCAGGAACAGAATGGACCGCTGACTCTGACACCATCGGGTGGGCAATTGATCGGCGCGCCTTCAATCATGCGTTTGTCCCTCGGTACAGCAGCTTTGTCCCTGCGCCAAATCTAATTTACGACCGTATCTTCGCCTACTATGATACAGACAAGAACGGTCTTATTGGGTTTGAGGAGTGGATCAAAGGATTGAATGGAATGCATGCTACAGACAATGCCACAAGAGCCAGAATCGTGTTCAATGGATACGACATAGATGGGGATGGATGTATATCGCGCAAAGATATATTGCGGATCTTCAGGGCTTACTATGCCATTGAGAAGGAAGCTGCACGCAACTATGTGGCAGAGATTACAGAGGAACTCTCCGTTCGAAACGCTCTGGATACAGTCCGTTCCAGTCAGCCGTTGGGTTCTGCGTTTCCAGCAAACGTCTCATTCACGAGAAACCACGACAATTCTCGCCTACAGAGTAAGCAGCAGGACGAGTCCGATAATACGTCACCAGTTCTCTACGATGAAGATCAGGATGTTGCAGATCGTGACGAAATGTTGAAGGTCACTGATATTCATAACATCATGCCGGGAGAGCTGTCTCAAAGCGAACAAGACCGCATAGTCACGAATCGATGGGCTCGGAGACAATACTACGTTGATGAGGAAGAGGGATTGACCAGACCCCAAGGCGTAGACGATTCAGGCCTAGCTAGCGACGCATTGGGCGACGAAGTGGAGCTGGCTGGAGACTCTGAAAATCCTCCAAGTCAGCACGTTGAGCGACCGAGATGGTCACGATCGTCGTCAAGAGTGAGATTCCAGGACGACGTTGATGTCGAAACGCGATCGAATGCCTCGACATCATCGAGGCCTGTGGGTGAGCGATGGGGTGGCTACGAAATTCCTGAACCTGAAAAGGATCTGGGCAAGGAGGTACTCTACCAAATCACGCAGCAAGGCTTCAATGAGCTACTCAATCCCATCTTCCAAGAAAATGAAGACAATGCAATGGACGCTTTCGCCACGCGCAGTGAGCGCCGCAAGCGCGCTGCCGAAATCGATGAAGCCACGGACTTGTTCAAAGTGAATGAGCCCCTGAACAAGACTATCTGCCGGGTCGGGATTTTTCGATTTGTCAAATGCTTCATTGACGTGTTTTGCAAGATCCTCAACGAAGGACGTGTTTATGACGAAGACGACGACAATGGCCACGTTTACGGCAGCATCAAGCAGTTTTTCGAAGACAGCCAGGGTGCGGGCCTCAATCGAGAGGCAGCTACGATTCGACTCGAACTCGCTTATGTAGCCGTCGAAGCGAAACTCATACACGACCTGGACTCGACAAAGAACGATGAGTTGGTTCATGATGATATGTCTCTGTGGAATACCTGGCTTTGCAGACACCGGTTTCAACAAGAATTACTCGGCACTGTGCTCGAGTGTGTTGCTCAACAAGGATGGATATGCACTCTAGTTCCAGTTCAGCTCCAACCCGAGGAGCAAAAGGCTGATGTTCACACGGCTCGCAGCGACCCCACACTACCGCAATTCCGACCCAACTCGTTAACCGAAATCGACGCTGCGGAATCTGCTCCTACCAATTCCTTGAACACTGCGACCGATTCTCGAGCGGCAAACGAGTCTTCTGTGAGCGAAGCCGCACGGGTAAACTACTACCAGAACGATGATGATACTATGCATCTCGCAGCAGATCCTCAAGGCCCTTTCTTTACCTTGATGTCTACCGAAATGGACGAATCGAGCCCAGAGGACCGAGTGGAGGTTCCAGAGGAAGAAGAAAGTTTGGACACAGCACCAATACTTTCCTCATCGACTCCACCAGTTCCTCCAACTTCGGACGCTCTGCCAGGAGACACTGCCCCTGAGCTCGACGCCGTCCCTCCTCCCGCTACATCTACTCCGAGCACTCCAAACACCCAGCCTGCCCCCATCAACATCCGCAACTACACCAACACGCCCGCCATCGGCCTCTTCAGCATCACCACAACCGAAGGCCGCGAAACACTCAAAGCCACAACCAAAATAGTCACCCACTCCACAAACCCCTACCACCCCGAAATGTACCCCCAAAAGCCGCTCGAGCGCCACATCCGCCAGGTCGCCATGGATCCCGACTCGCCACTCCACGCCACGCTGCTTGCTAGCCTCGAGGCCGTCGAGCAGCAGATCAGCGAGCGCAAGGGCAGCGGGCTGCTGAACTTCGACGAGTTCGAGGCGCATATGAAGGAGGGGCGGCTGCGGTTCTTGGAGAGCTGGATGGATTGGGTGAGTTTTTGATGTTCTTGGGGTTGTGAGGGGATGTTCTTTTTTTTGCTTGTATGTTTTTGGTTGAGGGAGTGCATGGTGTGTGTGTGTATGTGTGTGCTGGGGATTGATGAATGCGACGGGGATGAGTCTAGACTGACAATGTCGATGCAGTTTTACAAAGGGCGCTTCGGCCTGCTTCCTTTTGTTTGAAGAAAAGCTCATTGGTATGGTGTAGAGATATGAGGGTTTTGTTACTGCACCTCATGGCGTCGACGAAGATAGTATACAATCTATGGAGAAATAGTACACGTCTGTGCGAGTAAGGCCCATGCTGTACTGTGGTTTCGCCCTGAAGTACAAGCTATTCGCCGCCTGTTGGTACATGTCTGTTGGGATGCTTACACGCGCATTGAAAAGATTATCAAACAGCCTTCTGGTGTGTATCCGTCTAAACGTCTTCCCCGCTCTATTTACCATGGCCACCAACGCAGTGAACGCACTCGTTCCAGCATATTCACTTCTTCCCCTCAACAAAAAGCTCGTACTCATACGCCGAGAATAGAAACGGTGCAACGCCCTTGAGGTCATTTTCAAAAAGCGGGATACTCGCATAGTACTGTATACAGCGCGTCAGTCACCTCCCACCCATCTCCTCGCAAAACATCCGCATGGGAAAGAAAAGACGGGAGAAAAACTCACCTCAAAGCTCCCATTCGAGCTCAAACTCCCCGTCTGCACAGTCCACCCCCACGCCAACGCACCATCCCCACCCCTCTCCTCAACAAACACCCCCGTCATAAGTTCCCACGCGCTCATCGCAGCATCGACATACTTAGCCCCTGAAACGTACCCAAGGCGCAGACTCTTGAACAACCCGTACACGAACATAGCCGTGCCGGAGCTCTCGATATAATTCCCCGAGCGCACCTCCAGCCCGGGATCCATGATATTGTACCAGCCCTTGTATGTGCTGTCTTGCACGGCGACGATCGCGTCGGCGAGGGAGTGCAGGTAGGTTAGTAGACGGGCGCGGCCCGGGTGGTGGGCGGGGAAGTAGTCTAGTGTGTCTATGAGGGCCATTATGTACCTGTATATAGTTACAGCTGCGTGAGCTATGAGGAGATTGTGTAAAGGGGTTCAAAACTCACCACCCGACTGCTCGCCCCCATACATGCGGCGCCGCGCCCGTTACGGGATCAGCCCAGATCTGCGTCTTGCTTACGTCGAAGCCGTGCACGGGCAGGCCGTGCGTGCGGTTCCAATCCCCCCGCGTTCCGGCGTCGATGAGGTCGAATTGCAGCGCGATGTCGTCCCAGGCTGTGGTGTTGGCGGGCTCGAACTCGTGCGTCCACCGCGCGTAGAAGACGTCTAGCATGTAGATACCGTCCAACCACATCTGATCGGCATATTCTGGATAGCGATGATAGAACCCCCCTGCAGGTGTGCGTCTCGAGCGATCAATCTGGTCGCGCAGTGTCTGGGCAGCGATCTTGTAAATCTCCTCCCCGTTGGTTAGATTGTACATATCGAGGAACGTGTGTCCGAAGCGGATATCATCAATAGAGTTACTATTGTTGTACCCCAGGATCTGGCCGTTCCAGTCGGGGTATAACTGGATATTCGTGTGCTTCTCAATGAAGGCGTAGTATTTCTCATCGCCGGTGCGGTCGTAGGCGAGTTTTACGCCCGATAGGAAGGCGGATACGGTGTAGGCGTGCGTGGGCTCGATGCCGTGCTTGATGTGGCTGTCTGCCATCCAGGTGAGGTAGCGCGGTGCGCCGTGGAAGGAGGCAGGAGAGATTTTCGCGGCGGGGGGGATGGTGAACCAGCCATTTGGGAGGGAGACGTTGGATGCTGCGAGGGCGGTGGTGGAGGTGCTGGCGAGAAGAAGAAGCGCCAAGTTGGTGAGGGGGGACTTCATCGTGGTTGATGTCGTTGGTTTGCCGTGGGTGGGAGGAGACGTCTTACTCCCTCCATCACTAGATAACAGCTCTTATACAACTCCCCAAACCAATCTATCCATGGCCGAACACAGCAACGTCCATGGTACATCACACCCGCCAAGCTCTTCTCCCCTCCATCCTCAACGCTGCAAATCCCTCGGTCCCAGGAAGTCGATCTTAGAAGAGAGACCCATATACCCAGCTCAAGCTCGCCATCATTGGAAGGTCGGCCTCAGTATCGGCGAGAAGACGCAGACGCTCGCCATTGAAATAGTCCGTCGATGTTCGCCACCGCAGTTGACGTGTATTGTCGGGTCGTTGTATATAGCTAGAAGTTGACCAGTGGACGGAAAAATAAATATGGGGCGCTTGGGATTTGACTTGGCAATTTTGCGGGGGAGGGAAAGGGTGTGCTTTTGGTTGCCGGCGATTCTGTTTTGTCGTGAAGTGAGAGTCGAGTTGAATTGTTGGGGGGTTCTGCGCTTTGAGTGTTTGGATGCCTTGCTTTCACTCTTTCGCGAGCGGTGGTGGTAACTCAGCGAGTCATGTTATCTTCTCATACGCATGGGTGGTGGTCATTAAGTAACTTAGTAACAAAGCAGCTCGTTTAATATTTTACAGCTATAGATGAGTGAGGAAATGGATGTAAAAGCTTAGTGCAAAGTAGAGTATAGTATCAGGGAAGGGAGAAGAGAGTAGAACAAGAGTAAAGACGGGACCACCACCACCGCCGCTACTACTACTACTATCACCCCATCCATCACGAAAAACAAGTAAACATAGTATTTCCCCGTCAGTCGCTGCCTCTCAGGCTGTGTACTCTATTTTGCTTATCCATCTCATCTCATCCTCGTCCGACAATTCCTCGCAACAAGAGCGAGAAAGGGGAAAAGCAAAATAGTTAAACAGACATATGCGTAGCCACACAAGTGAAGAAACATCCATACATCCAACAACGCAGGTACCACATGATCTACAAGGCAACAGTCAAATACTCAGTCAATCGGTGAACACATATCCACAACAAATCATCATCATCATCATTCATTCCTCCCCCCCCCCTAGCAAAAACCCTCACGCCTCCCCCTGCAACGGCATCCCATTCCCCCCCAACGTAACCGTCTTAGTAACAACATACTCCTCAACCCCCAACATGGACCCCTCCCTCCCAAACCCACTCTCCTTAACGCCACCAAACGGACTCCCCGCATCAGAAATCAAGCCGGTATTAACGCCCACCATGCCGACCTCCAGGGCCTCCGCAACGCGATAACAGCGCTGCACATCGCGGCTGAAAAAGTATCCCGCAAGCCCGACATCCGCCGAGTTCGCCAGCCGAACAACATCGGCCTCGGTGTCGAATTTGAACAGGCCGGCAACGGGGCCGAAAGTTTCTTCGTCGTGTAACTTCATGTCGGCGGTCATGTCGCGGATGACGGTGGGCTGGAAGAAGTTTGCACCCAGGTCTGGCATTCTGTTGCCGCCGACGAGGACTTTGCCGCCCTGGGTGACTGCGTCTTGGACGTGCGTTTCTACCTTCTCGAGGGCGCGGGCGTGGATGACGGGGCCGTGGGTGACGCCTTCATCGTAGCCGTAGCCGACGGAGAAGGCTTTTACTTTTTCGGTGAACTTTGTGGCGAAGGCGTCGTAGATGCCGGATTGCACGTAGATGCGGTTTGCGCAGACGCAGGTTTGGCCCGAGGAGCGGAATTTCGAGGTGATGGCGCCGGCGACGGCGGCGTCGAGGTCGGCGTCGTCGAAGACGATGAAGGGTGCGTTTCCGCCGAGCTCGAAGGAGAGTTTCTTCAGGGTCGAGGCGGATTGCTTCATGAGGAGTTTGCCGACGCCGGTGGAGCCTGTGAAGGAGACTTTCTTGACGGTCTTGCTGGAGGTGATGGTCTCGCCGACTTCGGGCGTGTTCTTGAGCGCTGTGACGAAGTTGACGACGCCCTTGGGGATGCCTGCTCGGTGCGCTAGCTCGGCGAGGGCGGCGGCTGTGAAGGGCGTCTCGCCTGGAGACTTTGCGACGACGGTGCAGCCTGCTGCCAGCGCTGGGCCAATCTTGCGAGTAATCATAGCAGCGGGGAAATTCCATCTACCCAAATTAGCCATGTCCTCAACCATCATCTACCATCACTCACGGTGTAATCAGCCCACAAACTCCCACAGGCTCTTTGATGGTAAACACCCTGTTCCCAGCCACACTCGCCGGAATCGTGTTCCCGTACATCCTCGGCGCCTCCTCAGCAAACCACTCGAAGAAGCTCGCCGCATATGTGACCTCGCCCTTTGCATCCGCCAGCGGCTTCCCGTTCTCCCACGTTATGAGCTTGGCGAGATCGTCGGCGTTGTCCACCATCAGCTGGTACCACTTCCGCAGCATGCGAGATCGCTCACGGCCCGTCGTCTTACGGAATGAGGGGAGCGCGGCGGCGGCAGCTGCAATGGCGGCTTCGGTGTCGGCGCGGTCCATCTCAGGCTGTGTCGCGATGAGTTCGCCAGTCGCCGGGTCTAGTGTGTGTCAGGAACGACATAACCGTAGCGGAAGAAGGGAGAGAGCAGTACCATGGACCTCGAACGTCTTGCCCGACTTTGCACCCACCCATTCTCCATTGACATAAGTCTGTGTCTTGAGAAGGGAGGGATCATTGAGCTATTGCAAACATTAGTCGCAATCCCCCACCACCACACCACACCAGAACAAAACCTACAGGCGGCACAGAATGACCCATCTTTCCGGTTCCAGAAAACCCCCGCGTAGCAATCAATGGCAGTGTTCGTCCCTGGAAGTTCGTCCTGCACGTCCGTTGGCGCGCGAGAGATCGTGTTGCGGCTGCAAAAGAACGCATCGTGGCGTTTTCACTGGGGTAGGGTATCCGGGTATATATAAAGCTGCGGAGAGGTGGCTACCGAGGTTGGTCGGGTGCGTGCAATTTGTAATATGACCACACGTCAATTCTCGTCAATCGTCGAGGATGGCTGCTCGGGGATGACGTTGGGGACGGAGCTATGACCCGGAGTTTGGCTTTGCGGGGTTTCGCGTGCGGTGCCGAGTACGGTAAGTCAACGGCTTTTTTCAATGGGACGGGATGGTGGGAGATGAGGTTAAGAGTACTGAAAACGGAAAGTTTGAATCTGTAGGCTGGATATTTATATTTCAAGACCAACCCTGAGAAAGATCCCAGGCGTGTGCAGCGTACAGGGCGTTAAGAGCGTGTAGGCAGTCTCAAAGTCCGAATAAAAAGTCCTCACCATGATCAAGTACCTATGATCAAGGTCAAGATCTGCATTTCCATGTCTCACGCAGCCAGTTCGACATCATCCAAAAATTTCCTCACAAACTTCGTCGTCTCCTCGAGCCCCTGCTTCACAATCTCCGTCTGGTTCACAAACCCAACACGCACATAGCCCTTCCACTCGCTGCCAAAGCACTCACTCCCAGGCGTAAACAGCACGCCCGTCTTCTCAAGCAGCTTCTTGCAGAAATCCACAGAGTCGACCGGTTTCCCATCTCTGTGGAACTTGATGAACGCCGTGGTCCCGGCTACAGGCTTCACCCACTCGCACTCGTCCTCGTTCTTGATGAGGAACTTCTCCAGCAGGGCGAGGTTTGCCTTGGCGAGCTGGATGTTGCGGGCGAGTAGCTTGTGGATGGTGGACGGGTGGAGGGCGTAAGCGGCGATTTGCTCGTCGAATGCAGAGACGGATATGGTCGTGTAGTGGCGTGCGGAGGCGATCTTCTCAATGAGCGAGGAGTCGCGGGATGCGATCCAGCCCACGCGGATGCCGGCGAGAGAGTAGGCTTTCGACATTGATCCTGTGACGACGATGTTCGAGTACCCCATTGACATGAGGGATGGGGGGAATTCTTTGTCCAGTGGGCTCATGGAGTGGAAGATGGGACGGTAGACTTCGTCGCTCATGATGGTGATGTTGTGTTCTGTGGCAACGTCGATGAGCTCTTGCAGGAAGGACTTCTTTAAGACGGCTCCAGTGGGGTTGTTGGGGTTGTTGATGACGATGAGCTTGGTGTTGGGCTTGATCAGCGCTTTCAGGTCTTCGATGGTGGGAGCCCATTCATTATGGGGCGATGCTTTCCACAAGTCGACCTCTGCGCCCAGCTGCTTTGGCACCTCATAGAGGGACTGGTACGTTGGGTAGTGGCAGATGACATGGTCTCCAGGACCCACGAGCGCATACGCAGTCAGGTAGTTTGCCTGAATGGCTCCAGGCGTAGTGATGATGTTGTCCTGGCTCAAAGGGGTTGTGACTTTTGCAGAGTACAGTCTGGCGAGGTTGTTCCTCAGGTCATCGGATCCTCTGATGGCGCCGTAGTTGAGGACCTTTGAGGTGTCGAATATCTCGCGATCCTTATCTTCGGACAGCTCTCGCAGTTGATCAAGGGACACGGAGGCACAGCACGTCTCGGCAATGTTGTACTTGCATTTCGTCTCGTATGCGTCCATCCACTTGCATGGTCAGTGTCACATGTGGAGAGAATGCGGGGAAGGGCACGCACCGATTCGACGGCGAAGTCGTTGATTTTGACCATGGTGAGAGGGATGACAGAGATGTTCTGTTACAGATGCAGTGAAGAGGAGATGCTTTACAGGAACTACTGATCAGAAAAGGTAGTACATGTAGCCCCTCACATGGACGAAAGGGCGCTGTCGACACGCCCTACCGATGTCAGTTGTTAATCGAGGCACATGTGGTTAGTTTTTGTAGTCATTTGGATCTATGTTCATCTACAATCAAACACTACAAGCCTGTGAAGCAATTCTTTTGTAATTCGTAATCATTGATGTGTGTTGAGCGCGTGATGGCAGCGGGATGGATGTCATGCACGTCGACGAGGCTTAGACGCGCCTGCCTCGGGGTGTCTAAGGTGTCCACCAATGACGATGACGCTGGGCCGATAGCAAGGCTCCCAGCGTGTGGCCACCTCGACAGCACCACGACGGCTGCTCCTCAGCATCTCACCTTCTTTCGACCTTTGGGCTTGCTGGCCATCTTCCATCACGACTCGGACGCGTCTGTAGCACGTCGCGGCAGCTCCAGGCCCCGGCATCGGCAGATAAACAGACAGACAGCGCTCGCTGTGCGCCGCGCCCTCGATGATGCGCCATACGCCCTGGGCGACGTCGCTCGCGGCCCTGCTGGCTCTGGCAGGGTCGTCGGCAGCCTACAAGACGACGGCAAACTACTCCATCGCCGAATCGCCCGACGCGCTCTTCTCCATCTACGGCGACCGCCCCGACGGCTGCCCGCCATGCTTCAACTGCAACCTCGAGGACTTCAAGTGCCACCAGTTCGCCGGCTGCAGCAAGGCCAGCGGGAGGTGTAGCTGTCCGCCTGGCTTTGGAGGCGAGGACTGCTCAGAACCGCTGTGTGGCGCGCTTCCTGACGGCAAGGACCGCGCGCCGAGAGGAGGCGACAAGACGTGCCAGTGCAACGAGGGCTGGACAGGCATCAACTGCAACGTCTGCGAGACCAACGACGCCTGCAACGCCATGATGCCTGATGGCGAGGGTGGCGTGTGCTACAAGGATGGACAGCTCGTCAAGGAGAACTTCCAGATGTGCGACATCACAAACAAGAAGATCATCGACACGCTCAAGGACAAGAAGCCCCAGGCCACCTTCTCCTGCAACGCTGAGTTGGAAGAGTGCAATTTTCAATGTAGGCGCCACATTCACCCACCCAATCTTCACACAGCTAACAACCGTAGTCTGGATCGACCAGAAGGAGTCGTTCTACTGCGCCCTCGACACGTGCTCCGCCCAATGGACCGCCGAGTCCGACCGCAACATCACGAACTACAAGTGCGAGAACATCAAGTGCGCCTGCGTGCCAGGCAGGATGCTCTGTGGAGAGGAGGGTTCCATCGACATTGGCGAGTTCTTGACCGAGTCTATTCGAGGACCCGGCGAATTCAGGTCTGTCTCCTCGGTAAACAGCAGGGATACTGGCAGCACCTTCTCTGAGCCCGCCATGAACGACCTCATCTCCAGCGTCTTTGGCGACGAGAGCATCTTCCTCAAGTGCAACACCGGCGAGTGCATGTATCAAACTGAGGTTCCAGGTTACCAACGGCCTGTCAAGAAGATCAACACGCCTCTGATTGCTGGCGTCATTGCTGGCTGTGCGCTCTTCATAGTCGCGGCCATCTTGGGCATCTGGTATCTCACCCATCGAAACGACGGCAAGCGCCATGGCTATTTCCATCTCTCAGATGACGAGGAAGACGAGAACGCCAAGCTGTTGGCAGATCACAAGCCTGCTGCTCTGTCTTTTGAGAACGTTGGCTACAACCTGAACGGCAGGCAGATTCTCTCTGGCATCACTGGTGCAGTTCACCCTGGAGAGCTCCTGGCCATCATGGGAGCGTCAGGCGCTGGCAAGACCACTTTCTTGGACATCCTGGCCCGTAAAAACAAGATCGGAGCCGTCACCGGCGACTTCTACCTCAATGGCGAGAAAGTTCGCGACGAGGAGTTCAGGAACGTTATTGGATTCGTCGACCAGGAAGATACGCTACTACCTACCTTGACCGTCCATGAGACGATTCTGGATTCAGCATTGCTTCGTCTCCCCAAAGAGATGAGCCGTATTTCCAAGGAGCAAAAGGTCGAGGATGTTGAACGACAGCTCGGTATCTACCACATCCGCAACCAAATGATCGGCTCCGAGGAGAGCGGCCGTGGTATTTCTGGCGGAGAGAAGCGCCGTGTCGGTATCGCCTGTGAGCTTGTCACTTCGCCCAGCATTCTGTACTTGGATGAGCCTACGAGTGGTCTCGATGCCTTCAACGCCTTCAACGTGGTCGAGTGCCTCGTCAATCTCGTCAAGAACTACAACCGAACCGTCATCTTCACCATCCATCAGCCGCGATCAAACATTGTCGCGCTCTTCGACCAACTGATTCTTCTCGCCAAAGGACGGACTGTCTATTCGGGTCCCTTCGAAAGCTGCCAGCCATACTTTGACAACATTGGATATACCTGCCCGCCTGGGTTCAACATTGCAGACTACTTGGTGGATCTCACTATGCACGCAAGTGCGGCGCACCGAAGTATAGACGAGGACAGCTCCCTCTTCACGAGGGATGGACTTCGTACAAGTGCAAGCAGTGCGATCGCAGTCAAATCGATCCCCAGCATCAACAACCCAGAGATTGATAGAGACATGGCCACCAGTCCCAGCAACTCGAGCACCCGACCCAGGAACAAGCGCAGGACCTCAATCCGACAACAGCAAGAACGCGAGCTCTTCACAAGAAAGAAGACCTCTATTCACGCAGACGGTACGGCGTCCCCCAAGACTGATGACGAAGCTCCCTACGATCGTCGAGATGGTCTCAAAGCACAGTGGTTGAAGCTTACCCGTCAACAAGGTGGCCCGCCTGCTCAGATTCTGGAAGACCTCGATGAACTTCCTCCTCCTGCCGATGGCGGTACCGGAACGAACTTGGATACCCTCATCACCGCCTATACCGTATCCGACGTTGCGGCAAGCATCCGCGAAGACATTGCCAGCTCCGTCGCAAGCGCACACGAAGCGAACGGAACAAACGGCGACACAGAAACGAACGGATTCGTCGCGGCCGGCAAGCTAAAGGGCTTCCGAAAGGTCGGTCTCGCAGGCCAATTCATGATCCTGTCCCGACGCACATGGCGCAACCTATACCGCAACCCAATGCTAATGCTCACGCACTACGCCATCGCCATCGTGCTCGCCGTCTTCCTAGGCTTCCTCTTCTACGGCCTAACCGACGACATCAAGGGCTTCCAAAACCGGCTCGGCCTCTTCCTCTTCGTCCTCTCCCTCTTCGGCTTCAGCAGCCTCACCATCCTCACCGTCTTCGCCCCAGAACGCCTCCTCTTCACCCGCGAACGCGCAAAGGGATATTACTCCCCGCCCGCCTACTTCGCTGCTAAAGTCATCTTCGACATCATTCCCCTGCGCCTCCTGCCCCCTATCATCCTCGGCATCATCGTTTACCCCATGACAGGCCTTATTCCTGCCTGGCCCAATTTCCTCAAATTCGTCCTCTTCCTCGTCTTGTTTAACCTTGCTGCTGCAGCTATCTTCCTCTTCATCGGCATCGTGTTCCGCAACTCCGGCGTCGCGAATCTGATCGGTGTGCTGGTTATGCTGTTCAGTCTGCTGTTCTCGGGCTTCTTCCTCAATAAAGAGAGTATCCCTGGGGTTGCCAAGTGGCTGCAATCTGTACGTCTTCCCTCCCCATCATCTTCCCACAAATTCATCTCCAAACACATACTAACTCAAACAACCAGCTATCAATCTTCCACTACGCCTTCGAGGGCCTCATCGTAAACGAAGTCAAATACCTCTCCCTCATCGACCACAAATACGGCCTCGATATCGAGGTCCCCGGCTCCGCGATCCTTAGCTCCTTCGGCTTTAATGTGCTCGATCTGTGGAAGGATGTTGTTGGCTTGGCCGCGTTTGGTGGCGCGTTTGTGGTGCTGGCGTATCTCGCTATGCATTTCTTGCTGGTGGAGAAGCGGTAGTGGGGGGGTGTTTGGGGGTGGAGGGTGAGGGTTGGGGGGTTGGAGGGGTAGATGGAGGGTGTTTGCATATTTGGCGTTTTACTTTTTGGGAGGAGATTTTTTCGGCTGTGTATTGTATGTATGAGTGAGTCAAGTGAGTGGTTGTGGAATTAAATCGAATTGCCTCGTAATTGTAATTGTATGTGTGCCCCATTTCTTCCTTAGAAATCCGTGTATGTCGTTTTCTGCCATGATATCATTCATTCATACATATACACATACATATACACATACATCTACAATCATACACTTCCCTCCCCCTCCCCCTCCCCAAGAAAACACAGCCTACGCATTCCTATCCTTCTGCTCCTTCTCATACTTCGCAATAAGCTCCCTCTGCAGCTGCGGCGGCGCAGGACTATAATGGCTAAACTCCATACTAAACTCGCCCTTGCCCTGCGTGCCCGCCCTAAGCTGACTACTAAACCCAAACATGCTATTCAGACTACAATCGGCATAGACCGTGAAATCCTCAGGCCCAATCTCCGTATCATTAATCACCGCATTCCGCTTATTCAGCAGCCCGACAACAGAGCCCTGGAACTCGTTTGGCGCGGTAATCGTTGTTTTCATGAGGGGTTCTAGGACCTGTGGTGCCCCGGCGATGAAGGCTTTGCGGAAGGCTTGCTGAGTTGCGGTTTTGAATGCCTGTTCCGAGGAGTCGACTGCGTGGGTGGCGCCGTCGTTTATGATCATTGTGGCGCCTAGGACGCGGTGGCCGAGTAGAGGGCCCTTTGCTGTGCTGGCCAGGAAGCCCTTTTCACAGGCGAAGAGAAACTTTTCGCTGATTGTGCCGCCGGAGATTTGCTGTTCGAATTTATTATCCGCAAGTGCTTCGCTGGGCTCCATCCACCCGACTACGCGGGCGTAGTCGCCTGAGCCGCCGGACTGCTTGCGCAGCGTGTGGTCGAAGTTTACGCGCTGGGTGATTGTTTCGCGGTAGGCGACTTGGGGTTGGCCTGTTTCGCATTCGACGCGGTATTCGCGGCGCATGCGCTCGACGTAGATGTCGAGGTGGAGTTCGCCCATGCCGGAGATGACTGTTTCCTGGGATTCGGCGTCGACGTGGACGCGGAAGGTGGGGTCTTCGCGGGTGAAGCGGTTCATGGCTTTGCTGAAGTTGGGTGTGTCCTTTGTGTGCTTTGGTTTGATGGAGAGGGAGATGACGGCTTCGGGGACGAACATGGATGTCTATTACATTGTCAGCTTTTGCTTGGGCGGGTGTTTTGGGAGACGGGGGAAGACTTACCATGGTGTAGCCCAGACCGCCGTCAGTGAAAGTGTCACCAGAGGCGCAGTCGACGCCGAACACGGCGCAGATTTCTCCAGCGCCAATCTCCTGCACTTCTTCCATGTCGTTGGAGTGCATGCGCACAATCTTTGGAATCCTGACCCTCTTGTCTGACCTCGCATTGAACACGTTCATGCCCTTCTTCAGCGTACCTTGGTACACGCGAATATATGTCAGTTGCCCGAAACTGCTCTCTTCAAGCTTGAAAGCCAGACCAACAAACGGTAGAGAGTTGTACGAGACGAGTTTGACAGGAGCTTCCTTCCGCCTCTTATCCAGGGCCAGGTTCTCAACTTCGGAGGGGTTGGGGAGGTAATCGCAGACGGCGTCGAGCATGGGCTGAACAGACTTGTCGGCGAGCGCAGAGCCCATGACGACAGGGCTGAACTTTAGAGCGATAGTTGCGCGTCGAATGGCGGCCTTGATTTGGAGTATGGTCGGCTCCTGCTCGTCCAAGAAGAGCTCTGCCATTTCATCGTCGACGTCTGCCAGTTTCTCGATGAGTTCCTGCCTCTTCTCCTTGCACAGCTCCACCAGGTCCTCCGGGATGTCGTCCGTTTCTCTGATGATTATACCCTTCTCACCCTCGTTGTAGATGGCCTTCATGCGGATCAGATCGACCACTCCCAAGAAGCCATCCTCACGCCCAATCGGGACCTGAATAGCCGCAGCAGGTATCCTGAGCTTCTGGTTGATCTGCTCGACAGCCTTCCAGGGATTCGCGCCCATACGGTCCATCTTGTTGACAAAGGATATCCTGGGAATGTTGTACCTCCTCATCTGCCTGTCGACTGTGATGGTCTGACTCTGCACGCCACTGACGGCGCAAAGAATCATAACAGCGCCGTCGAGAACCCGCAGTGCCCTCTCCACCTCGATGGTGAAGTCGATATGGCCGGGAGTATCGATCAAATTGATGTGAAAGCGCTCCTCCTTCCCGTCGTCGTTCTTCTTCACCCAGTCGGCGAAAGTCGCGGCAGACTGGATAGTAATACCCTTCTCACGCTCGAGGTCCATAGAATCCATCTTGGCTCCCACCGAGTCCTTGCCTCGCACCTCATGGATAGAATTGATTCGGCCTGTGTAGAAGAGGACGCGTTCGGTGGCGGTGGTCTTGCCGGAGTCGATATGCGCCGCAATACCAATGTTGCGGACTCTCGATAACCGCTCCCACTCGACAGGGTCCAGATTCTCGACAATCTTCTCTTGTGTCAGTGCAGATGGGTCTTCTTTCGCCTGCTCGAGTCTGTGCATTTCCGTTAGCCTTCAATTGCTCCCCCGCTCGACTCGCCTCTGCGAATGCACAGTGCAATGCAGTGCTGTTATAGGCAACGTACACTTGAGCAGCCACTGACTGCCACCTCCTCTGTCCGTGTGTCCTCTGACTGCTTATCCACGTATCCGTTTTTGTGCCGTTGGTATAGGGCGTGCGCGACGCCGCCACAGTCGAGAGAGCGCATCGAGCAGACGTTCGACACGCTGCTTGAGCCGAGCTGCGAAGACTGCTGGCCGCGAGCGAATGCGCCCGAATAAATGACTGCATCCTCATCTTGGACAGTCTCAGCTGCTACAAGACAAAAAACAAAACGAGGGAACGACGCTGGGGTCTGTGATCGCTGCCCACAAATACCATCGCGGGAAAAAAGTTGGGGCTTCGGAGTTCGGAGGTGTCGATCACGTGTCCACGCGCCCACTCGCCTTTGAATACTTTCGCAACAACGCGTTGAGTAGAGAGACATCTCGTGAACTGATATAATGCTGCCGTGGATTCACCGCCTGCAGCCTTGTTAATCAAACACTCAAAGCTTATGTTGACGACTACGGCAATCATGACAAAGGTACTACGTCTCAAAATACACACAATAGTTGGTATTCAAGAATCCTATTCCCCTCCAATATAGCACACGAATAGTACAGTGGAGTGACCTGCTAACACCGCCATTGGATATGAAGTTCCGCCAATCAACTAACGCTCCTAAAATGCTAATGAGAAACGAATAGAAACAAAACCTGCCCGCTAATAAAACCTCCTGGATGCTTTGAGAGGCCTATGCATGCATGGACTGAATCGATAGGCACAAAGCTCCTCGAGATCGTCCAGCTTCACAACGTAGACCATCTGAAATGCGCCCACCCAAGACTAATGGACGGCGGTGCCTTCGAGGCTAGGCGTCTGCTCCGTTGTGGGCGAAACTGCCTCTTCGACTGAAGGGGCTGCCTCACTTTCCGAAGCCTCTGTCGTGTGATCCGGCGCAGACTCAGTGCCTTCTACACTCGCCGAATCAGTCGCGGCATCGTGAGCGCTGGAGTCCTTCGATGCCTCATCATCATCACCGTTGGTGATTGCCGCCTTGGCCTTGGCGGCTACCTCGATAACCTTGTTCTTGCCCTTCTGGATGGTGGTCTTGGAAGCCGCTTTACGGGGTGGTGAAGTCGGCTTCTCATGCGTCTTGCTAGCACTGGCAGTTGTAGGGCGCATCATGCGGGCCAAAAAGCCCTCATTGGGTGCGGGAGCAGAAGACACTCGCGATTCTGGACGCTTGGGGGCAGCAGCGCTGGGAGCGATTGAGGCTCGTGGAGCCTTTGCGACCGGTGCGGGCTTGGGTGGCGCTGACGGTCGCGTCGCAACAACCGGCTTGCGGACGGGCTTCTCCTCGCCAAGTTTGGCGGCTGAGGCGGCGGTGGGCTTCGTCAAGTGGGAAGGGAGTCTGACTGGATGTGTGGGTGGCTTCGCTTGCGGCTTTTTGGAAGCGTGTAATGTGGCACTGAGTCTGTTGTCAGCACACTGAAATACTCGAGTTTTAGTGATACATACCTTGGAGCTGTTGCTGGCTTGGTTGCCGCAACGGCTGGCTTTTTGTTCTCTGGAGCTGGAGCTGCGGTCGTAGACTTTGCTCCGGTCGCAGACTTTGCTCTGATCGAAGAACCGCCAGTGGAAGACGCAGCTGTCGGAGCGCTCGATTGACGCAACGATGTTCGACTGGTCTTGTGCGCTGGCGCTTTGACTGGCTCCTTGTGGGCCTTGTGCTCCTTGAGCGCCGCGGGCTTGGGAGCCGGCTTCGCGGTGGGGCTGTGCTTCGGCTTCGGTGCAGAGGCAGCACTCGTGAGCTTGGGCGTGGTTGGCCGTTTCGGTGCTGGCTTCGACACCGGGCTCTTCAGCGGACTCTTCAAGGGCGCTGTTTTGGACGAGGTGGCTTTTTGGGTGGAGATGGGACTAGGCTTCTTGACGTCGACCTTGGGCTTTACTGCCGGCGCGCCGTTGGACTCAGGCTTGCTCTCAGCAACTTCGGGTGTGGAAGCATGTAGATCTTCCGCGGGAGGGGGTAGTGCCTTGCCGCCCGCGATGGCGGTTGCGTCTGTAGGGTCCGCTGGCTTCAGGGACACCTCCTCCTGCGCGCCCGTTACTGCCTTATCAGGGTTATCGGCTGGCGTTTCGGCTGGGGTGTCGATAACGGGTGCATCTACTACAGGTGCTTCGACGGCTGGCGTGTCTGCAGCTGGCGTGTCTGCAGTAGACGCGTCGACAGCAGGTGTGTGATCTGCCGTTGTGTCGACTGCGGGTGGATCGGCTGCAGGTGCATCGACTGCGAGTGTGTCGACGGCGGGAGTGTCGACTTCAGGCGTATCGACAGCTGGAGCATCGACAGCAGGCGCATCGACAGCGGGTGCATCAACAACTGGTGCTGGGGTCGGTTCAGCCTTCTCTTCCTCCACCACAGGGCTCTCCTCGGAAACAGCAGCTGGCGCCTCACTGACTGGGGACGCCTCAGCCTCGACAGCACCATCGGGAAAGTCAGACCCCTTCATGATAGCACCAAGGTTCGGCATCTCTCCGTCTGGAGGACTTCGGAACGGCGGCGCGGGCATTGAGGACTCTCTCGACGCGACGGCCTGCTCTGGGACGGCCTCGACAATAGCCACGCTGTGCTTGCGCTCCTCCCTCTCCTCAGTCACGGCGCGCTTGAGCTCCGTGGCCTCGGCGGCGTGGTCGTGGCTGATGCTGAAGCTCTCCCGGCGATGGGCGGCGGCGCTGTTCGTGGGCGTGCCCTTGTTCATGCCCAAGTCCGAGGCGACGCCACCACTGGGCTCGACGGAAACGAACGAGGCGCGTACCGTGGGCGTCGGCCGGGCGGTGCTGTCTGCGGCGGCGCTTTCTACTGGGGAGCGACCGCGGGGCTCAGGAGACGAACTCGCGCTTTGGTTCTCGAACATGGCCCGCAGGTTACGGACGCCGGAGCTCATGGCTGCGGCGGGTGGTCAGTCGTCAGCGAGTGTGTTGGGTGATGGGGTGGGTGGTGCAGGAACGTGGCCATCGAGGCCAGGCGACGGGCTGGATACGTGTGCCAGTGAGACGTAGGGTGGTGTGTGCCACGCCTGAAACACCAATTTGTTTGTGTACACAATACAAGCAGGGAGAGCGCGGGGAACTTACAACGAGTGCTTGGGTTATTAATACGTGTCGTTTCCTCGGCCGGAAATGAGCATGCGCTTCGCGGTGTCAACTTCAGATGGTTAGGGGATGGTGGATTGGGGCAAGTCTACTGCTGAGAAGAAAAGGAGAGGATATGTATGTCTCCCGTTGTGCACGGAGAAGGTGCTCTCTAGCAACCCACGCCACGCTTTGATTGGCTCACGTGCTAGCGTGATGTTGACGTCTGCTCCTTCCCCAGACTTTTACGTTCCGTGGCATGGCTTGGATTGCCTTCACCATCTTTCACTCATGGAGTCTGCAAGGGCAGAGTGCACTGGAGACATTCAGGTTGAAACATTGGTCGTTGCCGTGTCAACCCTGCAGCATGAGAGAAGGCATGCTGATTCATGTGCCGTATCGCCGCCTAGAAGCATACGATATGCTCCTTCCAATTGCAGCTGCTTGCACAGCCGAGCATAAAACACGGAAGAGGAAGGGGATCCCAGCAGGCGTTACAGCTGTCCGAGTCCACAAGTTCATGCAGCAGACAAACGTGCCAAGCTTTTAATTACAGCTGTCGGGCCAATCGTCCTCATTGACGGAGATTCAGGGTCCAAATTGATCGTCTGAGCGAATCAGGGTGCTCAGTTGAAAAGGGATTTACCCATCTTTCCTCGCCAGTAACGAGGGTCATCGTCACTCCATGCAAGCCTCGAATGCAGAGTGGATGTATTGAAAGACATGCCAGTGTTCTTCTCCCTCCACCGCGATGTAGCCAGTCGCTCTACCAAACCTTACCCATAATTTCGGATCTCCTTACTCGCAGTTCCGACTATTCAGTCCATGCTCTAGACCCCCTTAAATTTGAACAACTCGCCGGCTCTGTCGATAGTCACGGTATGATAGCTCCACATCACGTGGGGTGCGTTGCGAAAGCTTGGGTCACGCACTTGGCAATGTCGAATGGCTCTTTCAAGAATCAGATCCGGTGAACAAACTGCCGCAGTGCAAGTTGTGCGAGGGAGAGTCGATTGAACATGCAATAAGTAATTCATCGACTCATCAAGATCTAGACTCTGTAGTGCATATGAATACACTTCAACAAAGCCAAGGTGGGCGTAAATCAGAAGACACAGAACAGGAAGTATAAATGAAGGTATATAATATTCATTATTCAGTCATTTATCTACAGTCTCTCATCATGCATCAATCCCATATATCCCTTCCATTTCCCAACCCCCAACATTCTATCGTTGTCAACGTCTACAACATCCATGCCGCAAGACCAATCATGCCCGCAACAACACCAGTCAACCCCTCAACACCAACGATATCCGCAGCACCGGTGAACTGAGAGGGCGTAGCGCTCGCAGTGCGGGACCCACTGGCCGACGCCGTGACGCTGGCAGCGTGGCTCGAAGCCGAAGAGTGGATTGAGGAAGCGGCAGAAGCAGCAGACGAGGCGTGGCTTGAGGCCGAGGCTACAACCGACGAAGCAACAGAAGCACGCGAGGAGATGACCGATGAAGCAGCAGAAGCATGCGAGGAAGCGATGGAGGAAACGACGCCGGACGCAGAGGCAGCGCGGGACGAGGCGACCGAAGAGACGACACTGGCGGCCGAGGATAGTAGGGAGGAGACGCTGAAGTGTTGGTTAGCGATTGAAGATGTAGTGAGGGATGGTAGAGGAACTTACGGATTCTGAGCTGCGGCGAGGGTAGCAAGAACTGGGAGGGCGATGGTTGAGAAACGCATGGTTGCCTGATTTGAGTTGTTTGGGATAGGATTGGAGAGTGGATGTATGTTCAAGATAGACTTGTTGATGTAGATGAGGTGATGTTGTTTAGGATTGCAGTGTGATGAGTGAGTATACAAGCACACCTAGGAGTCAGTTTATATACATCTCTTACCACAACTTAGTCTGTATGCTTTGCGTTTATCCAGCCTTTCTCGCGTAATATTCGCAATCGATCCCAATATTATCGTCAGACGGCCTAGACTTCAAAGTTGACGGAGAAACGTCTAGTATCGATGCGCCAACTCTACTAGATTAACAGCGGACGATACTCCGACCAAAGTATACAGCTTCTCCGTAGTCATTTCCAGCTTAAATCCGCCCTGTAGTCTTTCCAGTTCACCTCCAACTCTAACGTGAGCAAGTTGGCGTTCGGAAGACGCCCCGTGAGGCTGAAGCTAAGAGCAAGTTCGGAGTATCTGATTGGTGAGGCGCAATTCCAATAGTTTACCAGTGTCCACGTCTCGTACTAAAACCCGCGTTCCTCGTAGGTGGTATGGAATGTGGAGGCTTCCGATCGATAACTCGCCAATGTTGTGGAGTTGACGGCTGGGCGAGGCTTGATCTAGGTTCATATCAATACCAGTCATGTAAGGTACTGATCCCACGTGCGACGAGACAAGTACACAAGTAGAACCATCATCGGCAATGACGGAAAGATTTGTCGCAGTCCTCTTGAGCTCGTCTCGATCGTATTGTGTGCGTTTGGTCATCGACGACCCACCTTGATCTGAATTTTGCAATGTGAAAGACTACATCTCCGAGAATGACAGAGAAAGGACATATGAACGGTAACACGTCGAGAAGCGCTATCTGTTCTAGTAAGAGGTAACCCATCGTTTGCCGCTTTTGTTGCCGAGAGTCCATTTACGATATAGCTTTTCATGCATTTAGTTTCGAAAATCAGCTCGATCGTTCGGGAAAAGACTCACTCCATAAGCGAACTTCTGAATTCGTGAAGAACGGCTCCGGAGATGTCTCGTGCCTCGTCGAATCTTATGTCGGCTGCAGAGTCTAGATCTCGTCTTGTCTTGCTGTAACCTCCTCGTCCAAAAGTCAAGGAGATAGTGTAATCAAGAGGCATTTTGGACATAGACATGATGACAAGACGATGAACCACAACTTGCCCGTCGCATAGAATGATCACTTAGTCCGCCTCGCCTTTGGTCACAAAAGCCATCTTTATGTGCCAGTTCGATGACTTAAGATCTGGCGTCTTCTATCGGATAGTATCACTATAGCGTGTGAGATTATGATCGTGACAAAGCTGATAGAAGTGAAATCCGGCAGCATCTGAAAAACCAGTTGAACCAGGAGAGCTTTCCAAAACAACGTGGCAAGGTCCTCTCAGTGGGGCAAACCTGTTCTTGGGACAACTCCATGGAGGCTTCTATAACCTTGCCTAGAAAACGTAAGGATTACTTAACGTAATTCAGCCACGCATTATGCTAGTCGCAACCGAGAACCTTGCTCCGCCGACAGGTTCAATTGCCCCAAACAGCTCAACTTGTGTATCGAATGGTGATGCGCCGTAGAGCTTAGAAACCGTGTGGTAGTGGCCTGACAAGACGAAGTTGTTAATCAAAGAATGGTAGATGATCGAATGACATTGCATAGCCTTCTGTCGTGTTCAAATTGTGAATCGTATTCCACCGAAGATATGCTGGCACACAAACCTTGTACGGTGTGGTATTTACACAGTGCGAACCCACTCACTTCAAAAAGCGTTCTCACGACTTCCTCAGTTGCAAACCCAGGTAGCGTAGCCTGCGGGCCTAGACCGTACGAGGAATGTCCTCCGTTGGTGTATTGTGTTGGCGTATATATTGTAAGCGCGCCAGCCTGAGCTCATCGTCGTGGGACAGCTTTGGACGTGGCAGTCCGCGCCACTGTATTTCGGTAAAGATTCCTCCCCGCAAGACACTTGTTCAGAATAGCCTGATTCCTATAAGAGAAGTTGGCATGACGACTAGGTTGAGGTACAAAGCTGAGGAGGCATTCTGATTGTGATGTGTGTAGGAGACGAGAGCTTAAGAGCTAGGGAACTATCGGATTAGGGCGAAGTTCGTTACGCACTGACCACAGCCTAAGCCAGATTAAGGGTTGAACTGTCGATGTCATGCAACAAAAACATCCCGCATGAACGACGTTCTCGTTTCTGGAATTACGTTCTTAACATATTTGAACCAATGGCTTCCTCGCAGATGGCGCCTGTCGCTCTTCCCCGCGTAGCGATATCATACTGCACGCAATGTCGATGGATGCTGCGCGCCGCTTACGTGCATACCCCTCCAAAGTCGACAAGCTTGATAGTAACTAATACATGCTCAGTTCGGCCAAGAACTGCTTTCAACATTCGGAACGCAAATTGGAGAGATTGCGCTGATACCTGCGACCGGGGGTCTGTTCACTGTCGAACTCGTACGTCCGCAAACAGCCCAAAACTAATATTCGACTAATGTTCGAAGACATATGCTCCTCAAGGATCAGCAGCCGAGGGTGAGAATGTAGAGATCAAGAAGGTATTGCTGTGGGATAGGAAGGCTGAGGCCGGGTTTCCTGGTGAGTTCAGGATGATGTCACGGGGTGTTGGGATGAAAGATTGACGGCTTCGCAGAGACGAAGGTACTGAAACAACGGGTGAGGGACCATATTGATCCACAGCGGGACCTCGGGCATTCTGACAAACACGGGAAAAAGAAGGCGGTGAAAGAGGTGGAAGAGGTGAATGAGGTAAAAGAGGAGAAGGAGCAGTTGGCAATTCAAGACAAGGACACAGAGCAGCAAGTTGCAGATGATGGAGTGGAGCTCAAGCGGAATCCCGATGGGACCGTTTGTGAAGATTGCAGATGATTTTTCGATGCTATCGTGGGAGCTCATAAGCCTGAATGCTAGTTCACGGGAATTCACCCAGCGCTTCACATATGTCAGTAATCATCACGCAGTTGAATGTCCACGTACCTCAATCACGAAAATCGATCGAATATGGGAAGCAAACATATATCATCGCGGGTATACGTCATCCATTGAATACCCGTGTACGCTGAGAGATCTTCAGTCTTTGAATCTTGAGTCCCGAGATCTCATCCGGGTTCTTCTGTTTCCGCCACGACAACTTTTACGCGTTGCGCGAAATCTGGTCGAGACGCTTAGTGAGACGGATGTCCATCCGCAGAAAGTTCTTGCGCATCTGCTCCATCTCATCATGCAGCTTCTTTGCCTGGCGATCTGAATGGTCAGAAGCCTTTCGAATGAAGGATTTGATATCGTTGGGCAAATGATGATTGGGCGGAGGGGCAGAAGGAAAGTAGGTGCCTTCCATGTTAGGGGGTCCTAGGGCGGCTACGAGGTTGTCGATTCGCAATCCATGCGCCTCACTGACTGTCTCGAGGTCCTGATAACGCTGGTCGATGTCGTGTAGCTTGCTCCAGTAAAACTCGCCTGTGATGTTCGCCATTGCCTGGGAACGCTCAATAATATCTATTATCTGGCCACACATTCCGTTTCCATCGTTCCACCCAAGCGCAAGATCAAAGCCTGCAGGACCACACGAGTACGCAACAGCAAGGCCGATAACAGCGCTTGTAGCAGCACTGAGAAGAACGCGCGCCATTGTACATGTCCAGTTCTTCGCGCTTGACGCGTGTGGTGTAGCCTCACTGTCTGAGGAACTTTTCTTGATTTTGTAGGTGCCCTGCTGCTCAGCAAAGGGATCGACGCATAGAATCGCTTGGAACAAGTCCATGGCGGCGTACATGCGATCCGTCGCTCTGGTAGAGTGTTTGATAAGCTCTTGTACCTCGCTGAAGATCAACGTCTTCCCATGGTCTTTGGCTTCATTGCTCAAGGACGATTGTTCGATTTCGAACATGCAGGTAGCGGATCTCTGGCTTATCGCACCCAGAGCATACACAGCTGCATTGCTGACAGATGTGGAGAACTGGGCAGCTCGGTCGAGATATACGGCGGAGTGCTTAAACGGTAGGCGAGAGTGCTCTTCGGTAATGGACTCGAGCTTGGATGCGGCTTCATCTAGCGTGGACACGGCATGACCAAGGATGCGATAGCCATCATACTTGGTCCATTGGTACAATGGTTTGTTCTGCTGTTTCTGCGAGTGAATGTAGGCTTGGAAGTTTGTCATGCGCTCATGCACTTCCATCATGCGACCAAGAGTTTCGTCTAGGATAGCACAAAGATCTTGCGCCTAGAGGAGCTGTCAGCATGTAGACCAGATCTCACACTCGCGGGTAGCGGCCTCATACCTCCTTAGAAAGCTTAGCTCTATTCAACCCTGTGGTCTGTTTCTGCTTTTCTTTGGTAGCCAACGGCGTGTGTAGTGGTTTTGGAAGTGCTTCACACTTCTTCTTAGGTGACCTTGACGGCACTGGACCTGCCATAGTATGAGCTCTGTCGTTTACCGTCCGCGCATCTGAGCTTTGAGGGCTCTCGGAAGTCATCTTATAGTCGCCACTTGCTGAATAACTGTGATCGGTGGGTACGCTGATGTTCATGTCTAGAGATCCAAACGTGCGAAACCACTCTTTTTCTTTGTTGATTCTGTGTGTGATTTGGTAATGTTGAGCTGAAGGATAAACACAAGGGCGGCGGCAGCGATTGAAATGTGGAGGTGAAGGAGCTCACGGAGCCCCGCGTTCCTATTGTGCGGCTAAGGGTATGTGGTGAAGACGGATTCGAATACGGTGAAGACAAGAATCTGCTTCCAGGCATATGATTGGCTGTGGGCTAACGCGCTCTTGCCTGTTTGAGGTGCGGTGAGGAAAGTACGATGCCTCAAGTCGTACTAAACAGAGTCAAAAGTTCAAGGTCATTGTATAGACTCATATTGTTGGTTATGAACGTTTCGGGCCACCGAGAATACTTCAAGAAGATATCCCGAAGGTTGACACATAGCTGGTACCAAAGACATACATTCCAATTTGGGCTGTACTGTGATAATCTAAAAAGGTTGATAGAAACGAATATGCGATAGCCCGGTAACCCTTCCATGCGTCCTCCAAATACAATATAAACCAATCTAAAAACTCCTATATACACTGCACAGCCCCTCTATCAATTCTCCTTCAAGCCGACTAGAGACTGACTCCGCCGTGCAGGTCGATGGCTCGCTTGTGTGGAGCAGGAGCACTGCCGCCTGTGATGAGGCTTGTCGCATTTCGAACTATTGAGGCAGTATCCAAAATGTTCTGGAGAGTCACTGGAACAGCTTTCTTTGTCCAGCCCAAGTGCGTCGGCAGGCGCTCGTTCTCTGCGGTCACGTTAGTTCTTGTTGATTTTCAACGCACTCAGGAAACTTACCGAAAAAGAATTTGACAAGGTCTCGCCTAACGGTGCCCGCTGTCATGTTGCCGAAGACAATGATGGGTGCAGCAACCTCTCCCAGGCTAAACTCTTCAACAGAAGCAGTAAAGGTGTAGTTAGGGTTGGATGATCGTGACTCGAGCTGACGGTAGATCTTGCTGTGTGCAAGCTGCTTCGCAGTTATCGTGCGATCCGTCCACCACTTTCGCGAAGTGTCGAAAACCTTCTGGTTGAAGACATGGTTGTTTCCAAAGAAGGCGTCGAGGCGACTGAGACTTCCATCATGCTCAAGGATATTGTGAACGTTGAGTTGATCTAGGGTGAAGAATGTGGCATTCGGCTCCGGGTTTATAAAGATGGCCTGCTCCCACATAATACCTGCGAGGTTACTGTCAAAGTTGAGGCCATTTCCTAGGGCGGCGATGGCGTTGTCTCTAGTGATGTTGCGGCCATCACGAGGAAGAAAGCCGTGCTATAACTCGTAAGCCTCATATTCAAGGAGCTAAAGGGCGAGGAGGGTGTAGTTTTACATTTGCCAGAGTGTTCATCATCGGACAAGGGCCACGGACTGTAATGGCATTAGTTATAGGAGACTGATTTATTGATTGTATAAGAACTTACAATCGTTCTTCCCGCCAGCTATCCATTTGTGTGGATCCTCCGCGCCAGACTGAGGAAGGGCAGATACGAGAGCAACAGAAGTTGCGGCGACGAGAATAGAAAGCTTCATGATGTATTGTGGTGTATAAGTGTCTTGTTTGAAGGTGAATGCTGTAAACTGTACTGGAAAAATGGTCTTTATATACCATCTTTCGTTGTTAGCAAGTACACTGTACAGCCATGCCGATCAATCCCGGCGAATGACAGTGTCTCCCTGCTTGCAAAGAAGCGCATGATACCCTGATCAACAACCTAATTAGATTACAAGAGCTTCTAGAAAGTCAGATAAAGTGGTACTCGACAAATGCTAGGCTTGTTATTCGCTCTGAAGCACTGGAGGTAAGGCATTCAGTCTGTGTGCATCTACCCCACAGGGATCATGACGGAGATCCATAGCGTGGGTTTCACGTTTCAAGGTCCCTGATAGCCAATAAGAAGAGAATTGTTTCCTGCTGACCTATTATCGTCAATCACTGGCCAAGGCTTGTATGTCTGGGGATACGCGTATGGAATACGCGTATTACAACACGCGTATTCGCATTCGTCTATCGCGTTGTTCTCGATCAGAGTTACTATGAAGCTCGGTAGTACTCGGTGACTACACACGGTCAGACGTGCTGGAACATCTCATTCAACAGAAGATGTTTTCGCATGAACGTTCGTCCATGAAAGCCAGCGCTCAGCCCTGTCACCAACGGTCGAAAGTGCTGTTGGCGTAATCATTTGGGTATTGTTCAAGTCTTGTTAAGCTAGTGGAAGTCGATGTTCTAGCTAGCTGTCTGTCTTTAACCACAAACTGTGGTTACGCGAGACGCCCAGAATGGATGAAACATGGTGGAGGTTGCTGGTAAAGGTACCTGGGGTCCGAGGATGAGTGCGCACGAAGGTAAGGACATCATCCGGTCCCGACTGCACTAGTAGTAACGTCCCTTTGCTTTCTCGAGCATGCTACACATGTTTGATTTAAACTTACAAGTTTTAAGCCGTGTCGCCACTGTTCAGTAGACCAACGATCATGCTTGTCTTTGACAGCAAGAGTTGTGAGCCATTTAGCTGGTCAGGGGTTGAGCACGGCGAGATGTACAGGAGAAACACGAGCTGTATGTTGAGCCATTTTCACAACAGCCTCATGTTCTCGATTTCCCTTCACAGAGCATGTCCTTTTTTCTCGATCGACTTGTATTCATCCTCATCTTTGTTTCTCCTAGCATGCTAACCCTCCTTTAACCCATACTATTTCTTGTATTCATGCTCTTTGGCTTCTTTCTTTCAGATTCGTTTTGGTCAGCTTGTCCACCCGAGTGCTCGATGAGTTCTTCGCCTCGTCCTTGCTGTGTTTTGGTGCCTCCTCAATGCGTAGTGTGATACTAGGCTGGACCAACATCGAAGCTGTCGACTTTCATAATGTCTTTTTAGTTTCCAGAATCACGATACTAGTCCTGTTTACGTGGCGGCGCGCATACGTCGCGTGTCCCTACAACTTAGGTCGATTAGTAATGTGTCGCGCCATTTTACCCTGACGCTCGTGTTCTAGTGAACCCCAGATTCGAGGTCTGTGCGCAGCGCGCGTCAGAGCGTTTACCTAGTCTTGCTTTGCATGCTGTATTGATGCACAATGTAGAATTGACAGCTTCTCTGGCGATGTCTTGCATGGTGCAATGCCGAGGCATTGGGTTTAGTTCCGATTTCGACAAACTGAAAACCTAGATTGGTTTAGTGAGTTGCGCTAGTGACAAGCTGGACGCTGGAATTAGCACGCGTGGAATGATATTTAATGGAACGCAAACAACAAGGTAGGCATCAAATTCGCAGAATAACGCACCTTTTTCATGACCCAAAAGTGAAGCAAGTTCAACAGCTTCTTTCGGGTCCACTACTCATATCTCAAATCCCGTAGATGTGATGTTAGCGCCTTACTGAGATTACTTCCGGCCCTCAGCTTCCCCGGGAGAGTGGCGAGGTGTGGCATATCTTGCAGAGCTCAACATGACCCCTCTTTCTCCACGTTCTGCGTAGGGCTCCTATCCAGATCGTAAGTGGTAGGCCAATCGCATGGCGTAGCTAAGTTGACGTCGGGATCAACGATGGCGCACCTTTAGTGGGGATCCGGCCCCAGCATTTGCCGAGATGGTTTCTACTGAGCCCTCACTGTTGATGATGTCTCGATGAAGCCTCCATTGCAGATAAGCCTGCATCTTCCATCACAACACATGCTTGCTGATTCGTACGACAAGACGCGTCAATACTACACGGCTTGGCTCATGGACATCTCTTTGTTGGCGACTCCGCAGCAGCTGTACTCTGGACGCGCCTCCGCAATGTTGAACAATCCAGCTCTTGGAGGCTTAGCCATACCCGCGCCACCAAAAGGGCCAGCGCAAGCCACCAAAGCGCCATCTATTTGCTCGCTGAGGATTCGCTGAACTTTGCTGTACATGGTGTAGCCTGATGGTACAAACAATGCGCTAACATGGATCGCCAGCTACTTTGTGTCTGCGTCGACGGAAGCTGAAGTCATGCTCTGGGGCAGGTGGAAATACAAAACTACGTCGTTCCACGCTCGGCTGCAACAGAAATTCCCATGTTTTTGACACTCCGGGAGCTAGGTAACTAATGTGACGAGTACATTCTCATCCTTGCACGCGGAGAACCCAATCATTGGTTCACACAGATCCTAGCGGAAGCTAGATAGGTAGCCATGTCGTCGCTTTGCACATCGGACACCACAATGGAACCTCAACTTTTGATTCCCAACCGCGCATCTTCGCTCGAGTTTACGAAAAAGCTTAGCATTTCTAGCCTTCGTAGTCCCGATACGAGCTCGTCTTCTCTACGCACCATTCCTAACACTTCAGCACGGAATAGTGTCCTAGATGATGATTATTCGTTAGACTACTCGAAGGCAAAAGATAGCCCAGCGCTTACGTCACCTCGTCTTCCAGAGAGAAGATTATACACGCCCGAAACGAGTCAAAGAGCCACAGTGGGCTCTTCAGTTGTCCAAGATACGATGTCCTACGTCCAGCGTTGGGCTGGCCTGACGCGTACTGTAGGCAATTGGGATGGCTTGCGAAGAGTACGCTTCCAGATTATCAGGCAATGAACTTTTCGAAAACTGACTAAATTCAAGGATCCCGAATTATGGGTCGAAGATGGCGATTGTTACGTACATCTCTATGCGCAAGGAGCATCTCGTAGAGGGCCATCTTTTCGTGTACCGTACAGAGCCCTCCGACAGAAGAAGTGCGGTGCCATGCTCGATCTCTGCGACGCACACCTCGTATCGGCCGACGGGGTTTACTTGCAGCAACTGAGCGCATGCTCTAATTTCTCCAACAACTCGAAGTACCAATCAAATACAGTCGAGCTGTTCGTTCCATCTCCTGAGCGAGCTTCCCGGCAAGAATCGTTCCAGTGGCACCTCACCACTCGCAACTTTTTCGCCTTTATCCTGGGTAAGCCGTTAGTAGGGTTTCACATGGGCCGGGCGTTCGTAGATCTTCAAGACAGGATGCGACTATTCCGAACCGGGCAAACCAACAACCATCAAGATTTTCTCGAATACGCGGAGTGCCAGGGCTATCGAGACCTCGTCGAAGTCACCGACTACGCTCTTGCAAGTTTGTTCTACGCCGAACACTATAAACTGAGAGATGTTTGGGTTGATGCATTTGCTCACTGCGTTGGCATGAATGACAGTCTTATTTGTAGTCCAGAGTACCAAGTAAGCTCCGACGATCCCACCGTTGAACTGTGTACTGATACTTCCGTAGCTCAATTCTAGATTGACGAAGGCGCTGGTAACGCGAGCTCATCTCGAAGTCGACGTCCATCTTGGCCATGTTTCCGTTGCACTTGGTAGTTTCCTCGAGGATGACCTCTCTTCAACCTACCTCGGACTCACCGCGGGAACTAGAAGCCAACTGATCCGGTTTCGCAGATTTTTGCACAATTTCTACACCAAGAAGTTCGGCTATTGGCCACCACCAAGAGGAGCTTCGTTTCCCAAAGCCTTGTACAGATCCATGTTCTACGACTTTCAAAACCTGTACGATTATCTTGTCGATTCCGAATCATCGAACGATATATTGTTACAGAAGCCGGCCAGCGGCGGCATATGTGTACTGCAAAATGTGGATAACTTCGACAAACGACATGGATTCATCGCACAACCGCACCCTCTACCTTTGTTACCGAAGGACGCGCCATCCGGTGGGAGAATGGAGTTGCAGAACACCTTCAGACAGCTGACCGCTACATCTCAGTACACCAAAACAAACAGAGTCCAAAACATGAGCGCTGCTCTCGCAACAGCAACAAATACGTTCAACACAGACGTTACCAATTCCAAAATCGTTCGGGGATATATGCGTTTCGAAGAAACGTGCGCTGAGCATGTATTGAGTCAGCGCGAACACAAAGTTTCGGCGGGTGATGCACGCAAGGTCAGATGGCTTCTGATTTATGGTGTTCTTCAATACCTAGTCTCCGCGCTTCGTGCGCCAAAGGAAGTCCGCGATCCGGATACTCCAGACTATCCACTGTGCTGTTTCGTAAATGGAAAGAGCTCATGGAATTTCGAATCTGCAGTGTCAACTCCTACTGCCATTGCCTCGCCGATATACCCACTACCGATTGAAGACTGTCATTTTGACTCGGTAGTAAATTCCCCGATAGAGCCTGACTGCCAGAGAGAGGACTACTTCACGTCACGCGCCTCGAGCAGACGTGCATCAGTGGATCTGTCAGCGCCTCAGAAGCCAGTGTCCCCTATCCATCACTCTGGAATTCGCTCCTTTGGGACTATGTCGCTCACTGGCCGAAACTCACGCAGAAACAGCCTAACTGCTAATTCACGCTGCTATCCCGATATCATGGTCCACGGTCACGTAAATAGACCAAGTGACAGAAAGTCTAGACCGTCAACTACGGCCATCCCTCATCATGAGCCTGCGTTCCGTTCCCGGCGATCTTCAATCGCTGTCTCGCCGAATGATACTACTTCTCAAACCTCGTGGCTGAGACCCTTGACACCGCCAGCTCTGCATAACAAACGAGCCCTGGCGACCGGGATCTCCCGTCATGCGGAGGTACCAGCACCGCCTCTACACTCACACCAGTTCGGTCTGCCCAACCAACACACGACTACTGAAGAAGGGAATCGGCCCCTCAGCCGGTCCGAAAGCACCAGCTCGACAGCGAGTCAAACATGGAGCGACGGCGCAAGTGCCACATCATCCAAGACCAGCGCAGGCGGAGCAAGCATAGAGTACAAGCCCAGCGCCGCCGAGCACAGTGGTCTCCTAGGCGGTCTCATGCCCGTGGAGAGCACTCCCATCTCGAACACGCGCACAGAGGCTTCCAAAAAACCCGCCAAGCCCGCAACGGTCGCGCAACGCACCGGCTTCAGCTTTGGCTTCGAAACCGAGACGCCCATGTCGTCTAGCCTCAACAATATTTCATCTTCTACCGTCGTTCCAGATGATTACACAATAGGCATTGCGTTCTCGGCACCCCCTTCGCCACGCATGCTCGCCATTGTTGATCCAACGCTGGATTTCACGCCTGTTGCTGCGTCGCCGTTGGACGTTGAGGATACACCCCGTGCCTCGCAATCCATCGCCATCAATCCTGTAGTATCTCCACCACCCACCTCGACGCCAACAACAGCAACACAAAAAAGGAGATGCAGCATTAGCACCCCCACAGCACCAATCCGAAAGCCAAAAGACGCGCCAAAATCCAAGAACAGATTCAGCGCCCACTCGCTCCTGAGTAGCGCCATGCCACCGAAAGCATCGCAGCCATCTAAGGCACCCCCCTTAAAGACGGATAAGGAGCAGGAAGCTGGAATGGGGAAGAGGATACGCACGTTCATTCGGGCCTATCCCGGCTTCTAGAACTTTCTTCGCTCTACCTGCCTGGTGACCGAGAGAGTGCAATCTCTGGTTTCAATGCAGCAGTCTATGTTTTTTAACCTTGTTTCGAATATGTCCTGCGTTTTTTGTATGGGTAATTTGCAGTATGGCGTTTTCTTTTGGGAGGGGGGAGGGGTTCTGCTTTTCCACTCATGAATTTGTCATATACCCACCTTACCTACACTGCACTATACTATACTAGCGGCATGGATTTGGAATACTACTTACTACATTGATATTCACCAGTTCTGTCATGCTGTGTTTTGTTTATGCCTTCCATATCTCAAGCTTTGATTATTCGTCTGAGATCCTCCCCCGATCCCAAGCGTCCAAATCCTCTTTCCCTCCCAACTGTCTGAGTGCGGTACCGCTGCACGACGTGTGCGCACAGAAACATCGCCGGGGTAGCCATGATGTGGCGTCTTCGTCGGGAATCACGTCGTCGGTCTGTGCAGAATTGGCAGTCATGGGAATAGCTGTATCGCTGACTTGGCGACCGAGTGAGGGCGCGGAATGAGTTCGCCACGCGCGAAGACTTGGACTAGACCTCCCCTGTGAGGATCCATGGAGAGGATCCGTCGCAAGGCATGCTGAGGATGAGGATGAACATGATGATGGGGAGGAGGAGCGCGGGAGGGATTGAGCGGTCGGTGTATCGGTGCCTGTGGACATTGTGGGTTGGTAGTTTGCGGTGCTGGAGAGGGGGGAGTAAATACAGGTTAATACGGGTGTTGGGTCACATCTACCATGAAGAAAAGGTTGTCGATGTGTTCTGCACGTCTCCACCGCAAAACGTCCTATTTATTACTCTTTGTAGATAATTTTGCCTATACAGTATGTACTTGTTCAATCTGCCGTCATCCTCCTACATTCACCACCCATTCTTCCCTTTCAGTACACGTCCCCGACAAGCAAAGTCCGAAGACGACATGGTTCGGCGATGAAGAGCGGTTTCCATCGTACTACATCGTCGTAGCCTGCAGTATAATTTAAACATAATTCAAAGACTTGCGAATAGCCATAGCCATAGCCACAGAAACAGAGACAGAGAAGGAAAGAAGCGCACACGTCTCCAAGCTGTGAAAGTTACGTCTTCATATTGATCCGATAAAGTTCGAATACTCAGTGTCTCGGTCGACTGTAAAAGCGAACAAGTAAGCTACTTTCTTTGTGGCTCCTACGAGCTGCCAAACTACATAATTAGAAGTTGCTAATGTGTATGTAAGGCGCATACAGTTGGAAATTTAGGCATAAGAACTCTATACTGAACTTTGTTGTGGTTGTTAAGCTGTTGTATGATTTTGCTGTACCCTGGTTCCTGGTATTTCGATTGAGTGAGAGTTAGTGTTATCTGCACATCGTCTTGGAGCCGGGAAGGTGGTTTGGTGAGGTATTTTTGGTTCACTCAGGTTCTAAAACAAAGGGTATGTGATGCAGGAGGAAGGCATTGATGAAATTTCTGCTGAGACGGGGTTTGCCTATCTGCACTTTCGATGTGTAATTACGCTCACCACTATGTATGAACTAATACCATTGTATTTGTCACCACGTGTGACGTGTGCTTCTTCCTACGCACATATCCTGACAAATCTACTCATCCGTTCATCATACAAGCCCCCATCTTACATCGTAATCCGCGCATGACAACACACCAGACATGACCATCGCATAATCTCTCCCTCTCTTTTCACACGATACTCAAACAGTGCGGTTGCGACGCGGCTTCGAACGACGAGACCTCGCATACCGTACGATGCTGTTGAATCCCGACTCAATCCCCTCTTGAAACGCCTCCATAACTCGTTGGTGGGCGTGAATTCCTGACCCCAGAGCCAAAGCAAACGAAAAGGCTATGGCGTTCCCAGTATAAGCATCGTTGGTATGGTCGCTGGTGATGTACCATCCGTCAACGAGCCTGGCGACGAACTCCTGGATGTGCTGTAGCGTAACGCTCTCGCCATCGAGCCCAAGGCATTTCGCTATTTTGCCCATGGATTTGGCTGTGCTTCCATCCAATACTGTATTGTTGTCTCGAAGTATTGAAGCGACGCCATTCGCTGTGCGCTTTGTCTGGAAGAGGCCCAGGCTGAGCATGTTCCCACAGACGCTATCGATTTCCGCCAAGTTCTCAAGTGTCTGTAGCTTGGTGTGATGCAAAATTGCACTCCTCGGTATCCCTCCCCAAATCAGGTACTCAGCTGTTGCTATGGGTGTGGTAAGCAGGTAGTCTTTTAATAGGTAAAGGTGAACAGGAGAATCCTACCTTTATAGGTGAACTTATATTCGTCGTTCACCTTTAGCCACCTAACAACATCTGCGGCATAATGCTTCTTATTTGGTTGATTCAGAGAAGGGTGGTTGAGATCAATTATAGCGATGTTTGGGTTTTCCATCGAGGATGCATATACCATTGCTTGTAGAAGAGACTGGAGGATGGTTAGTTGAACGTCTAGAGAACACGGGTTTTTAAACACCATACTGTAGAAACAGATACAAAAGCGGACGTATTGCCTTTTAGCGACAGATGCGACTTCGCGAAGAACAAGAAAGTGCTTAACCCTTGGCCTTCTGGAGCGAAGGGTGTTAGGAAAGATTTGTTTTTGACCGAAAAGGCTGCGTTAGAAATGAAGTCGCCGTCTTCCGTGAACTGCGTGTAGCTTTTTGCATCCCAGACACGAAATGCCAAACAAGGTGAGCTCGATGATGTTCTTCCTGAGTACGCTGCTGGGTTGTTGGAAGTCCCTGAGTAGGGCATACATGGTAGATCTGTGACGGGATTGTCTTCCACATCTGTGAAGTATTCATCGAAGTGGTCCTCGATAACCCCTGGTCCGCTGTTCGAGGGTTGCACATGCATTGCAGAAGCTTCCATCAATGCCATCTGTCTTATCAGAGCCTTCTTCTCTTCCTGCACGAGTTTGACGCGTCGCCTATGTTTCGTTCGTGTGCCCGGTGATTTGGCCTTTGCTGCGGAGCCAGATTGGAAGTCGAACTCCTCGTCCCGCGGGATCAGTTGGACATGGAGATTTACCGCCGTTACTTCTATCAAATTGCGGATTTCAGCATATACGCCCTTTGCATCGTCAAAGGCGACTTCGTCGAAGACTTGAGCCCAATGAATACTGCCTTTACTGCCGTTCCCAAGCATGCTAGTGAATTGAGCGGTGATTTTTCGAGGCTTGAAATCGAGTCCAGTCACTTGGTTGAATACAGCAGCAATGGCAGTGTTATCTGAGGTCTCGTACCATCTGTGTATGATGCAAAGCAGAAGTCGTTCGATGTCAGTCCACATGTGTCGAGGACCATGTTCGATATTTCGCAGAGCGTTGCGAAACGAAGTTGGATCGGATTTATAACGAGACGGAGATGGTCGCTTTGACACTTTGCTGCTGTTGATTGCTGCCGAGAAATCTAGACGTCGTGCTACGGGCAAGTGCTGCTTGGGCATCTTTTTGCTCTTGAAACGCGTGCTTTTCGTCCCACTCTGTCCTCGGGAACTCCGCTTGACGTGACTTGGGCAAGGCGACTTCGTAGTCTCCAGAAAGTCCGTTCTGTCCGATTCGTACTCGTATTCATCCTCGAACTCAGTGCTTTGCGTAGACGGCGTCAGAACCGTGGGGCTGTTCGACACATGTTCATGATTTGAGGATCCAGCGTACACCATGAGCTCGTCAAGAAAAGTGTCGTTCGTAACCACGGGCGACATCGACTCGTGCGATGATGTAGGCGTCAAAACTCCATCTTCATCTCCAGAGTCTGCGGCGAGCGTATCCGGCGAATCGTCTCTGGAACACCGAACTCTGTTCATAACATCGAGCTGGGCGGAGCATCCCCTATTCAGCGACGGAAGACTTGTAGGAGGTTTGACTTCTTCGTCTTCTCCAGCATACGTCTCGTTCAGATGATCTGTCAGAGCATTAGCACTTCTCCTAAACACAAGACGGAACAACCAACCTTGTATATCGCTCTCTTTCTTGACACTGACTTGATACTCAACATCTACACGCGGTCGATACACCATAACACCCGCCGCCGCCTGGTGCCAATTCTGACCGGCCATCTTGTGTTCGCCTTCGACTGTGATTTCGCCTTCGTACAACAACGTACAACACGATGTCCACCGCGTAAGAAAGCGAACAACACAAGCCTCGCAAATTGTAGTAGCGAGAAACTGCGTAGAGCGAGGCAAAGCGGAGTGAAGTGAAGTTTATAACTGAAGCTTCTCACGCGTTCCCCAACGCGTTACAACGCGACGCGACGCGCCAAACCGACGCGTCGCCCCATAGAAGCGCATGGATCCACATTGCGATTGTGGTGAAAGGGCGTGAAGTGGAGGGGCGAGGTGAAAGGCAGTATCGGCGTTATCGTCAGTGTTGTCGTTGTAGGTTAGCCGGCCGAGTAAGCCAGTGAGAGGTCAATGAGGGCAAGCTGGAGAGGATGGCTTGGTAGATAGCTCATTGAGGACATGCCGTGTACGCGTTTGCGTGTGGAGGAAAAGTGAAGCTCACCCCACAGACCCCAACATGTTCTCACTGCCATGCCTTACAAGTGAGACAGACATCCCCGTTTGGCGCGTGTAGTTGACGTGTGTGACTGAACGTAGAAATCTGATATGCTGATACAGAAGATTATCAGTTTGACTTCACGTCCTCGTGGGGAGGGATGAGTACTTACAGTCTCTTCTGCCATTCCACTTGCTGTGACTTCCTTCTCATCATGTCGTAGGGCGTGTGTGTCAGTACAGCATTGACATGCGTGATGTATGAGTGCGAGTGATGAGGAAGTGAGAAACGTTGTTGTTGTTGTCGTCGATGTTGTTGTGCAACCTACACGTCACGTCACATCACCACGTCACTACACCTCAACTCACCGCCTCGACCAGAAAACGCAAACGCAAACGCAAGCACACGTGAGAGAGAGACAAGTGAGAGATGCAAGCACAAGCAGTCACAATCTCACTTGCGAAAGAAACACAGACAGACAGACAGACATGTTCACCTTCCATCTACCGATACAATCCAATCCAATCCAATCCAGTCAATCAACATGCGTATATATCCCCTCTCCCCTCTGCCCATCCTCTCCCCATCCCCTCCCATCTCACAGCCACTCCCCTCCTCTCCTCTCCACACCAAAACCAACCATTACACCCCCCACACTTCCCAAAAACCCAGAAAAAAGCCCCCATCTATCACTCACAGCGCAGGGCAAACCACGCAAAGCACAAAAAAGCAAGACAGAGCAAGACCAAAACAAGACGCGAAAAAAAGCGCACACAAACCAAAAGAAGAAGGGTAAAACAATTCCCACCCACGCTGCATGACATTCGTGATATTTTCTTCGTTGCTTTCGTTCGTTCGTTTCGTGTGTTCGTATAAGCCGCCGCGGTGTAGGTTGAGCGGGTATGATGATGATGATGGAGATGGGGGATGAGTGGGGGCTTGAATAAGACGGGATGAGATGGGATGAGATGGAAAAGGGAAAAAGGGAAGAGGGAAAGGGAAAAAAGACAGATATCCGCCTTTTGCCGAGTGTGACCATGTGTACGATACGAGTATGCTTTGAGTGTATGATGGATGTGTATGATGTGTATGCAGCGACTCCTCGATTCTTTCCTCGTGTCGCAGCGTTGTGTGCAGCCATCCCGCATAGCACGCCAAGACCGTGGAGCGCTCCAAGGACGCGGGCGCGAAGGAAGGGTAGATGATCACGCGGGTGTGGGGTGTGGGGTGTGGGGTTGGTTCCCGTATCTGCGAGTGGGAGAGAGCGGGGGGACAAGCGAGATGTATGCATACGGCGCAGTTCGCCCGTTCGTTCGATGGTGAACACGCGTGATGGATGTGATGTGGAAGTGAAGTGGCTTATTGGGGGCGAATGCATAAGCGCCGGGCGCAACGGAAAAGGTGCCTCTGCGACACATGGCTGCGGGAGCACGCACGCACATACGCACAGCACAGCACAGCACAGACGGGGTTGTGGAAAAGGGGTGATGGAACCCGCATGGCGAATCGAGGACGTGACTCTGCATGCAGCAGCGAGCGAGCGAGCCAGGGCCAGGATCAGGGCTTGCTCGAAACCAGGCAACGACAGTCGATTCCGATGTCCAGTCCAATGCTCAGCAAGAATACTGGTGAGAGTTCCGTGCCTTGACAATCATTTGCTTCCGTGCTGCTCGGTGCAGATTTTCCTCACCACCCACTTCTCCCAGAACTTTCTCTGCTGGTAGGTCACCATGACGCCGTCGTCGCCGAGGGCATCCACACTATCCATGTGACCGTTGCAATTGCACCACGGGACCGACGAGGGTGTGCCCGGTGACATGGGCGGGAAGTGCAAATTTCCACCTTCTTCGGGTTCTTCGGTCCCGGCATCCGAGTCCGAGTCGGCTATAGAGCCGTCGCTCGCGTCGGCCTCGTGGTCGGGGTAATCGTCCGGCGCGTCGTCTGGCTCGTCGTCGTAGGGGTCCCAGTCGTCGCTTTCGTCGCTGCTGTCGCTCCCTATTAGGGGGTCGTCGGGTACTTCGGCGCCGACGATCCATTGTTGGTCAAAGTGCTGCTCGTAGTCGATGCGCCGGAGGCTGACCCAATCTAGTCTTGGCATGCTCTCTTGGAGATAGACGAGGACGTCTTTCCACCGACTGCCTTGCTTGAGCAGCACGTCTCGGAGTCTCAGACCGCGTAGTGTCTCTCGATGCCGTCGGGCCAGGCCGATGATCTCGTCTGCGTCGAGTCGCCAGGCCTGGATGCCAAAAGCTTGGAGCTTGTCCCATTTCACGTTGTGGAATATTTCTTCCAGTCTCAAGGTTAGTGGCCTGTGGGAGGGGAAGCCAATGTGTACGGCTTCGATGTTCTTGGCGGCGGTGAAAATTGCTTTTGACAGGGACGAAAGCTCTCTCATTCGATTGTCTAAATCTGTACCGTCGTCGAAGTGTAATTCCAGACATGTCAGACGCTCAGCAAGAACGCCCAGTGTCGTTGGTGGGTTATTGACAGCGCCGAGAACGCTCTGAGGGCTTAGCATGGGTGATGAGAAACGGGAGCAAGGCGATCTCGATGCGAGTATTGCTGCGCCGATCGTCTTTGTGGAATGCAGGCAGGCTGGTGGCCACTTCAACTCGACCAACTGATTCAGCTCATCGTGTTGTCGGATGTAAGATATGAGGGCTCCGTCTTCTCTGTCCTGTACCCGGAGAATCTGAACATGCTGAAGCGATGTGAAGGCGGATATGGCCAAGTTCAAGACGCGAGCATCCTCCCGTGTCCGCACAATATGTTTCTGCTCGTTCACCTTCTCCACAAAGTGTCCAGCGTCCAGGAGCCCGACGCCTTCTGGCAGCTTGGGAAGCAGTTCTTGCACACGCTCCCGGCCTATGACACCAGTCAGTCATGCGTGTAGCTTGTCGCACCGATTCAAGATGAGCAGTAACCTTCAACGTAGAAGAACGGTACCATATAACTGAACTTCTTCACACGTTCAGCCAGATGCGGCTGGCTAGCAATATTTTCCAAACGCCTCAGCCCCCGCCGCGAGAACCTCGTCGTAACGCGTGAGAACTGATGTATGGCGCCCAGTCTGGAGAACCTTCTGCATGTGAGACGGAAGTTTGCGATGGTCAGGGCCTGGTCCTGCTCGGGCGGGGGCGGGGGTCTGAAGCTTTCCTGGGAGAGATAGGCGCGGCGTTCAAGACTGATTAGTTTTTCTGGTTCAGACGCAACATGCTCGAGTATGATTCGAAGAAGTTCGTCGGCGAGATCGAGGATGCCCATTGCGGGTATGAAGGAGAGCATTCACAATATATTTTTTTCCTTTGTTAGAGAGTGGCAAAATCTAAGACGAAAACTCTCAAGCGGCACGAGGGGCAGAGAAAGCGGACCGCGGTGCGGATATATGTTCAGCATAAAAGGATCGGCCCGGCACGGGGTGGGTGCAGATGTGGCGGCAGGTAGTAGTGTTTGTGGATAGCGAGGGCAGAGGTCGAGTTTAGCTGCCGGCGTGGTGATATCCGACGGCAACGCTGATGGAGCTTGTGGGTGTGGAGCAGCCAGAGGGGCACAGTCGGGAACATAAGGGCAGCATGACCTCTCTCCAGCGGTCAGCGAAACGTGCTGAAGAGTCGCGAAGGACAAGTGGACACAAAACCTGCACCTGTACGCAACCAAGGCCGTCCTACAGCTGCAGGCGTGCCAGCAACCCAATGATGGAGCAGGCGTTAGACTCGAACGGGTTTGGAGAGTCACATGATGGCATAACACTGCGGGTTTCCGTGATAGACGGGAAGAAGCGTTCCTTCCCGTGTGAAATCACCTCGATTCGCTGCTTGACGCAGCGCGCTATTCAGGCATGGCATGGGTTTGCCTGCTGCCCTATGATTCGAAGCGCGCGCAGCTCCCCGCCGGCGGCCGTTTGAATCGGTTCAAGCGACTTTGGCTGCCTCTGGGATTCCCTGGTCAGCCCAGCGTACGCGGAACCACGCAGCAGCAGCGAGATGTTGCAACAGCCTGGACAACCGCATGCAAGATTTGTGTAACGCCTGTGCGTCTCTCGTATTGCCAGTGCGCGCCTCGGTTGATTCTGCTTGTAGTCATAACGTGTGTACATGGTCTGGTTGCGTTGTTTTGCTGAGAGCAACGCAGCGTAATTCCGGGTTCTTCGACCAACTAACCGAGACGTCTGGCTGCGTTGCCAACGAAGCATGCATCTTGGAGCGCTTGTGACGCCAATCGGCCGCTTCACACGGTACGCCAGGCCATCATCTGGGACCGTCATGCCACTCCACTGCCATGCCCCTGGGATGTCGTTATACAGGGCTAGGGAAAAACTGACGACATTGGGCGTGTACGGTCTCCAAGGACCGAACCATGTATCATGACATGGGCGAGCCACTGAATTTGCAAATACATGCTGACCAAGTTCCCTGCACGCAAAAACACGCTGCGTTGTCACAAAAGTAAAGTCGAGGTAAACTGACTGCTGGCTATTATGGGTCTTCAATACACATCATCCCTGCTACTCATGTCACCTTGATGACAGTCCGTCTCAAGGGGGTTGCATGGGCGGGCACGCTTGACACCCCGCGATACTCTGACCTAGTCCATCCGTCATGCAACTGCCGGTAGCTCCGTGTACATGCGGCGCCGCGTGCTGATATCACCCAAATGTACGTGTCCACGCAGTCTACTTTGCCGCAATTACATCATGTGGCTCAGGAGTACAGACGGCGTGGACCGTCGTACAGATGGCTGCAGCCTCACATGCGGCCCCATCCGTCTGATCTATCGAATTCCATGACCAAGACAAACTCAGCCCACGCCTGGTCGCATTCTCGACTACGGGAGCAAACACAGCTCAACCTTGTCGCCTTTCTCTATGGGGAGCAAACACGGCATGCCCTGTCACAACAGCATCAGACAGTTGTCACGCCCTGGCCCTTGACTGAATACGCTCACTTCGCTTCTTGCGAATCTCCGTGCTGCTCAGCTTGCTCTGAAACGTCTCGTCGACGTTGTCGTCTTCGCTGGCGTCGAGGACAGCCACCTCGAACACCTCCAGAGGGTGCCATCCCTGTTCTTTACGCTTGTCGTTGACTGCAGCACCGCCGCTCCTCGTTTCTAGAGAGAGCACCAAGGCAGTGATGTCCTTGTCGGTGATGGTGGGCCCAAAGGGATCCCAAATCTCGACGTATTTGATGGTGAGGCCTGAGGGATAGCTGACGTGGACGGCGTGTCCATTTGGCCCAGCGTTGTTGACCTCCTCGACCTGGATACGGTCATCATCGAGGGGTGCAAAGTTCACGATGGAAGAGAGGAAATGGTGGACAGACTCCTGACGGCACTTCCAGCTTTCGAGATGCTCTGCGTACTTTTTGTTCTGGAGCAGAGCGTCGCCTGTGATGCCTACTGTTAGCGTACTCGAGCCCTGCTCACTCACGGACGACTGTCGCCTCCCAAGCATGAAGGCGAACATGGTGAGTAGCAATTTGTGGCCAATGTGCAGGTGATCAAAGGTGCCTCCCACGGCCACAGCGAGGTGATTTGTTTGTGTAGTTGGGTGTGCAACGGGTGGTGTGGATTGCGCTGACGTCTCGACTCCTACTATGCCACCTCGCACCTTGGACACGTTCCTCTCCGTCTTGGACAGGGAGAGGAAGCTATTGAGGAAGCTCTCTCCTTGGTCGCTCTCGACAGAGAAGACGGTATCCCACGACCTGGAGCTTTGGGCGAGCGTCTGCACGTCAACAGCCGGGCCCTGGGTATCCTGGCCAGGGCTCATCGAGTCTGCGACGGGCGAGACCAAGTTGCCATCGCTGGGATATGCGACGAGGATAATGCGCGCATCGACGCCTTCTGCATCCTCGGTGTCGATTGCGTCTTTGGTCGCGATAATAGTGATGAGCTTGTACAGGTCGGCGACCAGCTGCTGCGTGGTTGCATAGAGCGGCCCCCTCGGCGCATCGAGACGGCCATACAGGTGCGAACACGGCAGCGCGATGTCTAGCAGGGCGGGTTCCTGCGGCCGGTGTGGGGTTCTCGCGAGCTGGCGCAGGACGGTGAACAGCGGGGCGTTGTAGGCGGCCTTGAGTGAGGCAAACGTCGAGGGTGCGGGCGCTGGGGGGAGCAGCAGCAGGGCGCGGTGCGAGGGCTTGCGGGCGGGCGGCATGGCGGCGAAGAGTCGCACCGAGGCGTGGAGGCGACGTGTAGCAGGAGGCAGTCTCGAAGACAGCGCTGGCAATGGATGCATGTACGGGGGGGAGCGGGTGTGTAGGTGTTGCATGTAGACTGCATCTGCGTCTGCGTCATGGTGGAGGCGCCCGCCCGAGATGCCGCCGTCAACCACCGAAGCCCAACTGTCAGCGACTGCGCGCGAGCGTCCCTGCAGCATTGCCATTGCAGCGACAGCGACACGATGCCGCCCTTCGGAAGCCACCACCAGAATGCCTCCAACTCAGCCGCGGCGGGCATCTATCAGGCCGCGCAGATGGGCTCGCTGGGCGCTCCCCACGGCAACCTGCGCGTAGCCACGTCGGGGCAGACGAGCTCAGGCACGGATATGCTGCTGCCCTCGAGCGGGAACGCCCCAGGCCACCAGTCGTCCCCCGGCGGGCCCTACGCAGCCCAGCCCGCGACCGCGCCGCCCGCTGCTGGAGGACTCCCCCCGCCCGGCGCACGCCAGCACTCGTACGAGCAGCCGCGACGGGGCACTGCCATGGACCGCCCGCACGACGACCAGCAGCAGCACATGTACAACGACTCGCCCGACCAGTACGCCGCGCCCAACATCAACTTCCACCAGGCCACGCCCCAGGGCAGCCAGTACGCCAGCCCGCCCGCCGCCATGCCCGGCAGTCTGCAGCCCGCCGGAGGGAACGCCCAGCAGCAGCAGCGCCCGGCGCCTTCCTCGACCTACTCGTCGCCCTCGACGGTCCCCACGCAGGCCACGCTCGCCAGCGCCCAGCAGTACACGCTGCCCACGCGCTCCAACACCATCTCGCAGTCGCAGCCGCACTCTTCTTCGTCGCACTCGTACTCGCGCTCCAGCCCCGCCGGCATGGCGCCCGACCAGAAGTACATCCCCTTCTCCAACACGCCCGAGCAGCACAAGTACGCTGCCGGCACGCCTGCCCAGAAGTACTACCCCGCCACCTCCTCTGGCAACTCGTCCTACTCGCCCCTGGGCCTCGCCGACATCAGGCCGCGCGCAAACTCGCACATGGAGCAGGAGGGGACTGTCTACGGCCACGCCCTGGCGACGGAGCAGAACAAGACGGCCTCCAACAGCAACTACCTGGCGCCCTGGAGCATCTACGCCTACGACTGGTGCAAGTGGAACGTCCCGGGCGGCAACAGCGCGGGCAAGATGGCCGTGGGCAGCTACATCGAGGACAACCACAACTTTGTATGTGCCGCATACCCTCTTATGATCAACGCGTATGATTACTAACATCCCCTAGATACGCATCCTGGACACGCAGATATCGCCGCAGGACGGCGCAGCCCCCGGCGCTTCCCCCTACAGCCTCGAGTACAACCCCATCGCCGAAGCCACATGCTCGTTCCCCGTCACGCGCATACTGTGGGAGCCGCCGTCGTCGCAAAAGCAGTCGACCGACCTCCTCGCAACGTCGGGCGACCACCTGCGCCTCTGGTCCCTGCCCAGCACCCCAGCCAACACAATGAGCAACACAATAACGCGCTCATCTTCCGTAAACACGCGCGAACCCCAGCTCCCCAAGCTCACCCCGCTCGCCCTCCTCTCCAACTCGAAAACCCCAGAGCACACGGCCCCCCTCACCTCCCTCGACTGGAACACAATGTCCCCCAAGCTCATCATCACCTCTAGCATAGACACGACTTGCACAATATGGGACATTCCCTCGCTCACCGCAAAAACTCAGCTCATCGCCCACGATAAGGAGGTCTTCGACGTGCGCTTCTGCGCTGGCAGCGTCGACGTCTTCGTGAGCTGCGGCGCCGACGGCAGCGTACGAATGTTCGACCTGCGCAGCCTAGAACACAGCACAATCATCTACGAGCCGTCCGACAAAACAGCCGACGGCTCCGGAAAAGGTGCGTCCCCCATCACACCCCTCCCAACTAACACCCAACTAACACCCCAACCCCACAGGCTCCCCAACAACAGGACGCATATCCCCCACCAAAGCCCAACAAACAATGTCCTACGCCCCACCCCTCCTCCGCCTCGCCGCCTCCCCCCACGACTCCCACCTCCTCGCCACCTTCGCCGCAGACTCAAACCTAATCCGCATCCTCGACGTCCGCCAGCCAGGCCAAGCCCTCCTCGAACTGCGCGGCCACTCCGCCGCTCTAAACGCCATAGAATGGAATCCCTCGCGCCGCGGCATGCTGGCCTCAGGCGGCGACGACTCGTTGGTCTTGATTTGGGACTTATTGCACGCCCAGAATGGCGCGGTGATAAGTCCGGAACATGCTGCGGCCCCGCCAACGCAGGTTGTGCAGCAGCCGGCGCAGCAGCCGAATGGGGGGGCGCAGGGGCCGCAGAATGCGCCTGTGGGGCAGAAGGGGCCGTATGCGAGTTGGAGGTGTGATTATGAGGTGGGGAATATTAGTTGGGCGCCGCAGAGTGCGTTGACGGGGCAGGGGGGGGAGTGGGTGGGCGTTGCGGGTGGGAGGGGGGTTTGGGGGGTCAAGTTATGATGGGGTGGGGTTGGGATGCGGTGGGATGGGATGAGACGTGTGTCTGGCTGGCGGGCTGGCTGTGTACGAATGACATGACGAATGGCATGGGGTTTTTGGTCCTGTCCTGTCTTGTCTTGTTCTGCTCTGTTCTCTTTTCTGCTTTTTCTTAACGCTTGTATTGGTATGCTGGGATCGATGGTCGAATGGAAATGGAAAATGGAAAAAGTTTGAATCTCCCTAACTTTTTACTTCGAGGTTCTGCGTGACATGTGCGGGAAGTGAGTGTGAGGTGTGTTTGGAAACGTCACGCATAAGGTACATGAGCTTATGAGGAATTGACTGATTCATTGTTGATTTACTCGAAGGTATATGGAACGGATGCGTGTCTCGCTATCTAGGAAGTAGGAAGGTCTCAGTAGCCACCTGGGTGTAGCATCCCTGCAGTCTGTCCATAGAATAGGGTACCCTAAAAGAAGAGGTGAAGGTTGTGTAGTGTGAAAGCGTCATCGCGCACCCATGCCTCCTCACTCACTCACTCACTCACTCAAGCACTGTCAGTATGTTGTGTATTAAAGATGAAACGTTGATCAGAAAGACGCAGACGCAGAAGCAGAAATCCAGACCGGAGATTACCTTACCTTGTCTTGTGTGGGCCCAGTAGGTTGAGGTGCCTTGCTATCAGTATTCGTGAGGATGCTGTCGTCCACCATTGCGGCGTCACGATGAGTTAGGCTGAGTATCTCAAAGCTCTCCTCATCAGTAGAAGGAGGTGAAGCAGAGATGCTGGAGGCGTCGGTGGACATGACGTTTGAGCAAGAGGCTGGGGGCGAGTCATCTGTAGTTGAACCATCGACCGCCGGTACGGATTCGTCAGTCACGGTGGGGACTTCTGAGCCGCGGTAGGAGAGGTTCGACATGGTAACCGTAGGGCATAAACCACCAGAAGACTTTCCGGAGTATTTGTCGCTGTTGTTCATCAGATCCGTCAGGGCGTCGGTCATGGCCTTCATGTCCAGATTCTTTGCCGTCAACGCCACTGGGGAGTTCGGAGTATGCTCGTCGAGGGGAGTTGATAGTCCAGCATCTTGGGAGGCGATGTTACCAAATGAATCGCACTGCTCGCCTTGGTCGTCGAAAATGCCGGTCCATCGCGGCCACTGGATCACGCAATGCCTAGGTGTATGGTTGTCCAATGCAGATAAGTCTTTGAGGGGAGCTTGCGAAGTCTGAGGAGCACGTAGGCCGGCGTCCACACAGCTCGACCCACAAGTCAGGAGGACGATGCGGGACAACTCCTGTTGGAAGGGGAGATGGTCGACGACGAATCCATCGAGCTTGAGACACCTAGCAGGTTATAAGCAATGGGCGTTCTAATAGAGCCAATTCCCCGGGTAGGAGTCAATGATGTTCTACGATCAACTTACCAGAGCGGGAGAGGTATAGCCTCATCGACACCGGAAGCAATTCGAGCCTTGCGCATGCAAAAGTCATCAAGGTATTCGCCGGTTCCGACAGAGTAGTGGAGTGCGCCTATTCCGTCGAGTCCCCTGAAAAGGGTTAGTGACACTGATTACCCAGTGGAGACAAGAAAAGTTACAGGCCCTGAAACAGAGTGTAGAGACGACAGAAGACAAGAAAGAGCACTTGCATGTTGGCAAGATATAAAAAAGTTAACTTACTTGTATTCCTTCTCCTTGCACTCTTCATTCGGCACGGTGAGTCCTACGACATCTTTCGCCTGACGCCAGTGCTCCAAGCGTACAAGGGGTGCAGCGGCCATCTGAAGGTCGAGCACGCGAATCCCACCCCTGGACTTGTTGCGGAAGACAGTCTCCCAGACCACGCACTGAAGAGAGTCGTATAATCGGAGCAGACGAAGCTCCTTAAGCATCGTCTGATGCTGCAGCGGCTTCATCTCGTTTGTTGTGATGTACGACTTGTACTGAACATCACCATCTTGCTCGAGACGGACGGGCTGACCAAGGTCGAGAACAAGCTTTGTCAACGTCGTGGGTAGCTTTTCCCATACGCATGCCATGAATGGCAGTCCAGAAATCCAGCTGTGACATGTTAATATCCGAGTTTGAGGGACGCATATTCGTAACTTACGTCAACTCCTTCAGCGCAGTCATTGACGAGATCAGTTCCGCTATCTTTTCCGTAGCCTCACGCCACTCACGCTCTTCCGTGGTGAGTTTGCGTGATTTCTGAAAGGTCAGAGTGCGCCCATCATCGTTATGATCAAAAAACAAACGCTTCCCGCCAATCAAATGTGTACTTACCATATCTGTGCGCCACTCCATTTTCGAGGCCTCGGTGTTGTTCGTCTCCTGCGGTGTAAGATTCCAACCACCAATAACGTAAAGCTTGGTGGCTGTGGAAGCTCGCGCTTGGATGTCTAGAAGACAGTCGTTGATCTTGCCCTTGATCAACTCCAGTGACGGAGCAGACTTGCCCATGTCGTTGCGATCCACATCGATGATCAAAGGTCTATGAATGTCTCTACGGTCTTCAGCGAGCGCGGCCTCGAGGTAGTAAGGACTGAGATGCGCTTTGAAGTTGGCCATGGTAAAGCGTCGAAAGGATTTGGTTTTGAGTGTCGAAGGTAGAGGTTGTCGCAAGTGAGATAATTATGTGTTGGATCAGGTTTTTGGGAGAATAGGATAATCGCTGGGAGATTGCAGGTCGGGTTGGTCCGGGCTGTTGTTTGTTTGCCATATAAGACAGGAAGGCGCGGTGAAGCTGAGTGAGGCTGAACATAACGAATCAGAGCGCGTGAACAGTATGATCCGCTCTTCAAAACGTACTAAACCGTACCGCATGACCTAGGCTTTGTCGGAGTGGTGAAGAGGAGGTGACTCGAGGTGAAAGAGAAAAGAGGCCGTGACTGTGACTGTGACTGGACGGTCGCAGAGCGTTGCGGAAAGAGTGTTGACGGCGCGCCTGCCGTGAAAGAAACAAAAGAGTTGCGAACATTAGTCAGTATATATATATATATATATATATATATATATATATGAAGTGGAGGAGTAGGAGATTGCTATAGTGAGATGATAGACTCTATGCGGCTAACATCGTGATTGTGGAAGAGATGATCGAAGCTGATGGAGCGCCTGACAGAAACACTGGTGGGATCAAGGACGAAGTGTCCAGGAACTCGTGAGACGAGAGAGACATGAAGTAAACAAGAACAGAGAATAACAATCCAATGAACAAGGTCATTGGACGAGACACAGACTGGATGAGGAATGATTCCAATCGGCGAACAAGAAAATGATATTTATCTTCTCTATTTGCTGTTCAGAAGTACAAACAAGGTCACGGGAGAAGCGTAGCTTAGCTTACACAGAAATACTCTGCCTCAAGGGACATGAAAGAGTCTTGAAGTTCAGATACAAACGATCATGATATCTGGTCGTTCCTAGTTGAGATTACTAATCCTCATTCTGAGTACCGAGATGGCCGATGTTCGGAGGCGAGAGCACTCAACATCATCAACCCCTCACAAGAGATACGATATGCATCTTACGAGCTTCTCTTAGGCTGAATGTTTACATCTCACTTGGACAGCGACTTCGGCATGCTACTACTTGCTCCAATGATGCATAAAGGGTTCTCTTACCCATAGAAGAGGTCTTCGCCACAGACACGTCACCAAGCTTCTCTGTTGACACACTCTCCTGTTTGGTACCATTGCTTGTCTACCTGCTCATTCGATAGAACATACATCTCCAACACGTACCTGACCCCGAACATGTCCACTCCCTACCTTCACGGTCACCACGCGTCGGTCCTCCGCTCCCACAGCTGGCGCACTGTCGAGAACTCTTGCCCCCACCTCCTACCTTATCTCAGCAGTCCAACACTCAAGATCCTCGATGTAGGCTGTGGTCCTGGAACCATCAGTACAGACCTTGCTGCACGCGTCCCTCAAGGCTTTGTTTACGCTATCGATCCCTCCGCCGACGTCATCGAGAAGGCGAGGAAACATGCCGAAGAGAAGGGCATCACGAACGTGCGCTTTGAGGTCGGCGATATATTCAACTGGAAAAGTCTTGATGGCGTAGAGGCGGCAGGCTTCGACATTGTGCACGCGCACCAGGTGCTGCAGCATTTACAAGACCCGCTTGGCGCGATGAAGGAGATGAAGGTTCTCGCAAAGCCCGGCGGTGTGCTTGCGATCCGCGACTGTGACTACACCGCTATGAACTGGTATCCTGAGCATCCAGGCATGCAGAAATGGAAGGATCTGTATATCGCCGTCGCAAATGGACTCAAGGCTCACCCAAACATGGGGAAGAAACTGCATGCTGTAGCTATGGAAGCTGGAATCCCAAGAAGCGACATTGACGCAAGTGTTGCGGCCTGGACTTTTAGCACACCAGAAGAGAGGGCCTTTTGGTGTGGGTTATGGGCTGAGAGAACAGTAAAGAGCGACTACAAGCAGAGAGCGCTAGACAGCGGGTTTGGTACCGAGCAGGACTTGGAAGAGATCGCGGCGATGTGGAGAGAGATGGAGAAGAAAGAGGATGGCTGGTTCGCCGTGATCAACGGTCAGATCATCTGTCATATTAGGTAGGAATAAGCTTAATCAAATGACCCCCGATTAGAGGTTCTTCTGACCCTTAACGGTCCGTCTCTCTTCCTGCTATCACCACCCCCAAAAACGCAACCCCACCGCCACTCCGCGTCGCCAATTGTATAATGAAACGCTTTTACCGCGTGCCCATCATCTGACTGTACTTGCATTAGCTTCTATGGGTAGCCCCGTCGTAGCCCCGTCGTAGTTGCCTGATCCTACAGAAGTTCCCATAACAACCCCACTTGCCCCTCCAACCTCAGCTCAGCTATCACCAAGCAACCCCGCTCCACCAACACGACTCTAATACTCCAACTCAACGAACTCACACGAAGAATAACAAAGAATCAGTACCGAAAATGCAGTCTTCAACTATTCTCGTCAACTTCCACAACAGCTGCCCTAAGTGTGGCGCGAGCATTGACGGAGATAACAAGTCTTGCGGATCTTGCGGCAGCGTAAGTTGTCTGCACAACATTTTGTTGTGTTCTGTGGGAGATTATGCTGATGTTTGCTATATAGTCGTGCCCTGTTTGAAGCCTGGATGAAAAGGCGGTATGAACGGCAGAGTGGGCGAGGCTGATGATATCAACAAAGGGAGGTTGCATGAATGGCGGTGTGGAGCTATCATATCATCAACATGACAGTGAATAGATGCGGTTCAGTCGTTGGAAGTTGGAGTGGTGAGTGAGTTATGAATACAACAAGCTGCCCTACATCATTTTGTATCACACCCTCTTGCAATGAACTTCGACGTCCGTTCATAACCACGAACTCGAAGTACTTCACTTGCCCATCGCTCGGAACTATCCTGCCTTCTCAACAAGACAAACTCTGTTAGGATAGATACATATCCAGTCCATCGTGCCCAAGCTCTTCCTCTGCTTTCATGTGCCTGCTAGCGTGGCCAGCTTTGTCCAGTGTCGAGTTTCAGTGTGCTCTGGTCCTCGTTCGATGCATATCCGTGCTTCGACTTTGACACAGTATGCCAACCCCAGCTCTAGTGCTCGTGGCAGGTATCGTGACTGCCGAATACAACAACACAATCTCCTCCTCTTCTCGGCTCTTCCTCCAGTTTAGTCGATGTCCAATTGCACTCCTTGCCAATTCATTGGACCGTGACATTTCTCCACGTGCCTGTCCATCTTATCCCACATTCTTCATCTCCCGAACGATTCTCTGTTACCAAAAGCGACCATGACCACAAAGCCATTCCTCGACTTTTGGCCTCATCCCGCTTCCTGATGCTCTCTATAACTCTTGACGATCTCCCCAAATCCCTCCTCCCCACACCCTTCACCTCCCTCGTCTTGTTTCCCGTACCACGTCGCGAATTTCAGGATTTTCTTCCTATCGACCTCCCTCTCCCCAAACCGCATAACCACCGCCTTCCCCTTCGCTAATTCCTTCATGAACCCTCCTTGCGCCCACCACGGACTCTCAAAGACACGACGTAGCGCCGCCCAAACATCCTCACGCCCCTGGTCCTGCATCGCCTGCTCCAACTCCTTGACATCAGGCAGGAATCGAAAGTGCACGAAATCCATCGCTGCAATAGCTGCCGAGACATCGCCCGCGCCCAGCCACGCGATTACACTCGTAGCTTTTGCGTGCACAGCTTTAGTAAGTTCCGGTGCAGGAGTTTCACTCGTTGGGTCGAGACAAAGCGTATCCACCCACAGCATTCGCGGTCCATACCGTTTCGTTAGTGGCGTTTTCTTCTTGACGACGGTTGCGACGGGCTGCGCCCATTTGACGTGTGCTTCTGGGTCTTTCTGTCGCTTGATGGTAGGCTTCGTGATGTCGACCCTCAGACTTCGGAGCGCGAGCGCGAGATTGAGGGAGATTGGTGTGGGTTGGTCATCGATGAGGATTGAGTCCGTGGCGGGGGAGTCGCTGGTGTACGATAGCACTTCATATGGCGGTGAGGTTTTAAGAAACACGTCGATGAGGTGACATTCGAGTTGTGATTCTGGGTCGCCAGGTAGTAGTTGGAGAAGGCGTATGCTATGGTTTTTAGGCTGATTTAGGCGTATGGGAGTGGACATGTTAGGGGATTAAGCTGGGGCTTTGTATCGGAGTTCGAGGTGGGGGCGCTGTGGGTCAGATACAACGGTATTGTCTGGCATCTTTAGAGGATATGCGGAGTGCGTGGTTTGGGCGAAGTTAGGTAGTCATCATATCAGATGTCCCCCGATGACGTGAATGATCCCTGCTAGATCGATTGAGAGATGGCGCTAGATGTCAAACACTCGCTAAGACTGAGTAGACATCTAGGTACTGCTCAACAGTGCCTATATGACTTTCCGTTCTCGATACCTGCTCAGCAGCATGAAGTTCCGCCGGCGATCAAGGAACAACTTGCATGCAACTCTCGTATCCTGTCTGCCTCTCCTCCTTTTTCTCATACACAGCCAGATGACGAGGGTGCCTGCAAGGAGATCTACAAGGCTAATCCGACCTTTGCTCCAGTGTTGAGTGCAGAGTCGACTTCCCTGGGTATGTCTGCCGACGGATTTATTGCTGCAGGAAGAACTGAGGTGCTGGCTGGTAAGGGTATTGATGAAGCTCCCCCATGACATACCGATCCGTTGTGCGTGTGCCAATGCATAATCTGGTGGGAAAAAGTGACGAATCTTGAAACTGTCGGGCTATACATATGGGATGAATTACTGCGGCACTTTTAACTGTCGTTGTGGCTTGGTCACATACAATTTCCCAAAAACAAAAGGCCAGTGGTCTGCATCCAGTGAACAAGGACCAGACCAAAAACATACAACAGTGACGAAATCACACGTGACGCTCCCTACTCAGTTCACACATAGGTATGTAGTGAGTGAGACAAGAAAAAGAAAAGAGGCAAAAACATACAACAGCGGGAATTCCCTACCGGTCACCCATATAGGTACTAATCCGCCGGTACACTGCTTGAGTACAGCTGAGCGAACGGGAAGCTCTATTTTCAGCGTCCTATGGTCGTATGTGACAGTTTTGGCGAACTGATCTTTGATATGCTCAATGAATGTTGTAGATGTGAATGCAAATGCTCAGAAAACGGCGCATGTTCCAACACCGAGCAGCGCAAAAGGAGTAGCGGAATATCATCAGCAGGGCACGAGGGGCCAAGCACATGTAGAGAAAGAACCTTGATAGACGATTACCTCAAAGGAAGACACAGGACTAGACTATTATACACCCCATCCGACTCCACTCCACCCCACTCCATCCTACTAGGTATCTTGAAGAAGCCCAAGAAACCCCGCATTCCGACTCAAACACACCGAAGGCCAAAACGCGAGAACATGCGCCCGCACCGCGCACAATGCCCGACACCCATCATAAAAGGAGATTGAAAGAAAAGACGACTAAGAAAGAAAAAGCCCACTCAATCCAAGATATACGCAAAGCAGCAAGAGTGTAGAGAAGAAAGAACCGCGATATCAGCGCTAGGACAACGCTAAAGCAGCATGTTCGTACCTGAGAAGGAAAAAGAGCATTGCTTTTCCCAATCTTCGGACCAACATGGGCCCCTGATTGCGAACCGCAAGGCGTCTGCTCGAGCGAGGCAGGATGACATACCGTATGCGAATGCTTAGAACGGCGCCGATTTGTGTGACATGCGTCTCTCCGTTGAAGTCTGAGTTCGTTTCCTCGTCTCGTCCAATTCGAGCTGCGTTAGAAGAGATGCGCAACTTTCGTTACCAGTAGGAAAGAAAAGGCTGTCCGATGCAGAGCCAATCAAGGAATCGATCCTCCTCGGCGGGGGCGTCGTCGTACAATCGCCTTGGGCGCTAAGCTGCTCCACCCCAGGCCGCCTTCTCACACGACGAAATTCGTGCGAAAGGTATTGTTTGTCTGGCTCTTCAGTTGCCTGGTACTTGCCCACGAATTCAAAGTAATCCTGATCCTGTGTAGGTTTTCTAGTTGCGATGATTGGAGACCCCGGCGACGCGTTGATCTCACTACCCTACACCACGAGTAGAGTATTAGTAACTTTGAGGAGCGTAGTGAGCGGGCTGTGGGCTGAGGTTAGTACACGTGCTAAAAAATAATAGATAGTTCTGAAGATATATTCAGCTTGCCATCAGATTTGATACGTACTGGTGAGTTGAGCATGCTCTGACGTTTGTTCCTGCTCTTTTTGATATGACTCTTGAGCGCACTGGAATCGAGGGGCTTGAGAAGCTCAAAACTACAAAGCAGCTCCCCGGAAACGGACATGACTGCACCCCAGTTGTCAAACTCGCCGCAGTACTAAACGTGTTAGTGAAGGTTCCTCACCCAAAAGCAGTGGATGGACTCACATTTGGTGCCGAGAATACAGTGACCAAGACCCTGTCCGTGAAAAATTCATATCCATCTTCCACAACCATGTGAGCTCTGCAAACAAGATCAAAGTCGTGTCTCTGCAAGAACTCCATGATGACCTTTTTCCCAAAGCAGTAGCTGACACCACGTTCATTTGACTCCCAATCGTTCTCCATATCCGCAGGATCGCTCCACAAAAGATCGTTTAACAGGCCGTAGTCAGGCACGTCCGTGGGCCGCGCAATCTGTCGAATATCGTCCATGTGTGACAAGCTAGGCGACAGTCCTCCGTGCACACAGAAGATTTTCTGTGCCACAATTGCCGCAATCGGGAGAGTATTGAACGTGTCAACAAATGCCTTCCAGACCTTGATATTGCATCTTCTCTTGCACTCGTCGTAAAAACCATAAACACGTGTGACGTTGGCGCATTCGTGGTTGCCGCGCAGGAGAAAGAAGTTCTCAGGGAACTTGAGCTTATAGCAAAGTAGCAGCAGTATCGTTTCCAAGCTCTGCTTGCCACGATCTACGTAGTCGCCGAGGAAAAGATAGTTTGAGTTCGGTGGAAAGCCGCACATTTCGAACATGCGGATCAGATCGGTGTACTGTCCATGGATGTCGCCAACAATCTTCACCGGGGCTGCAAGCTCCAGAAGTGAGGGCTGACTGAGGAAGACCTCCCGTGCGGCAGAGCAAATCGCAAAGATCTCCGCGTTCTTCAAAGCGACCGTCTTTGTGACTTTCCCAGCGTATGCAGCATCTAACAGCCGCTGAATCATGTCATCAAGATCGATAGACTTGAGCGCGCTGATCTCCATGGGCGATCCAGATCCATCATTCGCCGCTGGGGGCTCTGGGAGTCTGGGTATAGGCTGTCCCTTCTTCTGCAATATGGACTCTCCAGGCTGCGCGGAGCTCAATGGAAGAGGGACACCCGTTGGTGGGACGTCCGAGACGTAGTCGACTTCTCCAGCCTCTTGAGCCTTTTCCACACCCTCGTGACCCGTGCCGAGCGTAGCACCGTGAACAGGAGAGGGCGGGGGTTGTTGTTCGTCTGGCACCGAATCCACTCGCGTTGCTGCCTCAGGAGCAACATCTGAGATCGCGGGGGCAGATGAGCCTGCAAGCGAGCCTCGTCGTGACCTTTTGCCTTCTGTTTTGTCGGGTTTGCCGCTGACTTCTGAGAGATTGCCGATGGAGTTCCGCGGGCTGTCGTTCTTCCCAGTGCCAGGGATTTTGGATCGGATCGAGTTGCGTATCGAGCGGGTGGAGCCTTGTGTGTCAGATCTCTCGAACGAACGATAGTACTCGCGCCCGAGGGCCACGCCATCCGCGCCCTTCTCGCCCTTTTTGGTGCTGGACGGCTGGTTGCCCATGTTGCAGGCAGCCGGTCGTGTGCCAAGAGAATGTGTGGAGAAGAGAGGCGGAGAGATGTGTGTGCGGGACTTTTGTTAAGAGGTGTTGTTTGTTGGGGCCGAGGAAGCTGCGGGGGGGACAGAATAGGCAGGATCGAGACAACGAGGACCTGTGTTCCTTCCCAGGCTTGGCGACGCAATGACGTCCGCTGCAGCAACAGCTCGCAAGTAACTTGTGAAAGAGGTCAGGATTCTCGTCGGCCAGACTCTCTTAGGGCGGTCGGAACAGGCGCGAGAGAAAGGCAAGGACGCGAGCCTCCGTCGGCGCTGTCGTGGTCTGCGTTGCTGGAAACTGGCCGCGCCAGGTCAGAGAGGAAGAGGCGACGGGGGACGAGTCGAGGTGCTGCTTGCGAGCCAGAGCGATGGTCGGTGGGCACGAGCTGGATGCGGCGGTTTACACGGTGCGGGCAGTGCCCATAGGGTTGGGGCTGTGGGGGTGTGAAGGCGATGATATCAAGCTTCGCGCAGGCAGGGCGGGGATGGAGCTACCATAAGCCGCAGCGCCTTAGTCAGTGGCCGGTGACGATTTGTAGCCGAGCAGGCGTGTCGAACCAGTGAATGAGAGCTTTGGCGGCGCTCTTAGCGGTGAACGGGGCGCAAACTAGTTGCAGGCTAGATAGGAGCAAGAGCAATGTCGATGTCTACGACGTGCGAACCTACACAGACGGCATAGGGTGTAGCTAACGAAAGAGATGTCCGAACGTCTCTAAAAAGGCACGAGACGAGAGCACAGCCAACATGGAGAATGTCGTGGATGGCGCCAAGGGATTGGGCCCAGGTTGTCGGCTCATCTAGCACAGACCCTTGAGAGGACACAAGACTGTACCTTGTCTGCAATGCGTTGCCAGCGAAGAGAATCCCGTTTGAACCAAAGTCTGCAGCTGGCGCAGGCCTCAGAGCTGTACCTTACAATCGCATCTTCACACATAGTAGTACACGACACCATGCAATCGTCAGCAATGAATTGAATGTCAGACTTTTTGCACTTCGAAACACAGATACAACACAGTCACGTGCTCGTTCGCGAGAACATCACGCGCACACAGTAAGTGTCTCCAAAAGCTGTTTGCCCATACACTAGCGCCTAGTGAACCTTCTCATGGCAGTCACCTGCGTACACCACAGTGAGGTATCTCACAACCTAGTGCCGAGGTTGACATGGACGGCCTGTCACTGTTAGCAGCTGCTTGCGTTGACACATCTGAGAGACACTTTTCGTACCTTTTTATTCGTGTATGCCTCAATACCCGCCTCGCCAAGTTCCCTCCCAATACCACTCTGTTTTACCCCACCAAACGGAATCCGTGTATCAGAATCGTTGCTCGAGTTGATCCAGACCATGCCCGCCTCGATGCGCCTAGCCACGCGATGCGCCTTTGTGATATTTTCGGTGAAGACGGCCGCGCCCAAGCCATAATTCGAGTCGTTGGCACGATTGATAGCTTCTTCCTCCTCCTTGAATGAGCTAATGGTCACGAACGGGCCAAAGACCTCTTCGCGGTAAATTGTCATGTCGTCCTTCACGTTTGAGAATATAGTGGGCCGGACGAAGAATCCCTTTCCGTTGACATCTTTGTGCGCTTCTCCGCCAGCTACAAGGGTAGCACCCTCCGACTTGCCAGCCTCGATATACGACAGTACCCTTTCGAATTGCGCCTTGGTGACCTGCGGGCCTTGGAACGTGTCGTCATGGAAGGGGTCTCCAACCACTGAGGCTTCCGATACATGCTCCTTGAATGCCTTGACGAACTTGTCGTAGATGCCTTCTTGCACCAATATTCTCGAAGTTGCAGTACATACTTGCCCCTGATTGTACATGATTCCAATGTGTGCCCACTTGACTGCTTGATCGAGATCAGCGTCATCGAAGACCAGTAGTGGCGATTTGCCGCCTGTTTCCAGAGTAATGTTTTTCAGGTTGACGGCGGCCATCTTCATGATCTCTCGTCCGGTAGCGGTCGACCCTGTGAATGCGATCTTATCTACATCCATATGCGAGGCGAGCGCTGCGCCAGCTTCTCTTCCATGTCCGTTGATGATGTTAACTACACCTGGCGGGAAGCCTGCTTCCTTGATGAGAGTGGCTAGGTACAGAATGGAGAGTGGTGTCTGCTCGGCGGCCTTCAAAACGATTGTATTGCCGGTACATAACGCGGCCCCCAGCTTCCAGGATGCCATCAGCAAAGGGAAGTTCCACCTATAATCGATCAGCCATGTTCATCTGGTTAGGAAAGGACACCTACGGGATGATCTGTCCACACACACCGAGTGGTTCGCGAACAGTGTACGCCAACTTAAGAGGGGAGGTCTCAATGACCTGTCCGTGGATCTTGTCCGCATATCCTGCGTAGTACTTGATCGCTCCAATGGTTCCGTCCAGATCATCCGAAAGTGAAATGGAGTACGGCTTGCCATTGTCCCAGGTCTCAATAGTGGCCAGCGTCTCCTTATGCTCTTCAATCAATTGCGCGAACTTGAACATGAGGTCTGCACGAGCAGTAGTGTCCATGTCCCGCCAACTGGGATCTTTGAAGGCCTTTCGTGCTGCAGCCACGGCGATGTCGACATCCTCGGCCCCAGCTACATAGACAGAAACGATCTCACTCTCGTCGCTGAAACGTTGTCAGCCAAAGTATTCGATACAAATCTTGGGTAAAGGTTTATCATGTGACGATGTACCTTGGGTTTATAGATACGATTGTTTCCCCCGACTTGGAAGCAACAAACTCGTTGTTGATGAAGAGACCCCTTGGCTGCTTGTACTTGCGGCCATTTGGCGCAGTGAGCTCGACGAAGAGATCAGACATGTTAGCTGCAGCAGTGTAGCGCCTCACAACAGCTATGCGTCTCGAGTTGAGAGATCTGGGAATCGAAGTTCGGGTGGGGAATGCTGTGAGGGAGCGAAGTGAAGCCCTACATATTGCGGGACGAAGATACAAGCATGTCATCATTCAACAGAGGACGCAGCTATCTATGCGCGTCTAGGCAGTCTCCAATAGAAGCTCTTGGGGCGTATGCGGGTGATGCTAGCTGAACCCCGCGATACGGACGAGTCAGTCGCATCCGCATGCACTTTCCTCTTTGGATCTTACACCCTTGTCCCAGTTCATTGTACATGAGTGGTCGCATCCGTTGCCCTCTTCTTGTTGGGTCTTGTCAGGTTCGGCTGTGTGACGCCAGATTCGCGAGTCGAACTGCATCCACAGAACTTTGACAGCTTGTCGCGTCGCGTGGCCGCCATGCGTCAAGCTACCCCACCAAGCAAAACGCGATGCGCTGACCTCATGCCTATTCCCTGAATTTCGACAAAGGCCTCAAAACCACTGCTGTGTGCCCCCTCGCCTAGCACGACATATTGTCCTCTCGAGACAAACGCCATGGAGACCAATCCTACCTTTGACGCGCCCGACCTCGATCTCGACCTCGACCGCCCCGATGCCTCCATTAACGTGTCCCAATCGCTCGACTACTGGAACAGCGTCTCCTCAGACGTCACAGGCATGCTCGGCGGCTATCCCCAGACGTCCCGCATAGATCTGCAGGGCTCGTCCAACTTCCTCGCCAAACTGCGCCGTGGCAAAACACCAGCCTCGAAACAGCCTCCCGCGCCACTGGAACGCGTCGCGGACTGTGGCGCGGGTATTGGCAGGATAACAAAGGGCTTATTGCTAGGCGTCAGCCGGCGAGTCGATGTCGTGGAGCCGGTGAAGAAGTTCACAGACGAGCTGGTGCAGGGTCTCGGGAGTGGGGAGTGGGCTGGCGACGGGGAGAACAGAGACGGCAAGGGACAGGTTGGGGACGTGATCAATTTGGGCCTGCAAGACTGGATACCAGAACCCGGCGCGTACGACCTGATATGGAATCAATGGTGTGTGGGACATCTCACCGACGCGCAGCTCGTCACCTACCTCGAGCGGTGCAAGGCGGGCCTGCTGCAGCCCTCCACCGGGGAGGAGACGAGAAAATCGTGGATCGTGGTCAAAGAGAACTTGTCCACGGACATCAGGCATAAGGACCTCTACGATGAGGAGGACTCGAGCGTTACGAGGTCGGACGAGACGTTCAGGTCGTTGTTCAAGGAAGCGAGACTGAAGATCGTCGCGACGGAATTGCAGAGGGGGATGCCGAAGGAGCTGTATCCTGTCAGGATATATGCGCTCAGACCGGAATGAAAATTGAAGTGGATAGACTCGGCGCACTTCTAGGATGAGAGTTGGAGATTGGGAAAATAGTCGATACCCAGGTATGCCCCACAAGAAAAAGCAACAACGCTTCGTCCTTCTTTGAGCGAGTCCAGAATGGGACGATATCTGCCTCTATGATAACACATCCAAACCACAACGCCAATCCAATGCACGCCATATCCACACCCTTCCAACCCCACATCTACCTTCTCCCATCAGACCTTCACTTGCCGCCTGCTCCCAAAACTTCCCCAGAGGCCATGAACCTATGCACAAAGCTCAGCGGCAGCATAGGTGGTCCAGTAGGAGCCAATTCGGGCCTTGCTCTCTTAGCCTTCGGTGCAGGAGCAGTGGCAGTGGCAATAGCAGCAACCGGGATCGGCGCCCCAGACGTATCCATAGCGTCCCCATCGTCCTCGTCCTCCCCGTCTTCGTCATCTTCCTCTTCCTCGTCCTCGCCCTCGCCTTCAGCAAAGAGTGTCTGCTGATATTCCTGATCGAAAACCGTGCGATGGGCAAAGTCCCACAGCTGCATCAACTCATCTTCCGTCATGGTGCCTGGAACACGCTTTGTCGACTGTTTCTTCTCCCTCCCTTCTGCGTCGTTACTCTCGTTTGCTGCCTCGTCCTCATCTTTGACCTCCGCCTTCCTAGGCTCAACCTCCCACTCCTCCGGTACATGGGCAAACCCAGCTGCCCTCGCCAACCTCTCCTCGACCCACTTCTCCTCACCGGGCTCTAACCTCTTCCTCAGCAACGTCTGCGCCAAGCCCGCCATCTGCTCGTTTCCGGTAGGAAACGGCGCCATGGGGAAGGGATGCAGGGCCTGGAGTCTCCGCGCATGGCCAGCAACAGGCGTGTCGATGTAGATGGTCTTCTCCTCTTTGAGATATTCGTTAGTGGTGCTGTCGAAGATGGGCTCTCCAGCGTCGTTTCGTGCGGTTTCGGTGGTGACTTCTTGTTTGTGTGTGTAGCCGCCGTTGAGCCATTGGTAGATGGATTTCAAGTAGGCGTTGATGTGGGATTGAAATCGTTGGGTTGTTGGCCTGGGGATTTTGTGAGTCCCGGTAAATGTATGAAGTAGGTAGAATGTAGAACATGGACTGTAGTAGATACTGAAGTGGAAATAGGACGGTAAAGGATATAAACAATATAGCGCGATCGAGACGTTTTGACAGCAAAGAGTAGACACGTTCACAAAGGCACCAAAAATCACTCACCAATCTGCATTCCCCCTCTCTAAATCGACTCTCATCTTGTCCATGATACCAATCATGGGTACAAGCTGGCGTCGCATCTGATCAATAGCCTGGAGATCCTCTCTGGTCGGCTGACCAGCAAAGTATTGATTCATCTTGTAAGTATGCGACACCGTCTCCACGTTCTAATGAGGTTGAATGAGTTCAAAGGTTAGTCGGGTTCTCAGGTGTTGAAGGTAAAGGGAAGTGCAGATGATTTGGTAAGATCGGCGTTGCTGAGAGACTATTGGTCTGAAGATGGGGCTTGCTGTGATGGGAATAGTGGGCTTGGCACGTTGCGTTAATCGCGTTTTCTTGCAGTGCTGCGTCGACAACACCCTTACACTCATCGCTCGTCTTTTCTATCTTGGTTGTTTCGAGTGATGGACGTTGCTGGTCACTGCCGTTTACTCCCCTTGGCAGATTGTTGCAGAACAATGGCATGACACGACAGATCTGGACCAGTCTTTGACATAGACTGGGTTGTTTTGATCTGAGATACACGCGTAGCTATGCTTATTTGTTGGTATTTTTGCCGATAATCACTTTTGTGGTACACCGTGTGACTCTTGGTGAGCTTTATCTTATGATTGGACTGCTGACCCACTCGGTTCAATCAACATACAGGTGTGTGATTTCGAGAGCGATATATGTATCGTCGTGTGGGTATTTGTAATTGTTCACGTCTACTGGCCGTCGAAGACGTTCGCCTTCGGATCGATTTTGGAACCCTTGGATCTCGTTGGCTTCGTCAGAGGCAGACCAAGCGAATCATCACTGCAGCGGTTACATTCATAATGAAAATAGTCTGGAGCTTACTTCATCACTTGGCTACACCGGTACCAGTAACCATGGATATGCGTAAAATCCTACAGGTACCCCATACCAGGGCAGTTGATCATCTCTCAGAGCTCAACAGCTCATGACTGTTTCTGATATTTTTCTCTTGGTTGGTGAATCCTTGATTTACAATCACCAACAATAACACAATCAGGCGATCATTAGTCATGGCAATACAAACTCAAGCCCATAACCAAACAATTACCTCTCATTTACTTGGATCGACCCCGACAAAACCAGGCAGCCAAAATTACCTCTAACCATCTGAGACATCTCTTCCACGAGCCTTTCTACCATATAAAATACAGTGCTTCAGCACGCCATCGACCTTCCAATAGCTGCTGTACTCTATCGACAAGGTTTTGCCTCAAGATACGAAGATCGAAAGGTCCGATAGAACGTCGTCTTCTCACCAATATCAGGTATGTTGTTGATACAATTCCCATCATTGCTGCCTATGGCACATCTTTTGGGCTGCCGGATAGGCAGCTGCCTTTACCTCTTCTATTGTGGGTCTTATTGAGTTCATCGATTCGGCGCCTGAAGACAATAAGTTCGTACCTTGGCCAGGAGGTTTCGATCTACTCTTACTCAGTGATACATATTGATCACTTTTGACACTCATCATTACGGCTTCGATTAGGATTCAGCTAACATTTCGTCAGAAAAAACGTCATTAGAAGTATAGACACAAAGATCCTGTCACAATGATACACCGAAATCCTTCCGAGATCGCGTTCGACCCCGATCAAAATTTGTGGTGTTTTGACGAGGACGAGCACGACGGTATTCACAATGCGCAAGACTTCGAGGAACATCACTTCATGGACAACATCCGTTCTGGTGTTTTGGCCTACCGCCTGCAGTCTGCGTGTCACTTCGACCTCTCGATCAAGATACACCAAGCTGCACCATTGCAGTGTGACGAAACAGCGATCAAGCTAGCACCATCTTTCAGAATCGAAGTTGTCTTCAAGAGGTTGGTTGAGCCAGATCTATTTCGTGTGTGTAGACCTAGATTCCGTCGATGCTCGCGTGGAAGATATCGCATCGCCACCAATGAAGTACAGATCTGCGAGAAGGGTCGCTTCATTTTGATGAGCGAGTTTCTGAGGATCTATTACCCAAATTTCAATACGCTGGTGGGTCTCGATGACATGCAGCGATGGTGGAGCGCGAACGGGAAGAGTTTCAACTGGACTGGAATGCCGACAGAGCTGAAGGAACATGTGGTGTTGTTCTGTCTACACCATCCTCGGGGTACCGGCCTATACCAACGCAGTCTGCAAAATTATCGAAGCCCATTCAACCCAAGGCCTGTTGCGGACCGAGAACTTGGGGTATACGAGGTTGTTGACAAGCTTGGAGATTGGTGTTATCTCTTAGGTTGTTCACGCCAAGTAAGGTCCATCACGCTTCGGCTATGCTTCATGGGCAGTAGCAATTTGACATACAGCAAAGGGCTGTGCATCGACATTCTATCTTATAAAGCCCTTGAAGACTGTTTTGACCGTCTTGGAAAGTACTACCAGATGATGGGCCCGGACAGCCTGCCTGTGGACCAGAAGACAAAAGCTTTATCAGACTGCTACAGCCTTTATCCGAAGATTTACCCTCAACTCAGGCAATACGCGACGTTCCGACAAGGTATCCAGAAGATCTGTTTGAAAATGAGCTTCGTGTCCTACATGCGGTTCTTCAAGGTAACCGCTGGTGGCTTTGGCAAGTATTGGCGAACCGACCACATGACATTCGAAGTTCTCGAACAGCTACCTTTTCTCAATGAAATCGTCATCAAGCTTCCTGTTCGGCCTCACGGTGCCGGTGGGTGGAAAGATAACTTCCACGAGGGCGGCCCTCAACTCTTTCATCACGAGTCTCCCTGCCCTCGAATGCTACATCGGATTCTGTACGAACGCATCGCCGAAGCTCTTGCGTCACACGAGCATGTTCGGCTGACGAGATTTATCGACAACGATGAAAAGCAGCGGTACTGGGAATTTCGGAAGAACGCAGTCGCGAAGCTAAAAATGACCGGCGCAGAGCTGGAGGAGCTCTACAGGGATGACGGAGGTGGCATTGAACTCGAAGATGTCGTCGCCCCAGCGAATATGGTCGCGAAAGACGAACATGATCAGGATCTGCAAGCCTTCGAGTACCCCGCGGAGGGTGAGGAGCAGTTCTTCCCTCCGAAGTGCCGCTGTGCGAAGGATTGCACCTTATATAGAGACAGTCAGGAGTGACAGTCAAGAATGGACAGTAATGGATTTGGCGTACGGGGGTGATGGGCATCAATGATGCGGTCTTGGATTTAGGTTTGCTCTGCTGAACTCTGAAATGCCCATTTGCGGAAAACTTTGATAATCAGCATGGTAAGTGTTTCAGCGGACCTTACTCATTTCTATATAAGTATTTCTTAGTAAGATCTTGTGCGGCGAGGCCGTTAATCTAGATATATTATACTTTGTCAAGCCCTAACGTTCGATATTTTGAGTGCTTGTGCGTCCATAGCACAAATCACATCTATTCTGATCCCATCAGGCAAAAGCACACGGGTAACACGTACCTATCTCGAAGGTCATTACAGAGAATGTAGTCACAGCTATAGCATTACGTGCTCCAAAGCTTTTATCATCCTCGCTATCGGAATGAACTCAGCATGTTAGACAGACCTGCGACCAGGAAGTAAGTGGTTGGAACGCTAGATATTGACTTTGTCGCCGATAAGTCTTGCTGTCTTGCATCCAACTCAGGATGTGCATGTATCCAGAGTACCATGGTCATAACTGTAAGTCTCTGTTTAATATGGGGATCAATGTAAGCGCACTGTGAAGATGCGATCACGTGCAATCATACGACATGAAACGTTTGTTACATTCTACGCAACGGGCTTGGAAGGAAACGACATCAACAAACTGCTAGGTCTCTTCATGATGTAGTGTGCGAGCATGTCTGTCAGAGTCACGTTGCTGTACCGTAGAATTTTGCTTGACAGCTTTACCACTAGTGAGGATCCAACAGCGGCGCAGTGACTGAGCCATGGCGGCTTCGATGTCCTGCTGAGATGTTGATTGGCTCATTTCCGAGCTATTGGTAAAGCTACTGAGGAAAGCTTTTGTGGTAGCTAGCACTAACGGCATATCGTACGTCACAATTGGCGACATGGAGATGCTCCAAGTCGGCTTAACAGCTGAACAAGGTCAGCTGGAGGGAATCCTAAGGGCGACCTAATTTGATAAGGCTGGGAGCATTTTCTAGGTACCGTTTTTCCCTATCCCGATCTGTCGGCTTGTTCTTTGTTCCTCTAGCTTTGTCGCTAGCGAATACGAGCACCATGAACCTTCTTTCTAGTACAAGCATTGGCGTCAACATAGCTACGCGGCCTGTTGCCGCTATTTTCGTCGTGTACCTGCCTTTGTGGGTCATGTACACGCGAAATTCATCCTCTTGCCGATACATCTGGGTCATGATAGTTTCCATGTCACGAAGATAGCTTATATACCATGTGTCCAAGAGTGACAAAGATAAAGCGATGAAGTGACATTCTCAAGTAAGAGCTTGAAGATCAGAGTATTAAGTAAGGGAACCTACATGGTCAACATAGGGAGGATTTTCCAGCAAGTTCGAAGAGATTGTGCTAGGCACCGAGCCAGTGGAACAGAAGGGGTGGCAACGTGACTAAGGCGATACGATTCTAGGGTTCAGCATGTTGTGCATTGCAGAAGAAAGGGATGGACTCAATCGAACAGGCCTCCACTTCTTGGACTTCTTGGAAGCTTTATCGTAGCCATCATCGTTTCCGAACGCCGACATCCGAGAACCGAAAGCCCGTCTCCCGGAGTCGCCGGAATCGGTAGCCCCCGCGTGTGTTGGCGAAGATAAAATGGGTACAAGCTAGACATTGAACACGGCAGTTCAACCGGACACACAGGCAATGACCTAGGAAGGCTCGATAACTGAAGTTAGGCCGCGGCATCAGCGGGACGGTCAAGGAACGAGGACCACAAAAGGAGGTACCGATTAGACTAGTAGAACCTATACTAGCGGTTTTGATCATAGATCGGTACCGGATGGTAGGTAGTCGTCGACTTTTGTGAAGACCATGCCGAATTATCTAAGCTCCCAGAAGGTGGGAAGGTAGCCGAAGATAGCTAGATCGTTGATTACGAGTAAAGAAAGTTGGAGCCGTTACTTTCCTAGTCTCAGAATCCAGGCACAGCGTCATGCTTCCACTGCTGGCTCGATCCCAAAGAGCCTAGATAATACGGTACCTGTCGTACGCGTCGCAGTTACCGAGGCGAACCTATGTAAGGTCAGGACATGGACACGAGTCGCCACGCTCCAAGGACATCCAAAGGACCCATACTGTATCCGCCACTTGGTTGGCAAGGTTGCTTCTCGAGTGGAGACGGCAAACTTTTACACATTGTAAAGAACTATCTCCAGCGTTGCATCGCTTGCGAAGTATTTTCAAATATCCAGCTTTCCACATAACAGGAAAATGGACGGTACGACGTGTAACCGATAGGGACCTATGGAATTGATCAGCTCAACAGATCTGGCCAAAGATGCTGTGATGCTGATGAGAAGTGTCCTGCGGATACATCCGAATTTGGCCGTCGATTCGGGAGCCTTTAAGCTCCCTTGATCTTATTGAGGACGGACTTGCAGGCTCGGGAGTGAGTGAGGATGAGGCTCTCTTGTCTCTGTTTAGGACTGTCGGTCAAGGTAGTCACTGATCAAGACATTGAGAGTTTGATAGGAAGCTGCTGACTATGGACAAATAGCCTCTCGGAACACGGCCCTCGCCTTGTGATCCCATTCTTTTGTGCTAGACCTCCCGATGTACTACTCACGGGAGGGAGTTAAACATCTTACGCCATTCATTCATAGCTCTGGCATATTACACGATCAACACGAAGTCACAAATAGGGGGAACGGAGGTAGTGGACCATGGCTGTGGAGGCTAGGTTTAGGCGGCGGAACGCCGGTGGGAAGGGAACAAAGCATCATCGCAGCTTCGACTAAGACTAGCTTTGTCCATGACCTTGAACAAGGTTTTGATCCATTTGCCACAGCCAAACTCTATCTTGTCGACTAGTCAGGACAAGCTATTAAGCGAATCTCAGCCCTAGAGTACTTTGTTAGTGCGACCATTATCTCGACAGATGGTACGTAGGCCGTTATGCAGACAATCCACGCAGTATGCCATGCTGAACAAAAAAAGATCGGAAGATGAATGCTTCATAAGTTAGCTCTTTGCACTTCAGTAAAATAATTCACTGGATGATAATACTTGCTTTACCTAGAAAATATAAAACTATATATACACTCTTTACTTCTAGACCTAATTTTCATGCGTTTATTGTATATTTGTGTGATGAAGAACACGTATGACGTGCAGACACGTTGGTGTTCCTGCGTGTTCTACCACAGACTCGTTTTCAAAATCGGTTACGTGCGAACTTCCCGCCTGCTACATCCCAGGATGTTTCAGCCCAAAGCTAGTGAGCCGAGTGCGGCTCAAGATAGTACGAACTAGGGATCTGACAGCATGGATCTTTGCCACGAGCGTTCCTGGAAACGACACAAAACAATACAATGTGCTCGACTTCTACCGGAAAATTCCACCAACAGTCATGTGGAGTTAATATAACTCATAATTGCCATGGCCATTGCTATGTCTCGACTCGACACGTTATTCCCGATCACTAGGACGGCATCAGATCTCCCGAACGCAAGCTAAGGCGCAATACTATTTTCTGGCATGACCCCAATAACCAGGCTAAATTACTACACAACGTTGGGTCCCAGATCTGGAAGGTCCATTGTGGATCCCTGCAATCCTCTATCGCGTGGAAGACCCTGGCAGATGTGGGGCTCTTTTTTGATCGGCTGGTCATTTGATTGGTGCAATATCCCGAACTTCGCGACAAGAACATGGTAAGCTATTGTTGACCACAGTTTCGATAAACTGGCTAGCTAGGAATATGCGCCAGCGGGAGAATTCCACACTTGCCAAGGGAGAGACGCAGGGGTCAGAGCGACAAGGGTTCTAGGGAACTCTAATTTTGACAGTCTAGCTGACAGTTTCAATACGGGAGGTGATCAAATATATATTGCATGTGGCTTGCTCCAAATGAAGCTTTTGTCTTCAGTCTTCTCTACACATTCACTTTTGGGTTTTATCCCGCTCACATTCACTCTTGGGTTCTATCCCAATCACATTCACTCTTTGGGTTTTTTCAACCCGTCCACAATCGTTGTATATCTTTCACATTCCTTGTTTTCGCCATGAAGGGCATTTCCGTTGTTCTGTTCGGCCTTCAGGCCTCTATTGTCGCTTCATCTGCTCTCCTCCTCCCTGGTTCCGATACTGTTCCCGGTCAACTCGACCAACGCCAGTTGTTGAGCGGGTTATTCGATTTTCTCCTTCCCGGGTTGGCCGTAGTAACCACTTCGAAGACAACATCGACCGTAAAGACAACATCAGCCACCAGCACTTCGACCTCCCACACTTCGACTTCGACTACAAAGACAACGTCCACGGTAAGTACCTCGACCTCGACCGCAAAGACATCGAGTACGTCGACCGCAAAGACAACGAGTACGTCGACCGCAAAGACAACGAGTGCATCGACCGTAAAGACATCGAGTGCATCGACCGCAACACCATCAGCTACATCGACCGCAAAGGTGTCAGCCACATCGACCACAAAGGTATCGACTACATCGACAACTGGGACATCGACCGTAACGTCATTGACGTCAACGGCTTCAACATCCAGCGCAAGTCTCTCTTCGAACGTTACGAGCTCTGCGGCGGCTCCTCAAAACACCACTGTCGCTTTAGATGCTGGGACAATAGACTCGACCATCTTGATTCTCGCACGCGACGCAGACTCAGCCAGACAGGCGAGCTCTGGTCTCAATGGTTACGGTATTCCATTCCAAATCTTGCTTGTACCATCAGATGGTGTTGAGCTCCCAACATTGAACTCGTCTTCTGCGGGTAACTTCGGTGGTTTCATCGCTCTGTCTGGTCTGTCTTACGACTACGGTAACGATAACTGGCGCAGTGCTCTGACAGATGCTCAATGGAGCCAATTGTACTCTTACCAGATCGCTTTCGGCGTGCGCATGGTACAGCTCGACGTTTATCCTCAAGCAGCGTATGGTACCTCTGTCATCGGTAGTTGCTGCGACAGCGGCGTCGAGCAATTAATCTCCTTCAGCAACACCACTGCATTTGCCCAGGCTGGACTCAAGACGGGCGCTGGTATGAGCACTCAAGGCTTGTATCACTACGCCACGGAGATCACCGATCCATCAACCACCTGGGAGGTTGCTCAATTCGCAGCCAACAGCCAGTACAGCAGTCCTTCCACTGCTGGTGTTATCAACAACTTCAGTGGACGGGAGCAGATGGTGTTCTTCACTTCTTGGGCAACAGACTGGTCTCCTACTAGCAACTTCTTGCAACACGCCTTCATCACATGGATGACTCGTGGCTTGTATGCTGGTTACCGCCGCGTCAACCTTAACGCCCAGATCGACGACATGATGCTGAGCACACCAATCTACAACGACGCCAACGGCACAAGGTACCGAGTTACTCCGGGGGATATGTCGACCATCCGAGACTGGGTTCCTACTATCAATGCGAAAATGAACCCAGGCAGCTTCTTCAAGCCTGAGGCTGGCTACAACGGCGATGGTAACCTTATTGAAGTCGATCCTTCCTCCTCGAAGCCAGAGTGTGACCCCCACCCCATCTTTACCGGCTACAACCCCACAACCGCTGAGTTCAAGAAGCCTCTGGGTACTGGAGTTGACCTGTGGCCATCTACTGCGCCGAGCAATTACACCTACAGCTCAGACTGCCTCAACCAGGATGAACTATCGCAATGGTACCAGGTCGCGTCGAACCGCGATCAGCTCATGCACATCAGTCACACATTCACACACGAGCATCTCAACAACGCCACCTACAACGATGTCTACCGGGAGATCAGCTTCAACCAACATTGGCTCAACCAGGTTGGCATTTCTCAGGGAACCTTCTCGCCAAAGGGCCTGATTCCCCCTGCCATCACCGGTCTCCACAACGGTGACGCGCTGCAGGCGTTCTGGGACCTTGGCCTGAGGAACGCTGTTGGCGACAACGCGCGCCCTGCTCTCCGCAACACAGAGAACCCCATGTGGCCTTACATCACCAACACCGCAACTGATGGCTTCGCTGGCTTCACCGTCGTCCCGCGCTGGCCGCTCAGGATCTACTGGGACTGCGATTCCAAGGACTGCACATTGTCGGAGTGGACGAACACTGGGGGTGGAAGCGGCGATTTCGCCAATTTGATCCTGAACGAGAGGAACGATATGATCAGGTACTTCTTCGGCCTCTACCACGATGGAGCCATGTTCCACCAGATCAATCTGCGCTCGACAGGAATGACTCCTTACACCACAGCCGACGGCACCCAGGTTTCCTCTCTGTACCAGACTTGGGTTGAGACCATTGTGCAAGAGTTCACTCGTCTCTCCAACTGGCCCATGATTGCGCTCAAGCAGGATGATTTGGCTACTGCTTTCACAGACCGCATGGCGCGTGACCAGTGCAACTACGCGATGACCTGGAACATGTCCGGTGGCAAGACCACTGGAGTCACTGTTACCGCCGATGGAAACACATGCCCTGTTGCTATTCCCATCACTGTGCCAGGCTCAGTAGTTGACACGAAGGGATTTGTGACGGAGAAGGTTGGAAACGATCCGTTGACTGTTTGGGTCAAGTTGACCGGTTCGCCTGTAACGCTGACGTTGTCGAGCCCACTATGATGAGTTTTTTTAATAGTGCGTATTTCGCCTTTTGTTTTCGAGCGTGTAATCGACAAATTGGATGGATACTGCGAAGTAGTAATTGTATAGACTTTTTCTTTATGAATCAAAACGTTCACTCTTTTTACTTTCTGTGCTGATATCTTCGTGACCTTCCATATATACTTGCTTCTCGTCCGCATCAGTAGGTTGAGCAGCCAGTCGTCAAGAGGCGGCTGATCAGCTCTCTGTTACTATCACTGTGTACCTACACTTACTAATATTTACTGCGTGAAAAGGGACTGGGCATTAGCTTGTACACAGAGTTAATATACTAGATTCTTACTGCGTTGCGTCAATCTGCTTGTACGACGAGCATGAACATGCTATAACCCCAAATAATATGCTTATTTTTTGAGCGTGTCCAAGGCATGGAACAAGACCTCAACTTGCAAAGGTGACTTTGATGTAGTTTGAGCCATTTTGCTTCGATCACAAATTACTCATAAGCTTCTAGATTATGTGTCTTTGCTGTAAACACGACTTTAACGTAAGACTAATCTGTTCGCTCGGTCAGTGACGAGCGCCAACGCAACATCCGAAAAGAGCAGCAAAGACATCGGTACAACGCAAGACCCGGGCAGTAACTGTTGCCATTATAACCTGTAACCGTTATTTGTTTCTTGAGATTGTGTGAGTTAGCGTAGTAGCAAGGACATGAGACTAAACGCGTGGTGTACCAAGACCACAACAACCGTGACAACAATGACAACAACGATGTATCGATCTAAAACGTTCCACCCGTTCTCTTCTCTGTGGCGAAGCTCCTTCAAAGTTAGCAGTATAACATGCAATAGTGTGATGCAGTAGACGAGCCTCAGCAGATATCAAACTTCTATACCGGGTATGCTTTCCCAATTTGAAAGTAGATATGTCAGCAACCGTGAAGTAGGTGATCAAAAGACGATATGACAAATAGAGGAACACTCTTCTTCCCAGAACATGTCAGTTCATATACGTGAGAAATTTCATTTTCTCAAGAACGCCATGTCCCAAGACCTATTACTAGTACTCAATGCAACGCCATCGACTCTCACCGGGGTATATACCATCCCATACGCTTCAAAACTTGCGTCAAGTCAGAAGCCCCACTACAAAGCAGTACCGCTTATCGATCTCTATCAACATCCTCAGGGGGTACTCTTCTCTGAAGTCCTGTCGTGTTCCAAACAGCCTCGAATCCGCGCCAAACCACAGTGGAGACAGTGGAACTCAGATCGCGTACGGAACTACTCAGTTCAGCGACCCTACTCCCGGGGATATCCTGCGGAGGTGCTTGTGTATCGTCTCCAGACCAGTTGGCTTCGACGTCATCGTGAACATCGTCTGAGTAGGCGGCTGGTGCAGATGTAGAGATAGGTACCGGCTGGGAAGCCGAAGGGGAATCGTTGCGAGTCTCAATCGCCTGGGTCTGGATGTCGTCTACGTTGTCTGGAGCCTGAGCCGAGCGTATTGGCGAAGAGGAGCGCATACGGTCGTGGTAAGACTGAGATAGAGAGCGTACCACATCACCCTTGCAGATGGGGCACGTCCTACGGCGTGTGACGAGCCAGGGAGTTCTGAGGGGTTGTTAGAGATATGTGAGATGATATGGGAGAGTGGTGACTTACATGCAATCCGCGTGGAATTCATGACCACACGGTAAACTCATGACCTGACTGATGCCATCTTCATACTCCTCCAAACATACGACACATTCTCTCTGCCGACCACCGTATCGACGTCGCCACTCCGCCAATCCTGTTTCTCGCTTCTCCTCCTCGCGGGTGCGAGGTCCGTGCTGGACAGAGGAAGAAGTAGTTGGCAGATTAGACTCGGTTTGGGAGCGTCGCCGAGGCAACGACGAGGTTGGTTGAGTTGGAGAACGTTGTAAGAGAGGAGTTGTTGGTGTAGCTGTTTCGGAGGATGTAGACGGTGAAGAGGATGAGTCGCTGATGGTGTGGTAGGTTCTGACAGGAAGACGCTCGACTACTGACTTCGGCGCTCTCCAGCGCCGGCGCCTGATACGGGAACGGAGAAGAAGAAGTGCATATACAACAGTCAAAGTGACCAAAGGACTGACGACAAGAACAAGCAGTGTATCGAAGAATGGACTTGTCGAGACACTTGTTGGTGTGAGGGTGACCCAAAGCCCTTCGTGTTGTTCTGGTTCGTTGAATGATGTCTCAACTTGTTTGATGTTAGCCCTGGTGATGGATGTAACACTTCTTATATTTGCATGTCCTGGGCCAGGGTTCATAGAAGTGACCTTCTTCGAGCCGAACCACCCGCTCCACCATGTCTTGCGATCATGACTGGGGCTAGTATATGTGTACTCGCCACTCCCAGGTAGAACACTCCCACCTTTTGTAGTACTTGTTGACATGGGACTGGTCTTGGATTGAACCCTGTTTGTCGACGATGGCGTGGGTAGAAGAGCAGCGTCTCGCCAGTCTTGCTTGCCGATGACGAAGCCGTCTGGGACTGCTGTAGATGTCGAGACGGCTGCTGCAATTCTCGTTTTGATGGGTTTTTCATCGTCGTCCCAGTCTTCGGTCTGGACCCAGTCAAGATCTCCACTGCCGGGAAGTCTTCGACTGCCAGCTACTGGGGGCTGATCGTCGCTGCCTAGACCCAGAGCGACCAACAACGAATGAAACCAACCTTGCTCTTTCACGCCTGTTAGGGTTGACTTGCTCGCCATCTCAGTTTCTTGTTTTCCAGCTTTGGAGGTGGGGGTAGACATTGCTGTGCTCTTTGAGGGCGTAAACTCGCCTTGTTTGCTGGTCTTCTTCATTTCCTTTGCGTCTTTTTTGTCATCGGAAGAAGTCAGTCTCGTGGTACCAGCAGGCGGGAAGTCCCCAGATGTGCGATCTGACGGTAGGAGAGATGACAACAGATGGGCCGTCGTATGCGAGGTGAAGAGCGACGGGATGGTGACGTTTGACGTGTCTCCTTTAGCGTACATTCTGATAAGCCCTCCACCGCGCACATCGTCACCAATAATAACAGCAACCCCCCCGCGTTTCTGTGCCCATTCCACTTTTGCCAGGAACCCACAGCCGCCTCTTCTCAAGAGCACCACTTTTCCTGTGATTTCTGCGCTTTCCTGCAACGACTGGATATCGGCGTGGCCCAGAATCTGTCCCTTATACTGTGCAGCTTTGCGAGAATCCTGGGGCGGCTGATGCAGGTGGTCGTCGGTCCCGTCCTTGGGTGTTGAGGATTTGGAAGCGTCAGTAACTTCTCTTCCCAGGATTCTTCTTCTTGGTGCGTTCTTCTTCTCATCCAGAGGTCCGTTTGCTTGGCTCCTGGCGTAGGCAGTCGGCTTGGGGCCACTCAACAGGCGGTCGCCACTGTCTTCCCAGTCTGGAATATCGCTGCAGCCCAACTCGCCGTTTCCCATCATCTCGTCCCCAAACCCACTGCCGATCCAGAGGGGGCTGCTGAGACCATCTTTTGGCAGGGGCGGCCCGAACGCGGCGGGTCGTGCGAGGAAGAAGGTCGAGTTGTCGTCGGTCAGGCTGATGATGGCGGAAGGCGGGAATAGCGAGCTGGGTGACGTGAAGGCAACTAAGGGTTTGAAGCGGCCATGGTGGCGCGTGGCTGAGGCTGAGGCTCCTTCGAGGCGCTCGTCTTGTCCTGTGCCGAGCGTGACATAGAGGAGCAGCGTGACGGCGAGCAGGCTCGTGGATAGCGCGAGCAGCAGGCGAAGCGGGCGCATACTGGCGAGGTGTGTCGGACAGCAGGGTGTGCTGGAGCTCTGCTGCGATCAAGGCATGGGGCAGCTGGCTGAATCAGCCGCGTCGTGGGCCTCTCCCCGCGCTGTATGGGGGAGGGGCTGCAGGTGCAGGTAACGTGCGTGGATAGATGATGCGGTCATACGACAGCGGGGAGATATCACGGTTGACGACTGCACATGGACACGGCGCGCAGGGCTGAGACCGAGGCCGAGGCTGAGGCTGAGGCTGGAATATGGAGCGTGAAAACCTGACTAAGGACTGAGCCAAGGTGAGCAGAGCGTCGCGAACGTGCTCTGTCAGAAAGGCTGCCGCTGCCGTTGTTGTCGTGCGCGCCCGTCGACGATCGCCGCCACTAAGCCGCCAAGCCTCGTTCCAGCCCGCGGGCGAATACACTGCGTCATTGCCCCATCACCAGCCTCACGCACCTCGACCATAGCCACTGTGCTTGGAGGGAGATGTGCCGACAGAGGTTGTCTCACCCCCTTTGGGAAGTGGGCACGCTAAATGCAGGCGTCCAGCTCTTGAAGCAGAAGAACCAGGCTTGCGTCGTACAACCCCTGATGGACTAGACCGGCCTCCCTGCAAAACTGCAAAACGCGGCTCCTGCTGCGGTAATGAAGAAAAAGTAGCTCACTGAGCATCTGCATGGCGCCGTCACAGCCGTACGCGCACGTTCTGCGCCGTGTGTGGCAGTCGTGGTTGAGCGCGGTGGCACCTGGCACCTTCCCCGTCCATGGCCATGGCAGCACAGTAACTGCACGCGAGAAACGTTGGCGGCGTTCAGGCTAGGATCGCGACAACGTACAAGCCGTCCAAAACCATGCCAGATGTGACGAAGTCTTCGTCGCAGCGCTACGCACGTCCCCCAGCCGCATGCGCTCTAAACGGTGCGTAGAGTTTACCAATTCATGTCGTTTTGATGCTAGCGCCTCCCACCTACGTGCGTGACGCCTCGATACGGCTTCTGTAACCCTGTATTTGGCAGAAAAGCCATAGAGCGCTGGGGGATCTCGACATGGGTAGCATGATCTGCTACCGGGATCTATCGCAGATTGGTGCGACCATCGCCCTTTCCGTCTGTGAATTGCATCTTAGTCCACTTCGCCATGAGGCAGCTCGAGGAAAGCACCACAGTCCATCTGTCATCGTGCCTTTGCGCTTGCAGACGCTCACCTGCCCCATCGGCCACCGGCAATGTCGTCACCAAATCTCCCTCCCAACCGTTGGCCTTACCTCTCCCTACTTTATACCCTCCATAACCTCTCGTTACCCACCTACCACCAGTTCCTACACCCTTGCCCTTGTGCTCTCTCTGCCCTACCTCTATCCCTTCTCCTGTTCCTATTCGTATCCTTCTAGCTGCATTGCCGATCCTAGCCATCTTCCACTGCATCACACTTCCTAGAGGCCTTGGGAATCCTCACCTCCTTACCTCACCACCACTCCCACCTCACACCAGTAGCCGCCTCACCGGGAGCGACCGTTATGGACGTCGTACGCCCCACCGTCAGGCCGGCGGAGAGTTTCATAGTGTTGCCTGGAATGAAGCCAACGTACAACACCTCCGACCCACATGGCTCTTCAAAGCCAGTCATGGAGAAGCGTCTTGCAGGCTTGGGATGGGTTCCTAACAAGATCCGCCATCTCGTGATTGCCTGCATAGGAGAGTTTGTCGGAACATTCCTCTTCTTATTCTTCGCCTACACTGGCACACAAGTTGCCAATAACCTCCTTGGCGACAACCCAATGAACGTGGGAACACTCATCTACATCTCGCTTTCCTTCGGCTTCTCACTCATGGTCAATGTCTGGGTCTTCTTCCGCATCAGTGGTGGTTTGTTCAACCCGGCTGTAAGTGCTCCGATACTCTATCCAGACTCGACATCCATCAATGGCTGACACAATCTCTTCAGGTCACCATCGCCATGGCACTTATCGGAGCAGTTGACTGGATCAAAGCTGGATTGCTCATCGTCACGCAAATCGTTGGTGGTATCGCCGCTGCTGGAATCGTCTCAGTACTGTTCCCCGGTCCCCTGTCTGTTCGAACGACTCTTAGTTCGGGTACTTCGATCACCCGGGGCTTGTTCATTGAGATGTTCTTGACGGCCCAACTCGTCTTCTGCATTTTCATGCTGGCAGCCGAGAAGCACAGGTCCACCTTCCTCGCTCCGATTGGTATCGGCTTTTCGCTGTTCATTGCCGAGCTTGCTGGTAAATAGTCTACAGAGAGACCGTCTTCATCGCTAACACACACACAGGTGTCTATTACACTGGAGGATCTCTGAATCCTGCTCGCTCCTTTGGTCCCAGTGTCATCCTGGGTAGATTCTACTCCTACCACTGGATCTACTGGGTTGGACCTTTGCTCGGTTCCCTCGTGGCAGTCATATTCTACCGCCTGATCAAGGTTCTCGAGTACGAGACTGCCAACCCTGATGCCGAGAGCGATGGTCATGACCACGCCCACAGCATTAGCAGCCGCCCCAACACAGGCAACACAGGCAATGGTCTTCGCCCGATGTCATGTATGTCCTGAGCCGTCTTTTCATACTCACCACTTGATTAGCCTTGCTGACAATCTCTAGCTGGCGACAACATGGACGGAACTGATGAGAGGGACTTTGCATCTCAGTTCAACAGACCAGCCCGCAAGATGGCCCATCGTTCAACAACAGCCAACCGACTCTCGCATCACAACAATGCTTCAGCAGAGACTGCCGTTGGCAACCCTATCACACCTCCCGCAGCGCACAAGTTTGGCGGCGACGGCTACCGCACCGATAGCGCTAGCAACTCCCCAGCAACAGTAGTCCCCCATGTCGGTACTGTACCTCGATCCAACAATCGCTTCTCGTCCCACACCGAGTATGAGATGGCAAACGATGTCGGCTACCGCAGCGGCCCGAGCACAGAGTCGGGAGGCAGGTCGTAGTCTGGCTCTTCGTCTTCTCCCGGGTCGAGTTCGACATCGAGTTCGAAATCGAGCTCGAAATCGAGCTCAACATCGAGCGACTGACATGAGAAGCCACAGCGCGGTTGTAGTGACGGTATCCTGTACTGGCCGTGCTGTTGGCTTCCAGGGTTCGTTCTCAGGGCTATCTTCTGTCCTGGGTGAAAGGTATTGATGAATGGTGGCACCGTCGTGTTTCTTCATTTTTAGCAGGGCGTTCTTTAGGGAGGCAAGCACACATGGGTGGATTGACGGGCCAAGTATTTGGCCTGCTGTGTTTTCGCATGGGAAAATGGGTCATGGGTCATGAGTTATGAATCATGAAAAAGCGTAATATCTTAAATGCGAGTATCGTCAATGTATCCTGTTTGACTAAAATGTTTTGTGATGTTTGACACTCAACATCGACCTGAGAGGTATTGACATATCCTCTCTCTTCCATTCGAATTGATAACATTGTTTGATATGCACCTGCGCCTCTCACTCCGTATCAAAGCACTGACGCACTGTCATTCCAGGTCCGAGAAACGAAAGTTCTTCATGGTGTCCAATAGCGCGCACCGTATTCGAAATTACACAATGATGTAATGAATCAAGGGGTTTGTTGTCGTTCTGGTACACTAGAGGGCATTGGCGATGACGGTAACGATATATCGAAGTGTACACACAATAGAGTGACTAGATCGTATCAGTAGTCGTAGTACAAAAAATGGTGTTTTGATGACGATGTTCCATCGTGGGAATGGCTTTTCGTTAGGTTGTAAGAAATCACTCTTGTGCTTTGTTGTTGTGTTTTTTGTGTGGACTGAGGGTGTGATGTTTGGGGGGAGGGGCGTGTGATAAGGGATGGGCAGCCAAGTGAGAGGAGTGGTTGGTGGTGGTGGTGAGGAGGTTGTTTGTGTGTGTGAAGTGAGCTTGTACGCGCGGTGCGGTGAACCAGAGAAAATGTGAGAGTAGTCGTGATTTTGATTCTGAATCCGAGTGTCAGGACTCGTAGTCAATTAGCTAACGTGGTCGAGGAAGAAGCAAGTAAAGCAAGCAAGCAAGCAATGGTTGACATTGCATAATATTGCATCGCATCAGAACCAGACAAGTCAAGTCAAGTCAAGTCCAGCCGTCAACTCCCATCCCTCCCTCCCTCTCTGCATACCACTCCATGCGTCTCCAACCCAGCAGATGGATAAAGAAGAAGACGAAAAAAAAGAAAAAAGAAAAAAGCCAGACCAAAAAGGCATCAAATAACCCCAAAGATTTTCCGCGCAACACGCCTAAAAAAAACGCCATGATCGTGAATATGCATTTCGAAAATCCCGCCCAAAGAAAAATGCAGCATGTGCCTAGAAACTCCATGGTTCGGTGTGGTATTCGCCCCCGCTTTCCGTTCTCCTAAACGCCCAAAATGCATGCATGCCCCCAGCCCGGTCCGGTTGTGGTGGATGCGGAGTAGGGAGATGGCAAAGTCGTCATTGGGGCCGTGGGAGATTGTGTGGAATGGATGGAGTGACTGAAGCGGAGTGCCTTTGCAGTGAATAGATCGGTGATGTATCGTGATATAGTACACAGATGTACACGTATTCATCAGTGGTGATCGGGACGGACAGGGAATGTCCGTCTGCACTGTAGGTCAGGTTCAGTCCTGATACACTTGTATCAGCAACGAGAATATATTCCAGCAAGCGAAGAGATCAGCTAGCGGATAACGCCCCAGCTGTCCATGCTGCTGAGGCCGCCGGTGCGTTCCTTTTTCTTGAACGCGTTCCAGAAGCGGAGTGTCTCGTCGCCGGCGCCTGTCACGATGACCTGGCCGTCTGGACTCATCGCTAGGTAGAGGACGCGGTATGTGTGACCTGTTAGGGAGACGACCTGCTGCATGCTGGGGTATTTCCAGACGATGATCTGGTTCTGGCTGTAGCCGTGTGTGGAGACGATTTCGTTGCTGTTCTTCGACCACGCGAGATTGCACACCTGACTGCCTGTGTCGAGGCTGTTTATCAGGTTTGCGGGTGCCATGGGGGATATTGGCACGTTGCTGGTGCTTGAAGCGGATGCTGCGGCTGATGCGGCGGCTAGTGAGGAGGCCGAGGGGCCGTTGGGCGATATTAATGTATTCCAGAATTTGATCGTTCGGTCTGCGGTACCACCACCACTGGCCAAAAGTCCGCGCTGATGTGGGCTCCAAGCAATGGCTTTGACGGCGGCTTGGTGTTCGCTCCACTTGAAAGTAGGCTCTTCGTTGAGTTTTTCCCAGACCATGAGTTTGTTGTCGTTTCCTCCAGAAGCGAGCTGCTGGTCCTCGTGGTTCCATTTTAACCCACAGACCTCTTGCTTGTGCCCAACAAGCTTGCGGAACCACTGTTCTGGTTGTCGAACATCGCGATGGTATATAGTTCGATCTCTTGACCCTGATGTGAGGATGTGCTCGTTCCACGCAAGGGCGCCGACACGAGCAGTGTGGCCAGTCATCGTGCGTAGCCGACGTTGAGTTTGGGCGTCCCAGATCTGCACCTGACCTCGATTTGTGCCAATGGCTATATGTGAACCCTACTTTGCGTTAGTTGAAGTCAGTTAGAAGAACCGCGAAAACTCACTCGTTGTATCCAGTTCACGCTCGTGACCGAGTCATCAGCCAGTTCGCAAAGCTTAGTCACCCGGCCACTGCTAGAATTCCACATGTACACGCATGACCCCAGCCCAACGCCAAGAGTGCCTTGACTGCCCCAGTCGACAAGATTGAGGTAAAAGTCATCGGCGAGATCTGGTGCATCTAGGACCTTGTACGGTACTTTGGAGACAGCCCGTGGCGCTCGTTGGGGACTGAGCAGCATGCGCTGACTGCTATACTTGATGGGCGAAAGACTATAGAGATCGGAGCGCGCATTGAGATTGAGTACGCCCTGTCGACTTGAAGGTGTCCGTGATGGTGTTGGTTGCCCTGAGTAGGAGAAAAGATTCTTGTGTGGAGTGGATGGGGTTAGCGTGGGTGGTGGTGGTAGTGATATTGTGGTCCTGGCTGGGGGAGTGTGTGAGCGAGCTCCCGTCCGTGTGTTACCACTATCTGACGGAGATAAGCGTTGAGATAGTGATTGTGGTACAGAGCCCTCGAACATCTCCTGGCGCAGCACCGCAGAGTATGTGCGGTTCGCTTCTTCGGCTAAGATGATGTCAGACGTTTCTCACACGAAGTGACTCGACCAATGCTCACTTTTTTGGAAGTGCAGCTCATTATGGGGAGCGCGCCGTGCCTTGGAAGGCGTTGCGGGTGATCCGTCGTCGTGGAGGAGGTTGAAGCTGGCCTGGAGGTCTTGGCCCGCGCGGTTTGGAATGAATCTGGATGTTGCGTTAGCCTTCTGACATTGCGCTTATGCGCCACGCTGCCAAACACTCACCTGTCGCCGTATATTCGCGGGCGCTTTCGGCTGGGGCTGGTTGTTGGCGTCCGCTCTCGCACTCGCCCAGCCTGCTCAAACTGCTCCAGTGCTTTTGATAGTGCCGAGGCATCTACTGGCTCTGAGCCTCGATCGCGTGTGCTGGGCGCAAACGCAGACTGGCTGCGCTTGTGTGTGGCAGTCGGGGGCGTCTTGGACTCTGGCGGGGAGATCAGCGCCGGCGTCGCAAGACCTTCTTCGATGCGTGCAGCCATCATGGCGCTCTCCTCGGCTTTCTTGCGTGTCATCATCGTGAGTGCGCTGTACGGTGGTTGCTGGTGGCGCGCGGCAGATGGAGGTGGTAGTGTTGTCGCGGTGACGGTTGCGGCGGGGTGAGGGGAGTCGTGATGTCCAAGTCGCAGATTTCGCGCGGGTTGGCGGGGCAGCGGTCGCCTGGAGACAAGTGAAGGCAGGTAGGCAGACGGCTGAGGCGGATCGTGGGTGAAGTCGACTTCTGGCGATTGCGACGAATGGTAACCCCTGGTCTCGGTGTCCCAGCTCTTCTCCAGCGGCAGGCGTCGGCGCAAAAACCCCGGTAGTATTCTGTTTTTCAGCCGGATCCGGTGTGCATGGCAGTGCTGGCGTCGCTATTATGTATGTCGTGGGCGCGGTGGAGGTGGGGCGGCCGGAGGTATGTTGTGAGGGCGAAGCTTGGACTGGGGTCGCAAACGACGAGCAGAGCAACGAAACGAACGAGGGCGCGGACGACGTGGGTGCGTGGTAAATTTCCGATGCAGATCAACCTCGAGACGGGCGCACAGTGTTGGCTAGGAATATCGTCGTGGCGGCGACTGGACGGACGGTGAAACGAGCGTGTCTTTGCGCGTCGCCGTGCCTTTGTTGTTTGGCCTCTCGTTGTTTTGGCCTGTTGTGATGGTCCCCTTCCCACGCGTTGCCCGCCCATAGCCAATCACGACCCCTGCACCCAACGCTCTTGGAGAGCACCAATGCAAGGCGAGATCGCCTCTTCGTGCCTTCCGTGACGTTACCCCACACCGCCGCGACCCTCTCCAGACGCTCCCGCCCAATCCATATGCTCGCAAGTCGCATATTGCTGCACTCACGGCCAACTAAACACGCTTCCTTTTCCCTCTCATACAAGATTACACGAGCCATGTCCACTCAACCGTCTCTCGAAGCTGCAGAGGATTTCCTCTCGTTCGTGAATGCCTCACCTACGCGTATGTCGATAGTGTGTCATGCACGTGTGGCAGCTTGTTGACTTTTGCCCCAGCTTTCCATGCCGTCAAGTCAGCGAAAGAGCGTTTGGAGAAGGCGGGTTTCAAGCAGATCAAGGTACGTTCTAGCTGTTCGACATACTCACGTGTCATTTGTGATAATGAGTACTGGTGGGTGGGAGTATCGTTTTAGACAAAATGTAGCTCCCACCAAGAGTAAACGACCGACCATTGAAGGCTGAAGTTGCTCATACTATCTGAGAGCTAACAACACCCACAGGAGCGAGACTCTTGGGCGCCGACTCTCCAGCCTGGAGGGAAGTACTATCTGACCCGCAACGGGTCGACTATCGCCGCCTTTGCCATTGGTAAGAAATGGAAGGCTGGCAACCCGATTGGCATGATCGGCGCACATACCGACTCGCCATGTCTGCGCCTCAAGCCCGTATCGAAGCGACAGGGTGACGGATTCCTGCAGGTGGCTTGTGAAACCTACGGCGGTGGTCTCTGGCACACTTGGTTCGACCGTGACCTCAGCATCGCAGGGCGGGCCATGGTACGCACAGCACAGGGCAATATCGAGCCGCGTCTCGTCAAAGTAGAGCGCCCAATCCTCAGAATTCCCACTCTCGCCATTCATCTCGACCGCCAAGAGACGTTCCAGTTCAACAACGAGACACAACTGTTTCCGATTGCCGGTATGGTGGCAGCGGAGCTGAACAGGCAGGGTAAGACAGCAGCCTCCGAAGAGGAAGGCGCTTTCGAGCCACTCGCAACTCCGTCTGAGAGGCATCATTCGTATCTGGTCGAGATCATTGCAGAGGAAGCAGGAGCAGAGCCGAAAGATGTTGTCGACTTCGAGATAGTGCTCTATGACACGCAGAAGTCGGTCATTGGTGGTCTCAACAACGAACTCATCTTTTCCGCACGACTCGACAACCTGATGATGTCGTACTGCAGCGTCGAGGGTCTAATCAAGAGTCTTTCCTCGTCCACAGCTTTGGACAACGACTCCACGATCCGTCTCATCGCTCTTTTCGACCACGAAGAGATTGGCTCCCGCACAGCGCAGGGCGCGGACTCTAACCTGCTGCCTGCGGTGATTCGCAGACTCTCTGTCCTGCCAGCTTCTGAATCAAACTCCGATAAGTCTTACGACAAGCTCGACGGTGACACAGCGACAGCGTTCGAACAGACATTAGCAACCTCGTTCCTTATTTCCGCCGACATGGCACATTCCGTGCACCCGAACTACCCCGCAAAGTACGAATCCCAGCACAGACCAGAGATGAACAAGGGTACCGTCATTAAGATCAATGCTAATGCCCGATACGCAACAAACTCTCCTGGGATCATCCTTCTCCAAGAAGCGGCCCGTCGCGCAAAGAAGGCGTCTTCAAGTCTGTCATCCGCCAAGGAAGGAGTTCCGCTGCAGCTCTTCGTTGTCCGAAATGACTCGTCTTGCGGGAGCACCATCGGTCCTATGTTGTCAGCTAAAATGGGTGCTCGCACTCTCGATTTGGGTAACCCTCAGCTCAGCATGCACAGCATCCGCGAGACTGGTGGTGCTCACGATGTTGAGCATGCTGTCAATCTGTTTGACAGTTTCTTCGAAAACTTTGAGGAGCTAGAGAAGACGATCGTGGTAGACTGACTAGGCGAACCAAAGCTGTGAGCGGGGCCAGTTAGCAGATAATATATAAATATGATACAAAGTTGCCGATGCAGCTCGGATCTCATTCCGAGTCAGCCTCACTCAGGGTCCATGCCAAGCACCCCACTAAAGTCATCTCTCAGCTCCATCTTGTCAATCGTGACTGCTCAGTTCGCCTTGTAACCACTTTTACCTACGTTCAATAAACGATGTCGCCAGCTCAATTTCTTTCAGGCGACAAGGCCGCCATTGAGGAGTTTCTGTCCAGGTTCGATGTATGCTCGTTGACTGCCCCGCGCGCCGTACTAGTACTGACAAACCGCCTGAAGGTCTTCCTCTTCGATTGCGATGGTATGCGCGCCAATACCCAATGCTTCCAAACTGTAGAAGCATTGTCCGTCTTCTACGATGTAGCAGTCCACTGATTGTGAAGAAGGATAGGCGTCCTCTGGTCTGGCGATCATCTTTTTGAGAAGGTCCCGGAGACGCTGGAGATGCTAAGAAGCAAAGGTGATCTTTCTGTCTGAACTTGGCGAAGACAAGGTACTCACAGTAGAGCAGGCAAACAGCTCGTGTTTGTCACCAACAACAGTACCAAGTCGCGACAAGACTACAAGAAGAAGTTCGACAAGTTAGGAATACCAGCGGAAGCTGTACGTGGGAACTAGAAACGTCTGTAGCGTCTGGCTGACAAACAAACAGAACGAAGTCTTTGGATCCTCATACAGCGCCGCCGTGTACATCGCTCGCATCCTCAAGCTACCGGCACCAAAGAACAAAGTGTTTGTGATGGGAGAGTCTGGCGTTGAACAGGAACTCGAAGCAGAAGGTGTCCCGTATATCGGAGGCACAGATCCTGCCTTCCGCCGTGACATCGAGCCGGAGGACTTTACGAACATCGCCAATGGGAGCATGCTGGACCCAGACGTGGGCATCGTACTCACCGGCCTTGACTTCCACTGCAACTACCTGAAGACAGCGATTGGCTTCCAATACCTCCAGCGCGGCGCTAAGTACCTTGCGACCAACATTGACAGCACGCTGCCCATGTCGCACACTCTCTTCCCGGGTGCCGGATCTTCGGGTGCTACTTTGACAAAGGCTATTGGACGGGAGCCCCTGTCTCTGGGTAAGCCGAGTCAAGCTATGATGGATGCTGTGGAAGGCAAGTTCAAGTTTGATCGCAGCCGAACGTGCATGGTTGGCGACAGGTTGAACACGGATATTCAGTTTGGCATCGATGGCAAGCTGGGAGGTACGCTCGCTGTGTTGACGGGTGTGAGCAAGAAGGAGGATTTCCTCGCCGAGGGTGCGCAGACCGTGCCCTCCGCGTATGTGAATGCTCTGGGTGATTTGATGGGTTGAGCGGTGTTCATGTACAGTCTAGAGTGGACAAGAAAGGCGGCTTATAGACCAGTTTATAGAATTATGATACAACTCCCAGGCTAAGACTGTCTAATTCCTCGTGGTGCTTGGATTCGCAGAACACGCGCGCTCTCAAAACGGTTAGCACCACCGACGCGTTCCACGCGACGCGCCTGCCACTTTAACGAACCCGCATCATCACCACAGCAAGCAATACAAACAATACCACAAATCACGCACATAACACTATGATCCGCCACGATTACTCTCGAGTCGATCCGAAGCGCCGCGCAAACATCGACCACAAGAAAAAACAATTCGCCAAAGCAGAGTTCCAGCAGCAAAACTATGAGCACCGGCTAAACTTCTACGTCCTGCCGCCCACATTGGAGATCACGCTCGAGGACTTTGAAACATGGGCCATCAACAGACTCAAGGGTGGGTACACGTCAAGGCATCCAACGTGAGCGTGTCCGGATGCTGATTGTGCGTCCGCAGTCCTCTCCGAAATCGAAGCATGCAGCTTCCGCAACCGCAGCCCCGAGGAAACCGCCGAGTACATGAAGGGTATCCTAGACAAGCATCTCCCCCTCCGATCCGATTCGTCGCGAAGTGCGAGTCTCCAAGATGAGCGGAAGAAGGACCACTACTCGCATTTCATTCTGCGGCTCGCCTTCTCCTCGACAGAAGACTTGCGACGAAGATTCTCAAGGCTGGAGACGATGCTGTTTCGACTGCGGTTTAAGAGCGATGATCTCGTGGAGCGCCAGCAGTTCGTGAAGAGTCTGAATCTGGAGTGGGATGAAGTCAAGGAAGATGAGAGGAGGGAGTTGAAGGATGAGTTGGCTGCGGCGAGTGGGCAGAAGAAGGGCGAGGAGCAGGAATGGTTCAAGGTGGACTGGGAGAGGGTGCCTGAGTTGGTGGAGCAGAGAAGAGTGCTGTTGAAGAGGGGGAAGGCCTATGTCCCGCAGAGGGAGCAGATGAGTCTCGTGGTCGCGGAGTTTACGAGAAAGTTGGACGAGGCGCTGGAGGTACACATATCCTCACCTTGCTGTTTCAGGGCAATGGCTAATCTGTTCCCAGTTGACTGCACGCGCTCTCCCCCGCCTTGACGAAGACGACCGCCTCGCCCCCATCCTCGCCCATCTCTCACAATCCTTCACCGCCCCAGACGCCGCATACTCGACCTCAGACGCCAACATCGACGGCCTCTCCGCCATAACCGCATCGTCCATCGACTCACTCTCCCAAAACTTCCCCCTCTGCATGCGCAACCTACACTCCAACCTGCGCGAAAACTCGCACCTGAAGCACCACGGCCGTCTCCAATACACGCTCTTCCTCAAAGGCATCGGCCTCAGCATGGACGAATGCCTGCTATTCTGGCGCCGAAGCTTCAAGCTCATGACGGACGACAAGTTCCAAAAAGAATACAAATACAACATCCGCCACTCGTACGGCGACGTCGGCGGCGACGCAAACCGCCGCGGCCGCGGCTACACGCCCTACTCGTGCCAGAAAATCCTCACCGAGCCGCTGCCCGGGCCCGGACAAACGCACGGCTGCCCCTACCGCACTTTCACCCCGGATAACCTGCTCACGATGCTGCAGCGCGTCGGCGTCAATGAGCGCGATGTGCTGAAGACGGTTAGGGAGGATGTGGGTAAGCAGAGGTATCATGTTGCGTGTAATCGCGTGTTTGAGTGGAGTCATAAACGCGAGATTAAGAAGGTTAGGGATGAGGGGAGTTGGGGCGTTGCCGATCTGGATACGATTGTACATCCGAATACGTATTTTAAGCGTAGTTGGTTGTTGAAGCATTTGGGCGAGGGGAATGCGGGGGTTGTTGGGGGGAGGGGCGAGAAGATGGAGGAGTAGGTTTGGCTTGTTTTGGTTGCGGTTGTTTGGGATTATTTAGGGTTGTATGGGTGGATGGATGGATGGATGGGAGAGTTACTGGTAGGTGTGTGGAGTTTTTCTGGTTTCGAAGACCATTTGTGTTTGAAAGACTAGCGTCTTGTCCTTTGTATGAGGAATGTGTAATCGTCAACTATTAAGAAATAGGCTTCTGCTGGAAGTGTACTTGCAAGTCTTGCCGTCTTTACACATAGGCTATGGATTACCCTAGTTGTAAGTCACATATCCTGTGGCCTGGATCAACAGCGGCTGGCCCGTTTCTCCCGGTGAGTTAAGTTAGTGTTGCTGAACCAGGTCGCAAAGCTTGGTTGAAGTATGTAGGTATCAAGCCTCGCTTCACCGAATACAAGATTCGACTCCACCGGATAATGCGTGCCTTGTAGTATATGTGTTCTCCACATGGTACAGAACTCGATAAGTTGATTGGTCGTTTTCGCACGTTCAATACAGTTTCTCCATGGGGCTTCTTGTGAGGCAGAAAGGTTGTAGGGAATTGCGAGACCGGATTCTCCGATAGGCGAAATACCCTGGATTGAGGTGCAGTGAAACCCTGCGATAGCTTGACGACTACACTCTGAACTTGTGCACCACTTTTGCGCGTTGGATATTGCTAGTATACGATTAGATGGCAGAATGACAGTGTTTGAGAAAGGTTGGCGTAAAATTCTAATAACACACACAACTCAACAGCAGCAGCTTCCTCTCTGTATCTAGTCCGAATTTCAGCTTGTTGTTGTTTCCGAGCAGGTGAGACTCTAATGTTCTTCGCAATGTGGGTAATTTATTGTACGCTCTATTTTGGAATCGCGTGGATGCTTTATTCGTCGAGATCCTTGCGGCTGACGTCCCTCTTGCAGGGTAGAAAGCTCGTGGGTTGCAGGAATGGTTAGCGCGTGTGGTGGCTTACCATGGAAGGAACGCTCAGCCCGGTACTGTTACATTCCTGTTGCAATCCCTCCTTCTTTTCTTCGGCCTCAAACCTCCTTCTTCCTGAGTTCGGCTACGACCTCCCTTCGACCGGCTGTCGCACTACTGTACGAGAATTCGTGTACTTGACCACTTTCTGCGGTTGCTTGCGTCGACGTGTTGTTACGCTTCGACCTTGCTCTGCCTCTCGGTCAAGTGTAACAGTGGGAAGTAAGCTGCAATACTACACCAATTAAATTAGCGAAAATGCCTGATAGGCGTATACAGCGGGGATTCTAGACATAAGATTCTTATACTGATCGCGGATGTAGTTGTCGAGCTATTGCAAGCTTCCGCTGGACCTTGGCTTGGTCCCTGGTATTTCTGTTGATCGAGAGACTCCATCAAGCCCCTGGTCAGGATTGAAAACATACAATCAATAATGAATACCGATTTGGCCACATTCGATGTAACATATCGAAAGCTGAGGAAAAAGTTCGAGAGCAGTCGTCAAAGAGCCAACTCGTCCGAAACTTTGAAATTCATATACAGCAGCCAACTCTCGGGTCGGAACATTCGAATCATCGAACTCCTTCCTGGCGAACCGGGAGATCAATTAGCTTGCAATGTCGCAGAAGCGTCTCTGGATGATCCACCATCATATGAGGCGATATCATATGTTTGGGGCGATCCTAGCGTCAAGGAACCCGTCCAGTGCAACGGCTGTGTGGTTTTTGTCACTGTCAGCCTTACACAAGCCTTACGCAGGATCAGGCATCCTAAGGCGTCGAGACTAGTTTGGGCTGATGCGATAGCTCTAAACCAAGATGATGAGACTGAGAAGAACCACCAAGTCCGGTTAATGGGTGAAGTGTACTCGAGGGCTGCGAAGGTCATCATCTGGCTGGGTCCGGATGACGATCAAGACGTAGCAGTCGCGTGCGCTGCGATGAACTTTGTTGGAATGACTTACAAGGGGCATGTGAACTCTGATGAAGGGGCCTATACGCTTGATAATCCGAAATTAGGCGATTTGGAGTTGCAGCTCGCCGAGCTGGGCTGGGAGAATTGCTGGGATGCATTGAGCAAGTTCTTCAAGAGGCAATGGTGGGGTCGAGTTTGGTGTGTACAAGAAGTGGTAATGGCACAAGAGGCCATATTCATGTGCGGTGACGAGGAGGTTCGCTGGCAAACAGTTGGAACTTTCTCAGAGTGGTATGTTGGTCAGCGTAATTATGGCAGATACCCGAGGCCGAGGGGTTTTGGCAGAGAAGTCATTCAAAATGCTTATAGGAGGTACCAACACTGTAAGTCCGAGCATGACGTGAACCTTCTCAATGCCATTGCCAGATATGCTGGTCTGGAGGCTACAGAACGGAAAGACAACGTTTACGCGCTCCTTGGAATGACTGGTAGGAGGCTGGGACAAAGTTTTGATATCGACGTTGACTACGGCAAGACCGTGCAAGAAGTATACACCGATACCGTATTGTATGTTTTACAAAGCGACAAAACTCTCAAGTTTCTATCCTTCATCGATCACCGCCATGTATATGAGCCAGCTGATGGCTTTCCATCCTGGGTGCCTCGTTGGGACATGAAGAGAAAAACTTATTCTCTCTCGTCAAGTGGAGTCTCCATATCCGCTGGAGATCTTGATACCTACTTTGACCGTAGGTTTGCATACTCTGGCATTCTGAAATTACAAGGAATCTTCTTCGACGCCGTGAAAAGCACACATCATGCTCTCCGATCGAAAGAAAGGTCGATCTTCAATAACGACCAACGTTCTCGAGAACTCTTGCTTACACTTATTCGTAAGGCTACTGGTGGATTGGAGAGGCTTGCGCAAACTAATAGAGATGATGTGCTTGAAATTGCAACGACGTTCACGGGTGGTTATGTAAAACACAACGGGTTACGTAAGGCCGAACGGGTATATGTTGCTCACAAAGCAGTAGATATTGAGAGGCAGGCTTTGTCGGATATCGAGGACTTTGTTCCAGCACTTGCGTCCGAAGAAAAGAAGCTACTGCCACCTCCCTACGATCATTTGGCATCCTATGAGTTCTATGACCGCCGAATCTTCCTCGCCGACAGAGGCTTCCTCGGCCTAGGACCGCGGTGTATGCGAGAAGGAGATGTTGTGGCTATCTTGAACGGGGGGATAGTCCCCTATATCCTGCGGCCTCTGGCCAACTCAGAGTATGCGTTCATGGGCGAGTGTTACATTTATGGCATTTCCCGCGGTCAAATCGACGACATACTCGGACAGGACGGCGTGGAGAGGACAACGTTTGTCTTGCGATAAAGACAGATAGAACAGGCACTCTTTCGGTTACTCGAAATACTCGGAACTAAGCTGCAGTGAGATCCTGCAACAGCTCGACAACTACGCGCAAAGGAAATGTTTACTTTCGACGTTTTAAGCAGTATCGGTATACGCCTACCGGCTAGTTGCCCTCGTAGTGTTCGATTCCGTGGCCTAGGATTGTTGTTTTGCTGGATGGAACGTGGCTTGATTTCGAGTATTTCGACTTATCGAGATGTACCCCTAGTGAGCCGTTCAAAACCTAGGTCTCACCCAGCGAATGTCTCGGAGCCTCTCGGCCAACAATGTTGTATGTTTCAATGCAGCAGTCTATTGCGCCAGACCTTAATCCACAGTCATACTTTACTCCTTGTTTGACTTTGCGAAACGGGATTGAACCTGACGCCTTTTAACATACGGTCTGAGGTTATGGCGTTGGAACCAACAGACTACAGATCGTATCAAACTATGCTGTAGTTACCGAGCAGGTGTAGAGGACATCGCAAGACAGGAAATGAGCCCGGTACAAATCCGGGAATGCGAGTGAACAAGCAAAACTCGCACGCCGAAGGTTCTGTGGACATCTCGAGAAGATGGGATTTGAGTTCGGCCTATGATGTTGATAGAAAGCCACCTACGCCTGCTTCATGCTCCTCAAAACCTGCTTACGAGCGATATTCGGCTTTGATACTTCTACCCACACTGTATCATCCTGTTCGGTGACCATGAATGCAGCCCAAGACACTAGATGTGGCACAGTTGTACTATAAAGAACATCAGTGACGTGTACCATTTTTCGCGAAAACTTAAAGTCGTGACATGCATGGAGGTACGCGCCCACATTTTCATTACTTTTGGCTGGTGTAACCAATACATTCATTCCCTCTGCTTTCACACAAGCCGTACAGCCTTGCCACAGTTCCTGTTTTGGTCATCCCTGGCGGTATTGAGGCTCTTTCTACACTTTCACACCCTCTTCTTCCCATCCCATGCCGGACTTTCTCGGGTTTTCACATCGGTCATGCTCGGGTTCCGAAGTCATGAACTTACTTAAACGCCTACACACGTCCCTCTGTTTTGTTCATACATTCAACTCATAGACAACTCGACAACCATGCGGGTATCTCCTCTGATTCGTATTATCCTGATCCTCGCGTTTTCACTGTGTGCCACGACAATTAGTCTTCCCCCCAACAATATCGTCGAGAGAGGGACATTCAATCAGACCCAGCTCCCAGCCGAAGAGCCCCCTTACAACTACAACTTCAGAGAGTTCCGACCTCAATCCGGACGCAATGGTTCATTTCGCCAACCCTACTTCCGATTTCTGATTCTCTTTCGTCAGAACGCTGGCATCACCGAGGAATTCTTCCATCGCCATTGGAAGACTGTCCACGCTGACCTGACCCTGAGTCAGGCGGATGTGGGGCTTCGTCTGCAGCGTTACATTCAGGTTTCTGAGGCTTTCCCAAAGTATGCTACACGTGACTGACCTTGATAATAGCTTCATCAAGACAAGGAACATCGCGACATGATCCAGCCACTCTTAGCTGCGGTTGGCGGGGCGATGCTGCTGGCGCCTTATGATGGTATTGCGGAGTTTCACACCAGTGACTACGCCACATTTGAGAAGTTCATCTTGAGTGTGTTTAACGACCCTATTCAAGTGGGAGATCAACAAACTTTCATCGAAGCAGGTGCGCCTTTGCATGTTATGGCCGGGTATGAAAACCTCATCTTCGGAAGTGGAATTGAGACGTCGAATGGTTACGATGGCATCCTTCCAGAGGATTCTCGGTTCAAATATTCTACTTGAGAAGCCGGTCGGGGTCGTCAGGATATCGCACTGATATTCATCAGGAACGGGACGATGAGTAGTTATTGGTTTCAATAGACGTATATGTCCTAACTGTGAGGCTGATAGAACGGAGAGCCAAAGCTCATTCCTCGCTCTTCAATTAGAACTTGGCCATCATCTTGTTCCCAGCCGTGATATACACTCCAAATAGAATAAGAGTTTGTACAGCCCATACAAGGGAACGTAAAGATGCCGTCTTGTTCCTAGTGGTGTTGACATAAAGAACAGTATACAGGACCCTCAAGCCAAGATAAGCTCCCAAGCTAAGGTTCATTGTGGCTACGGTTCTTGTCAGTAACACAGCGTACTGGGGAGGCGCTACACTCTTCCTCTCAGATCCGCCCCTAAGCAATGCGCGACTAGGGAGAGGAACTCACAAGCACTCAATCCTGCCATGTTCCCTGCCAATACAGCCCCAATGAAGAGCGGAGCGTTCTCTAATGCATTTTTATGCGCCGCCTCCGCTCGCTCAAACGTCGCAAGCGTTTCGGCTGGCACAGTCTTTTGCAGACTGGCGACCCATCCCGGGCTTCGAGAATTGGCGTTGTTCCAGACGTTGTTGTTGGCTTTTGTTATGATGGACACCTACTGCATGTTAACATGGTACTTGAGTTGCAGTTGCAGGCTAGAAGAGAGCCGTACGCTGTAGCCGTGCGGCGCAAGGGCTAGGAACCAGTACACTGGGATGCTGTAGAAGGAGTAGTTGGACGCCATTGTTTGGATGGACGAGGCTATGTCTTGATGGCTATGTTGAGCTTATATGCTGCTTGACGGATTGCTGTCATGAAACGCCTTGATTCGTACCGGACTATAATTGTTCTAGCTCGCGCAAGCTTATCGTATTTCGAGTTTAGTGGTGGATGCAGCTGGATCATCATGAACCAGTCATCGGAGAGATGTAGAAGTGGGGTACGTCATTCTCTCGGCTATTGTTGCCGTTCTGGCTATCGTGAATTCGTCCGTATTGCCAAACGGACAATACATAATCCACCCTTCTCTCATTCATCTCGCAAGCTTTACTTTGCTCGCTATCGAGACTTAGGCAGTATTGCTCTGTATAGCATATGCGGTTCATCTTGACATCATGGGACGGTTATGTCGGCTCTCTTAGTTGATGCCTACGAACGTGTGTGCGACATGCATGTATTTGATGCGCCAAAGCCACCTCGGTCACTTCCAAGAGATTATCTGACCGAGAATTAATAAGGATTTCCGCTTCTGATATGTGAGTGTTCCAAGGCACAGATGAATGCGAGTCAATCCGGATGACCCGCATCTCAAGACCGCTTGATAACGCAGAGGTACTTCATGCAACACGGTGTATACCTGTTTCTGTGTCTACATTTCCGAGACTTGTCATTGTGTTTATCTTGCTGGCACAATTTGTTGGTCGTTTCATCCGTTGAACGGGTTCGGAATAGCCTTATCTTAGCTAGTCAAATATTTTGGGGGGTCTTCACTGTGATCTCTTAACCCCCATCCCTCCACAATCACAAGAATATTCACGTATACTTCCAGTCGCTGATACAAGGTTCAATACTAAATTCGACTCTCGAAAATATACATCTTACGCGAAGTACTTATGACAGATGTAACTCGAGTGAGTGACGTTGAGCTCCAGCGTTTCTGTGAGGCCTGCAACCGGAATCAAGAATGGCGAATATTCCGCAAGTGCGTTTGTACTGCTGCCGCAAGCAGGATCACCGATCAATCGCACCATATAACATCTCATACCAAATTCTTTCCATAACCTAACCCTAAATGTCTTCTGCTATGCTTTGGAACAATTGTCTTATGAACCAAAAGTTGTAGCTGCACCTGACCGCTTATTTGTTTTCTGTGTGACAAACTGCAGGTACCCGTCCCGGCATATCTTAGGGGATTTCTCTTGATTGTCTTAGAACCAAGATTTCCAACCGCTTAAGTGAAAGGAAACCCATTTTAGGACTTCACCACTCACCTAACCTCATCGAGTTGTCTTCATCTCTGCTACCCCGGGCATACCGGATCTTGTCCACTCCAGTTGCTCCATCTCTATGACCCCGTTCGCACTTCAAAATACGAAAACATACAGAACTACTTCGTAACAGCCCACTATGGAATGGCGCGGCATGTCGCCTTACACAGGGCCAAACACGCCAGACTCAACGACGCCGGTCAAAGATGCGCCAATAAACGAGCCTGGAACACCCGTAAGCATGAAGTCGTTGGCGCTGGACCGCACAACATTTGCTTCCACTTCCACACTTCACATTCCCAAGGATTTGACACAAACGATCGTTGATGCAGACCCGAAACTGAGGCGTCTCCAACAAGACCTCCTGGTTTTGACCGGCTTCAACGATAATGAAACTCTGCATTGGCGACCGTCATGGTTCCACCAAACGCCTTTCAGCCAGCAATCTTGGACCCTGCATAATCCTCCCAACGTGGTCACTGAACGACTTCCAAGCTTTCAAAATGGGCCACAAGTCTTCACGCGTAGGATGAGACGTACAACCGATCCACCACCAGCCTACGTTCGAGATTGGGAGCATTGGTATCGAGTTTGCGACCTGTATGGTATTCCGCATGATTTCCTTTGCGAAGAACAGGTTGAGCTCATGCGCTTTGGACTTCCGCGAACAAAGGAAGGGGGTTTGTGCCGTCAGTTCTTCCATAAGGGTCTTACTTTCTCCCAGATGCTGACAAACATAGCACCACCAATGTACCCCCTCTACCCAGAACCTCAACCCAAAAACCAAGGACGTTACATACTCACTCCATCATCCTACAAAACCCACCTACCTCGGAGATTCCACAGCGTACAGTTCACTCCGTTCGTCACTGACGACGGCTCAGAACATCCAGCCGAAGTAGTAGTCGTGCACTCCAACGGTATGCTTACAGTTGAAACCCGTGAAGACTTCTTCTACCGTTCCCATCCGAGTCAATGGACGCATTTTAACGGGTACGGTGGATATCGTAACGATGATCCGTATGTGTGTGATATGACGGCCCCAAAGGACCAAGGGAAAGGGAGACGGTGGAGCTACGTGCCATGGACGAGAGAGCAGGAGGAGAGTTGCCGACCGGCAACGTTGAAGCTGAAGTTTTGGAATGAGGTTTTGCATGATGGGGATGAGGAAGCCAAGAGTGTTGATTTGGAAACAAAGTGAGATGGGCGTTGCGAGTTCGGGGGATAATCATAACGAAGACGATTGAGCTCTACTAGTCACAGAGAACAAATATCCGCAACTACATAGCCACATGTATTTAGTTAACCTTGGTAGTCGTGTTGCATAACGGAAACCGAATGACGAAAGGATGATTGAGATGGCGCGCTCAGTACAGTGTCAATAGAGCGTACAACGCCAGTCTACTCCCTGAACACAAACACACCCTTTTCGTAAAGTCCGCTGATGATACCAACATTCCTGTTCACATCCCTGACCACGGTACTACTACTGCAGAACTCTTCGCTGCTGTTCTTGTAAAGCTCTTTCAGTCCTTCTTTTTCACTCCACTCCGCTGCCCAACTCGGTGCGCTGCACTCGCATGCCTTCTTCTCCGCCTCATTTCCATCGAGAACGCAGTTAGGCCTTCCCTTTGAGACTTTCATCAGACTGAACGCAAACGGGTGACCGGCTACCAAAAGCTTGCCATCGGAGTCGACGGAAAGATTGTCCACACCAACGGGAGTGCGAACATAGCGCTGGAGTGCGAGACGATGGTCAAGATCAATAGTGTAGAAGTAGATGCCTGGTAGGGAGGAGGAGGCAACCGCCACTGTGGTCGAATTGAACATAGCTATACCGTTGGCGAAGGGGACGCGGGCAACGACCCTCGTATCGTTAGGGTTGTGAATATCGGTATATACGACAGACCCACCAGATATCCCGGAAAAAGTCTCAATCTTCGAAAGTACGGGTGAAACGGCGGCACGCATGTAGTGATCATTTGTGACTAGCAGCTTTCCGTCTCCCAGAGAATGAATCGAGTTCGGCGTATTGACCAGCGGATGTTTGAACGTCTGAACATGCTTTGCCACTGCGCTTTCGACGGAGACCTGGAAGACCTCGATGACAGAGCCGGAGTAGCGCGAGTGGTTGATGACATATAACGTTGACGTTGCAGCGTCGAACTCGATACCCAAGGGATGGAAATCCACAGGATCGGCGTAGTCACTCAAAGAAAGACGTTTCAAGGCTTCGGAATCAGGAAGATCAGGCCTTGAGTAGTCATAAATCCAGATGTCGCCTCCGTCAGTACCTCTTCGCTCGCGGTCCTCAGGTGCGAATGTTCCCTGATGTACGATCAGTAAGTGTTTTTCTTTGTTCGATCCTGTTCAATGACGCCTAACGCGAGCCAACAAGACACAACTATGGCTTACCATGACGGTGTTCCACCGATCGCGACCAGGGTCACAGCTTAAAAAAGCGATACCATCCTCGATAATCACATCTTCGCAATTGCGGATTTGGTCCTGGAATTTGATCTCATGGCTTTTGATATTGTATAGACCGCGGAATTTCCCCGGACGATTTGCTACCACCGTTGAGATTGCTTGGTAGCGGTCATATAACCATGGCGATAGGGCGGCCAGGATGAGCAGATACTATTACAACAAATCAGATCTTGGATGAAAGAGACGAGCACGTTGCCTTACAATAGCCGATTTTGCCATGTTTGAAATCTTTAAGACTGAGTGTTAGAAGACGGTAGGTAGAGATGAAGCGGCAAGGTTCGGATGTGGATGGATTCTTGTGCTGACATGGTGAGTAAGCGAAGACGTGATGCCGTAGAACGCCCGACATGTCTACCTTACATGTGGATCTGCGTTCAATTGTGTCTTGGATATATTGGAACATCAAAAACACCTTTGAGTTGTATACACATTCAGGATAATATCGTTATCTACGCCTGTAAGATCAGCATAACTTGACCAAAAGGGTAAGTCTTAACGGTAAGCTTACTCAGTTGTTGGCGCCTGAAGCATCATTCAATCTAATGATAACCATGAAGGGAAACATTGGGTCTCAAAGCATACATCGTGTCTCGGTGCACTGGCTGACAACAACCATTAAAACTACGAAAGCTAAGTCAAGCCGTTGCTGAGATGTATAAGCTAGAACTTTCTAATTTCTTTTAACTTCATTACCATGTCACAGATACTCATCCAAAGATCGATCCACTTCGATCCATATCTCTTATACAAGATTCTAGACGGCCGTTCTGCCCATCAAACATCTGACATGCTCTCTATGCCGAATTAGTCCGCCATATTTCTATTTGTCTTGGATACCAGCGCCTTAATAAGCCTATACAGACTAAGTCGTTTGTCGCCTTAGACATGGTGATGAGCTGGCCGAACTATCGGCATATAGGCTGCGATTTTCGGAAACCACCCTCATTTACGAATGGACCTTTCGCTAAAAACTTATTCTGTAAACTATGGGTTTCTGAAGTCGCCTAAAAAGTGTCTATCCTGGGAGGGTAGCTCGAACGGTCAAGCCTTTGGGCAGCGTAACGGAGTTTCAGCGGGTGTGCAAACTCCGTCTGTTAATTACCAAATTTATTTAGATGTTATAGCTATGCTTTGAAAAATTGTAATGAGCAACTTACAGCTCCAAAATTTGTGTTGCATGTTCGTCAACAAAGGCCCTCACGACGGCGGAGATCCTAAATTTCGGCGGGAAATGGTATACTCTCTTGCCGTTTGGGAAGCTGAGCTTTGGTGCGCGCAAGCCACCAAGATCACATCACACGCAGATAAGATTCACCTCATCTCCATGAGATACCGAACCTTTGCGCCGACAACCCATACTCGACTGCTGCGTCGTTGAAGTGTGGTCGAGTCGCTCTGTACGAAACGCGAACGCCAAAAGAGATTTGGCGGCTGGGCACCTTTGCTTATCTAAGCATGAAGAGAATCGGTTCTATTCAATAGATCCGCCTTTGTTGTACAAGAGCCTGGTCCAAGTGTATTCTAAGCTGAGATCTGGTTCCGGCGGCTGTACCAGGTTTTTGAGATCGAGCCAAGGTCATGGAAAGGCTGACGATGCCAATGCTGACACGGTGCCAGAAGGCATGAATCCTACGAAAGGCTAAACAACGGACCGATTCTTGCCAATGGCGCATCCATGCCTTGGTATATCACACAGGGCTATAGACTCCGACATCGCTCTCACATTGAATCCCAACCAAGGCCATCGATGCTGACCCACGAAGCCAATATTGTGATTGGAAGAACATAATTCGCTGCAAATCCCACATGTACAGAGTTCAAAAATAATTCAACTTTGGAAGAAGCAAAATCAATATCTTGTCCCGCCACCTCGTTACAACGCACTAGTCCGGCTGACATACTAAGCCCAAAAGAGGCAATGGTGAACCTTATGCCAGAAAAGCACTCATTGTGGCGTACAGTACGACAAAGCTTGATGCAAGCAACGTGTGTCTAAGTGATCATGGGCACATAAGTACATCAAATATTACCGAAAGTAGTATGTACGAGTTAAGGTGTTGAAACCTGGGGGCAGCATTGTCCATTTTGGTCAAATGCTGAAATGACGCTAGGATTGCACGATTGCATGATTGCGAAGATTTCAGGATAAACTGCGTGGATCACCCGTTTCAGCGCGTGAGTAGAAGGTGAGACTGAGCTGACACTTTGGGTGAATGACAGCCTGATATGCTGACAACGAAGACAAGGCTTGACGAGCGCGGCGCTCGTCATGTGGTCGAACTTTAGAATGCGGTAAAATAAATCTCGATGAGTATGAAAATATGTGATAAAAAAGAAGGAACAATCGGAAATCGCGAACGCAAAACTTGTTCAGGCTCACCGTCTCGAGGATCTTCTGATCTCCAACGCCTCCACTTCGCGTTCAATATCTGGTCTGCTAGGACGTCTTCTTGACCCCCAACTACCACTTCTTCTACTGCTACGCGGCGCATCATAGTCCAACCCGCTATCCCTTCGACGTTCGATGGACTCGATGACTTCCGTAATATCCTCCTCTCGTTTGAGCTCGCTGGCATCGTGGTCTTCCCAGATGTGTTTGATGAGTGCCTTCACATCACCACAGACAGTTTCGACGCTGGCATTTTCCGAGCATAGCACGCACGAGTAGCCTCCATTGGCTCCGTCACGATGGCATTTTACAGCGAAACGATTCGAGACCTGGAAACATCGTTCGAAGCCGTCTTTGTCATTCTTGAAGAGCTCCCATGCTTTTCCAGACGAAAGATGTAGTGTCCGTTTGCAGTCTGGGCAATAAGGCGATGGGTTTGAAGTGATACATGATGACAGCGATTGATCGCGGTATCGTTGCAGATCAAGAGCGTAGGGGCAGTACAAGGTGGGAGAGGCAGATTTAACACCGTAAGACGTTGATCCTGCAAGCGACGTGATGTCTGTATCAGCTCTCTCTGGCTTGAGTTGGCTTTGCCATTCGAGTATCGTGGTGTTGGCCGGACTTCCACTTCGTACTCGCAGAGGCTCATGGCGTGATTCCACAAGAGTTGTTGAGACTGAACTTGCGCCGTTGATTGTTGTTGGATATAACAGGGTTTTGGTAGGGCTCGTGTGTGCGATTGTAGATCGTCTTGAACGAGTAACGGAGGGTAAGGTGACCCGTTGACGTTGTTGTTGGGCCGCAAGGATATCGACACATGTAGTTCCTGCTGTTCGTGAAGATTTACCGAGATTTGACAGCTGATGTGACACAGAGCTCGACGACGTAGGTCCATACAAGAACGTTGTTACTAAAACACTCTGGAGTGTGATGATCTGGGACTGGAGGGCGGTATGCGAAAGTACTGCGTACATCCTGTCAGCTTGGCTGCTAGGAACGTATTCTGAAGGAGCAAGCTTACCGTCGCCGACAGCAAACTGAGTACCAATCTCCTGACATCCAAGTTCATATTGTCGTTTGATTGCTGCCTTGTCCATAACGATGGCTTCATCGCCATCGAATTCGTCATCTTCTACATACTCGATTCTCCTGGAACTCGGATATCCTTTCGCCCTAAGACTTTGCTCGTATTCTCTCTTCTCCTTGACCCTCAAAGTCTGATGCAGATCTCTAGTAGCGTCGAAAACATCTAACAAGGTGTATACGAGTGCTTGAACAACGTTTACCGGGTCGACGGAAGGATTCTGGAGCCATCAACATCATTCTGGAATCAGCTCTGGATTTGAACATAGACTTACTGCAGCGCGCATCTTCAGGTCCAAATTGGTTTCGATGGTATTGACCAAGTTTGACCTAAGGGAAATAAGAGGACCCTGAATCGCTTAATAGAGCGAAGCACATGGTGGCGAGTGGTGCATTGGGCATCCCACAAACCCCACGTTTTCCCGTTCGCAATATCCCAATCTGCTGCACCCAGGATGATGCCTTCGATAGCTTCATGTTGGATGATGCATTTGTACAGCTGTCAGAGTGCAATTGGTGCCTGATCATGGGATAATTTTCTAAGTGGATTACCGACGGTTACGGCCCGCGCCAGCACGCCCGCACGTCCGCGTAATAGCTGATGTCACGGTGAGATGGCGCGACTCCGGAGAAAAACTCTGTCCTTCGTTATCCAGCAGACGGCCTAGATAGGCAGGATGTGATCGGATTTTCACGAAACGTACCCCACAGAAGATCAGGAGAAGGTGAACGTGAACTGCATTCGAGCGTCTTCGCTCCACTTGACGTGCAAATCAATGTGGCAACAAGAGAATATGGTTAGCTTCGCATTTTCACGGCTCGGGCACCAGCTCATGCAGCTGAACGGGATGACTGGAGACGGCAGAGCTCATCCGAATGAAATGGCCGCCTTTGGTCGCGCGGCCCTAGAGGCCTTTCGGAATTGAGAGGGTCTCACTTGAGCGGTGTATGCACGCTTCTTTTCGCTTTCGGACGTTATTCGTGATGATCAGGGAGTCCGCGCTGTGGAGTTAGCACCGCCTTGGCAAAGCACGTTCTTAGTGAGGAGTTGGAGTGTTACCTCGACAATGACAACACACATTGTACTCCACAACGAAGAGCTCTAAGTCAGAACAATCTATGAAAATATTTTGAGGCTTTGCGGGCCATCCGCATCTAGCTGGACAGTGCCACCAATGGCGTTGAAGCTGCTTTGCGCATGCCCATTCCCAGCACGCCACGTTTGCGCATTGGCGGAAGTACAAAGTTCGAGGCCCTATGCAATCGAGTATGACACGTCGGGCTAGACGCGCAAGGCTAACAACATCATTTGTCGCGGTTGTGCTCACATTGTACATCGGTAATGACGCTTCATTAGCTGCATGTACCGGCGACGTCGCCTCCTTCCTTCTACCTACAGGGCCCTATCGCGACCACGGGAAATATCAAAAACACTGAAATGCGAGAACTAAAACAAAACTGGAGTACAGCAATGAAGAGCAATCTAGCACACCCAAAACTCCGCCTTCATTGTGGCCGTTGACCTGTGGGGTATCGTGAAAACATGCACGCGAGACCAATCGACTGACCGAAGAACAAAACATTACACCGCGCTCCTGCTAGAATATCAGCTAAGTTGTTCGCGTGCCTGGGATGAAGCACTGGGTTACATAGCGGAGGACTCACAACTGGAACTCAAGCCATTGCTTGTCCAAAGAAACTCGACTACACCTGGGCGTTCCCCGCAGCTTGCAGAGCCTGCTGCCTCTCGGCGATCTTTTCGCGGGCTGCGGCGTTCTTTTCTCTCTCCGCCTGGACCTTCTCCGCGTACTTGCTTCGAGCCCTGATCTGGGGGCCCTTATGGTAGATGACATACACCGGGATGCATACAACTACGGAGAGGGCGAAGAGTATCCACGTCGCGTTCTTGGTCCCTAGCTTGTGGTACATGGGACCTGTGTAGAAGGAGCAGAGGCCAGCAAGAACATCCCGCGAGAAGCCGTTACCGCCGGTGGCAGAAGCAGCATACATCCCTCCATACGCCGCGACCATGTAATCGATCGTGGCGTAGTAGATGGCCATGTTGGCCCAGCCGATCAGAACCGCAAAGATGAGAGGCGCAATACACGGGATAGGCGGCCCTCCCACCACAAAGGCGGAGCCCAAGAGGCCGATCGGGAGTCCAAGCACGACGTACTGGAGGAACCACAGCCTGCTCTCGGGGGTAAGCTCTTTACCCGCCTTTCGCTGCTGGTTGTGCCGCCTGATGACCGGAAGGTACGATCCCCATGCGCACCAGTAACCAATGAACAGTGCAATCAAGGCAAGGCCCAGCTGGCTCGCGGTAAAGTTCCAAGCGGAGTCCTTGAACACGTAGCTATAGGACTCCAGGAAGCTGAAGATCAGGGCGTCGGCGAATCCACTGAGCAGAGACAAGAAGCCGACGATGGGCTCGCAGACCAGCATTTTGTATGGACGACCCATAATCGCCAGGATCTCCTTCTTGTCCAGCTTGTGCTGCTCAGTAGGGCCCCGGACGTCGCCTTGGCCAGCCTTGCGCAGCTTCTTCGCATGCTTGTTGAGCATGACCGTGGCACGACTTTCGGGAACCACGAAGAAGTGGACGCCCTGGACGACGCAGCCGAACATGAGCTGGATCCAGAAGTTCCATCGCCAGTCAAGGTACTGCTCGATCGAACCTCCGCAGATACCACCGACAACTAGAGGCCTGTTAGCATGATGCTCGCAGCTTGTAGTCCATTCATAGGTGTTGTTGGCTGTGAACGAAGTATAGGGATTGGTGACATACCGGAACCAAGACAAGACCACAAGCTAGCCCAGAGCACAGCGTACTGCTGCTCCTCGGAGTCGAACATGTCGGCGACCATGCCAAGGGTGACAGAGCCTCCTGCCGAGCAGAGACCACCGAGACAACGCGCGAGAAGAACCATCCACCAATGGCTGCTTGCGCCAGCCAGGATCTGCCAGAGGTTGACAGTGCCCAGGGAGATCTGCATCACCCAAAAGCGACCGTACTCCTCCGACCACGGCGCCCACAGCTCGCAACCAATCCCGTAGAGGATGAGGAAGTACGCCATCCCCGCCCTGGCGTTGGTGAAGTGGTTGTCACCGAGGTTGTAGTGGTCGTTGAGGCGACCAATCGCATTGCCGTATACGGCCGCGTTGAAGTCTGTCATCTGTCAGAAACCGTACTACAGGACTGTAGATCCACATCTGAACAGGTACTTACTCATACTCGTCTGGCAGAGCGCCACGACGGTAAGAATCCACCACTTCTTCTTGGTGGACCACATGTACGCCGTGTGCTCCACGGCGTTTGCCTCGTCGAGCAACAACGGGCCACTGGGTTCAACCAGCACAGAAGCCTCGGTGGAGACTGCTACGACCCCTGAAGCGGTCGCCTCCTTCTTCCCCGCGGATTCGACACTCCCATCGCTGGTGTGCCTGCTGTGAGTAGCCTGGAGGGTATCAGTATATCATCTGTTAAGCGAACAGTACAAGAGGAGTGAGACTGGAAATGTTTGTGTTCTTACCATATCTAGTCAGTTCAAAGATATGTTTATATATCTTTGGTACCTTGAAGTCAAAGGAAGTCTTGCTAGGAACTGATATCGCAAGAGGAGCAGGATAACTCAGGTATTTATACTAATTCGCCTTAGACCTTTCAGACAATCGTTCATCTTTGATCTGGAGATGATTCGCAGCAAATATCTAGCGGGGAAATAGAACCAAGATACCACGAGCTTATTGCCAACGATGAAGTTGAAACGGTCTTTCGCTGTAGATCTTCAAGACTGTTCGCTCTCAATCCCATGGTTCACCAGAAACGGAGAATTCTTAGGCCTTGCTTAGTTTCCACCAACGCCTAACGGGCCTTGAACTAGAAACGCTTGGGCTATTTTAGGATCGTTGAATAGCTAGGCTTCTGGTTTAGTTCTCTATCAAACTGGTTCAAAGCGGCTAAATCGATGGCTTTGAATGCGCAACGGTGACTGAATTGGCTTCTCTAGCATCACCTTGTCCTGCTTTACGATGAACTCTCTGCTATTTGCCTCTATCCGCCAAATCCAACGATATTCTCCGCCACAATGCCCGGCCTCGTTTCGTTGAAACCCGATTCCCGATGTTGGTGAGTCAGGAACATAGTGGATGCGCGGCAGTCTAGCGTTCCACACTTCACTACCTCTGCTTACTCACGTGAGTTTTTGCGCTGCGACCTATCATAACTCAGGAGTTCCGAGCTTGCTCATCATGGGCCTCGTAGGAATGCACGGCATTGTGAAATCACAAGAGCCATGGTTCGCAATCAAATGCATCTTGCAATCCATCTGGTCCGCTGTGACGACACGAATCAGACTGCTCGTAATAACTTGTGCGCAAGGCAAACGCAGGTTCCAGAATATTTTTAGAGAATCCGCCTACACTCCCGAATGGTCACGCGGGTAACCAGGCCATCCCAAGCAAATACATGGTCCCAAAACAATCTTACGAGTGCCCAGCAAGTGCAAGTCGACCGTATCAAACCTCCACTCCTTCGTCCAACCAATCAAACACCCCATCCTCATCTCCATCCACTTCGACGTCGTCGTCGCCACCCCAGACCCACTCTTCCCTTCCCCACCCCCGCAACGGGACCCATACCCTCCCCGTCTTTTCCTCAAACTCCAGTTGCAACCCCATCCAATAGTCGTCCAACTCACATCGTAGCCGTACTAACTCCGGCCCCTCATCCTCCGCAGAAGTACGGATATCCGTAATACACTGGTTCGAAACCTGGGTCTTGTTCCCCTCTGGTGAGTCTTTGTTGGTGGCATCCGGTTCATTAGCCAACCCTCCGGCGTTGAGTGGCTCAGAGGGAGAGGAGGCAGAGTTGTACGTTGTAAGCGTAATCGCAGGTTGGTCGTCCCCTTGCTCATGCAGAGTCTTCGTGGGGCCTAGTGTTCCGGGGTTCGGCGGCGCGGTGGTGTCCCTCGTCCGCTCTCGGAATCGACTAGCGCTGAGTTCTAGAGCTTGGGGAAAGTGGTAGAGGGTCGTCATATCGCTAGAGTTCGCACTCGATTTTTGATCTACACTCCCGATTTCGCACATGCTGTTTTCGGTTTTCTGACCCGATCCTAGGGGCTGGTCTTGCGTGGACATGGCTTTTGTCTTTTCAGGCGGCTGCAATGAGCGCGTACTTCACTGCTGAATTCCATCAGGGGGGGCGAGAAACGATACTGCTTTAAGCTCTACGCAAACGCAGTGAATTGTCACAGATTGTGTTTTGCCAAGTCATTGTTGAAGTTTGCTTGAAACAACGCCTTGCGCGTTTGATCTGAAGATTAGAGCGCTCACACGATGAGACAATGCCAATTATGCAGGCACGATGGTGGTAAGAAATTGATGTAATTAGAATTCAGATGCTGCACTATACTTTTTAGATGCGCTATCATAGCCTTTTCATGATAGTATGCTATGCGCCGCCGCCTCTATCGAGCAGTTATGCAATGCGTCAACCAGCTAATGCAATGGCTCTGAATGGCGTTGGAAATCCGGAGATTGCCTTCTCCATGAGACATACAGGGCGTGCCTCAATTCTGCTGGTGTGATGCAATTTGGGAAGAAGATTGACATCGCTTAGGATATACGAGAAAAGCTGTTCCGCCTCATCAACTCTAGCCTATCGTTCGCAAACTATTGTTGAACATACCTTGTACCTGCAGATGCAAAAGCCTTATCGGTTCTTGTTGCTGGAGTTGAACACTGCCTTGTCCTTGGCCTGGAACTGGGCCAACTCTTGCTCCAGGTTAAATGTGTTGCTCTTCTTCAGCGACTTTTGTTCAGCAATCCACCAGTGCTTGTGGGCGGAAGTAGCTTTCGTGAGGTAGCTCTTGAGATCCGTATTGCTCATGGCCATGAGCTCTCTCTTGGTTGCGCGCTTGCCTAGGTCGAGTTCGTCTTCCAACATAGAAACGAGCTTAACGTCGAGATAGCGTTGGTGATTAGCCTGAAAGGCGTCACTGTTTCCGTTCGCGAGCTGAAGATTGCCATGTTTTGCAAGCACCTGTCTCTTCGCAGGCTCAGGCTTCTCTGCCTTGTATTGGCGGAGCACATGCTTCTGCAGCTGAAGTCCCTTGTCTGATTAGTATATGTCAAGCTATTTTCAGTCCAATACTCACTTGCTTCGTGCCGCCGCCCTCCAACTCAGTTGTGGCTAATTTCCATGCCAGATCTGCATCGTTGCGGTTGTTTTCGCCCTTCACAACCGTGTTGACTGCTGTAGTGCTCATCTTCCGCAGATGGGGCGGGATTGATGATCGAGTTGGTTTAGCGATTGGTACCGTAGGTTGTACCACAGCTCGTACAGCAGATCGGGCATCAGGCTTAACAGCCTCTTCAGCGAGGAGCTTCTCGAGGGGTCCAGCCCAAGCGGGCACTTTGGCGGGAGAGATAGATGTCATGGATGCGGTGGATATAGTAGGTGTACGAGGCCGGATCATCGACGACGGCGTGGGAGGCAGCGGAGAAACAGACGTGGCTTTCGTGACGCTACGAAACGTGCGAGTGCCAGGAGCTGGCCATCCTCCAATCTCCGGAGGAACTGGCGTTGTCCCGCTCACTGAGGAAGATGACGAAGAAGACGTACTTGAGGCAAGATCGTCGGGCACGGCGAAAAAACGGGCATCGCGTTTAAGAGCTGCCGCCTTTTTCTCTGCATATGGGTCGCGGTTGAAGCGAGGATCCTTGAGCGTGCCAGACTTTGCGATAGAGTCAGGATCCGGCTCCCACGCTTCAGCCTCAGGTGGTGGAGGCGGAAAAGCGTCCCACGAGAGGACTGGGTCAGCAGCTGTGATACCGTTAGCAGCGTCTGTTGCTTTGTACCTGTTCATACGTACCTTGCTTCTTCGTGATATATGGCATGTTAGATGTAATGCAGTTGATGGGCGTACGAATGTGGATGAGGTCGAGGTTGGTGAGTCGAGGTTAGTGGATCAGATCTTCGAGGTGGAGTTGTTTGCGTCAAAGTGTCGAGGTGAAGGCGACTTCCTCACTTCGTGGCCTGGTCGTTGCCAAGTCAGCACGACCCAGGCGGGCGGCGCCAACCTTTAGATAAGATAAGAAAGGAAATATGGATGATAAATAAGAAGAGACGTGGTGCTGTGGTGTGAGTGCGATGATGTGAGATGACTGAAAGTGACGTCGCAAGAGGACCAAGAGACGTAGAGCAAGTGGCGTTGAGGAAACGAAGGTCGATGAGGAAGTAGCGTCCAACACACCTGGAGTACCCTCACTGCGAGGTGACGCAAAAGCCTGTACTTCAAGTGCTAACAGCCACCATATCACCACCATCACAGTTTTTCAGGCGCCTACTCGCTTCCGCCAGCATCGCTGCGTCCATCTTTTGTCAATCCCACATACAGACTCTACGCTCTATGTAGGTGCGATTAAAACACGCCTACCTCGCCTGATTGATAAACATGACTTCATTCCAGCCAGCATATGTCATTGATAGTGATGTAGTGATCACAGATCTTTTAGCTGTACACCAGAACAACATTTAGCTACCAAGGTCTACACTTGAAAGGAAATGATACAAGCATTCTCAGAGGCTTCTTGCTGTCGATCAAAGTCTTTGAATCTGGTCGACTGAGGAATTGAGAGCAGTTCAAATGTATACTGTCCCATTTTCCTTGGCCCCCCGGTAACACCTGCGACGGATCTATCGTTGTCGAAGTAGCTTCCTCTGCGAAAGCATCTGAGCGTGGCGAGATGATGAATGTGATACGCCGATGATTCCGACACCGAAAGTGAGATGAGGTAGTACGAAAGTAAGCAAACGATGATGTTAGGTTGATAGAGCTACTCTTGCTCAGGTCTGAGGTCCTAATGAAGACGAGAAATGATGAGACGTTGAGAACAACCATCCCGGAAAAAACAAGTTTCATCTGTGCTGCGCACACATCGACTCCCTACCTTGATGATTGACGAAGAAAACGAGGCACTCAGAGGCCTTCCTCGTCGAACAACATAGTGAGGCTTCAAGTAAAAGATATGGCACAAATCCGTAGGACTCTGCAGAAACTGCGCACTCTTCAACGACGAGAAATCCACGAACCGTTTGAACATCTTCGCTTTAATTACCAGTTACAACGGCTATCGAGCAGGGATCTAGAGCTCATTGGTGTGGGCGCCGCTTGTTTAATAGAGAGTTTGACCGAGTCTTCTGTGTACAGTCCTCCCCGATTGTGGACAAGTTACCACGAGGCTGGTGCTGTGCATAGAGTCACAGCAGTGTTGGCGTAGCAAGTCGTTTGCATAGCTGGTGGCTGATTGCGGAGCTACATGGTACTGTTTCGATAGTATCACGTGAAGACCTGCTGTGTTTGGCAGCGTCGAAGGGTGCAGGTTGCGCTACCTATACAAATCGCAGTGAACGTGAGGGCGGTCGAAGAAAGGGGTTGCGACGACTGTTTTGCGTTTGACAAACCAATTATAATTTGCCCAGGCTCTTTGACTAGCGGCCGGTGAACGTGAAAGCATTTAGTGCGACGCTAGCCCGGAAATGATGACGGTACGCGGCGCGTCTCAACCGCGAGCTGAAATCATACACGACCTCCGGTTTCCCCAGACTTGTCCCACTTGTGATCCTAACCCGACTTGTACTCCTTTGAAACCTATCTGATCGTGCACAATCTCAAAGCCGATTGTTTTTGTCGTGTTCGTGCGCCTAGGCTGAGGGGCTTCATTGGACGATTACGCAATTCCATCACGTCTGATCTGCAGCACCAAATAGCTTCGCGACTTCTTTCATTGCGCCACAAAGGACATGCCATTTTGAGCTCTTTTCGGACGCGACACAATCCTGGAAAGCGCGATCTCCACCTTTGACTGCCGCAACGCATCTCAGCCGCATAGCGACTTCCTCGCCATAGGCGCCTTAACTATTTTAGAGAGTTTTACTCACATCACGCAACCATTTTCTATCTGCTAGCAAAAGTTTTGGAGTTCTTCCGCAACATTATGGTGGGGAAGCGCACCTACTCAAATCGAGAAAAGCAGCGGAACGCCTACAAGAACGATCCATCTCCGGATAGCAGAAAGCGACTCAAGCAAGATGATACAGACGAGCAGAGTTGGCTTACCCCAACATCAAGCCGAACGGGAACAGTGGCCTCAACACTAAAGAGAGCATCGGGCAGGTTTGGAGGGCCTGTTTCTATTCCCGAGGATGGAATGGATGTCGAAAAGTGTTCCGAGCCGAACGGTAAGCCTACAAGTGTATTCGACAAAGTCGCCAATGGACGGTCAAATCTAGCAATACCGCAGCAGGCCAGCATTCACGGCAGTAGAGACGCTTTCAATACGACTATGAAAGGTCGGAGGAACTCCAAGCAAAGCAATACTAGGCCCCAATCTAGTTATCTTCCCACACCACCTGCAGAAGTCCAGAAACCTAGTGGTTATGGTATAAGCAGTAGGCCATCGAGTTCAAACGGTTGCGCAATCTCACCTGCATCGAAAACTGCTACCGCCAATGGGTCGATAGAAACATCGAAACTGTTGGAGAAAATCATCGATAACGAGAAAACCGAACCGTCGTATACACCTAGAGAGTATGAATCTGACAAGACCCCGGCACCGCGCAAAGACATTCATGGTGACTATATGTCGAAGAGGTCTAAAGAGGCTCGATTGTAAGTATCGCTGGTTTACTCTTCAAGCTACAACTGATCGTTGCAGGTGGCATGCAAACCAGTCCAACTCACCACTCCTACGTCTGCCTGCTAACGTCCGAGAACGCATTTACAAGCACGTTCTTGGCGGTAACACCATCAACATATGCTACAAGACCTACCAACTCGACAGAACGGGCTATGACAAGCCGCCCATTCTAAGTCCGGTCTTCAAGTACCACTGTACCGTTTTCAAAGGCAAGGCATCTCCATACAAGCAAACAGAGCAGCCATGGATCAAAACCTCGACTGGATTTACGCTGTTGAACGGTGTATGTCGCCAGCTGCACCAAGAGACATCCATCATGCCGTACGAGCTCAACGTCATCGCATTCGACTCTCACCTCACCATGTGGAACTTCTTATTCATGGAGAACCGGCTCTCTCGCAAGCAGCGTCACGCGATCACTCACCTCATGCTTCCGGATGCGCAACCACAGGCGAACATGCTGACGTACTTGCCCAATCTTGCAAAGTTCTTCCTTGGTCGTCAGATTACGATGGAGGACCATACACAACTTGCGAACGGATGGTACAAAGTCATTCGTCTAGATGGTCGGGAGCCGAAACTGGTGCATTCGAGGAATATCTGGTGAGCACGGTTGAGCAAGAGTTGAGACATCGCTATGGGAGTTCAGGTCATGGAGCATTGATACAGCAAGCGTCAGAGGTTGAAGGTGTTGACGGGGACAACGGCGTTGCGCATTTAAGCGGGTATTTGCATGGAAATGGTTTTGGTTGAATTCGAGGTCATGGTGCTTATTGCGAATGCCTCATTTTGTACGGCGTATAGGCACACTGATCGATGCTGGATGGATATCGCGATTGAGGTCTATGTTAATATTATCAAACTTGCCTAGGAGTAGGCTTTCTACCACGCACATCCCAATAGCGAACATGATCATACGTGTGTCTCTGGTAAAGTGAGTAGCTGCAAGTCAGCATGTGAATCTGTGTCAAAAAGTGAAGAGTACTCAATGGACATGTCACTCTACGCATGTATACAAGCTGCGGAGATTAGCTGCTATCTCCGCGGTAATATTGAAATCTCATTCATCCCAGAGCTCTCGACGCGTCCAACCTCCCATTGCGCCGCAACGTGTATACACGCTCTCCTTACACCCTTGCCTACCGATCGAACTGCTGAACTCTTCACAACGATGCTCCAACGACCGCGGCATCCAGCCCCTCGCACCGTGCGCACAATACACACAACCGCGAAGAAGACAAGCGTGAGGATGTCCTCAACAACAAGCAAGCGGAGAGCAGTAGACAAGAAGCCGCTCGCCAGAGGCACGAATCCTCCTGCGCCAAAGTCAACGAAAAGACCCGCGCCCACATCCACACCGAACCCACCCCCATCCCCACGCCAACAACAGCCCACACCCGCAACCCCAACACCAGGCAAAACACCGCACCCCACGCCTAGCACCGGGCCCCCATACCCGCGCACAACCACCATCCCCCTCCCGCGCAACCCGCTGCGCGCCCCCTCGCCCACATCCACGCCCACAAACCCCAGCACGAGCACGAACAAGACGTTTGCGCGCCCCGCGCCGCCCCACCCCCGCCCTGCTCCCGCGCCAGGCTACAGAGCCCCACAATCGCGCCGCATCATCGAGCCCACGCCCGACATCCGGCTGCCGGACAAGTACAAGCCTGCTGCGCGGCGCGTGACGTCGATCATCGTGGGGATACCGATCATACTCGTTGTGGGGTATGAGTTGTATAATCGGTATCGGGCGGAGATACGGACTAAGTGGGATGAGGGGGGGCGGAGGGTGTGAGTGTGCGTGTTGATGTTGGGGGAAAGAAGGGATGGCATGTGGAGGGTGGTTGTAAGGATACGGAAGAGGGTTGTGTGTATAGGATATAAGGGTCTATTTTCTACATGACTGTTACGTCTAACTAACATCTACGTCTACTTGAATGTTATGACGCTTGCTACCTGACAACCGAATGGGAATGTGTATCAATGTTGACCAACCAAGGAAAAAGGCACGAATTGGCTCATATGCAAATGAAAAGTACGATTAACAAAACGCTCGACACAACTTCATAATTCAAGGAAATTCTTGAAGCTCTTTTTCCTCAACAACATTCCCCTAGTCCCCGACGGATCGAGAATAAGCCCCAGTCCCGATCCATGAACGCTACCCCGTCTGCTCCTGGGTGTGGAGTCTAAGAGGGGCGTCGCGGGTACCCCATCCTCGCCATGCTGCTCTGATTCCTTCGCGGAGAAAACATCAGACGCGACAGGTTCAGGCGGGTGAAATAATCGCTTGTATCGCTGTTCTGGTGAACTCGGCGCAGCAGACGTCATGGCAAGGTTGAGCAATGTGCCGTTGCGACGATCGGACGCGGTGGCAGTGGATGGTACACAAGGTGGCGAGATGGGGGAGAAAAACATGTGCCGTGACGACGAGGGCCACAGAGTGGGACCGTTAACCGAGGGCGATGTAGGGGGCGAGGGCGAGGAGAGGATGGCCGAGGTGTCTGAGTCGACTTCTGCAAAGTAGTCGCGGTCTGACGAGTCTTCGGACTTGTCTGTGACGGGATCGTAAGTAGACCTAGTCTTGGCTCTTTTGAAGGCTGGATTTCGTCTAGGTGGGAATATAGGTTGATCGTGTGTTTTCAAGCTGGAACGTGATAGGAATGGGCTAGCGAAGCCAGACTTTTGGAGAAGCGGACTGGACGGCGCGGTCTTGTGCTCGAAGCGTGCAGTCTTCTCCTCCGATGTGGCTTGCTCTTCCCGAGAGCGTAGGTTCCCTTGAGAGATGGCTCTACTTAGATTGTTCCGACCAAGATCGACCTGGCTTGGCCTGAAGACGACTCGCGCCCTCATTTTCTGAATGAGATCGTCGAGTGCAAGTTCGATGGCGACGTGGTTCCGCACCCGCGAAAGCTTCGGCCAAGTGGCTCGTTGGCCAGTGAGCAGGCACCCCAGCATATAATCACTCGTTGGGTTGGTGAGGACCTTGGGGAAATCGGCGTACGCAATGGCTGGGAAGATGTTGATATCACCAGAGTAGCGCTGGCTAAGAATGGATTTGATCTTTGTCACGTAGTTCGGGAAGATGCCCGCATCGGCCACGACTTGGAGTCGATGCAGTAGTTCTCCCCTGCCGAGACTGACTGCAGTGCTCACCCAACTAGACCGTGCAAAGAAAGCAGGGTTCTGCTGTGCTTCGGTGGCAATGATTTCTTCTTCTTTTGCTAAGAATGGGACCACGTGCGGGTTGACTTGGGAGACAATAAAATGATTGACGTTGAACATCTCGGCGAGGCGCGTCATGGGGAGGTCGTTGTCAACGGAACCATCGATCCATGCTGCATCTGGATTGGCATCCCAGGGCACTTCTTTGCCGGTTTTCGGGTCTTTCGCTAGGAGGGATGCTTTCTTGTAGACGACTGGAACAGAGCAGGAAGTACATCTGCGACATATTAGTACGAACACCTCGTGAAATGTGATGACGAAACAAGACTAGAGCTTACACTGCTGACCAAATCATAACATTGGGCGCTGTCACGTAATTCAAAAGCCTGGGGAGTTCATAGAGAGACGAGGTAGACACAGGAATGTTCAAGATGCGCCGAGTCCGATTGTATGCCTCCTGAAAGGTCGTATCGCCGAGCAAATCTCTCATGACACGCGCCAGATGGGAGATGTCGAAAAAGCTGCCAGTCTTGAACAAACGCACCACCTTTTGCATGATGCTCTCTGGCTCTCCTACCTTCTCAAATACAGCTAGATCCCCGTAGCAGAAGTCAAGCAAGAAGTCCGGGATCTCCTCGTCAGTCCTGGTGCATAGTACAGCGCTGACAATACTTCCAGCTGATGCGCCAGATATGATACGCGGGAGCAAGCTAGCGTCCCACAGGCTCTTTACGACGCCTATGTGGTTCATGCCAAAGGTTCCACCTCCAGACAACAGCAAGGCACTCCGACCAAACGACTGACGAGCATTCAGCAACTGCTCAACCATGATGGACGGATCAATAGGGCATTGGTTGCCTTGTTTCTCCGAGACGTCCAGAAGAGCGGCCATTGTGCTTTGCGCAGAATCAATGTATCTCTCGATCAACTTCTTGGTCCCAATATGCGAGTGCTTGTACAGCCGCAGGTCGCCCATGTCCCCTAGTCCCCGTGTGAGGGCCGTGCGTATGAGGAACATCATCCTCGTCACATCGCAGTTGAGGCGCGCGTCGTCCAGCTCGCTCAAACGAGCGGCAACCAGGGCGGCATGATATTCCTCCGAGTTGTCCTCCTCTTTCCAGACGTCATTTCCTTCCAGCGCATCCAAATCGGTGGCCGCGGCTCTCCATTCGTCGTAGGATTCGGCCTGTGGTCGGGGATGGTTAGCACGTGAAAGCTGCACGGCCAATCCTGGGTACCCACGTTTTTCATGCGCAGGTACAGGACCTGCCTGCGATCTGCGTCTTCTCCCAGCGCATCTCCAATAGGGGCGCTGTAGTGACTGTCGACGGCGCTGCTCAATGCGCCGACGGGGTCTCTCACGAGCTGGACGAGGGGCGTGAGGAACCCGCCATGGCTCCTGCTCTTCCTCTGCGCGTTGTTCCCTCCTCCTGCTATGTGCAGCCCTGTGCTGCCTCTCGCGAGGACGTTGTCGAACAGAAAGGACATATCCGAATGTACGCCATGCGCGACTGTTGTGGTCCGTCGAGTGAGGTCGAGCGAGGTCGAGTGAGTCTGAAAGAGGTCGAGTATTCGAGTATTCGAGTCGAGGGTGCAAAGATAGGACAGACGACACCAGTGTCTTAAGAGATGAAGTTCCCCGGATTTCCCTGTCTACAAGTAATAGGCGGTGCAGCTATTGGTGCGTATCCAGTGGTAGGGGTGCTCCGTCACTACCACCTGTCACGCGCATGTCATGACGTGAGTTGTGGACGTGTCATTAGGTTGGGTGCGCTGTGGAGAGGAAAACCACGCCGAGCTGGCAAGGCATGTGCAAGCAACGCAGCCATCGAGGATGCGACGACGTCTTGTCAGCAGAAATCATGAATGCATCGTGGCACATGAACGGCAGGGACCACACCACCGTCACCATGGATCGTCCAGCATCCCGCCTATCGATAACGCACCTCTTCCTGCACAACTCTGGCCCCCCAGCATGGGACCTGCAGCACACTGAACTCGCCACCCATGTGCATATGCTGATGGGAATCGCGTCCACCGCTTCAAGCAACAACTGCTTTGACATGTCCCAACAGCGGAACCACCCTTCACATGCTATCGTGTGGAGAAGCAGTCACGCTCACATACCACACCCACCCACACTACGATTCGCGGGGTCCACGGCCTGGAGAAGCTGTGGGGTGGTTGCGTCGTTCGACTTTTCAGTTCACGAGGCCCTCCTGCATGCGACATCAGCCTAAAGCTGAGAACATGGTGGTTGTCATATGAATGTTGGGCGCTTTCACGTGTCAGCAATTCTTGATAAGAACACTGAAGGTGTGCTATCAAGACTTTTCATTGACGACGTGGAAAATGTTGAATGACGAAACACTCGACCCACCGTGTCCTGTACAGAAGTCGAAGGATGGCCAGCTCGGATACCTAGTTGTCGTCTACACGCGAAGGAAATGAACGCGACAGGGCCATGACTTCGCGCAATGTTAACTCTTCGCCTTGCGCCTCCCCTTCAAAAAGCCTTCTTCATCAACGCTTACACAGATGACAGGTGGCTCATCTATGCAGCTCTGACAACATGTCGGTACATCTCACGACCTTCTGCAGTCCCCCAGAAAAGCAATCGTAATCGATAAAGCACTCGTAAAACTATGGGGCAGTCGTGTCTCCACATGTTCACTGCTCCCCAGTTGCCTTTTGCTGTGCTTCGTGAGCGCTTTCGCTACCGTAAAGCTGGGGTTTTTCGAGTCAATCGAGCATTCAAGAATCATGTTGTCCGTCGCCCTCGAACGACTGAGGTACGACATAGGTAATAGCCTGTTGTTTGTCTTTCTTTGCCCGGCCTGGAGGTAGATTCCTCATACGTCTTCACTTTGACAAGAAGCTCACTCAAATTTTACTTCGAGGAGACCAAAGCAACTGCCCCGTCTTCGTAGAGACATTGCCATTGTTGCTTCTGTGGCGATGGGCTACATACTAGCGGCTGCCAAGGCGATCATTGTGGGGTAGCACTTCGCCGACTCCTCACTCACACAACAACTGTCGCCACCCACAGTATACTCAATCAGTCCTAGATGTGTACGACCAATACACAATCCAACGAGTACAGATACCTTCGGTTAGTGAAAGGTAGTTCACACACTTGGCAGTGCAATGTAAAGGCCCCTATGAGACGCGATGTCGAGAGCCTGTACGAAGTCGATTCTTTCTTTTGGACACTAGAGCGCAGTACCACCAAGAACAAAACTGAGGTTCCTCGTACAGAGCAATTGAAAGAACCGTTCACATTGCATGCAAGGTCAAGTACTCTCGTTGTCTGTTTGCTTCTCTATCAAGTCTTTGCGATCCATCCGTTGTTGCTACGTCATAATCATCGTCTGGCAAGTAGTTCTTCGAGAAGGTTTCCGTGCTTTGTCTTCCGGTCAAATTTGTGATACGAATAAATTCTGCTGTTATATGCCTCCTTATTTCAAATCTTTGGTTGAGGAGAGAGATGGAAAAGTCACATTCTAAGCATATTGTACAACGCTACACCACTGACTAATACTTCACCTCACACCTACTTCTGTACTACATGAATGAGCTTGCACGACTACGCCATTCCAATACATGCATTGAGTAGATGCACTTAACTTCCCTTTCGACGCATCCTGCATTGTTCTGAACCCTTAGAGTCTTCACGTAGCTGTGAGGTATACTGCGTGTCCAGGCCAATACTACCGTCATTATTCGAGAGCATTGTCCGACAGGCGCCATCGCGCTAGATCGTGATAGACCCTTCTTGCGTTCCTTTTTCTAGACTATGCCACCCTGCGCGTTGATCATTGGACAGAACACAGGGTAGATCAAGTCGCCATCGCTACACGGAGATCTCGTTTACGCTATCGCCCTCCGGAGGTACCCTCGTAGATCAATATAGCGCGGGTCATCCTGATATGGGAATATCATCCAACATATCGATGGTAACTACGTCTGGTCCGAGAAGTTACTCCATAAGCAATTTGCCTCACCGCTCAGATCTAGTGTTTTGGTCTCGTGTATACATATATACCCCCTCAAGTACCGAGACGTGTTATCAACGTTATTCTGCGTACATGCCCCTGGAGCCATTTTTCTTACCTTGGACCCTTGTCGTCGTCATCTTCTATAATCTTTAATCTTCGTTCTCTTGTTAGTACACATACGCAATGGCGTCAACGACAATGGCGACAGTCGCTCCACAAACATCGTTGCCGCAAAGTCCGCCAGCGTCACCTTTCAAGAACCTTCGGGCGGCTCCCTGTACTCAGAAGAAGACAGCAAAGCTCTGGGACCAGTATGAGAAAGAAGCCGTGGAAAATGCAAGAAGAAGAGAAACAACCCACGGTGCCCCGACATCTCAACGCTATTTTGCTTCTGATATTCGAAACGATCACTTCAAGTCACCGTCACTTACCATCGCCACGTCTGCTAAGATAAGCTTCGATTTTAACTTTGCAGATGCTGCAATCTCACCACCGCCACTACGTACCGTGGCCAAGTGCAGGTCCTGCAGGCAACCCACCATGTATGCTTCGAGCGACTGTGAACGTTGCAACACAACCATGACCCGCTCCCCGCCTACCGGAGTGATAACCCCTCCGCTTAGTCCTTCATCCCGCAACTTCGCATGGACAGATGTTCCTCAACGACACAGAGAATCGACATCAGACGAGTCCAGCACATCAAACTCTGCCTCGTCTGAGCGCACTCTCCTGTGTCCCCCTCCAACATTGCGTGTCGATCTACCCGTCCGCCAGTCCTCACTCCACCCACCCCGCAGCCCAGACTTCAACAACGCCGAACTCGACCGCGGCCGCAAGGGCTCCCTAACCGACCCCAACGAGCCTTTCCTGCGCCACCAAATCGCCCACCAACGCGCCTTCGCACGCTCCCCTTGCTCCAATCCCACCAGCCCGACGTTTCCTCCCGCCTCCCGGCCTCACACCTCCCACTCGTACTCTCCCGCTTACACCTTTGGCCACGTGAACGTCCACCCCATGCCCCTCAACACACGGCACATCGGCACCTCAACCGCTGAGCTCAGCGCCCGTCCGCATACCTCAGCAACGCTGTCCCCCGCGAGTCGCCCGAGCATCGTACAGCACAACACATCCAGTGCGTGGGACGACTGGAACAGCGACGACGAAGAGGAGCAGATCCGGCTCGTGGGATGGATAGGCATCAAAGGAGGACGAAAAAGCCGAGAAACCCCACGGGAGCGCAACACAACGACCATGCTCGCCGGTAAAAAAAGCCGCGAAAGCCTACGCGAGAGGAGCGGCATAAGCATTCTCGGCAGCAAGAAAAGCCGCGAGAGCCTCCGCGAGTGGAACAGCATGGGTATGCTGGCTAGCAAGAAGAGCAGGGAGAGTCTGAGGGAGTGGAATACCATGGGCATGTTGGGTACGAAGAAGAGTAAGGAGAGCTACAGGGAGAAGGAGGCGGGGAAGTCGTCGATGGATTGCATCGAGGAGATGGATAAGAAGGGGAGTACTGAGATGGAGGAGATTTGCCTCGCTGAGGAGACGCCGCAGTTGCAGCAGAGGAGCGAGGAGCGCGTTAGGTTTATCACGGAGACGAAGAAGGAAGCTGCTAAGAGGAGTGAGGAGAGGTCGCATAGACCTGGTCCTGGGGCGTTTGTGCGTGTTATCAGCTGTGGGTGCTGAGAAGTTTTCCTAGGTTGCGTTTTTCATGATTGCTCTGTCAGCCTTTTTTCTTTGTTTCTCGTCGCCACGCCATGTCGTTGGGAGCTTTTCTTTTGTTTGATCGAGGTATAGTGGGTAGATGGAAGCCATATGATGGTATGGGATATGATGTAGGGGTTGATAAAGTTTAATGTGTATCATTAATTGATTAATTCATTGTTCAACATCAAAATGTTCCCTCTTTGAAGCATCATCTACAACGTCCAAGTAACTGGCTGCAAGCTGTTGAGCGACGACACATGGAGTTGTAGGGGTAGTACAGTATGGCGTAGTGTTTATTGTCTGTGAGTATAGGCGCATACTTGCTTACACTACATGCTTGTACACATACAAATCACATTTACATACATACACCAAACTCATGAACGGTATCCATAAAGCGTCAACTGAGAGGTTCAGTGCCACATACACTCCTTGGGCTACGCATTGAGTGCTCCTACCAAATCGTACCACATCAAACTAAACCACAGTCCAACACTTCCCTGCCTCGCACTTGCGCTCCGTTCATACTATGCACATCCCCAGCGACGATACGCAAATAGCCGTACCATTCTAAGACCTGATGCTTGAGCATCAACACTATACAATGAAGACGTCGATGATGTGCGCCACCTGGTGTGTTAATCACTGAGTGTCAAACTGGCAAGCAGGGGAATCGTGATCAGTCAGTAACGGGAGGGCAAGTGATTGTCATGAACTGCCAGGGAACTACAACGAGATGCGAAACGAGAAAGAAGAGATGATGTAAGAAAGGGGGTTCATCTACACAGACCGTAAACACGAGATTCACTCCATAACCGACATTGGGGTAGACGATCACTTAGCCCACCAGTCAGTCACTCAGCCAGTGCAGCGAACAAGTACAAGCGGCACGACGCCAGACTATCCTCATCACCGCACACACATACTCCCTTCTACGTCATCCAGCCCGCGTATCCGCCGACCGGCCCGAAAACCACTATGTACATTCCATCACGATCACCCAGCAACTACACAGTAACTACCCAGTCACTCCTCACTACACAACATCACATCACCCCACCCCACCTCGCACCGCACCGCGCCGCAACCGCACCACTCAACCGAGCGTCGCACAAAAACCGCCGTAGATCCACTTGCGTTTCGCGTATACGCCGACGTGCAGCCGCTCCCATCCTGTTTATTGGGTAGGAGTGTTTCCCGTGCCTGCGTTGCGCTGTGTTGCACGAGTGCGGGAAGGCTTGGGGGTGCGGGTGTACGGCAGAGGGCTTGGCGGTGTGGCTTGCTTGGTTGGTATGTTGTTTGGTGGTGAGGTGTGGTGTGGTGTCGGTGTCTGTTTGGGGAAGGAAGGGGATGGGTGATGGGTTTTTTGGTGTGGTGTGTAGGGTGGGTGGAGATGCTAGGGGTTGATTGTTTGAGATGGTGGATGGGGGGGTGCCTGGATATGTCTTCTTGAATGGAGGACTGTTTGTTTTGCGGTCTTGGGTTGATGTGGGAGGATTGAAAGGGAGGGTATGTTGGAACGTCCTGATTCGCCAGCAGGGTGAATCATGACGCTCGATGTTCTTCCAATTTCGTACTGTCCAATCTACACAGCATCATGAGTGCTCGGCGAACTTGGCGTTTGTTTACCTTTATTGCGATGCTGACATGCCTCTTTGGAGTCCCAATAGTATAGAACAAAGTAGCCATGTGAGGTTGCAGGTTGAAAACGAGCAAGAATCAGGGTACCACGGACGCGACACGAGCAACAACCATAGTGACGACAATAAGAGATCGACGAGATGTGTCACTGGGTTCTACCAACCCCCTCCCCTGACCTCTGACCTGGGGTGCCCAATACAGCTCTGTTGAGACAATGTCGCCAATAGTAAAAAGGCGTACGAAGCCCCTTCCACATTCTAGGACGACGGCAGATTGATTGAACAAGGGCCTCAAAGTTTAAAAAAGAATGAACAAGGCAAAGCGAGGAAAACCCCCCTGTGTGGTGCTGCGGAGAAAAGCTCTCGTACCAGGTTCAGGGAACGACATCAGGATCAGGCACCCAACCCAGATTGGTGGGGTCGCATGCTTGTCGCTTGCATTGCCCTGTTTAGATGTTGGCAGTTAACGGCCGAGCCAGTGACATTGCGCGGACGGTTGCCTTACAGTCACGTTCGCGTGCGGGTTTTTTTGTCAGGTCGCATACAGATGTATCTAATAGCCTTCTGAGCGGCTTGCGTCTTCTCATCACACCGGTCGTCGAGTTTCTCGTATCTCGGCCCAGGATTAGTCCGCTTTGCTCAGCGAGGTCGACCAAAAGAGGCAAGAGAGGACTTTGGTGTAAGGCTGAAGTTTATTGATTACGTTAAGCCGTGTTCTTTCATGACCAGTGCTGGCCGTTGATGAATGCTGTCCAAACATCAGATTCACACTTAGTATGTCGAACTTTGCTGCACTCTTGGAGATTCGCGAGACGTCCAGATCTGGTGACAAGACAATGAAGAAGCCAAGAGCATACTCGAGGTAATTCAAAGAGCAAAGATGAGGCCAACTGTGCCGTATGGGCGAGGATGCCTTGCTTTAGTCCGCTTGTGAGGCTGTGCCTGAGCTAAGCGACGGTAGCAGTGGTGTGAGCGAAGTGGTGAGGGTGGATCTCAAGGCCATCCAAATCTAAATGTGCCGGCAATCTGTCGGTGTTCAGTCGGCACAGTGGGTAGGTCGATAACGAAGGACTCGTGATGCGTAAGGCCAACCCAAATAAAAGGCTCATCTGCATGAAGGCAATAACAAACACGAGCAATACACTGGGGGGATGGATTGTTTACAGGCAGTCGGCGTTTGTAAACTAGCGAAACGCCTATCTCAGTGCCTGAAGATGGGGCTCACGTCAGCAGCGGCGCAAGATCTCAGCCGAGGATGCCACCAAAGCTTGTTACATCGTGCAGCGCTCGGCTGATGTGCAAGATTGGCGCGTCCGTGACAGGTGTAGCTGTCTGAGAATACGGGGTGCAGATGGGTTACCGGTAGTTAGTTATCTATTAGTTAGTTATCTGACTGCCAGCCCCCTATCCGTGAGTTGGGCAGCGCGCGAAGGCCGAAGCTCGTAGGAGGATAGCGCAACGCGCGGAAGGACCATCCGTTTCGCTGTCGCGTTATCGGCAACCTGGCTCAAATCACGGGCAATGGGGCATGGAAGCGTCGTCGAGTTCCTTCCTCCATGCGGTGCCCTGATTGCGGCTGCCCCTGAGCTAATATAAAGCTCCACAGAGACAAGCCACATTGAGACTAAACCTGCATGCTCTCGGCAATTTACGTCACGCGTCGCGATGCTGCTCAATGCTTAGCCGTCCCAAGCTTTCCTACAGCCGTTGCTGCTTGCTAACGGCCACCCGCTGTTGACGTGGCTGCCTGTCTTCCGAGTCGTATTTATTGCTTTGTTCAACGGCGTGTCAAAATCGACATCGCTGGTGTGCATGTCACTACGGACAACCCGTGCCGAACACAGGTGTGCATTCGCGTTGTACAAAGCCGCCGCGATCCGGATGCCCTGTGGGATGGTTCGTGGGCCTAGGGCGCTTTGCGAACCAATGCCAGTGTCCAGAAATAGCCGGTCAGCCAAGGGCACCCAGTCAATTAATGCGCGGCGATCTTGCCTTACCCTGCCGCCCATACCGTATCCAGCCTTACATGCGCCCTGCTATTGGACAGGGACGCTCGATTCAATCGCCTTATTCTCCATGCGCCACGGCCATGACTGAGACATGGCTAGGGGCCCTGAACGGTTCCATAATTTACTGGAATACTTGAGGTCCAGCAGTCCCCCATGCTGAGTTGGTCCTACTACCTCCTTTGCTGTAGTCCCAGCAGTCCTTTCGTTCCAGGTCTCTCTCGAAGCGATTCTGTAGTAGTCACTCGTTCCTACTACGTCTCGTCACACTGCTCCTTACGTATTCCAACAAAACACTAATCGACACCTAATAATCCCCCGGAACAATCTTCACTATGAGAACCGCCTTCGCTCTCGGCGCTCTCGCCGGGCTGGCAACAGCCAACATCAACTTCCACTGGGTCCAGCCTACGTGCGACTTCAACTCCCTCCAGGCCTCCACGTGCCTGACTGGCCAGATTTGCACAGAGAACAACACGTAGGTTCTTCAACGATATCACTCTGTCCTCGCGCTAACATGCAGATAGATGTGAGGCAGACGCAAAGATCCACTACGCGTCCAGGTCCTTCCTTCGCAACGTTCCCGACAAGCGACAAACTAAGTACTCGACTGACGGAACATGCGGCCCCAACAACGGCAACACCATCTGCGACCCCAACAGCACCGTCTACAAGGGAACTTGCTGCTCGCAGTACGGCTACTGCGGCGCGACCACCGACCACTGCGGAACTGGCTGCTTGTCCGGCTGCACCACTGCTGCCGCACCCACCACGCCTGTTGCGACTTCGTCTGCAACCACGCCCAGGGATGACGGCCGCTGCGGAAAGGACTTTGCGGGTGCCACGTGCGCGGCTGGTGGTGCATTTGGCGGATGCTGCAGTGCGTTTGGATACTGTGGAAGCACTGACGGTCACTGCCTGCCTGCCAATGGTTGCCAGAACGGCTGCACTGGCGCTGCCACTGGTGCTCAGACCGCCACCACTTCTCGCCCACCTTCGACCACCACCTCCGGCGAGCCCGTGCTAGGAAAGCCGACTTCCGTGTCAACCCAGCCTGCGACCCCAACCGGCGTGCAGACCACCGACGGATCTTGCGGCGCCACTTTCGGTAACACCGTCTGCGGATCATGGAGCCAGGGATCCTGCTGCTCCATGTACGGATACTGCGGTAGCACCTCCGCCCACTGCGGCGAGGGATGCCAATCAGGTCCCTGCCTCCAGGCTGTCGTAGCTGCTCCCGCCGCGAGCCCTGCCCCTGCCGCCGCCAAGCCTGGATCCATCAAGATCACAGGCCGCTCCGGTGTTCCTGCCATGCACGCTGGTCTGATGCCCAACGGTCGCGTCGTCTTCTTGGACAAGGTCGAGAACTACACTGAGCTCAAGCTCGGCAACGGCCAGTACGCTTACTCTTCCGAGTACGACCCGGTCACCCAGAAGCTCGTTCCCCTGTCCTACAAGACCAACGCTTTCTGCTCCGGCGGTATCTTCCTTGCTGATGGTCGTTTCGTGTCCCTTGGTGGAAACGCGCCCCTTGACTTCATTGACCCCACTGTTGGCGATGGTTTCAAGGCCATCCGTTACCTCAAGCGTTCCGCTACGGATGCGACCCTCAACGGCCAGAGCTGGCAGGAGAGCGACGCCGTCGCCATGTCGACCAAGCGTTGGTACGCCACTGCCCAGATCATGGGCGACAACTCTGTCTTCGTTGCGTCTGGAAGTTTGAACGGTCTTGACCCTGCGAAGCCTGAGAACAACAACCCCACCTACGAGATGTTGAACGCCAACGGTACCCCACGAGGCAAGAGCGTCACCCTCGAGATCTTGGACAAGAACCAGCCGTACTACATGTACCCCTTCGTGCACCTCATGCGCAACGGAAACCTTTTCATCCAGGTCGCCAAGTCTGCTGAGGTCTTCGACGCTCGTACCAACGCTGTCATCAAGAAGATGGACGATCTCCCAGGATCTTACCGCACTTACCCCAACACCGGTGGCTCTGTCCTGATGCCTTTGTCCAGCAAGTCCAACTGGGAGCCCGATGTCGTTATCTGCGGTGGTGGACCTTACCAGGACATCACTGCTCCTAGCGAGGCTTCCTGCGGCCGTATCCAGCCCATGGCTGCCAACCCAACTTGGGAGATGGACTCCATGCCTGAGGGTCGTGTCATGGTTGAGGGTACTCTCCTCGCTGACGGAACCATTGCTTGGGTCAACGGTGCCCAAAAGGGTGCTCAAGGTTTCGGAATCGCGGCGGACCCCTCCCTCGAGGTTCTCCTCTACGACCCCACCCAGGCCAAGGGCAAGCGCTGGACCACCGGACCCAAGTCCACCATCGCTCGTCTGTACCACAGTGTTGCGCTCCTTCTCCTCGACGGTACTCTCCTGATCTCCGGATCCAACCCCGTCGAGCAGCCCATGCTCACCGCCGACGCTAAGAACCCCTACGTCACTGAGTTCCGCAACGAGATCTACACGCCCCCCTACCTCCAGGGCAACCCCACGCGTCCCACCAACGTGGTTCTCTCCACCAAGAACCTCGTCACCAACGGCTCTAAGTTCACCATCAAGTTCACCGCCCCCGCCGGCTCCAAGGCCGTCAAGGTGAACATGTACTACGGTGGTTTCGTCACTCACTCGGTCCACATGGGTCACCGCATGGCTTTCCTCGACACCGCTGGCTTCGTCGCTGGTTCCACCACCCAGACTATCACCGTCACTATGCCTCCTAACCGCAACATTCTGCCTGCCGGTCCTTATGTCGTGTACGTCCTTGTCGATGGCGTCCCGGCTATGGGTCAGTTTGTCATGATCGCGTAGATACCCTTACGTATATGAGAGGTTTATGGTTGGAGTCTTCTTCTTTACGCACATGATTTCTTTGTCGTTATGACGCTGATTTGGATGTGGGTGACGCTCTAGATTTGCGATGCATCGTTTTATATAGTCTGCAATGCATTACTTTGAAACTTCTCTCGTATTGTGCGTGCTCGTACCTGTCCTTGATGTTTGACGTGTGTTGTGATGCGTGACTTCTTTGGCGTTGGTTTGTTGGTCATGTCCCTTTTTGTGGTTGGTCCACTTCAGCATCTCTTTCCTCCATCTCAACTTAACCTCAACTATGCTCCGGCCAAAAACTACTCCCGCATTTAGTAACTTAAAGTACCGTCCTAAAACATTTAACAATCCTAAAGATTCCCAGTCAGCAAAATTCAAACTCAGACTCCCTTGCGTCCATCCAGCCCCACAACGCATGACCAGCACGGGTAGTTCCCATCTCCAATTTTCGACAACCTCACTCAACCCACCAATCAAGTATCATTGGATAGACGAGGTAGAGCGTCTAGAGTTATACGAACCAGGCGGATACCACCCTGTCATAATCAACGATCTCCTACACAACCGCTATCGAATCGTGGATAAACTGGGGTTTGGCGGCTATTCCACCATCTGGCTTGCGCGCGACGAGAGGGTTGGGCGCTATGTAGCGGTCAAGATTGGGGTTGCAAGTTCGTCTGTTTCTTGTAAAGAAGTAGACGTCTTAAAGGCGCTGCGTGGCTCGAGGGAAGGCTCACGAGCGGCTGTCGATGGGAACGCGTTGCCGAGTGTGCTGGATGCTTTTGATGTCTGCGGTTCAAATGGAACCCACACATGCTATACACTGACTCCCGCCCAAGGGAATCTTAAGGAAGCATCATTCAGTCGTCTATTTCCTATCCGAGTCGCCCGCGCGCTGGCTGCGAAACTGGTAACTGCGGTTGCGTTTGTGCACTCGCGGGGTTTCGTGCATGGAGGTTTGTTTTCACCGCCCCCCCCCAAACGCATACATCCAAAGCTGATGAACAATCTAGACATCCATCTCCGCAACGTATTAATCAACCTCCCATCAACACTCGACGCCCTCTCCGTCCCTGAATTCAGGCAGAAATTCGGCGCGCCTGAAATGGTGCCCGTGACTCGGGTTGACAGGAAGACCCTCCCTCCCAACGTCCCGGCGCAGGCTGTACTACCTCTCTACCTCGGGAAAAAAGCCCAAGACTTCACTTTATCTGACGCGCAGAACCTGCTCCTCAGCGACTTCGGCGAGGCGTTCGCTCCTGCTACGGAGCACCGGCTTGGTAGGGACTGCCATATTCCTCTGGCTGTGAGGGCGCCCGAGGCGCTTTTCGAACCTGATGGGCGCTTGTCGTATGCATCGGATGTGTGGAGTCTGGGCATTGCGGTTTGGGAGATACTAGGCATGAAGGCGCTCTTCGGCGAGGGCGAGACAAGGGACGCGATCGTGGCGCAATGTATTGATGTCCTGGGTTCTGAGGATTTTCCGGAGAAATGGAGGGAAGTGTGGGAACGATCAGGCGGGGAAGAGAAGTACGCGGATGGCGATGCGATGCCTCGACGGCATAGTAGGGAGCGGGAAACGTGGCCGTGTCTTGATACCGCGTTTGAGCAGTTCGTGAATAAGTACAGGAGGAAGAGGGAGGCTGGGACTTTTGAAGAGGAGGAGACGCGTACTATTCTGCAGTTGGTGCGTGGGATGCTTAGGTTCAGGCCTGAGGAGAGGATGACGGTGGATGAGGTGCTGGGGTCGGAGTGGATGGTTAAGTGGGCGTTGCCGGAGCTGGAATAGTGTGGGTGCAGGCGGTTTGAGTAAGGCTAGACGGTTTGCTGTGTTGATGTGTTGCTTGGATTGGGGATGGGGATTTTGATATGAAGGGGGTGGATGGTTTTGCCTTTGTCTTGTATTGGACGCCAGACGCGGTACGGACGCGCTGATACATACTTCGATGGAAGTAGTGTTCTTTGATCTTCGATCTTGTGCGTTATGTCGAGCGGGCTCTATGCTATTCGGTGATATTCAAACCCTTGTATTCAGCATCACTCCACCTGGTCAACTTCCGAGGATGCAACAACATACAAGCTCTCTGCTTTACCACAAGCCATGTCACGATAGCCTAACTGGAGCTCATTGTACAATCCTAAGCTGTCCCTACAATCAGCCAGATTTCGCGATTGACGATGATACCAGGTGGAGGTTTTCAGTGACAGGCTTATCATATTGAGATAGCGATCGAAGTCACTCCATCAACTTGATCGCGAGGTCCGTTTCCTTGTGAAAGCTAAGGCCAATGGGAAAGCACTGTTCAGTGCAGCAATGCCCGTCACCCGTGGACAGGCACAACAAAGTAGTCTTAGTTTACATTAGAGCTCGTAGTCAGGTTCATATCATGTAGCGAATAGTCTGTATCCGGTCTATGTTTGGCAACTTGATCTGGGGAGTTGTGGCCTTTCGAGGAATAGTCCAAAAGATGCACGTATGGGCTTTGTGACTCCTTAGGCTAAAGGTACGATTTTGTGTCTTTTGAGCTTCTTGACCACATCTTGGCCATTACGGGATCGAAGGGTCTTTTTGTAAACTATAGTACATGAAAGAGAGTGAATCCTCAAAGGCCACATACTCAAACCACCAGGTGGAAGTTAATGAAGCTCATCGCATTGTTCGAGTCATCTAGAGTAGAAGACCCTCGTGGCGATGATAGCAACTGTTCAGATATACCTAGGGGGCCTGATCAGAACAGTGGGAGAGAACAGGATTGCGACTACGATTCGGATTACATACAAAGCAGCAGTGAATCGAGCAATATTTCGTCCCAGTACAGTAGTAACGAAGAAGATTTCGGCGACAATCCAACATCTAGTGAACACAACAAAAGTCCGGAGCGAGACATATCTGTGTCAGACGGAGATTTGCAAACCTGGTGAACAGCGTCTTTACAAGCGCTTGGTGGGGAGAAAATTGTGACAATGCTTACTCTTGAGAGAATCTTCCAACGTCTTCTTCAAACACGGCAGTTGTGCCTTGCTCATAGAGCCTTGGGAAAGGGTAGAATGAACGGTGATTGTAGTGATCATGGTAACGACGTACTGGACGAACTACTTGCTCATCTAAATTAGTTCCTGGAGTAGGTCAGCTTCATCACTCGACGAATATTCGGTCACCAACAATCGCTGTCTTCCTTGTTCGAAGCGTGGCAAACATGTAGGGTAGCAAGACTCCCCGCGAAAACTTGTAGCGATGCTTGGAGCAAACACTTGCCTACCAGAGTGGGTATACATGTGTGGAGATACTTGATTCCCTGAATCTCACTGCCAAAGAGAAGAAGGAGATGGATGTTGAAGCCTTTGCAAGACTTGACGCTGATGACCAGTCTTTAACGTTACTTGGATAAAAAACCGATGATGGACCAAGATACGTTTTGATGCTGATTGAGTTGTATACAGTTTCTTTGAGAGTTGTTGTAGTAGCATTGACTCATTAATTGGTTTAAGCGGAAAGGAAGTATATCTGGTTCCGAGATCGAACCATAGATTGCCATGCCCATGCATATGTGAAGACTGGGTGTTCTCGCGGTATCTGACTAGCTTGAAATTCTATTCTGAACCTCATAGAGAGGTAGACTATGGTTTACAGGGCCACCAATACGAGGTTAACTCTTTGTTGGTTCTCGGAGGGGTCGAAAGATAAAGGCCGAACGGACAATAGTAAGCACCCACAACTCGGTCATCATCGGCGAACCCTTCCCATGATCATGCAGCAAGCCGATCTAAAAGATACACTCGTATCGAGAGACACCTGCCTCGTCATTGTCCTCAATTTTTCCGCCACTTGCATAATATATGTCGAAAAACGCCAAATTTTTCCATCAAGCAACAACAAGCCCGGCTGGCACAATCGGTAGCGCGTGAGACTCTTAATCTCAAGGTTGTGGGTTCGAGCCCCACGTCGGGCTTCTCATTCTTTTTGCACTTTTCTTTCGTTGTTGGGGTGCTGGGTGGCTTTTTCTGTGTCAAAATGGGAGATTTTTTGCTAGCGCGGTGAATGTGGCACGTGCGCCAGCACCCAATCTTCGACACATCCTCATCCCACGCATCTTCAGGCCCTACGGCTACGCTTCTTTTTCTTTTTTTTCGTTCTTCCTGTAGCGCTTCCAGTGCGTTGGGCCAGGACCCTTTTGGTAGCGGGGTCAACGTGGTGCGACCGTTTCCCCGCTTCCGAATCCTACACTAACGCAACCCGGCTTAAGCGCTGAGGCTCAACCGTATAGATTTGAAGATTCCTGTCGTCAGTTCCATGAACACACGAGTCCACAATAGGTTTCATTTTCAACTTGTAGGCTATAGAATGGCACTGGATCAGCCGATCAAGAAGCATCCGTCCATCCATTCAGATTCTTCAGAAACCGAACGACGTCTCGCAGCATATGCTCAGAATACCAGTGCCCCAGCCCTTCGTACTCTTTCCAAGTAACATCCACGTCTATACTGCTCAGAAACTCGGCGGCCAGTCTACCAATTCCACTTGGAACTTTGTCGTCTTCTAATCCATGGCCCATGAAAAGCGGTATCGACTGCATCGTAGAGGGCGATTTACCATTCGTGATTCCCTCGTCACACATCTGTAGCTCCTCGCGCAGCCATTCGACAGCCTTCTCAAACTTAGTCCCATCTTCAGAGTCTTCGCCGTCCCGCTCAAATATATCTTGTCCGCCTGCTCCAGACCCCACCAATGACTCATTGTCTTCTTTTCCCGCCTCCTCTGCAAATTCACACATTCCCTTGCGAAACGGCAGATAGCCACACATACCCACTACGGCACCAAATGCCTCGCCCTTCCATAAGAGTGTCGCAACGATGCTAGCTGCGCATCCCTGACTAAGTCCCATGAGAACGACATTCCCCGCCCCCACAACTGCAATTTCCTCCCTCAACAACTCGTGTAAGAAAACGGTCGTTTCGCGTAGGCCTTGAACCTGCAAGTGTTGCTTGAGTTCCGGCTGCGTTAAGGACCAGTTGTCGAACCACTGATGTGTCAGGCTTCGCTTGAACACTACGGCTCGTCGCAGGGGTGCAGTAGGAAAGACAAATTTGGTATCCGGGAAGTAGTCTTGGAAGGATTTAAGCAACTCTGCGGGTGATTCCGTAGATGAGGTTGTTCCCGTGCCCGAAGGAGAGACTGCATGCTTGAGTAATGGCTCAGCGAACTTCTGGGCCGTGGAGCCGCGGCCATGGAGGATTATCAGTGTTGTTCTGTGGTTTTGCAGGGGCGGGAAGACAAGAGGCGGGAGATTGACTGGTGTCTTTGAATTTGGGTTGGACATGATTGAGAAAAGCTATTGAAAGAGATCAAAACAGGGAATGTTGCCGAAGACAGGCTGATGCCTAAAAGTTTAAGATCGTCCGTGCACTGCGCTGTTTACAAAGTCTAAGCGCCTGATGTAGGCATGTATATGTTCCCGTCATTGAGGCGACCCGAACGTGCATAACAGCCCTAGAGACGCGTGCTGTTGCCGTCATCTCCAAGCGTACATACGAAACGACGAAAGATGCGACGAATTGATCAGAAAGAGGAACTGAAAGAAAAGGGTAACGACAAACACAAGGGCAGAAGACTTATGCAATAACCTACTATAAACATCTACGTATGCGTTACCGTGCCAGAACAAGAACTGCATCTCTGTGGCGAAATCTAGCCCCAATCGTCAGATTTGAGCATGTGGTATGAGTGAACCACCGATATGATGATTTCAAACTGTACCAGGGGGCTTAACTGCAGTTCACCAATAGTTGAAAGACCGAAAGACGACGAGTTAAAAACAGCAGTAATCAGCACTATTGTTTAACATAATCAAGGCTTTGGTGGTATAATCACAAACCGATTAGAATAACACTCCACCACAAGACATTGAAATCGAGGCTTCTTCTGTTGTCAGACGACTTTTGGGACCTCTATGTTCCTTTTCCCTATTCTGCGGCAATCGTGGCTTACTATACTCGTTAGTATTAACCCCTCCACAGCCTTGTCGTCTCACCGGTGGCTTGCACAATACCTTGCACGCTCCCTAGAAGAAGTTTAGCGTCGGGATCTAGGATGTCATAACAATGTGGTTTTGCCTTGTCATTAAGCCTTGCCGGAATTAGAATATCGTATGCATAGCCCCACCTTGAGTGCTGTCTTTCAACTGCCTGTTCCGCTTCCGCCTTTTGTCGTGCTGGGAGACAACCCACCCATCCTTCTACGACATCCCATCAGCGTTCTGTTGCGGCACACAAATCCAACTATGGCACCAGTTCCCTGGCACCAGCAAATCAACTTTACTAGTGCGCTTCTGCTTCATTCCTGCATTACCATATGGTTCAAAGAACTCAGTAACAGCCTTGTCCTTCTCTACCGCCTCATTTCACGAGCCAAAGACAAGACCAGAGTAGCCGCCTCAGTCGTATTCGATGGATACACGTCAGTTTGCTCGAAAGACCGTGACGGCGAGCTTGCCGAGTTGTATTTTACTAATACTGGCTTTGTTCTCCTGCTAGCCTCGCTCTCGTCGAGCATTGCACTGAACCTGCTTCTCCCAACTCTCGCACTGAATTTATTAGTCGCAACCACTTTTGGAATGGCATTCATCGCGTCTGCCATGGTGGCGTGTCGAGAGAAGAGCGTTTTAATGCCGGTGATGGCGTTGCGACGCGCTGGTCGCTTCATTTGGTCTGACACGCCGTTTGTGAATTTCTTCACGCTGATATACATTGCAGTGGTCTTGAAAGGGGCATCAAAGCTGGAACTGAAGGATTATGTACTGTTTCGATCTGTCGCGATTCTGGAACTTGTGTTCATGAAAGCGAGGCTGGCCGCGGCCGACGTAGAGACGCAGCGTACTATGATAGAGCGACTCGTCAAGAGCGAGTACGTCATAATCAACGATGTAAGTCTTGCTTTGATACCTGAAACCTCTTAAGTGGCCCTCTCTTCTCTTCGAAGACCTAACATCTACAGCCGTTTCCTCCAATTTTACTCTCGCCGCCCCCACCGCTTCAAAGGCAACACATCATCTCCTTTACCACTGCACAACGCTTGTCAGTCATGTTATATAAGACAACCATTGGGTATGCACCTGGTTCTCTCTGTGGACCATTCGGTCCTACAACTCTCACTGTACCTCGAACCCCAGGGCATTTCGTAGACGAGGCAGAACAGTACGGTTGGCGCATCTATCGCGTCTCGCCCGAGCTTCTAGTCCTCGAAGATTGTGTGCAAGACATGGTCGCAACCCAGATGAAGAAAGCATCAACACTGGAGCGACGTGGGATAAGGTCACGATACACCAAGTTCATAGCTTGGTCTCATGGAGTGCTACTGCGACGTGTAGGAAGGCGTAGAGTGGTTTGGCTCATGCGGATGGAAGAGAAGGGGAGAATAGAACATGTGTGGAGGGGTAATGCTAACCTGGTCACGGGTTTGACAGAGGTGTGGTTGAGGGATAACTTCCAGCGGGCACTCGAGGGCGATAGACACATAGTCCGAGAGATCGCATTGTGAATCGGTGCGGGATATTCAAGCAATGGAACTGAATAGTAGTTACTTGTGACACTATAGCAACAGGACTATAAGTTATTTTATGCTCAATATAGGAAGTGATTCATCTCCTAGGCTAATTCTTCCCATGAGAAGACTCTCTCCTATATAGATTTGTGGATCGTTTTCACAGAATACGAGCAACTAGAAGAGCTGCGGATGATATAATGGATCGACACAGTCGCTCTGCAACGAAACATCTCCATTCACAAAGACAAGACCATCCTCGTTTCTGCAGGTCAACACGAACACTGATCGTACGTTCAAATCGTGTGCTCGCGCTAAATTATCTACAGATGAGGTCGCCTACGAGCTATACTATAGTTATTGTTTCCAACTTGGCCTCCCACCCATTCCGATACGATTGCGATGTTCTTGGATCTAGGCTACGACAATGCCGCCCCCACTTTCCATTCACTAGATGCGAAAACCACCACAGCTTCCCAACAGGATGCTGGATGATAGGTTGATTCAGCAGTCCTCCTATCAGCCAACACCAACACTTGTTCAAAAGATCTCTTAGCGCCATCCGCCATCCCCGAGTCATCTTTTGTATCCGGAGTTCCTCCCAATGCGAACGGTAGTACGAGTCACCAATACAGTAGTATCCGTACCAAGAACAGTTGTACCATCGAGCGAGGCCCACGCGGCGATATTCATGAGGGTTCCTGCCGGTAGGGATGAGCGCTAGTGTCAATATGGAATGCATGCTGTGGTGTTCCAAAGTGGTTGGGTGTCCGCTGGGTGGAACCTCGGCGAGGGCGAGGAACGTTATTTTGTCTCTGCGATCGAGGAGTTCATCTGGTAGAAAGAGCATGGGAAATGGACGGAAATCAGCGGGGCGATTGGCAGGTACGAGTGAAACGGAACAGGTACTGGGAAAGCTGGATGGTTCAGATCTGTTATGCTCTGATATGCCCAATTCTCCTATTCTAGGGTTATCCCTGCTCTTGCCGGTAAAGTGGTATTGCTGGTAGACAGGGTCGACGTAGAGGCTATGACTGAGTCCTCGGATGACGACCGCGCCCTTCTGGTAAAATGGGGTCCCTTTTACGCCTACATCCACGACATCGCACAACAGTTTCATCCCAGCTAGCATTGAATACGTTTCGGAGATGAACGGCCATGTTACCGGGAATGTCACGGATGCCCAGGACCATGAAGGTGCAAGTACAGTTTCGTGACGACTTGAGCACAAGGAAAGTGTTGGATCCTTTGCTTGTTCCCAGAATTGGAGACCGTAATGCGTGTCCCAAGGAATACTCCACATCAAGCCAGGCACTAGTTGATCACGCCATAAGCCCGCGATGTAGCGGTTAGGTGTTCGACTCGATATTGTTTGCGCAATTCCATCAAGTGCAATGAGCCGGTCCGTTGTTTTCGTTATGCCTCGCCTAGTATAGTCCATTACAAGTTCGCACCATTGGGTGTGCATGCCCCTTTCTAGGTCTTCTTCATCTGTCTGTCCCTCGAGCCAAGCAGAGCTTACATCAGGTCTGATGGAATCGAATGGATCGTTCATACCGACAAGAGCGCGGGTTAAATTTTCATACGCGCGCATGAGGGATGCGCCATCGGGGCTTCTCTCCGACATCTGCATGGTATGACACTCCCACCACAGCTCTTCTCTATGATACACAAGCAGTGCCCGACTTAGAACCTGCTCTTGGAGTACCCATGCGCGAGTAAGTAACGGCTGCTCGTCTGATATGTTTAGGGACATACCAGAGACTGAGAGCGGCAGGAAAAATACGTTGGTAGTCTCTGCGCTTTCAGAGGTATGGAAAGGCATGCTGAACGGCATTTGTGCTGACCCATCTCGTTGAGCAAAGCAGCCTCCATGGCCACTGCTTGCATGCGCTGCCGCGATGGTGACCACAGCACCCTGATACACGGCGCACATCTGAACGCTTTCGTTTTTCCAATCTTCAGCCGAATCTTGTATGATACACATACTATCTATCCACAAGTAACGCAGTCCTAGACAGCGAGTTGCTATCACGGCGTCGCGGAATGTGTTTGACAGATCCTCCATATAAATATTCGTTTTCCGATCTTGTAAAGTAGCTAAGGTCGTAGTGAGGATCTGTTCTTTGCCCCAGCAATGTGACAGAGCGATATACCTTCGCTGAGATGGTGGTAGCGAGTCCAGTATTTCTGCTGACTCTACAAGCCTGACCGACTGCGGTTGGTCCAAAGGCTCGACATCGAGAAGACGGGTTGGTAACTTGCTCAATCCAGGCTTCGGGCAGTCAGGATGCTTCTCCAAACACTCGCTCAACCAATATCTTGCAAGCTCAAAACTAGCTAGCGATCCAGTGCTGTTGTTTTCCAACTCTGAGCAGCGACCCAATGTAGTAGCGAGTGAGGGCGACTTCATGATACTTGGATAGTACGTAGCAATATTCTCGACAACGATCTCAGTCGGAGAGTCTCCAGAGCAATCTGTTAGGCGGACACGCAAAGAAGGCCTGCCAGTACTAGGGGTCAGAATTAGTGATGTCTCATACGGACCGCCGCGGAGCTGTTCGAGTTCGCTGGCGTCAATACTTCGCGATATGCAGCGGCAGATGGAACACTGTCTTTCGCGAGCAAGTTTGAGCTCTTCGAGATTATGAAAGAGTATCATCTCATGCGAAGGCCAGCGTGAGCTCGAAATCAACTCTGCCATACTGACGATTGGTGTCAGCGGCAACAACTCTGTCTCAGCATCACTCGAGTTGAAGTCTCCACGGAGCCGCTGGCTTATCTCGGCGCAAAATCGTTCGCACTTCTCGCATAGCATGATGGAATCTTGTGGGTTGACTTGAAGGTCGAATGGAGTGGGCTAAGATTTGGAGGTCAAGAGTTGACAGCAACTGCTGCCAATCATATTTTAGCGTACTGAGAAATGCAAGCTAGGCTCTCGGTTTGTCGGAACACCCAGAACTAAGTAGGCTGCAGTGAGGTCTTGCAACAGCTTGACAACTACATGTAGAAACCCTGTAAATTCCTACGCTTTACGTGCTGTTTGTATACGTCTACTAGTATGTTTGTCTTTGTAGTACTTTTTATCATGTAGTTTAGCGTTGTCGTATTGTTGCAAAGAACGGACCTTGATTCCGGGTATTCCGACCAACTGAGAGCTAGGTAGAAGGTAGGTGACATGGGAAGGTGACCACCGGCAACCTTTAGTATCAAAAGGAGGCTATAAAACGCGTGTAGTAGAATTGTAATGTCGAACTCGAGCGTAAAAAGTCTTCCAAATCATCGAATTTATATCGAGAACCCAACATGTGCAGCTTATCGTCCGTTCCTGCCTTCGTGAACTCTAAGGCTGGCCAGGATGCTCAACACTGCCAATACCGCCACGAACCAAAAGCCCAAGCCTACGACACCAATTCGCAATCCAAAGCCCATCACTGCTAGCGCCATCGGAGGGAAGATTGATTTGCTGAGGTTGCTGCAGATCACGCCTGTGGTGTGAATGGTCCCACGTACACTGGAGTGAGGTGTACAATCGTTTATCAACAGACTGGTAGCAGGCACGACTCCTGTCCGACCGGCGGCAAAAAGGAGTAAGACACTCAGCAACGTGAACCACTCAACGATTGTGTATGCGCCAGAAACCGTTCCGCTCATATCTTTCTTGAGCCCAGGGACGAAAGCGCAGAATGGTGCAACGAAGTATACGACGGGAAAGAGGCAAAGCGCTGCTCTCCAAACTTTAATCGTTCCCCATCTTTCCTGCAAACTTGGGTAAACAAGGACTTGCAAGACTATGCCTGTAAACCCAAATGCAGACATAGCAATACCTACGGTGTGTGGTTGCAGGCCCAGCCCTCCTGAGAACTGAAAAGGTAAATGCTGCAGCTTCGCGGCTGCAACTGGCAGGCTGAGTAACATGGCCCACAGGGTAGCGAATGTTCCCAAATGACCAGAGATGATGAATTGCGCGAACATAGTCCTCACGACATTTGAAGTCCAGATCTCGGTGAACGGTAAATGTTCATGCTGGCTGGACGCATTTTGTGATTTAACGAGATGGCTACTACTCGGGGACTCTTGCAGAAGTGCAGTAGTTTCGTCAACGTCCTCATCGGATGTACGTTCGGATGTAGCCTCCGGAGGTTCAAAACTGTTGTTGTGATCCGTAACCGATCGATGGAATGTGTCGGTGAGACGTAACATCGCAGTGATAGCCACAAGAGCTTGATTGGTCGCAATGCATACATTTGGCATAGCATAAGGGTATCCAGGGACGATACTACGCTTCGAATTGGCATAAGTCAGGAAGCCTCCTATCAACGGACCTAAAAGCGAGCCTATGTTCGCGAACAGTGGCAGCAGTGTGAACGCTCTTACACGGGACCTGCAGACTGTTAGCAGTATGCTGATCTCACGAACTGTGTTGCATACTCCTTCTCAGGATTGAGCTCTGCAGTCATGCATCTTACCATTGCTACAGTTGCGTTCAATGCGCCATCCAGCATCTGCCAGGCAACGGCCTGGCGAAATGTCGTCGAGAAGCCATAACCTATGGTCGCTAGACTCGAAGCTAGCAAGCCAAATACTAACACGACTTTTCTACTAGTCAACACCTGATCGGCTAGTCGTCCCCACACAAGACCTGTGCAGACGTGCGCGCTGGTCTTGCAACCGACCAAAACACCGCACTGCGTGGCTATAATTGCTGCTGGTGCATCGGGACTGAAATGCTTGAGTTGGAAATACATATACGCCTACACCAGGGCGTAAGTAGAGTTCTGTAGAGTGTCATGACGTGCCTTACATGAATTGAGGATGCGGCTAGAGAATCAGTAAACCGGGCCAGCATCAGGATGAGCAATTGCGTCTCCAAGTCGTGATCAGTTCGAGCCGTCTTCGAATGCTGCTCTAGCCAGGCTTACTTTCTGAGGAAGCGACCTGTACGAGATCTTCACAGATGTGTCTCTTGCTGGGGCATCTATGAGGACAGGACTTTCCATAGTTTCCATATTTGCTCACAAAGGAGCCGGCGGAGCAGAAGCGTGTGAACCAAGGTTGCAGGCGATTTGGAGGGCGCGATAGCGTCATGATATGCTCCTTATCAGATTTACCAAGGCGCTAATGATCAACAATCTCCACAAATCACCCCGCTCTCTGTCTCCGGGAGAGCTCAGCCAATGAATATCCGGAAGGCATCTCAATATCGAATGGGCTCCATTCCTCAGTTTTTCGCTCATACAAGCTCGACATGGTCCTTCAGGCGTATATTTCCAGTGTTTTGCAAGGTTCTGGGGTGTTTACAGTCCTCAAGTCGTCCCGCGATGTCAAATTCTTGTTTGCACAGCGCTTCTTCCGCTTGTTTGCTTACGGAGCGAGTTTTCTGATCCTCGTACAATTTCTTACAAGCCTCGGAGTGACTGACAAGATGGTCGGGCTCTTCATGACGCTGACAATGCTGGGCGATGCACTGATCAGCTTTGTGTTGGTTTTGATTACCGACCAAATTGGAAGGCGGAAGATACTTGCCCTTGGTGCCATCCTGATGACTATGAGTGGCGCGATCTTCTCGATGAGCAGCACGTATTGGATACTCGTCCTCGCGAGCGTGGTTGGAGTCATTAGTCCAAGGCAATTATGCTGAGCCATCTGCAAGTGTTCGGTGCTAAGTCCTTGCAGTGGCAACGAGATCGGCCCCTTCCGTGCAGTGGAAGAGTCAATACTTGCCCAGCTCACAGATAAAGATGACCGTAGTGACATCTTCGCATGGTACACCATGTGTGGCACGGCTGGTGCTGCCATAGGAACCGTGACGAGCGGATGGATGGTACAAACCGTATCAAACGCCGTGGCAGACAAAGTCAAACCATACCGCTTCATCTTCGTTCTCTACGCTGCGCTGGGGATTGTCAAACTTGTTCTTGTGCTAGCGCTCAGCCCGACTGTCGAACTCCATGATCAGAAACACGAGTATCAAGAAGTCATTGAGCTCGAGGACGAAGACCTGGTATCCCATACCTCATCCCCGCGAAGTTCTACTGAGGAAAGGCCCTTAAATACTGTACAACCAAATCTTGTAGAAGCGCGGCGGACGCCAAAGTCCTCCGAAGTCAAAACCGTTAGAAGGCTCCACGCATTACTTCCGCAAATATCTCGCGAGTCGTTGCTTATCCTGTTCCGCCTCATTCTCCTCTTCGCATTAGACTCATTTGCATCCGGCATGGCTTCACCATCTTGGCTTACGTACTTCTTCACCACCTTCCACAACGTCGAGCCTGCCACACTAGGAACACTATTCTTCACCACCAACCTTCTCGCGACACTGTCCAACTTTGCCGCTCTTCCCCTCGCCCGGCGCCTCGGTCCGTTGAAGACAATGGCATTCACGCATCTCCCGTCCGCAGTCTTTCTTGCGTTAGTCCCTATTCCTCAAGCTGGAAGTTGGGGAACGTTGGTTGCCATGACTTTCCTGAGCCTCCGAGCGTGTACACAAAGTATGGATCAGGCACCTAGACAGGCATTTCTTGCAGCTGTGATGAGACCAGAAGAGAGGACTGCGATCCTTGGTATCATAAACATCGTGAAGACAATCGCACAGGCAGGCGGTATAGGCAGCTCGGGAGTTCTAGCAGCGGGAAGGTCGTGGCGTTTGATGTTGGGAGGTGCGGGTATGATGAAGGCGACGTACGATTTATTGATACTGTGGACGTTTCTTGGCGTACCGGACAGAGATATGGAAGAAAGATAGGGTGGGAGTCTTTTTAAGACGATCGTTCATTACCGTTCCCTGATGTAGATCAATAACTAAAACTTGGCGGCTTTTCGGCAAACAATAGCCCGAAGAGAGACCAAACAATCCACATACAACCACGAAACGTTGGAAACACCTTCTCGCGCCTATCCATCGACTGTTGTGGAACCTTTTTGGGAGACGTTTGTTGCATGTTGTCCGGAAATCGTAGTTAGGATCTGGAATCCAGTCTGAAGACATTACTGCGGTTTCCCAGAGTAGAAGTCATGTTTTCAGTTACGCGGTAGTCTCCGATCTGTGATAACCATTGCTCCAAGATAATCGAGGCCAATCTATGAGCCCGCCCAAAATACCCATATGTGGGGTATGGCTGGTACCTTGAGGGGGACCACAATAAGCTACAGATGGTATTTATCTTGTCTTTACATTAACTCCTGGCTTCGCAACACAGCTTGTTTTTCAAAGATACATTGAAGTGCTCCGGCTCGTCTGTTCGTTCCTCGTCTTGACACAGGTAATGATCCGGATCACGAAGAAAACACGCTAATCCTGACATTGGCCATGACACAACTTACAGTATTTCCCTACCCTTGGATAGCTCTTCCCGCTTTCGAATCTGTATGTAGGGAGGGATGTGTTTAGGTTAGTTGTACCCAGAAAAAGTTGACTGCGCTAGATGGGTTGTTCCTCGTCAAGACAGTACTGCTCAATGAGTTCATTTGCGATCGTAATCTTTAATTATATATGTCAACCTTGGGACTTCTTGCCATGATCTCCTGTAAAGACTGGATAGCATATCCGCTCGACTATCGATTTTCCAACCTCCACTTTGCGATCCCCATCAAAAGCTTACAACCCGCTCACCCGCTGATCTCACCCTTCCCTAGCATATCAGTGTGGAGTCACTACTTCTTCAGCAGCGTCCCTGGTTAGGATCGGCCCTACAACAAAAACATGAGTCAGCTACCTCGCTCAAAGTCTTCCATCTGGCTAGGTCATGGATAGCGCCCACCTGAAGTTCCAACCAGCAGTAGTGGTATCGCCGCCTCTTGAGCATCCGTTGATCTCGTTACTGATGCGTAGTACACAATCGCCGTGGCCCAGCGACAAAGAATTGCCGGCCGTGTTCTTGACCCAGAACTCTAGCTTCTTGTTGGGGGTGCCGGCGTTTCGACACGCGTATTTGGTCTGACCACCGCTGAATCCGCCAGCCAGGTTGTTGCATAGATCGTTCAAGGCGTTGTTGGCTTGCACCTGGTCGGGAGCCCATGTGTCGCCTCCGCTGTAGCAACCGGCGTGGACGACGGCGATTGGGGCAAGGATGGCGAAGAGAGTGGAGAGCTGCATGTCGAAGTAGATTCGAGGAGAGTATAGGAGTGGATGTAGTATCAGGCTGTGTTTGGTGATGACGGCTGTGCGGTGCTGGCTCTGGTGCGCTTCCCAGCTCTGTTATATGTCATTGGTATCATCGTTCCGGTCAGTCCTGGAATATCGGCACTCCTCTTGGCCTCCACAGTTGGTCTGTTGGTGCGGGGAAACACTTACACAACAGCCATTGTGGAACCGTGCCGAGTCCGTCTAACCCGCGACCCTGTTCAACGGGGCGGTCTGCAAGGGGGTAGCATGGATGGATTGAATTGCGAGCCCCGACTCTACTCATAGAAGGTTCTTGGATGTGTCACCAGTTGCATCTTAACTTCCGATGGTTGTTGAAAGCCTTATCTGGCCAACACCTCTATCCTCTGGAACAGCTGATGCAAGAAATCTCGAAGCCTTCTATGGCCTGTTTGAATCTTCAGTATGTCTTCATGATCAGCTTTGGGACTCTTGGTATTCCAGTTGGTTGATATTACCCCTTGTGTTCGCCGCAACTCTTCTCATCCTATCAGATACTCATACCCCTCACCATAGTATCTTCAAGGTACGAGATGATATTAATAGTCTTAGTCTGCAATAGGGTAGTTGTACAATATACCACTTAGGACAGTTTAAAACCTTTCGGCTGTGTTGGAGAAGTCGCACACGAAATAGCAGTCCTTGGCTGTAACGTACGTAAGTCGACACATCGCAGCTTCGGTTGTTGTACTCGTCGCTAGCCAATGAAAACAAATCAGCAGCTAAATCAGTTTGTTTGACCTCCCATCCAAAGCTGAAAAGGGGAAGTAGGGTCAGTGTCTAAATAAGTGACGCAACGGTACCATTACTACAAAAAAACATCTTGAAATTCCAAGATGGATAGCAGTAGACTAAAACAGATCAGCATAGTTCCAAGAGTTTTATATTATTGACTTCCTCCGATCATGTTCGACAATATTGATCACGTCCTATTATCAGGCTGTCTCCGGTTCCTTCCTTTGTGCGAAAAGTCGGTGTGCGGAGTCTTCTCTCATTAAGTCTCATGCCGACACATCCGAATATTGTGCTGGTCTTCGTTACACCTGGTGGATGTTCCCGAAAGGCTGAAGTGTTCCGTCTCGGCGCATGTACCATACGCGAGCCAAGACGATATCTACAGTGTCGCACAAATTATTACGTTACCTAGCAATAATGTGTGCGCTTCACTGTCTGCAAGTGAAATCAACGTGTTGTACTTGGTACCACCTGACAAGACCCATGGTACTGGAAATAGGAGGTAATCAACTGTCTGTCTAAGCGAACAATGTGTGTGGCCTGATTGAGTTTTGGACAAATCACTTGATGTAACAGCCGCCTCTTTCCAATCATCAGCATCATCTTGAGCAGCGGCCAACTCATCTCAATCCCAAAGTTACTAAACGTTGCTACTCAGGTTCAGAGCCGCTTACCTAAAAACAACATCAATGCAGAGGGATCTGATGTTTTTTCTCAGACAGATCTCAACAACTTCGCGAAATGTCTCAGGCAGACAACCGACTAGATGGCCATTCACAAGATTGGGTTTGGTAGAGTTGGTGACCTTGAAATTCAGCTCTTGGGAACCCCAGCAGTGACCTTGGCACGCATGTTCCGACGGATACCTATAGCTCTCCCTAAGGCAGATTTAATTATTTGCAAAGTCATAGTGCTGCAAAAAACAACACTCTTCCACATAAGACCATAGGACGTTGAAAACAAGGCTTCCCGTTCGCTCAGCCCTATTTAAGCAACGTACCGGCGGATTAGTAGCATCTCACGGAAACCATCAACTCCCTCTCCATGATCACCAAGGCTGGCGTACCGTCCAATATGATTGTGGTGGGCGTCAGCAGTTACGGTCGCTCGTTTCAGATGGATACTCCAGGCTGTTGGACGGAGCAGTGTACTTATACGGGACCCGACTCTGGAGCCTACCCTGGACGATGCACCAACACGCCAGGTTACATATCCGATTATGAGATTGGGGAGATACTGAAACAAAATCCCACGGCTCAAAAACAGTTCGATACAGGTTCATATTCTAACATAGTCGTGTTCAACAACACTCAGTGGGTTGCTTACATGGATGCCGAGAATAAAGCTACTAGAAAGGCGCTCTATCCAGGTTTGGCTTTTCTCGGAGACGCCGATTGGGCGTTGACCTGCAATCTGAGAATGGCGGTAACCAAAGTAACTCATCATCGGGTGGGCTCATGTACGTGGACCCCAACATTTGGGTTTCAGCCACACAGCTCGTGACTGCTTTGCCGGGTGTAACTCTCATATGGCCGCCAATGCCCCTGGCCACACCAACGACCATAACGTTTCCTCTGTGGACCACTTCCGTAACTTACTCGAGTCTTACGACACGTACGAGTACCCTCAGTGATGGTTCCACCTCGACATATCCATGGTTGGTTTACGTATCATGGCTTACCGTTCTCACAATTCCTCCGGGTAAGTAAATTCCACATTGCTGTTCTAGTAGTCAGCTCTGTCATCACCTGCTTGCTGACCCAACATGCCAGTAACAACCACCGCTATTCCTATCTGGGGCGTTACCCTCGATACGAGCAAAACAGCAGGTGATATTACCTTGAGGAGTTCTGTGCAGCCACCGCCGTTCACTGTCACAATCACTCCCACTGTAAGTGGCACCACATCTATAATTGGTGCGACGAAAACCACTACAAGCAGTGGGGGTATTGTTGTCTGGGGATCTACTACCTACTACCCACCCGTGCAGACACAGACACTCGGAGGAAGTACAACTGTCATTGGTGGCCAGGTATTGCCCCCGAGGATCATAACTATCACGCCCAATCCCCATCCAACCACGGTGCCAACTACCAAGGACCCCATAATCAATCCCCATCCAACGCCACCACAATGGACGTCAGGAAAACCACCTGGTCCAAGTAGCCCTCCAGGATGTAAAGGCTGCGGCTCGCCTTGCAAATTGTTCTGCAACCCTGACTGTCCTTTCTGTCCACAAGGCGTCTTTCCGGGGGGTGATCCTAACGATCCGGACCGTTCATCGTCGGACACGACGTCAAAATCGCACCCTTCTACTACTCTGGGTCATACAGTCTTCTTTGACTCGTTATTGGGCGACGTATTCCCGACAGGCATCGCCGCAGCTGCTGATCTCGATTCACTTTCGTCTGCCGACGCTTCCCTCATCAGCTCAATGTTCCACAAGACAACGTCAAAGCCAACGTCAACCACTAAGCCGACTGAAGCGCCCCCTACTACCACCGCTCCGCCACCACCAGCCACCCCTACGGCAGACTGTGCGTTCTGGGACGAGGGTTGGGGATGGACGTTCGAAGTGTACAACATCAACGGTTGGTCGACGGACGGCGGCGCCAGTTTGAAAAAGCAAGAGGGCGGGTGCGGAGCGATGACAGGATGGAACTGGCATGCGGCCACCTCTAGCAGTTTTGCCTATACCTACTTTAATCTGCCTTTCTTCATGAAGGCAGGATGCGTTGAACGCGCCATTGTATCGGCTGGTGGGCCCAAGATATCGTGTGAAGAACAGGGTGTTGATTGGAAGAAACGGAATGCTGGTGCAAAACGCGCCTCTCTGGCGATGAGGGCACAAGTCAAGACTAACGCTGTACCGCCTGTCTTCTCGGAAGAGCAGATTGAGGAGTTCAAGGACTTCTACGCGGTCAATAGCACGTACCAAACGTATGTTCCGCAGAGCTGGAGCAGCGGTCTGGCTACTAGTACTGCACCCCCTATGTCCACATCGTAGTTTCGGCACGCAATATTAGTATCCTCTCTATGAAGAGTTTTGGTTTAGAAACTACGGCTACCAATCCTCATTCCTTGCGCCTACACTGTACGCAATCTGCTTCAAAGTTCAAGTAAAATTCAGCAATCAAAGCTCAGTACGTTCTCACAATGGCCTCCAGAAGTTGCTATTTAACATCGTCCGTTGCCCACATTAACCTGAGAGTTTACGCAGCCCATGTATAACCCTCTGATAGACTGCTCTCGACATGAAGCCGCATTTATGCCCTGCTACATCCCAGACAGGCTGTTCGAGGTCGATATCTGCCCCACTGCTAAGCAGTAGTTGCACGATTTCAAACTGCTTCAACTCCATTCCCAGCTGCACCGCCCTCCCACAAGAAAAGGCTACCGGTTCTCCTCCTCCAAGCATCGGTTCAGGTCGCCACCGCAAATCATGGTAACCCACATTGGCGTTCGCTTCGTGTGCTAGCAGCAACCGAGTGAGCTCGATATCTCCATGTCTGACTGCTCGGACAAGCGGGGCCAGGAAGCCTTCGGGATCTGATGCATCGTAGAATTCGCAACCACTATCGTTGATTCGTCCAGGGGAAGGGCGGTCCGACTCCGTGAAATCGCAAGAAACGCCATTAGCTAACAGTTCTTCGACGACAGCAGCGTTCCGCATATCTACAGCGAGGCCTAGGGCTCGGGTGCCTGCCACCCGGTCTATATTCTGTGTACTCTTAGTCAGAAACAGCCTCACCAAGTCGACAGCTCCTTGCTGCACAGCCCACTGTAGTGGCGTCGTCTGCTTGCCGTTGACGACTATCTGAATGTTCAAATCCATACCATAATCCAATAGCTGTGAAGTGGCGTGACGGTATCCATGATCTAAAGCGATCTCAAGTGCGGCTTGCTTTTGGACCGGGTCAGGCGATTTGGACATTGTAGAGTTGGGCAGCATCTCTTCTGCTTCGAATTTGGTTCCTTCTGTCACTGGAGCGTGAACAGGTTCCCTCGTATTGGTGTCCAGACCGCGGAAATAGAACTCCCGAGTCGCATCATCCCATACGAGCTGATACTCGCCACCATGTTCAGTCATGGACTGGTCGCTTCCCAGCACCTGGTGATTCCGAGCCTTATCTTTGCCCTCTGGTTCTGCCAGGACTGGACGCGTGTATGTGAATCCGTGAAACTGATCTTGTGGTGGCGCGGGCTCGGAGAATGATTCAATACCGTTGTGCTTGAAAGTATCCTCGACATAGTCCGGCATAAACATAGCTTTGTACCTCCTTGAAAGGAGCTTCTGCCAGTCCAGTGCTTGGAAAAAAGGATGAGCTTTGATATCCACGGCCCCACCAGCTCCCAATCTGCTCTCTGGGTTACGTTCGAGAAGCTTGCTAAAGAGATCAATGGCAGAAGGCTCCATGGATTTGGGAAAGTGTACAGGCTGCTCGAGAACGTTGCGGCGTCTCTGTTCGCTGTTGTCGTCGTAGAATGGGGGTATGCCTGTTAGCATCTCGTATAGCAATACTCCCAGCGTCCACCAATTCGCCGTTCCCGAGTCCACTTCTTCACCAACCAGCAACTCCGGCGCCGGATACTCTGGCATTTTGCGCTCAGATTGATGCTTGTTTCTGCCTTGTGGTGTGAGCAGGCTGAAACCACATAGCACGATGTATCCACGGGCGTCGAGTAGTACATTTCCAGGTTTCAGTAAGGGTACCACAGCGCAGGTTCCGTGGAGGTAGTCTAACGCGCAAACAAGACTGGCAGCGTAGAATCTGGAAGTGTCCACGTCGAAGCGCTGCGATCGCTGGAGGTGATTGAAAAGGTGCCCACCACTTATGAAAGGCGTGAAGAACTGTGCTCCCTTCGGCGTTTGTAGTGCAAATGCAAGGGATGCGATGAAGGGATGATGGATCGCTCGGGACACATGACTGGGTTCAGCGGATCTGAAGCTCTTTCTTGCATACTGCCGCTGGGTGTCTTTCTTCCTCACTCGCAAGACGTCTCCCGAACCGTTCAGACGGCCAAAATCAGAGGCATCCACCTCGAATACCCTCTCTTGAACAGGAGTGTAGTCCAAACTGATGCGAAGTCTACCTGTGCCGTCTTGCACACGCAGCCACTGCGAACCCAGCGCCGTCGTGCCCTGGAACAGATCCAGTGATATCACACCCAACAGCACATGTTGAAAGCTCTTTTCTGCACCTAGATATCGCAAATAGAGATGTATGGTCAGATCAGTGGCCCTTGCGACATCGAACTTGCATGTAGCGGCGCGATCTGACCACCTAGGGTTTTCTGTGGTTCCCAAGATGGATGGAACTAAAATTTGAGACTTGTCATAGTCCAACAGCGCATATGGTAGGGGTGAATGTATGCCATCAGTTGAATGGACGAAATTTCCGTTTTTGTGTTCACGGCTGAGGGACAATTCTTGGGACTGATCTAGCGCAGAGAAGCCAGCACCTTCGTGTATAGTTACAGACAAGACACCAGAGGGACTTGGCGTGTGAGGGAATAGCCTAGGCGCAGAGCTAGACGAAGCGGATGTTGTAGTTGACAGACCGCCTGTTTCAGGCTTGGAGTCCGCCTTGAGTTCTGGATTGGAGCATCAGCATTGCACAAGCTGAGCATAGTGCGCATACTTTTGCTTAGTTTCCAACTCATCTTAGCTCTAGCGCATACATTTCTCTACGGTCAGGAGAAAGAAATTCTGTCTACAGATGTATCAAGTGCGGCGATTCACGGTTGAGGTAACGGCCACGTCTCCGCCGACCGCTGTGGTATGTATTTTGTCTCTTTTTTGCTCTTCAAAAGTTCTCCACCCACAAATGTGGATATGCCAGCTTAGAAGGTATCATGTAACTGCACTCTTGCGGGAAAGATCCACTGTTGTACGTTTTTGTATACCTAGCTAGCGTCTTTTGTTTACAACAGGCATGTAATCTAATAGTAAGATAGTAGGATTATCTACAGAGTTCCAGAGATCTAGAGTTTAATTCTTAACGTGCCCTAATGTTTTTGTTAGTCTTTTGCTGTCTCTGCTGTTGAATGTTTCTGCCGACAGGTTTTTGCTTCGGGCTGGGTGAGGTGTAATCTCGGAGACTAGCGTGAAGAAGATACAAACTAGCGTAGATATGTCTTAGCGTAGATATGTCTTAGCGTAGGCCTTTTCTTACACTATCCAACGTTAGTACATCGGCACTAATCCCATACCCGTATTCCTGTTACGAGATTCTGTGATGACATGTATGTGAGCCTTGTACTATAACGCAGTCACTAAACTCAATCGCGTCGAATAGCGTCTACAGGGAACTTTCAGTGTGTTCTTTCTTCAGGACTACATGTCCACGTACGTAAGATCCATCCATCTCCCTCCCAGACAAGTTCCAACACGAGATTATTCCGCCTCGCATCGAGTTCTTTCTATTCACCCCGTGAAAACTCTATAGGGCACTGATTCGACATCGTCGACAGGATAGAAACGATGTAGCAGGAGCTTTGTGTGTGATTATACTTACTTACTACTCTGCCTAATCAACCCCTACCTAATTCACCCCGCAAACTTCGCTGTTGTACGGTATTCTTGATTAATGATGAGTTTGTTGTAACATTGCGTATAAATTGGACGAAATAATGTGATACAACTGCTTACAGCTCCTCCCTACAGCACGGAAAGATGCCACCCTCCTCCCCAACAAGGGCAGGAAAAAAGGGTGCACTGCGTTAGATGATGAGTTGAGCGTTATTAACTGCGAGCTCAGACGATATCTTTCCGACGGGGGAGGTATCGTGGGAGGAAGAGCAGGGAAGTGTTATTCTTCAGGAATACGTGCGGCGCAGAGATTTGCAGTAAGTTTGCTAAACGCAGTGGTTTTGTAACACGCATATTCCCCTTCCAACACCCCATCCAATCTATACCGCCTCCTTGCTACTCCTACTCCCCCCGCCCCATCTTCCCATCGCCCTCCCCCAAACTCGGCACCGTCGTATACACCGCCCCCTTCCTATCCAATTTCCGCGCGCGCCCAAACCCCCCCTCCGCACCCCCTCCATCCCCTCGCCTTCCATCCTCCCCCGCTCCCCCCAAACCAACAAACCTCTCCCTCCCCTCCCTCAAAGTCGGGAACTCAAACTCCGCCGCATCCCACGGCCCCACACCCCTCGCCTCCAGCGCCAAGCGATGAAGCTGCAGCGCACCAGAACTCGTCCAATCCATCTTCCGCGCATGCCTTCCGCGCGAAAAAGACGCAAGCCAAAACATCTGCTGGACAAACACCCAATCGAGCAGCACGAGCAGAGCGCCGACGACGAGAATAATGCACAAACCCAGCACGCTAACCGACGAATGCGCCGCGCTGCGCACTTTCTGCAGCGCGCACAGGGCGCGCATATCAGCGTCCGTCGGGGGGACGATCTGATCGAGGGAGTTAGTATCAGGGCGGATCTGGAAGTTCTCAGGCTGTGCGTATTCGCCTATGCGGCGCTGGAAGACGGCGAGGGAGAAGTTGTGCAGGTTTTGCGCTTCGAGGTGCCATTGGTTTGCGGGCAGGGGGGCGGAGGTCACGGAGTCGACGGTGAAGACCCAGTCGCGTGCGAGTAGGACGTTGGCGCCGAGGACTTCGACGGCCCATTGGAGACCCATTGCCCAGGCGGCTTTCCAGATTATATTTGAGGTGGCGAGTTGGCGGGGGGAGAGGGAGAGGTCGTTTTGCGTCATGGCTTGCTGGATGCCGTAGAGGCCTGTTAGGGGGGTGCAGTGTTGGTTGCCTAGGTTGCATAGCTGGTATTGTTCTGTGCAGCCGAGGATGTTGAGGTCGTTTGTTGAGGTGTAGAGTTCGCTGGAAGACGTTGATACGTTTGTTGCTAGGAATAGGGGGTCGGTCACGTTTCCGTTGTATTCTGCTTGGCTGAAGATCGAGACAAGAGTGACGTCTGAGTCCGCGACTTGGAAGTCGGGTATGGGGTCGAAACCACTGAGGTTCACGTTGTTATGATATGCGGTTGCTGAACTGATGCGCACTGTCAGTTTGACCAGCCCGAGTGGAACAGTCCAACACCAACTCACCGTACAGTGTAGGTCGCGCGGAAATTCTCTCTCTCATACTTAGTCGTGCAGAATGTCGGCACGGTCGCTGTAACATTCTGCGGATCCGTCGCATCGCAATAGTTCCCCTTCCTTGCCGCCCCAAACTCATAAAACTTCGCACTAGTATTCGCCTGCCCTGTATATCTCTCGGGCACGTTCTCGATCCATGGTGTGGTGTATTTCCCCTCCGCAAGTATAGGCGCGCAGGTAGTGACTCTGCGCATAGAGAGTGACTGCGGCTCTGGGGAATTAATACCCATATCGTTACTAGAATGGATAGCGCCGGAATCATATCGAACGGCTGCAGTCGCACAGGCATTGTTTCCAAAGGGGCACGAGGCGTTGCTTATTGCTGACGAGCCGATACCAACCAGCTGAGACCGGATGTAGGTGTTGCAAGTTGCAGAGTCGCTGTTCGATCCGGCACTGTAGCATGACCGCACCGTCGCAGCGCTCTTGGTGAGAGTGATGCGTCCGATCAGGGCTTCCGTAGCCAGAGTGAGCAAGTCCTCTGGACTCATCGTCGAAGGCTCGACATCCGCCACGTTGGGCAGTTCAGCCATGAAGCCGCATTTCCCCTCACGAACCAGTGCCTGCCCCGTAGCAGTATTCGTGACTTGAGAAGAGAACAGACCGGCTGCCGCGAAGAACATGATATGCGCCAGTGTGATACCGAAGAGCAGCGCCGACTTTCTAACCGGCCTGTCCACTTTGCCCCTCCATACAAGTGCTAGACGACCGAAGCGCCACAGTGCGTTGGGTGCAGTGATGGCGTTGCGGAGGATGATTTGCTGCTGGTGAAACAAGCCATCGCTCGAGTCCGTCGTAGATCTCAACTGGTGCAAGACGAAGCATAAGACTCTCCAGAAACACGTGCCGACAAACTGCACATACAGCGTGATGAAGGAGATGAGAACGAGGCCTTGGGTGGTGGAGAGCGTGAGTGTAGCTCCCTTGACACGACCCTCCTCTGTGCGCCTGTATTAGTTGGAAATATTATAAGTCAGCTACAAGCGATGCGTACCCCAGTTGATCCAGAACCCGTTATACACGTCGGCCATGTCCAGTTTCGACTCGACAACGTGAATGCGAGCCGGTGAGAACAAGCAGGAGCACACCAAAAGAAGTTGGAGATCAGGCTGTCTATAGTTGCATGTTGTGTGGTAAGGCGTCCAATTACGTTTCAGCCCCCACCGACTTGTCGGGTTTCCAGGCGTCAACAAGGCGTAACTGATAGGTTCCAGTTTTCTCAACACTAGTAGTGTTATTTTCCTGTGCTCATCGAGCCACGTTAATTAGAAGAATGGAGGCGTTTGGGCTTGCACATTGATGGATCCATCATTACCAAAGCGGGGTTGCAGGTGGTAGGTTACAAGGCAGAAAACTCACCCCTGATTCGATACTAGATTCGTACAAACTGTCAGACACAACTCTACCTCAGTTCGCGATAATCATGACTAGAAGAGTATTCGAAAGCATTAAATTAGACTGACGGGTAGCCCCCAAGCGCATGTCTTAAACCTAGTTGCAATTGTGATGAACAAGACCGTACTCCAGAGTCCCACTATGTCCCACGGAAAATGACGAAAAGAGAGGCACAAATGCCAGACAGCGCACGTTTGCTCGCTGTTGGTGAACCGTCGACAAACGCAGGGCTGCGCGGTTTCTACACTTCAAACGCCCAGCAGATCTCGTCTAGCAGTTGCAGCCCCCAGGTCCCTGTGTCTGGTTCGCCTCTGGCCTGAGGTTGACGCCCGGTCGTTGCTGGCCTGGCCTCAGATTCCGCGGGCCGGCCTGGTCGAGGGGTAGTTTCTTCGCGATGGCGGTGAAAAGTTCGCGGACGTTCTCGCTTGTCTTTGCGGAGGTCTCGAAGAAGAGCAGGCCAGCCTCGCGGGCGTATTGTTCGGCGTCGGCGGTGGTGATGGCGCGCTTGTCAGGCGACTCGGTGACGAGATCGAGCTTGTTTCCGGCCAGGGCGATGATGATGTTCTCGTTGGCTTGGCGCTGGAGCTCCTTGACCCACGCCTTTGCCTTGTCGAGAGACGCCTGGGGCAGGTTAGCACAGGGTTCGCTGTCTGATGTCCGGGGATGCTTACAGCCTGCGTGATGTCGTAGACGACGACAGCGCAGTTTGCGTTCCTGTAGTACATGGGCGCCAGCGACTTGTAGCGCTCCTGGCCTGCTGTGTCCCAGATCTCGAACTTGACGGTTGTGTTCTCGTCGAGGGCGATGGTCTGGGTGAGGAAGGCGGCGCCGATGGTGGATTCCCGGTAGTCGTCAAATTGATCCTGTCGCGCGTCAGTCTCATGCACGAGAGGGCTGCTCCTGGACGACTCACTTTGACAAAGCGCAATACTAGCGACGACTGCGGCTGTGTTAGCTGATATCGCCAGGGTCCTGGTATGGTTGCGCACCTTTCCGACGGCAGATTCACCTGCGAGGCATTAGTGGTATACACACATAGACACAGCACCAGCACCTACCGAGCAGCACCAGCTTGAACTGTGCGAATCGGGAGCCTCCTGGGCGTCCGCCTTGCTGCATCCTGGCCGACATGTTGGGGTGAGGTGACGCGGCTGTGGCGGGTCGTGGGCAGAGAGCTGTGGGCAAGTCGTGGATGCGCGATGCAGCGGCGTGGGAGTAGTGTGTATCGGGGTGGGAAGCGGGTCGTGGACGTGGTCGTTGGGTGGCAGGGTGGATGGAGTGGTTGTTGTCGGTGCTGGATGCTGTGACGAGGTGCTGCTAGTTCCAGAGTTGGCCCAAGCCGCTGCGCCATGACGAAACCCACCGCGGCTTCACTTCGACGTCTCTTTGCGCAAACAGACACCCACCAACACGGCCACCACTCCATCCCGCCAGCATCTAGTACGGCCACTCTGCAGTGCATCACTACACCACACACTGCTCACCGTCTCCGACAGCACCCGCCGCAATGGGCGCCGTCGTGCCGTACCGCGACATCAACGTGCACTCGTCCCCCTCGCACTATGCCTTCTCGTCCCCCTCGTCCCCCTCGGCCCCGACGCTGGTGGTAGAGCGGCCGTCAGGTGACCTGCGTCTGCACGAGGGCAAGCTGCTGGGCTCCAAGCGCGTGTCGAGCGTGGCCGGCATACTCGGCATGATCAAGCTGCGATTAGGTACACATATCCCTCATCGTCGGGAACGAGGAAGCTGATGCACGTCAAGACAAGTACATCATCGTCATCACAAAGGCGCAGCCTGTGGGAAGGATAAAGGGTCACATGATCTACCGCATCGTCACCACCGAGTTCCTGCCACTGCGCGAGCAACCACTGCACGACGCTGACGAGGACAACTACGTCTCGCTCCTCAAGACCCTGCTCAAGACGTCCCCGCTCTTCTTCTCCTACGCCTTCGACATCACCAACAGCTTCCAGCGACAGGCCCACCTCGACCCCTCGATACCCCTGTGGAAGCGCGCGGATGATCGCTTCTTCTGGAACCGCTTCGTGCAGAGTGACTTGATCGATTTCAGGGGAGGGCAAGGCAAGGGCTATGGAAGGCACGCGGGTGGTCAGCAGCCCGAGGTGGACCCCTACATCCTGCCCGTCATGTACGGGATGATGGAGATCAAGAACACTTCAATCAAGGGGACCCCACTCACCTTCATCCTGATCACTCGGAGATCGCGACTACGCGCTGGAACACGCTACTTTTCACGAGGCATCGACGAGAACGGCAACGTGTCCAACTTCAACGAGACGGAACAGACCATCATCTTGAACGACAGCGCATCGGGTGGTCCAGGAGGCTTTGGTTCGAATCAGAGTGGAGTTGGCGGCAACACAGGCAAAGAGACGCAGGTGCTCGCATACGTCCAGACGCGAGGCAGTGTGCCGGTCTACTGGTCCGAGATCAACACCCTGAAATACACGCCCAAGCTGCAGGTTCGTGGGATAGAAAACGCCCTGCCCGCCGCAAAGAAGCACTTCGCCGAGCAGATACGGCTGTACGGCGACAACTGGATGGTCAATCTCGTCAACCAAAAAGGCCGCGAACAGCAAGTCAAAGAGGCGTACGAGCAAATGGTCGAGCACCTCCTCAACTCGCCCATGGAAAACGTGCAAGGCGACAGCATCACACCCGAGAAATTCCGCATCATCGAGCCCCACAACGCGCAGACCGTATACGACCGCCTCCACTACGTCTACTTCGACTTCCACAACGAGACCAAGGGCCTGCGCTGGGACCGCGCAAAGCTGCTGATGGACCAGCTGGACCCGCACGTCGTCAAGCACGGCTACTTCCGCGGCATCGACATGCCCGGCGACGCGGGCCGCGTCGAAGTCCGCCGCCACCAAACCGCCGTCGTCCGCACAAACTGCATGGACTGCCTCGACCGCACAAACGTCGTCCAAAGCATGATCGGCCGCTTCATCCTCTCCCGCATGCTCATCGACCTCGGGCTGCTGCGTGACGGCGAAAGCGCAGAAGAAGACCAGGCCTTTGAATTCCTCTTCCGCAACGTCTGGGCTGATAACGCGGACGTGGTCTCGAAATCTTACTCCGGCACCGGCGCCCTCAAAACGGACTTCACCCGCCTTGGTATACGTACAAAGGCCGGCGCGCTGCAGGATCTGAGTAATTCCATCACCAGGTATTGTTTGAATAACTTCAAAGATGGCCCACGACAGGATGCGTTCGATCTCTTCCTCGGCACGTATCTTCCTGCTGACTCGTCGATTGGCGCTCAACTTCTGTTTGCGGATAGACGACCCATCTTCATCCAGGCCGTGCCGTACATCCTCGCGGCGAGCGTGTTCTTCATCCTCGTGGGTGCCCTGACGCGCCGCGCGCCTGAAGCGGCCGTCTGGCCGCTGCGCCTTGTTATGCTGCTTTGTCTTGGGGGCGCGGCGGCGTGCTTGCAGTTTGTGTGGGGGAATGGCGCGCTCTATGTACGTCTTTTTTATCCCCCCCGTCCGTGAAGTGACTGTGTGCTAATTATGCCAGGTTAATTGGCCCAAACTCAACCGTCTCCAAGCTCAGGTTGAAACGTACCAGGATACGCTGAGTAAGGTGTCGCGCAGCCCGGTTGTGGGCGCGCTGGTGGGGACTAGGCATGAGAGGGGGAAGAGCGATGCGAGGTTGCTCGGGTTGGAGGAGGGGAAGAAGAGGGTTGAGTAGGTGGATGGGATTGGGAAGGAACTGGACTGGACTAAGGGGGTGGGGCATAGATGGGGGATATATTAATGGATAGACGATTTGAACTTTTCGATTCACTCTGAAGACTTTTCTTGCATGCTGCTTTTCACTTGACATATTCGTTTTCCATCACATCGTGTGTGTGTCTGTGCTAAGGATGCAGGATAATCCATCCTTCTGACTCCTCCTCCCCTACCTCCCTCCATTCTCCAGCGGTTTCGCACACAAACGCCCACCCCTCGCTCTCAAGCCTCGCACGCAATCTCGCCCTGTTGGACGACGCGGCGCTGTGCAAGAGTATGTCTCGCTTACTTGGCTGTGTGGGATAGGGTCGTACGTAGATGGCGAAATCTGGGTCTTGCGTTGTGTCGACTGGGAGGTAGGTGCTTGTCCATGTTGGCGGGTGGGAGGGGTGGAGGGTGATGCGCGGTGTGTGGGTTCTGCGATGGGGTGGTTGGGACATTGCTGATATGTGTGTGTGTGTGTGTGTGTTTGGACAAGGACTGGATGGAGTAATGATATCGGTTTAGAGAAAGTAGAGCGGAGTAGAGGAGAGAAGAGAAGAGAAGTTATGGGAAGGCTTGCGATGGTGTGGAATGAGTTGAGGTGAGTTGAAAGGGAGAGGAGAGGAGATGAAATGTGGGGTTCTTATATGGTTTGACGTTCTGGTGAAGACGTAGTACGGGTATGAGTGAGTATACGTGGAGGTTTTGGCGGGAACAGGGTGGGAATGCGGCTGCCTGGCTAAGGGTGGGTAGTGTGGTGTGTATTATATATACTTGGAGATGACGTTGCTGGGGAAGTGAAAAGTGAGATGGGCTGACGGGAAGGGAAATAGGGGTGATGGGAGACACGTAGGGAGATGAGTTTGTGGAATGGGAAAGTGAAGCTGGGTGATGGGAGGCTGGGGCTTTGTCTGTGGATTTAAGGCTTGGAAGTTATGAAACAGGGTTTTATAACAGATGAAGTGATCTAGCAGTTATTGTTTGTATGTTCTAAGAAAGGGCAAGGTTAGTTAATTATATGAAATATGTCAAGTGAGTGACGTGTGGTGGAGATGCAACGACGGGAGCCATACAGTGATCTAGCGACTTGGCGTCTGACGTTGTAGGTCCCAAAACTTCAACATCCAAACGCCCGCCAGCCGACACCCACCAAAACCCGCCCCTCCCTCAACCCACTCCCGCGAGGCAGCCCCACGATGCTGCGCGCGAGTATTCTTGCGGCTCGACCAGCTGCGCGGCCATTGGCACGTGCCGCCCGCCCGCAATGGCGCACCGTCCAGCGCTTCTACGCCGACGAGAAGAGCCTGGGCGAGACGGTCATCCCGAATCCCGCGCCCATCGTCACTCCCACCGGCGACGTGAACTCCGCCGCCGCAATTCCGCCCTCGGGCATCCCCAAGCTGCCACCTAAGCCAGAGACGGCCGCGCCCACTGCCTCCCGCGACGCCCCCGTCATCCAGCCCGCGACCATCCCGCCCACGGGCACCGGCTATGCGAGCGTCGCCGCAGAACAACCCTTCAAGCCCAAGAAGCGCCGCTTCCGCCGCTTCCTCCTGTGGCTGACTATCCTATCTGGGCTCGGGTATGCGGGCGGCGTGTGGTACTCGCTCGTGTCGGATAACTTCCACGACTTCTTCACAGAGTTCGTGCCGTATGGCGAGGATGCCGTCAACTACTTCGAGGAGCGCGAGTTCCGCCGTCGCTTCCCTGGGCGTGCGGGCCAGCCACGGCTGCACGCACAGGTCTCGGGCGAGAACAAGGTCACAATTCCTGGCAATAGTGGGCTGAGTGCGCGCGTTGCACAGGAGAATGGGACGGATCTGGCTGCAAAGGGCCCGCATGTTAGTGCTGTCGCGGATAACAAGCCAAAGCCCATGGATAATGGTCAGCAGCCCAAGGTCGGCTCTGATGCCCCGCCCAAGAACGTCCAGGAGCAGAAGAAGACGGCCCTGGCGAAGAGCGAGGCCCCCGCCAAGAAGGAGGTCGTCAAGACAGAGGTCGTTGCTGCCCCTGCCAAGCCCATCTCCCAGCTCGACCACCTCAACGTGCCCGCCGCCAGCGAGCCGGTTGTCCAGGACGTGGTCAAGATTGTCAACGACATCATCACCGTCATCAACGCCGATGCAGCCCACGACAACAAGTACAACTCGGCCCTCGACAAGGCCAAGTCGGAGCTCAGCAAGGTCGTCTCAGACATCAACTTGATGAAGGCCGACCTGCAAAAGGCCGCCGACGACAAGGTCAAGGCCGCCCACGCCGAATTCGACGAAGCCGCCAAGGAGCTCGTCCAACGTCTAGACCACCAGATGCAGGAGCAAGAAACCCACTGGAAAGAAGACTACGAGAACGAGCGCGAACGCCTCGCCGAAACATACAGGACGCGCGTCCAATCCGAGCTCGACGCCGCCAACAAAGTCTACGAGCAGAAGCTCAAGAACCAGCTCCTCGAGCAGAGCATCTCGCTGCAGAAGAACTTCACAAAGAACGTCCGCGACCGCGTCGAATCCGAGCGCGACGGCCGTCTGGGAAAACTCAACGAGCTCTCCTCGTCGGTGCACGAACTCGAAAAACTAACCGCAGAATGGAACTCAGTCATCGACGCGAACCTCAAAACACAACACCTCGTCGTCGCCGTCGAGGCCGTCAAATCCGCCCTAGACACGCAACTCACACCCAAACCCTTCGTCAGCGAACTCGCAGCCCTCAAGGAAATCGCAGCCGATGACCCCGTCGTCAGCGCCGCAATCGCGAGCATCAACCCCGCCGCCTACCAGCGCGGCATCCCCAGCTCAGCCCTCATCATCGACCGCTTCCGTCGCGTCGCCGCGGAGGTGCGCAAGGCGGCTCTTCTGCCTGAAGACGCGGGTGTGGCCTCCCACCTCGCGTCTCTCGCTATGTCGAAGGTGCTGTTCAAGAAGTCCGGATTGGCTGTAGGCGCAGACGTCGAGGCTGTGCTGTCCCGCACGGAGGTCCTGCTCGAAGAGGGCGATTTGGATGCAGCGGCTAGAGAGATGAATGGGCTGCAGGGTTGGGCTAAGGTGCTGAGTAAGGATTGGTTGGGCGAGTGTAGGCGTGTGCTGGAGGTTAGGCAGGCGTTGGATGTTATTGCTACCGAGGCGAGGCTGCAGACCCTTCTTATTGATTAGGGGGGGGTGTTTCTTCTTTGTTTGTAGGGTGGATAGGGCAGGGGAGAGGGTGTAGCTTGTATGATGTTTGTGTCTGTGTGTGTGTGTGTGTGGCTAGAAAGGAAAGCAAAGGAAATGTCTGTCACTGTTCACCATCCTGAATAATTGTTTGTTAAAAGCCTATTCTCGTTCGCATACCTTGCCTGATTTGCCTTCGCATGTGTCCTGCGTTCCTTTCTTCCTGCCTTTCATGGAACGGTGCAATATAGCACAGGACAACATACTAAGTACACGATTTATACCCGCCCGCGTTATTTAGACATATACTCCCGCGCCCCGACATATCTACGCTATCTACCTACTATCTGAGCCTACACCCTACCCCCCAACCCGAAAAAGATATTAGCGAACTCGAATAATATTAGATTTTTTTAGTGAGAGCGCAATTGTGAAATAGGTTTTAGAGTTATGTATTTATGTTTGTGCATAATAAAGCTTTTGTAGAACAAGATAGAGATGTAGGGGTGTTTAGATTTGGGTTATACTGTATTAGAGGGTTTCGCTGAGACTAAGTAGTTGTGTTTTCTATAGGAAACTTCTTCTAGTGTAGTAGCTGTTGCGGTTTTGAGTTTGTTCTTTTAGGTACGCTTTGTGTATAAGTTTTTTTCAGGGTTGGGATAAGCAACGCTGTAGGGAGGTTAAGAAAGATAGGTTGTTAAAGAGATCGATAAGAGATATAAGATTAATCTTCCGAGTCAGGGTTGCAATAGGGTTGAGATGTTATTGCTAGAGATAATCTCTATGTTGGTATCGTTTTTGGAGGTCCTGGCGGGGTAGACACGACCTCTTAGTTAAACTGTAAAAGCAGGAAGTAAGCTGCATTCTTCAGAGCTCCTATAAGCTGCAAGCCTACATAGTTGTATTGAAGTGAGCATTGGAAGTATCCTAAGCTTAATCTATGCACAAGATTCTTGAACTAATCTTAGTTGTAGTTTTCAAGCTGTCACAACATTTTGCTGCACCCCCGTTCCTGGTGTTTCAATTGACCGCGAGACGACTTCCAGCCCCGTCCGCGCTAGGATTGAGAAGGCGGGCCATTACAGATTTGCTCCTCGCAGCATCGTCGAAGAGCTTCGCAATAGATCTTTTGACGGCGTCGGACAATATCCCCAGCCTCACTCATAATTGGCATCTCGATCGCATCTGGCATGTCGGTCTTTGCTGCCTCAACTACTTTTCGTCGAGCTTTCACTTCGAGCACGATTCCAGGCTCCTGGCCAATGAGATGGTTCCGTCGACAGCTCTTCAAGTCTGCTGGGTTCGCGACGTCGACTTCACCAAGCTCGCCCTCATCGCCGCATTCCCGGCAGTCCACTACAACTTCGCCCAACGCCGACATCCTTCAAAACTGCCATGTAGAGCAATTCTACGAACACACCTCGGGCCGATGGCTCTGGGATGAGAAGTATCAGTTTGCTCGCCGTCGCGTTAAGTTCAACCTGCCCGGACTTCTTGGAGTCTCCGCAAGCAATCGGAGCTCGCTCGTGCGTTAAGATTGAGAAACTACCCGAAGGAAACTTCAACAAAGTCTTCTTACTTTCCATGGATGACGGCCAGGAATTAATCGCTAAACTCCCGAACCCGAATGCTGGACTGGCGCACTTTACAACGGCCAGCGAAGCCGCCACTATGGATTATGTACATGTGCCCTCTACACGTTATCATCTGATGGCTGCTGATACGAAGCTGTACTGCAGGTTCGAAACGTTCTTGGTATCCCGGCGCCGCGGGTATATGACTGGAGCTGCTCGAAAGACAACCCAGTTGGGTCAGAGTACATTCTTATGGAACGCAGCGGAGGGGTGGAATTGAGCAAAATCTGGGATAATATGCCGTGGGGGCAAAGGCTGGAGATTGTTAGAACCTTGGTTGGGTACGAGAAGGCCTTTGTGTCTGCTAGTTTTCCCATGTACGGCAGCTTGTACTATGCGAAGGACCTGCTTAGCCCGAGCCTGGGTCAATTTCTTGATCCCGCCGACTCGAGGGATAAGCGCGAGGCTTTCGTGGTTGGTCCGACAACTAATAGGGCTTTCTTCGACCAGGGAAGAGATTCTTCGGAGATAGATCGAGGGCCCTGTGAGTTCGATTGCTTTCGCCATTCATACACGACTCAAGCTAATAAAATAACAGGGCTTTCAATCAACGAACTTGTCCATTCCCGCGCCGAGCGAGAGCTAGCCTGCATCGAAAAGTTCTCGTCGTACCCCAGTCAACAAGGGCTCTTTGGCGGTCCCGACCAATACCGTCCCACCAAAGCATTGAAGGTAGAAGTCCTGCAGAATTATCTGAAGGTAGCAACCCAGATTCTGCCTAAAGATGTCAGTCTCTCAAAGCCTACTTTGTGGCACTCCGATCTGCACACCAACAACATCTTCGTCGACCCCTCCCAGCCTACGAAAATTCTCAACATCATTGACTGGCAAGCGGTCAATGTTTCCCCGCTCTTCCTCCAAGCACGCATCCTTCACTCATCGAGTTTGACGGGCCAATACCAGAAGGCTTTAGGCCCCCCAAAGTACCCGACAATTTCGCCGACATGAACGAGGAGGACCAACACCAAGCAAAGAGTCTGCGAGCAGCTCAGTCTCTCTACAAACTCTACGAAATCCTCATGCTCCGTCAGTGCCCGGAGATCGCGCGTGCGCTGCGCTTTCGAGACACTCTACCCGGCCAAATCACCGGACTGGCAAGCTCAATCTCCAGCGATAGCGAGCCTATCCTCCAGGGAATGCTCATCCAACTCCAGGATAAGTGGGCCACATATACCGGATCCTCTACACCATGCCCTCTCTCCTTCACTGCCGAGGACAGGACGCAGCAGCGCCGTCTCGAGGCAAGTTGGGGCGAAGGCGTTGAACTGATGCATGAGCTATTGACTGAGATGGGCGCATACCAGGGATGGGATGGCTGGGTCAATCATAACAACTACCCCATGTACAAGGAGCGGTTGTCTTCATGTCGCGAGAAGTTTCTTAATCGCCACGCGAAAAGCTGAGGTAGGATGTACCTTCTAGGTTACACCGGTTAGACCCTTGCAATGTCAGATCATGGCCATGCTCCGTTCCCCCTGCTGACCTCCTCAAAACACAGTACTGTGGAAAACGCCACACAGTTTGAAACCTATGCATTATAGATCTTCACAGGTGCTTGTTGGTAGTTTCTGGTCGCTGAAGCCGGGTACTATACCTAGTAGGTTAGATGGGCTGAGATTCGCATACCCCGTCAGCCTCACCGCTTTCTGCTTCCTTTCAGCCCAACAACCATTCCTGTACGCGGTAACACAAGATCTACAAAAGACTATGGAGTGACTGTCGCCATAGCCAAGCTTCGCTTCAACCAATTGATAAAGCCGCATAAGCCCCATCTCTCGTAAGCCGCCCGCCCGCCCCCAGCTGAAGGAATGACTGTTTGCCTGGAAGAACCAGATCATGCGGTATAGTTCGGATCGGATCGGTTCGGCGCGTCTGCATATGCGTGTGCCGCATGCCGCATGCACTGTACCCGCCAAAACGCGCTACTCGGCCCCTTCCGGTTTCGTCGAAAAAGTTCAAGAACTTGCGCCGCACAAAGTACGGCCCTCCTAGCTCAACGAGATTAACTATCTTAACGATTCTTACTGCAGAAAGAGCTATCTGCAACAACTAATACAATTTTTTGATTTGGTACACACCTTAGAGAAAGCTCTTGCAGCTACTTTGTAGTGTGTAGATTTCTATATATTAACGCTGTTGTAGCAACTTTGTTGTTGTTACTTTCTTGATTTCTGTAGCCTGTGCACGCTCTCACCAGGATTTGCTGTAATTGTTGAGATAGTTAGTATCGTTGAGCTACCGGTAGGAGGGCCGCACTTTGTGCGGCCGGTAGTGGCCGAGTAAGCAGACTAGAAGTCATTTAACTGTATACATTGATCCTTCGGGTAGAACATTACCGCGGTTGGCATCTGCGTGGTTTATCGTAAAACTGTGAATGGACCACAAGTAATGATTACTATGGGTTAATCGTTTTCCATACCGCATGGGCTGGTGACAGCCGGTTTTGACAGTGGTACTCAGTGCTCTGCTGACAAAAGCAGGTCGTTGTCCTGTTGGGTACGTCACCTGTAGTAAGCTCAAAAGTGGGCTTCCTTTCGCTGATGTCGACCTCCTGCACACTATCCTATCAATAGCAAGCTATGGTAGAAGACCGGAAGTACTGCTGTCAGAACCGGCTGTCACCAGTACATGCGGTGGTTGCGTTACGTATCCAGTGTCGTACAAGAAGAGGTGAACCACACCGTATGCCATCAGCATTATGGAGGTAGAGTCTTGTGAAACTCACGAGGGTTCACTTATGGTGGACGCCGTGAGATCATGCCGACGGCCAAAGGAGCGCGCCCAATCTCTCACATGAACCCACCTCGTAAGCCACATCGAACATTGGACGGCCTGAAACCAACTTGAGTAAGTATGATGGGGCGTAGTTGCCTGGAGAAGATTGTTATTGTTATATAAGTTTTCGCGAACTGTAAATGAACCTTGGTTCCAAAGACCACACAGCAATCCTGATCAAGAGGCAGACACGATACTTCGATATCACTTCACAATGGGTATCATCTCAGCGGAAGCAGAAAGGAGTACTTCTCATATACATATATTCTCCATCGGAATTCTCATTCTTTCCATAGCAGCCGCGCTTCACATCACATATTCGTTATGCTTCTCCCCCTACTGCCATATTCCGGGCCCATGGATCTGTAAGATCACAAGCCTTTTCACAACATATCACGACGTCAGACTACAAAGAACATGCAAGATCCACGAATGGCACAACAAGTACGGACCCGTCGTCCTCATCGCGCCAGGCGAGGTCTCATTCTCGGGCCCTTCTGCCACGCGTGAAATCTACGGCGCCACCGGCCGTCACCCCAAGAGCCGATATTTCGACAACTTCCTCTCCTACGGCGGCGAGCGAGCCACATTCAACGCGCTTGACTACCATGAACATAGAGAGCGGCGAAAACAGAGTTTCGCCTTCTTCCAGGTCACTACAATATACACCCCTACATTCATCGATCCGGTGCGGTCTCGGGCCCTTGCTTTCGTAAACCAGATCAACCGCGATATACATGTCACGTCTACCATAGACCTGTTCTATCGCATCAATCTTTATGCATTCGACAACGTTACCAAGCTGCTCTTTGGTTCAAAGCACAGCACGACTACCGTGGACACACCATCATGCCCGGAACGTTCTATGCTAGAAGGACTTAAGGACTGTGAGATGTGGAACACGCTGCTTTTCAACGTTCCCTGGGCGCACCGCCTCGCCCGGGCCGTCTTGAACCGCCTCCGTAGTGACGACCACTTCCTGTCCGCGGAAGAGAACCTGACCGAGTGGTGCACGGCTCGAATTACGTCGACGATGCGCGACACCAGAGCCCACCAGGATGGAAGTGACGATCATCTTGTAAAGCGACTGAACCTCTATAGGACCAAGATGGGCGAGCCACTTCGCACCTCCTGGGTCTATGCCGAAGTTCTCGACAACATCAGCGCAGCACAGGCCACGGTCACAGTCGCGTTGACGTATGTGCTGTGGAATCTTGCACATAACAGCAGTTGGCAGGATTGCATTAGAGAAGAGCTTTCCCAGCTGCCCTGTCAAGACGACGGGTTCCCCTCCTTCGCAGATATAAACGCCGCTCCCGTCCTCGACGCGTGTATCAAGGAGTCCTACCGGCTCAATCCGCTATCGAGCGGACGGGCCGAGAGGGTTGTTCCTGTCGGAAAGGAATACGATGGAGTATTCGTGCATCCCGGGGTGCGTACAAGCCACTTTCATGCCACCACTCCCAATTGAAACCCAAGAGTTCCCTCCAGACTGACCTTCCTTCTTGTGCTTCTAGACTATTGTTTCCACATCGACCGTGGCCATACAACATACCCCCTCGGTTTTCCCTTCGCCCCAGGTGTACAACCCGGGCAGGTGGCTTCAAGCAGGTCCGGAGCGCTTGCGTGTTATGCAGGCTCATTACATCCCTTTCGGCTATGGGGCCCGTCGCTGCCTCGGTGAACATTTTGCCACCCTTGAGGTCAAGCTTTTGGTAGCATTCTTGTTGCTGCGGTACTCGATCAGCGAGGAACCGGCGGGCCGGACGAACGTCGAGACTATGAAGCAGCTCGGTACGCAGGATGCACTGCCGAAAGGGCTGTGCTGTGATGTATTGGTTCAACCATTGAATGATAACTAGAGATTGTTCTGTGTTATTAGTATACTTTAGATTATGGAAAGTAGATGTCAAACACCAACGGAGTGTTTTACTGTTTTAGTACATATATTCCCATGGGGTGAATTGTCTCTAGATTATCACCCTCATGCCGCACGCCCCCCAAGTAACTAAGGACAATTAGTAGCTGCTTCGCTGCCCCCTTCTGTCCTGTTTACAAACAGACAATTATCGGGTTTTTCTTCCTACGCCTAAGCTCAACTAAGAATGCTAAGGTATTGTAGCAGAACACGCTTTGCATGTATACTGCATAGATGATTCCTCTGAAAGATTGTACATGCTTACATAGTTCTATCTACTAACCGGCGTGGAAGTTTGCCTTCTGTTGTAAGCCTCTCGACGCCTTTCCTTGGCAGCTTAGTCGTGCTACCGCCCGATTTGTTGCGAAGTGGAGCATATGCGAGCACCTGCCAGATGGGGCGCTGTACATAGTGATTTTATGTTTAGAAAGTGTTGGTTCCACTCTTTATTAGGCGTGCCGAATTGCCAAGCCTTCTTTTTCAATCCTTGGGCTGGGATTTGCTTTGCCTTAGCTACATGGTCGTACAGCTTGGCAGTTATTAGACCCACTAGACTCCACTAGAAAGTTGCAGATACGATACATTCGCCTTCCAAATTTCTAGTCTGACTGCACGAAAAGTAGTGCCTCTTGATATCGCTGATTGCAAAATGTGTCTGGCCGACCCACTCCGTCCGGAGGCTGGGTCACTCATCTCATGAAGGACTGAAATCAAGGGCCTCGGTTCGCAAGCGAATTGGTGTTCTTGGGCGCGACAGATGGGCGAAGTGTGGTGGCACTTTCACCACCACCAAGCCGCTCCCGGAACTGCTCGCAAGCTACATCACGCATTCCGCCGTATACAAGAAGAATGGCGATATCCTAAACAATCCCTCTACCGGGGAAGATGGCATTTCTTGGCTTATTTCGGAGTGACGGCGAAGTGTGGTGGCGAGGCAGGCAGGGACTTGGTCAACGGCATCGGTGAGATTGTCAGGCGGTCATTCGAGTACGAAGTCCTGTGATTGGATGGAACTCGCAGGCAACCGGGGTTGACTGATGCTTGCACTACAAAGCCACTTCTGAAAATGTGAAGTAACGTTTCGAAAAACCGAATTTGGCCTGTGGTGGAACGTAGCTTTTGCACCGTGAAACTCCTGCTCTTTCGTTTACTGCTAGCAGGGGGTGTAGCGGCTGAAGATTAGCACAACCTTACTAATTGGCTGGACATTGCTCTGACTGCGGGGAAAAGTGGAAAGTTCTGGGACCACTTGTTGAGGCTCTCAACCCCCCTGCTAGCAGTAAACCAAAGAGCAGGAGTTTTACGGTAGTGTATGTCGCGATGTGGGAGGCACAGTCTAAGTACCTGCCTAAAGTAGTTATTGTGCACGGTCGCGTAACGCCCGGGGACGCGGAACGCCCGCCGAACAACATGCTCACCACTTGAAAGATGAGGTTATTGAGCTACCTACAATAGTTCTTATCACGAAATGGTAGAGTAGAGTAATAAAGGAATGCTTGCGATTAATCTGTCCTTCCTCACATTGATGCTGAAGATTGATAGTACGGCCACGAGGGTTGACTTTAGGTGGAGTTATAAGGCGTTAAAGTTTAGGGTTCGTGCACGGTGTAGATCACTGCAGTCAACGCAGTCAGCCCACTCTGCTTGCTTGGCTTCCATTATTTTAACTCCTGAAATAAGTAAACGGCCATCACCGGACCGTTGTTTTCCTTTTCATCTTGTCTGTATTTCGCCATCGACAGTCTACGCTGGGAAAGCGGTAAGGGCAGCAAATCATGGCCACTATCACCGCCACTTCAGGATCCGATGTGACGACAGATACAGGTCCGCCCACGGCTATGGAGGCCACAACAACCATGGGTGGTCCAGTCCGGCCATTGTCCAGCAAAGACTTGGTCCCCTCTCACACTTTTGTGGTTGACGATGCGGGAGCGGAGGATGCCGAACTTGTCAGGCAGCCCGCACACCAGTCTCTCTGGGCCACGACGCTGTTAATCACCACTCTCTGTGGCGTCACGTTTGCGAGTAGCATAACAACAGGTCTCCTCGCCGTTGCGACCCCTACCATAGCTAAGGAATTAAACATGCCAATATATAGGCTAGCAAAGTAAAGTCTACATGTATATATTAGCAGAAAAATAGGGTAGAAGGCAAATATAGATTAGTAATTAGTAGTAAAAATTACCTATATATATTTTATACTAAGAAATTAAGATTTTACAGACTAAAAAAGACTTTAAAATACCCCTAGAATCTAAATCTAGAATATATAAACTATAGTAATAACTATAAAACTACCTATTTATATCTATAAACTATATCTCTATAAAATTATCTTTAAGAGAATTAAGTACTTTCTTAGTAGTATATAAGTACTTATAGACCTTATAGATCCTTCTATATATACTTAGATAATTAATTATAGGCTTTATAACTTTTATAGACTTCTTTATAGAGGCCTTAACCTTCTTAATACTATTATTTTTAACTACTACTAGTTCTATATAGGCCTACTTATAGCTAAGTTTCTTCTTAGGCATCTTCTTTTTAATAGGTAAAAGAATATAATCCTTTATAAGATAGTTAGTAAATAGCTATATTAAAAAGAAAATATTTATAAAATAAACCTTAAAATAAGCAGCGCTTACTTTTAGACCTATAATAGTAGGTAGTATACTTATCTTTATATACCCTATTAAGTAAAATATAGCTACTAAATAGCTTATAATAGCTTTTATACTTCTTATAAAACTTAGCTACTATCTTTTTAACTATTTAAAGTAAGGTAGCTTTAATATTTACAGCCTATTTTAAAAAATAAGATAGTTAGTAAATAGTTATAAAGAAAGAGAAATTAAGTAGAAACTTACTATTAAGAGTAATAATATAACTAGTATAGACTATAATTTCCTATTTTATAAGTAGTTTATAAAGTATAGTAATTTACTTAAATATTAATTTAGATTATATTACCTATTCTTTAAGTAATATAAAGGCCTTATTATTATCTATAACTTTATTTTTAGGTAAATTATAGATATTTTTAGGTAAATTATAGCTATTTTTAGGTATATCCTAGTTAATATTATCTAAATTACAAACTATATTATACTTCTTATACTCTTTTAGAGTAGGTTTATAAGTAGAATTAATAGAATTATAAGTAGACTTAATAGTATTATAGACTAGTAGAGTAGATTTACAGTTTAATATAGTAGAGTTAAGAGGTAGAATAAAAGGTTTATAGATTAAAACTAAAGATTTACTAGTTAAAACTATAAATTTACTAGTTAAAACTAAAGGTTTACTAGTTATAACTATAGGTTTATAGGTTAAAACTTTAAGTTTATAGGTTAAAACTTTAGGTAATTTAGTAGTCTTATAGACAGAATTAGTAATATTATAGGTAGAATTAATAGTTTTATAGGCGTATTTAAAGCACTTATAGTTCTTCCTAAATATATTATAGTTAGTATTAGGCGTATTATAGTTATTTATAGATAGATTAGAGAGGAAATTAAGATAACTTAGTCTATTAAATAGACTAGTTACTAAGCTGCTATAGCATTATATAGACCTATTAGGCTTAGTCTATAGATAAATTATAGACGTATCTAGTTTACTATAGGTACTATTATTAGATATAGTAGCTATAAAGAGTTAGAAATAGCTAGTAATATAGAATAAAACTTATAGTAATAGGTTATAAACTTATAGTTAGAGTAGTACTAGTAGTAGTACTAGCTATAAATAGATTAGTAAGTATCTATAAAATACCTATAAAACTTAGTAACTTACTAGAGTAGTAGAGTAATAGAAGAAGAAAGAAGAAAGTTAAAAAAGAAGTAATAGAGTAATTAAGTAGGAGGTAGCTTTTATATAGATATCTACCTAGCTATAAAAGGCGCTAGAACTAGTAGTAAAGGTAAGATAAGTAAGTAAAGGTAAAGGTAAGTAAGTTAAAGTAAATTATAATTACGTAAACTAAGTAGTAAATATAGTAAGTTATAAATAGCTAGAAAATATATATTTAGATAAAATCTACGCTAGTAAAACCTCTAGATATATAATATTTATAACTAAATAAGTCTCTCTTATAACTATAAATATAGGAGGTAATAAGATAGAAAGGCCTATAATAGTAGTTACGTATAATAAAGTAATATAAAGCTAACTATATATAAAGACTATATAGTAGAGGTTAATACTTATAATAGATAGTAATTAACTTTAAGACTTATTAATAGTAATTATAAAAGAAAGATAGACTAGAAACTAGACCTATATAATAATAAATAGTAGCTTACTATCTATAGATATAAGCTTAATATATAATATTAACTAAAGCTAACCTATAAATTTACCTAAAAGAATATATACCTTAATAACCTAAGTATTAATATATATAATAGTTAAGTAAGTACTATTATATAAACCCTACTTAGGATATAAGTTCTATAAAAGTATAACTAGGATACTAACCTTTAGTAATAGGTATAAAGGTAGTAAACTTAAAGGCTTAAAAGACTATAAAACTTCTATAAAAGGTATATTCTATATAGTATTATCTTCTATAGCTATAGAATTTATTATAATTAGCTTAATAAAGTTACTAGAAAAGGCTATAAGTATTAAACTATTAATAGTAGCTATATTATTATTCTATATAGCTAAAACAGTCTAACTACTTAAAGCCTAATAATTAGTAATAGTAGCTATAACTATCTATAGAGAGTATACGTAAGACAGGAACTTATCTAAACTATAAAATACTCTTATTTAAGTAAGTAATAGAACTAGACTATTAGTTTATAAAGTAGCTAATATATAAGTTTAGTTTATAAAATAAGTATTTTTAAGTATAGAGAGTACCTATATATTTTAATAAAGGTATAAAATAGTTAAATATAGCTATATAATAGTTAATTATTAGAGATATATATTAATAATAGTAGGCTACTAACCTTAGTAAATAACTAGAAGAATCTATATAAAATTACTACTAGTAATAATAGAAAGGCTACTAAATAGATTAGTTAAGTTATAAATATTTTAAAGTATATAGTAAACTGCTTTAAAGTAGTAATAGTACTATATAGGTACCTTATTCTATATAATAAGTACTACTTATCTTAGTAACTGCCCTAAATTAGAAGCTAGTAGAACTAAATAAATAGAGTTATTATAGATATCTAAAGAAATCTAGAAATAGAAGTATATAGTTTATTTACCTAGTAGTAATATAGCTGTAATACTAGATAAAGCTATATAAAGAACTATACAGCCCTATAAATAGTAGTAGGTATAGATATAGTACTAGAGATATATTTTACTAGTACCTATAAGACCTTATATAAAGAAATATATAGTTTATAAAGCTATAGTAATAGCTGTAGTAACTATATTAAAGACTATAAGCTAGTTAGTATTAAGACCTATATATATATTCTAAAAAGCAGTATCTTTTATATCTATATTATAGGTAAGCTTAGTAGTAATTATTTAATTTTTAACCTATATTCTTTAGTTATACTTATAAGTTAGTAGAAAGAAGTCTAAAAGATACTTACTAGACTTAGTAAAGAGAGTATTAATTAAGTATAAGCTATAATTAAGGTATATATTATTTATAGAAGATATAAGTAGGGCTACTATAGGTACCTATAGGTTATTATAGAAATTAGTATAGAAAGTAGTCTAAATAGTAAGTAGGTCTATAACTAGACTATTTAAAAGTATAGAAATAAAAAAGGTCTATAATATACTACCTATAGTAAAGAGAGCAGCCTTATAGAAGTAAGTAATTTAGTTACTATTATCTAGTAAAAGTTTATAGGTAATAGCTATAGCCTAAAAGGTTAGATATTTAATACTATTAATAGTTTATAGGTCTTTAAAGCTTCTTAGACCCTATATAACTATTAGGAGTAGCTGTATATAATAGCGTTTACCTTATAATAAACTATAGAAATATATATAGCTAATTATAACTCTTTACTTATATAAAGTCTATATCTTATAGAGTAAGTTTTATATAAAGGAACTTAGATAGTTCTAATATAATAAGTAACAGCCTATAGGAAAATTTATATTATACTAGAAGAAAGTAGTTAAAGTAGTTATAGATTATTTAAGGTATAAAGTAAGATCTATAGATATTATATTAGCTAGAAATATAATAGTTTACTAGTTAGGTAAATAAACTATAAAAGCTATAATAGAAGGAAATTCCTTATATACTAGAAACTTAAAAAGCTACTAAGTAGCTTTAGATAGACTAATATACTGCCTATTTAAGTGCTATTATACCTTATTATTATTAGAAATATTTAATACAGCCTAATTAGTACCCTTATAGATATACTTATAAATATACTTAATAGTATATATAGTCCTATAAACTTTAATATTAATATAAGCCTAGTATTTATAGAGAAACTGTAAGTAATATAAAACTACTTACTAGTTATCTAGATATATAGTATAGCTATAGTACTTTACTAATAAGGTTTAACTATTATTATAGTACTAATATTTAGAGTAACTATTCTTATAGATAACTATAGTAGAATAATAATACTTTAAAAAATTCTTTAAATACTATAGTTATAGGCTGCTAGACTATATAACTATATAAGGTATATAGATATTAAACTTACTATAAAGTTTATAAAGTATAAAATAGTAAATAGTAGCTATAAGTACTCTATCTAGATTATTTTTAGTAAGGGGTATTTTTATATTAATAGCTATATTAATAGTATCTAAATCTATAAACGCCTTATAGTTAAAAGGAGGTAAGAAGAGTAAAAAGTAAATATAAGGTAAACTTTATTTTTAGTACTTAATAGTATATATATAACCTAAGTATATACTAAAATAACTATTTTTTATATCTTTAAGTAACTCTTATACTTTTAGATAGAAGGTATAGTAAACTAGATTAGGCTAGTTTAAACCTATCTCTTTATTATAAAGCTTATAGTTAACCTTAGGTTAATAAGAACTTATAGTAAATATAATAAATAAGGTTAAATAGCTATAATAATAAATAATTACTATTAAATTTTAGTAATACTAACTTATAAAGCGTAAACTACCTAAATATAATAAAGGTAGAATAATATAGCGCCTAATAGAGATATTAGAGCTATTATCTTATATAATAGTATCTATAATACTACTATATAGGTTAGTATAGAGAGTTAACTAGTTATAGTAAACCTAGGCTAAATAGGCCTAGTTATAAATAGCCTAGATATTAACTAAAAACTACTAAAATAACTAATAGTAAAGAAAAGGCTATAAAGTATATTTAAAATAGGTATATAAATAGTACTAAAGGTAAATCTACTATATAAGTAAATCTTATATATAAGATTTATCTATATTATAGAGCTTTATACCTAGTTCCTACCTATAATTACTATACAGAAATATTAAGATATAGTATAATAGTATATAAAATAAATAAGCTATATTAATATAGTACAGCGTACCTAAGTTATAGGCTATAAAGATAATAAAGTAGACTATTTTAGTAGCTATAGTATCTAGAAGAATTAAGCTAACTTTATTACTAGTAGGTATATTCTTATAGTAGTAGTTTATACCTATTTCTATAACTAAAGTAAGACTACTAGTTAAAATAATATAGGTATCTATACCTACTTACTAGAGCCTCTTATAAGCTATATTATAGATATTAATATATAGGTTATTAATTTTATAAAGTATAGCTGTTAACTATTATAAAACATATAATTATAGATAAGAATTATATTAGTAGTATATTATAGTAGTATACTATAAATTATAGAATTATAGCTAGGTATACTAAGGTAATATTCTATTAAGTTTCTTTAATAGGCTACTTTAGTAGTAAAGAGCTCTATAAATTTAAAATACTTAGATACCTAGACTACTAGCTCTATAATTAGTTTATATACAGTTAAGTAATATAAATATAAGTACTATATTATATATATAAAGCTTTTTATAGAAGTAATAGGCCTTAGGTATAGTAAAATATAGTAGCTAATAAAGGTAGAATAGTAGTAAAGTAAATTCTAAAAGCTATACTTAGCTATTAATATAGTAGAGTATAAATTCTAGTTAGCTACTAAAAGATAAAAGCTTATATTTAGTAAGCTAGTAAAAAGTACTATAATAAGTATAAGTAAACTATAAAGAACTAAGATTATAGTAGTTTTAGTTTAGTAAGTTAAGAAAAGAAGAAACTACTAGTTACTTAAAAGTAGTAAATATAGTTATAAAGAGGTCTTAAAGGAAATTTTTACTATAAATAGACTTTATAAAACTACTAAGATATAATAGAATAGGTTTATAGATAGAAGTAGGCTAAGGAGATAGATTATAGGCTAATATAGGCTAAAGTAATACTATTTAGGCCTATTATAGAGGTAGTCCTTCTATAGTAGTAAGGGAAGAAAAGTATAACTAGTAGCTATACCTTATATATAGGTTCTATATATATATTAATAATAGGTAAATATAGAATAAAAGAGTTTTACTTAAGTATACTTTATATACAGCTAATATAGAGCCTTAAGGTAATTAATATAGAAAGCTATAATTTCTTTATAAACTTTATAGCTATTATAGAAGATTATAGATAACTCTTAGCTAACTATAAAAGAGAAATTAGGCTATATTATTATAAGAAAAGAATACCTTAAGTAAACTATAATAAACCTATAGATCTTATTTATAAGTATTACTATCTAAAATTTAATTAAAAAAAGAAGAAAATATACTTAAAGTAGTAAAACTATTAGCTATAAGGTAGTATAGATAAGGAAAACACTGCTATATAGGTAGTATAGATAGAAAATAATAACTTTATACAATAATAGTAAGGGCTATAGAGGCCCTATAGGTGTAAAAATTAGTTAGATAAGTAGTAGTAAGTTTTACTATTATTCTAATATGTTTTCTAGGCCTTGTAGGCCCCTAGGTGGTAAGTTAAATGTTGTCTGATTATATATTAGAAGATACCTGACGGTCTTTTGCTTTGGTAAGCACCCCACGTAGCATTGCTTCTCAAAAACCAACAATAACCCTTGACAGGCCTGCTTCGATATACGGGTGAGTACTCATTATACCGGACTCCCCTAAGCATGGAATTTGCTATATCTTGCTGACATGCCTTCATTAGTCTTACATGTGGCTGCTCCCTCCTCATCGCAGGGTCGGTCGCAGACATTGTCGGGAGCCGCTACGTCTACATCGCCGGCTGCCTTCTCCTGACGGGCTTCATACTCGGCAGCGGTCTGGCACAAAACTCCACCCAACTCATCGCCTTCAGGGCCGGCCAAGGCGTAGCTGCTTCCATGTGCCTGCCGACAGCCATCAGCCTGCTGGCCTCATCTCTGCCCGTTGGCAAGCGCCGTAACGTTGGGTTTGCCTTCGCCGGTGCAAGTCAACCGATAGGTTACTCGATTGGCCTGTTCGTCGGAGGCTTCTTTGTCGACTCCGTCGGCTGGAGGTACGGTTGGTACATGAGTGCCATCGCATCCTTTATCGTATTTCTGGCCGCCATTTTTGGCATTCCAAAACAAGTTCGAGGCTCTTCACCAAGCTCCACTCGGAAACGCCTCGTTTATGACATCGACTGGGTGGGTGCCATCCTAGCAAGCGCGTGCTTAGGCATGCTATCGTATGTTTTGGCGTAGGTCTCCCACTTAGCTCCCCGGGATTTACATCTGGTTCAAAAGCTCATACATCGACTTGTAGGGTCGTATCGGACGACAGCCAACGCATCCATGATGCCACGCAAATTGTCTTGCTCAGTATTGCCGGAGCCTGCTTACCGTCGTTCGTCTTTTGGGTACAGCGCCAAGAGCAGCGTGGTAAACCAGCTTTGATTCCAAATTCACTATGGAAGGAGCTGGCCTTCTCCTCCATTTGCATCATGGTTTTCCTCACCTGGGCCATCGTGCACAGTCTGGAGTACCTATTCAGCCTCTTGTATGTCACAATATCCCCCCGAGAGAATGCTATTCGTCGTTGATGGAACTTTCAGTTTCCAAGAGGTACAGGGATTATCCGCCGTGGAAACGTCTGTCCGCTTCATTCCCAACGTCGTCATTGGCATTGTCCAGACGCTTGCCGTCGGCCTGGTCCTCCATCGCATATCGGTGTATTGGGTTGTTCTCATATCATGCCTGCTAACTGCTTTGTCCCCGCTTTTGATGGCTCTCAACGACCCGGATTGGACCTACTGGTACGCTGGGTTCTGGGCTGTACTCTTGTCCCCCATTTCAGGTGATAGTGAGTAATATCCTTCCTTCCCGATCCATCCTGCTCGGTCTTCACCGGCGGCCCTCAGCATAGATTTTTGCGCAGATGGCTGACTTGTTTCTGAAATGATAGTTTTGTTTGTTGTTTCGGCACTCATTGTCACAAACAGCTTCCCCGACAGCACTCACGCTCTGGCTGGTGCCGTCTTCAACATGCTCTCTCAGTTTGGTGCCTCGGTGGGCCTGGCTTCTGTTTCTCTCATATCCTCAACTGTGGCGAAACAATCTCATGCTCCAGCAGATCTCCTTCAAGGGTATCGTGCATGCTTCTGGACTCTTCTTGGCGCTGCTATCTTTACATGCCTGGCAGGAGGCTTCGGACTTAGGAGAATGTCTGAAAAGGGCATGAAAAAGGAGTAAACATGTTCGTTGGGAGAGGTGGAACCTGTTCCTTATACTTACTCATGTATAGTGTAGGAGGCTAACCGTAAGAGTAGCTGCTAGTAAGAATTAGATAGATAAGTTTGCTAAGAATCTCAAGTACTACTGCTTCTTTACTTATAGCTATTTTTAGTAGGTGCTAGCTGTTATCTAGTAAGTTGCTAGTAGGCGTGTATTAGCAGTTACAGTTGCTAAGCTTCAAGGCTTTATGCACTAAAAATCTACTAGGGCGTCATCATACTATTTGCAATGAAAGTTTCCGAAGCCGTTCTTGATTCACACCTTTGCAATACCTGCTGTTACGAGTAGCTAATCATTCCTCCCTACCACTGTTAGGTTGGCTGGCTTTTGTTGCACGCTACAATGCCTTTCGCGCCAACAATGATAATGTTACATGTGGAACTCTTTGAGAAGCATTCGTGTTCTCGCACAATGCCCATTCTCTCACCACACCTTCTTTGTTCCTCCCGACCCACACCAAAAGCGCACAATGCCAACGAGTCTTCTCACCTCGAAGATCCCAGTTTTCGTGCTGTTCTCTCTCCCCGTCCAGACATTGAACTTCTCTTCAAGATATCTGCCGCAAGCTTATGCTTTGGAAGTCCATACACACCCATCCTCGCACAGCCTATGCCCTAATCGAACCTATGACTCCATCTAAGAAGATAACAGATCTGATCCGCATCCGCCACAGAGACTCGGGCAAAGAGGAACTCCGCCGTACGGTCTCGGTATCGAAGCATACCTCGAGTATCTCGTCGCTGACAGAAAATGCTTTCCTGCACTACACCAGCAAGTCCCGCTCGCACATATGCCAGTGCACCAACCCTGATCGCCACGAGAATTCTCACCCTCCCGACTCAAACATCGAGTCCAGAAATCTCAAAGCCAGCATAACACTATATCTATCTAAACACAACCTCGAATCCTGCGCCCTGTCCGACGTCCGAGCATACGAGGAGCGCCAGAAAGTCGCATGGTCACTGCTGAACCTTGGTGTGCAAGATTTCCACTACATCGACAAGGCCAAGGATATCGTGTGTCGCTGTAAGCAGGACAGCCATGTATGGGCGCCTGTTCGGCACCCGGAAGTACGCGAGCTTTGTGTTGAGTTCTTCTGTGTGAATCGGGACAAGATGGTGTGTACGAAACATGAGTGGCGCGCGGTCAGGAGAGGCGATTATGAAAGGATCCATCCGCTTTGTGCAGCGGGAAAGGACTCTTGTGCTGAGGGAAAGTGGAATTGTCACTGTGATGGGCGGTGTGAAGCACTAAGTCAATATGCCCCATTACAGGCGGGTAGTATGCAACATTCGAACTCAATGCACAGTGGAAGTCATGGACCGCAGAGATTCTACGCGCCACCACCGACACCAACACGGGTGATCTTTTCAGGAGCGACAAACACTTTTTCGTATGCGCCGCATGAGTGTTACACTTTGCCAGAAGTATCTATTCATGAGGACCACTCAACTTCCGCGCGAATTTCTCCGTACGATGGATCCTATGAACCACACGACTCGCATCTGCCATCTTACACATCCGCCTACGTGGAAGACGCAAATCCAGTCCAGACCACAACCCTGCATGATAGGTTCTTCGTACCGTACGAGGCGCACACATTCTCGCAAGCATCGACAGAGGTAGACAACTCTGAGGTGCCACGCACATATTTGCATGGCAAGACTTATGCGCCGTTCGAATCTTACACACTGTCACATGCATCGGCAGAGGCATCAGCACAAGCAGACCATTCAAAGTCAACGCACAGATCTCTGCACGATAGTGCGCTACAAGACTCTTCCTCCCCATCACATTTCTTGAGGCAGGCGTGCAATCCGAACATGGTGAAGACATCTCTACACGGTGAATCTCGTGCACCGAATTACTCATACCCGAGAGTACAGATATCACTGACCCATGAGACCAATTCGGACTCGAAGGGTAATCACAAGAAGCGAAGTCGCCGTAAGAAGTCTATGGCTCACCTGAAAAACGGACCAGAAAGGGAGCCTGACATTCCTGAGCAAGTATGGAGGAATTCCCGTCCATCTCTCTACACTAAGCGACGCAACTCGGGCGGTACTGCCATCAGCACGCCGCTGGGCACGGCGACCACGTCGGTGTTTCCAGTCGTAGCGCAGGGTCAGGGAGACTGGAACCCTCGGGTTAGCGCACATGGTGAGTTCCACCGAGCATCGATTACTTCCAGCTCATCAGGCAATGCTAGTGTTACCGAAGAAAGTACTCCGGGCTTAGAGTCTGAGCCTTCCAGAACTTCTCTCGCGTCGAGCCAAAGTGGAAGTTGTGTAAACCCGTCTGATCGCATATCGTGGCCAGAGGATACTACCGAAATCGACATACCTGTGGACAGATTGTGTCTCAACCTCAAGGATCCTGGGATGACTTCCGTTCAAGGATCGCGGACTAGAACTTTGTCTTTGGGCAGCCAAGATCGACTTTCGGTTTTCGATATGAGCAACGATGAACTTGCAAGGCAGATTCATGAGATTGACACAAAACATCGTAGAGAAATTGATGAGAGGCAAAGTCATAAGAGCGATACACACCGAAGTTACAACGCTGATGTAAGGCAAAGTCTCAAGAATGAGACGGGACACTTATACGAAAGTGCCACAACATACTCATATAAGAGCGACACGGGTCACGCTATCGAACACGATGGAAACATGATCTACGAAAAAGATGCATGTCAAAGTGGTGAGAACCATCACGCGGAAACTGAGCTTGAGAAGAACTTTGTGACAGTCACACCTCCATCATACCACCTCAACACTGGCGTTTACCAGGCCGATAAGCGGCAGATTAGCAAGGAAGGCGAGCGCTCAACTTGTGACGGCGAAACTACATCAGCATGTGAGAGTGTTAACGATTCGGACGTGATGGCCGGAAAAGATGATAAGGAAGCTGCACCTCACCCCTACGAGGTCGATGCTGATGTTTTCGTAAGCGATGAGAAGTACGCCGTTGAAAACCATGAAAGCTATACTGGCGTTGACGACCGAGGGAAACCTTGTGAGAGCGATAATAGGTCAATATACGAAAAGGACGATGGTTCGTGCTCGTTGGCCAACGAAAACGTTTCTGGAATTGTATTTCAGCCCTACGAACTCGACACCGATCCTTGGGAGAGCGATGTGATACATGCTTACCAGGCTGAGAACTATCGTCAGTCGATACTGGAGAAGAACAACGATTTGATGCAAAACGACGATGATAACAACCCGTTGCTCCCCTACGTACCCAACGACGATACTTGTACGAGCGACGCAAGTCAGACTAATGGGGACAACCCTTGGAGAACCCAGGAAATTGACCCAGGCCATACTATTAGGAGTGGCCGCAAGTCAGTGGAAGAGGACTTCCATTTGTCCCCCAACCAGAGCGGAACAGAACGTGAAGAATTGTCTCACGAGCTTGACACTGAGAATTTGGAAAGCGACGTAAGACATACTCAAGAGAACGATTCAGGGCACCTTCCAGAGAATGACCCTGGACACACTCATGAAAGCGGCCGTAAATCTGGGCCCGAGAAGCATGATGATTTGTATATGTGGTTTGAAGTAGGTGGGAAACACAATACAGAGAACTTCAAAGAACTCGTCTCTGTAATTGACAAGACTAGTTCGAAACAGACCTACAAAGATAATCAGAACCAGGCTATCCAGAACGGTCGAAGACAAGCCTACAAAAGCAACTTCAGACGGATACGCAGGAATGAGCCAGAACGATCTCACACGAACACTCCATGTCAAAGTGATCAGTATGGTTCAAGACCAGGCGCCCGTGGTATGCTAATGCGGATAGGCAAGAACGACCTAGAATCGGACACAGGAATGACTACAGAAATGGTGAACGAGAGTAACCCCGCGTTAGTACATCAGAAGAATGACGACACGTATCTGTTGTCCAATCACGGCGACGATAAGGCTGCTCGAAAGTCAATGCGGATGACTGAATTATCTACGTCACGGGCTACGGCAAAGCTCGATACTATAATCGAGCACCACGAGACACTACCGGTTGCCAAAGCCACAATGGAGATCAGCTCTGTATCTGAGTCCTTTACAATTCGTCCTTCTCCGAACTCGCCGGAGCCCGATAGTAGCAACTCCGATGCAAGAACAGACAAAATCGGCAAGCGGCGATCCATTCGCGTCGAAAGGTCGAGTGCGCGCGACTCTCTAGTTGAAAAGATTCCGAGGAAGATATCATCCAGGGCTAGGCGCCCGTTGTTCATGGGCCCTCTTCCTGACCAAGAGACCTTCCTTATTCGACAAGTAGGAGTCTGTTTGAGAAGCGACCCGGCGCCGTCCGGATCGTGCTCGCTCTGCAAAAAGTCTTACCTTGATCGAAAGCTGCGAACTATTCAACTTCCTGATTGCAAACACTACGTGCACCAAGAGTGCCTGTTATCACATTTCCGTATTCGCGATCAAGAATGGGAAGTCTGCCCTGTCTGCGACATTGCCTTGTGCCAGCGCACTCTAGCGGATCGCATCGATACAGACCGCGAGGCTATCTTTGATAGGCAGTTCACCGAATTCAAGAACGCCGTAAGTATTGAATTTCCCCAGCGCAGCGAAATGGCCTATTGTTGGTCAGATGAAGAGGTTGCTGCAACGCAGCTTCGGCTCTTGAAAGACTACGTCGATGTCCATGCAGAAGAGCTTTTTCGGACCTGGAGATCTAAGCGCACGGAGCCTGATTGGTTTGCGATGGTGGTCAAGCCTGTTGTCGAATTGTTTCGTGGATGGAATATTCCTACACGGCGGAGCAAATACTTTGCTGACCGTGAGGCTTTCCTCAAAGTCATCGTTTGGGCGGAGCTAGTACGGTTGATGAATACTACGCGCGCCGCTGTTAGACATCGTCATGGCGAGGGTGAACCGTTTCCGCAGTTGACAGGATTGCATCGTTGGTTCATGCGTACGAAGGGGCGGTATGAGGACGAGAAGAAGAAGTGGCGTAAGGATCGCAATGGTGTTCTGCTCTGCGATATGATCGTACAAGATGTGGTTGGCTTAGCGATGGGTACGCATAGTGGATAATTGTTAGTTGACTGGAGAATACTACACTTGATACAAGGCGAATTGATAGTACGAGAATTAGCTAGCTTTCGTAGCGCTGTAACCTTGACTGCTCCTTTCACCGTTATGTGAAGTGAAGTGTCACAGCCTCACTAACCGTGCACTTTCACCAACAACAAAAATGTTGTGAACTCCATGCCCACGCACTTTAAAGATCCGCACTTCTGACAATTGCCATCACACAACAACCAACAATCACAACCATGACCGATTTCGCATTGTTGTCCGAGCTCGACACGCCATTTCTGAACCCCTCGTCGTTGGACTCTGTTAGTCACTCAGCTGCAGAGCAAGATGAAGCCACTACACCCTCTGGCCTTCCCAACTCCGAGCTCCCAAACCAGAAAGAGTTTCTTGCTCACGAAATCGTACCGAGTCGTGATGATACTGTACTACCACCCGCCGAGACCGCATGCGGCGTTTGTCTCGAAGAACTCACGGAGCCCGTATCTCACTCCAACATCACCACGGTTGACGAAAGTGAAGTAGTCTTCCTAGACCCCTGTCAGCACTTCTTCCACCGAGCCTGCATTGTCAACTGGCATACCAGTACTCGACCAGAGCGCGACACATGCCCGATATGTCGTCGCGTACTTTTCCAGGCTGACGCTCTCACCACCGAACAAATACAGCATTTGGTTGAAGACATCTATCATGACCATGGGGTACGACCTCTCGGGCCATATCGGGAGCCCGGACCGAACGAGCGATTGGTGGAATGGGGGCAATACGTTTTGGCGTCGGAAGCAGAGCGCGCTGTTCGTCAAGAAATAAACCGTGTCGTCACCTCAGGCGGTCAGCATGATTGGATGAAGGTTTGCAGAGAACTACGAGATTCCATGCTCGGCATCAATGGGACGCTTCGTCCTGCTTTCGAACCTTACCGTGACACGGTCGTCCTCCGGCTACACGCCATTCCAATGTTCTTCGCCATCACTGCTTACGACGATGCGATCCAGAAGCGTGCATTTCGAAAGTTCTATTACTGGTTCTCTCAGGTGAACAACACAAGAGCTGAGGTCGAGTTGTATAACCAAGTAGCGTTGGACGGCTTATACGTGTTGGATGTCCGTCTCGTTGCTACAGTCTCGGCCGAATGGTTGCAATCGCAGTGTGATAAGGTAGAGAAGTTCGCACGCATAGCAACGGATTTGGAGGAACGGAGAGATGCGCGTTCGATCCGTGGGCTCAGGGAACGCATTACCACGTGGGTTACGCGCGGTCTGTTTGGCGTCTTAGCCAGACACCGTTTTGATGTCGACGAGAGTAGCATCCGAAGGGACGTTGGAACTCGCAGTGACTGATCTGACGACCGGCTTTGAGAATCATGTGTCATAGGCAATGGACTGTTTGGATGGAGTCGGTACGTTCGAGAGCCGAATTTGGACCTAGCATCCAGGCGACGAGAGCAGATTGTGCGCGAAGCATCTAATCGGCCTTTTGGCAAATTCACGTGTACCTACATAAATGTTACGCGGAGTCTTGTGGTGGTTCCGGTACAATGCTGATCGTATGTTTTTCTGAATAAATTCACCTGGAAATGATGAATGTGATGTTTTTCCATCGACTTGGTATGATGAACTGTTGAGTTGTATAAAGAGAAAATTGTGATTGCTGTTCAGGAAAAACGGGTGTTCCTCGATTGAAACTAACAGAGGCTATTCTAACCAACTCGATACACTAGAGAAACACTCTACGGACACATCGAGAACTGTTGAAACCCAGGAAAATACAAGTTTATGCCACCGTGGAGTCACTGAGGTATGCCAGTCCCTTCTGAACAGCTACAAGTTCACTCAACGGGTCCCATCCACATACCTGTCAATTCAATGGGCGTGACTGGCAAACTTCTACAGCCCAAATCAGGCTGAACAACAGTAAGTGCTGGAAACTGAACCTTGACAAAACCCTGAGCAAGGAAAGCGATGTCGAAGTTGATGTTTGCGCCGGTTTGATGACATTGAGCAGTAAAAGTCAGTGTCTGTGTACTAACTGTCGCCGGAATGGAGATTCGTTGCGTACTAAATGTACGCACACCAAAATCGAAGTATATATGGGACGAATTCGAGACGGTCTGAATACGCATGACCCCTCGAGGAACCCATTGAGGGTAGTCCCAGCTGAGTCCACCCTCGAAATAACGCCAGAGTAGAGAAGAAGTAAGTTCCCACAAGCTGTGTTCGGCGAATGTCGTGGTGACCAGAACTGGACTCCAAGACGTGCTAATGCCCTCACGGATAGGGTACTGGGAGTTCGCGTTGAGACCCAAAGCACTCTCGGTCGCCTTGCAGAGCTGACGTTCGCGATCTAGGTGTTCATCAAAGATCTTCTTCTGGAAAGCGAGTTTCGTTTCGACTGCGAAGTCGGGAAGATTGGCACATTGATAACGCTGCTGCATATAAACAGCATGTTGCTCCCAGATACTCGTCGGATCTGCCATAGGCTCGCTTGAGTCGCTTGCCTCGTTGCCATGATCGAATGTTGTCCCGACGTCCCCATGTTCAGATTGGCTATTCCCTGACCCGCCATCAAGTAACATCCCACCATCTTTCTCCTCGTCTGCAACAGGATCGAATGTGTTGTCGTGAGTCACTCCGAATTCATTCCTCTTGTCCAGATCTAGGTCGTCTAGGATCTCTTCTAAGGTGTAAGTTTTCTCGTTCCATTTTCGACAGGCTTTCATAGCGGTAGAAACGGGGATTCCCTCCCTGGACATATTCGTGTTCATCACCAAACCATACTGAGCGTGCTTCAGTTTCTTTCGCGCGGTATCCCATCCGTTGGTGTCTCCGTCCGCCTTGCAAGCATCCCGCTCTTGCTTTCGTGTTGTGATTTCTCGTCGCCTTTCTCTTAGCCAAATTTGCAACTGCAGCCTCGCTTGAGCAGAAGTCCTGAGTTCTGGATCCTCCCCACGAGCCTGCTCGTACCATTCGCGCAGTGCTTGGTTCCGAACTTGATGAAAGCGCTGTTCAAGGCGTTCATTTTCCTCTGCAGTGTGCTTGGGCTTTTTGGTCTTTTTCGCCATCGGAAATGCTTGAGTCAAAACGTGGAATCAAGAACAAGTAGTCGCAGAGGAAATAAGATTGGGTTGTTAAGGAATAAAGTCGCAGGCGCCCGACGAAGTCGCAGGCGCTTGTTGGAGGATTGGTGGCTTGCCAAGGGCGCGTACAACGCTGGCGACCCGTATAGCCGGGGTGAAACATGGAATTTGAAACTCATTTGACGAGAGGAACAACCACTGTTTTCATGTTGACACAATGCAGGTAGTAGTCGTTCAGTCAAAAGCTGTTGGGATTCAAAGGTGTCCCATCGTTCGCAACATGGTAGTTCCCTTGTTAATTTGACCGCATCTACAATAGCGCTATGTTCCCGAGGTCCCCATGTCCTCTATAGAGTATAAGAAAGTGGGAAGTAAATGGCCGCAATCCTTTATATATTTGCTAGACACCTGCGAGCGCGTTTGGACATGACAGACTCAATATAAGCTAGCACAACGCATTTCAAAAACTTTATATACGTTCATCAGGACTTAGTGATGATATTAGAGAAATCAACCTACCTAGTAATCAAGATTTGTCGGCATGTCCTAAAGGATATGCGATGTCGTTTTGAACGATTACTATCTTTTTTGTGTGGCTCCAGCGACAGATATGAGGTCCATCAACTCGCAAAAGAGTTTTCGCTGCCTCAATTATAGTCGTACCATGCTGCTCGCTTTCTCCACGGACGTTCTCAACATCTCGAATCTCGTACACGCGACCAGGCGGGATGGTCACTGTAGCCGCAGGGTTGTCTCCCAACTCTTCGAAAGCCGTCCACGCAAGCACTACCGTCCCTCCAGACTCTACTTTGATTTCAACTGCCTCATTCATTACTTGTAGCGTGATGTTGCCGTATGATGTGAACGTTGTTGTACGCGCTCCGTACTCGACAGACATTACATCGTAGAAGTACCAGAGACAGGTAGAATTCGGTACAACCTGTACATGAACATCTTTTGAGACCATCGCAGGAGTGGATGGTCTCCGATGTGTGATCGACAGGCTTCTTTGGAATCTAGACATGATAGATTTGGTCTTGCTCCGTGCAGACTTCTGTAGCGCGTTAGTACCCCTACCAGGTGTTGTATTCTCTGCAACATAGCCTTCACTCTCTTCGGAAGACATTGACCATCTAGACGTCCTCGCTCTATGGACTTCTTGTGTAGTTGGTGGCAGACTGAGCCATAGACCCCCAAATTCTTCCAGCTTGTTGTACTTTGCGAAATCTCGAAATGATTGTGCATCTTCAGATGACTGGCGTTCTTTCAACCACTCCATTGCTACAAGTGATTGACGTTAAATTCGAAAGTCTCCAGAGCAACTACGAAATTGAGGTTACAATCTTATAATCGTCGAGAGTCTTCCACATTGTTGAACAGCAATGTGTCTCATGCGAGTCACAATGCTAAGAAAACCAGGGCAATAATCAAAATTATGTTTTGGTAGGCATGTGATAAGAGGTAAATACATACATAAGGAAAGATAAAATTGTATTGAGGTATGTGATACAAGGAAAGAGAAATGCCTGAGACATCTTTGTGGTGTTGTTCAAGGACCAAAGGAAAACCAAAATTGAGAAAGAAACAGCCCCAATACTACTCGTCACACTCGTCGTCGCTCTTGTAGCTCCCTAGCAAGTCCTGCAAACCTATATCCTCGAATACGTCCTCGACGTTACGAGTGTCAGAATTCTCCTCGTACTCTCCAAGTATTGCCAAGATATCTCGAATGACAGATACGTCAACTCCTGCCTCCTCCGCGCATTGCATCAGGGAAACAACTATAGTCTTGACATCCTCGAAGTCGTCAGTGGTGACTAGCCTCCACGGGTCCATGCTACTCTTGACCACTTTCCTGCGATTGACTAGCGCTTCAACAATAAGTTCTGGCCAGTTGACGTCGCTTGCGTCTGCGTCAAAGCAGGCATGTTGTTGAACGTGGTTGTTCCAAGTTGCAGACGAGGACGTGATTATCGCGTCTTCCTCGAACTGAATATGGCCAATGTTGACGAGAAGTGCTGCAGCGTCCACAACTTGGTCTGAAGGAGTAATAGAAGCGTCATTCTCGCTAGTGGATGCTCCTACTCGCTCGCAGAGGACATCGAGACAAGTTGGGCACGTCCCTCTATTTCCCTTGCCGGTTTTCACCCAAGAGGCAAGGCAGTCTCGATGGAACTCGTGTCCGCAGAGGGTTCTTACTGGCTCTGAAGGATCGCTGTGCCAGGTTTCAAGGCAGACAGGGCATTCATGGCCAAGACTTTCTGGAGTGAATACTTCCAGTCCATTGGCCAGAAGTTCGTCAGGCGAGGAGAAGACAATAAAGTACGGTTTGGCCATGTTGATGGCAGGCGGAAGCAGTTGTTATGAGAGAGTGGGTTGGAAGATTGTGGGCGGTATGTTGAGAGTGTTTGTCGGGAGAGTATGACCCTTTTTATGTTCTAAGGTTTGGTTTCCCCCGCTTCACTATTGGCCCAAGGGATCGTCAGAGTACCGCAATTGTGAATGTTGGCACAAGGCACCAATGTCAAAGACGTATTTTCACAATGTGTCAGATTGATACAGTGGGATCTTTTACCGGTAATGCTGCGCAAGCAAAGACTCTTGCAACGCCCTTGAGCTGGGTGGCAAAACTATCGAACCCTGGATTGAAACGAATTTGGTGCAAGTAAAACCTAATATCTAGATACCATCCAAACACTGATTAAGATGTTTCCTCTTGTCAATGTTCCAATTATCTCGCTTCATGATAGAGAGAAAGTACTTGATTGTTACCAAGTCAGTTCAGCGTACGATTTGTCTGAAGCGTCAGAGGGTGAGATTATCGGCAATTGTTCCGTTTGTCGGAATGACTTGAACGGTTCACCATATGGGATCAGGGTACCGGGAGTGTGGTTTGGCTTGGCGAACCATGTTTCCAGTTCGAGAAGAAATTTTCGACACTGGTAGCCAATGGCCGCAGAAACACCTGCACAACACGTGATACATGAGTACTAGTTGAGAAATGAAGCATATTCGTGAGTTCGTGCGTTGGCAAACATAGACAATGTTCTCTTCAAACAGATGAATCTTTACTGGGTAGTATGTGGCATTTCGTTCGAAGTCTTTTGGCTAGTTCGTCCAAACAGGAACGCGGCTGAGAAAGAATATGACGGCTAACATGTCTATCTACAAAAATGAGGAAGAAATCAAGACACCGGCGGATGATAACGATAGAAATGAACTCCATGGAGTTGGTTCAGCAGAAGAAGACTAATTATAGAAGGCCAGCAGAATTGATAGACTTGTCCAATTACAGTCTCGAAGCACCAATGGACGAGCAAAATCTATGTCACCAACTGTGAAAGTTTGCGCGTATGACTACGTATCGAAGACAAATGTGGCTGCTTGCGAGTATAGGATTATATACTTGAGAGCTTTGCAGACGAGAGCAATGCCAGTAACTCAGGTTCCCTTCTTCTGGAACGATTGGTTAAAGTCAATGAATAAAGATAGGAATGCGCTCGGAAATTACACTCGAGTCTCTAGAGCTGATGAGCAAGATTTGAGAAAATCTACTAGCTGGTGAATTTTATGAGAATGCAGTTGTGCCCCAAGAGTCTTAATCGTCTTTCAGACTATATCATTGGCCCCGTGCTAGCTTTTTCTAGAATTTGCTGGTTCTACCAGGCAAATTTGCAGATTGTCGTACCTAACCTCTACGTCCCCTTCAGCGACACGCGTATCAATAGCCTCTGCAGCTTTTGGGTCCGCGGAAAGGTCAGCACGCAGTACCCGTCTTGTTTAGCTTTCTGATCTCATATTGAGCTAGCATTTTGTCGCACATTCGGTCAATTTGGGTGCGACGCAGTATGATATACTACCTTGCTTAAGAACGTATTATGATAATGGTCATGCAGCGTGATGTTACCCGAACTATGACTATATACAATCACACTGTAGCATTTGTGCACACAATGTTTCTCTGATTTTAAATGAGTGTCCTGGCGACGTATGCTCTATATTAATATATCTAAGATCTTTGGCAAAAGTGATCGGATATCTATGTCCCGAATGTCTCATAGTGGAGAAGTGAGTTTGTAGTTCCGGTTCAGTTCTGCCAATCTCAACAAAAAGAATGTACGTATTCTCACGGTACTCAACTCGATCTTTCTGGCAATGACTTTGGCCTGACGTGCAAAAAGGCTTTCACTACAACAAGACGCCACGAGGCCTCAGATACTGGCCGATGCCAAGAACAGTCTTCTTCAACCAAGTACGATCGCTTCCACGATACCACGTTAGCAATTTTAGCTGGCTTCAACCCATAGGAGGTCTCTCAACCCAGCGACTGACATTCGACTCGGTCCTGGTCTGCAATCCAATACAACCCCAAGGGACCAACCGCAACTCTGATATCGATTGTTCAACAAGAAAATCAGGCGTTTACCATTGCCTCGTCGCGTTCTTGTTGCGACGCATTGACGTTATCTGAACCTGCTACACTCACGGGTGACCGATATCAATTCACTCACACGTATCTCCCCACTTATCTAAATCCAAACTCCCAAATCTACTCGACTCACATTATACTACAATATTCAACCCACAAGTTGACGAGTGGCTTCATGATGGATCATTCGTCTCCCAATCTATCAAGGCCTTCGATAGGAAGCAAACGTCCGCACGAAGAGAGTGACCATGGTGTGAGCAAAAGGCAGCGCGTTGTACACACATACGCCGAACACAATGATCTAGACAAAGAAGCTTCCTTCCAGGTGAGCATGCAACTTCATCCGTACCTATTCACAGATACTGACACTTTCTAGATTCAGCAAAATTGTGGTGCGAATTCATCATACCCCACATGGAGTGGTCTCAACCCTTTCGATTACACTCCTGACATCGTAAGTTCACTAATACAATTTGTTGTTCCGAGAAAGCTAATGGATTGAAGCGGCGAGGACAGCGTGTGGTGCAGTGTGCAGGCGAACATGATGGCCAGATATCCACCTTTCGTTCTGTTCCGGCCTATAAATCGTTATCACACTATGGGCACGCATCGCCGAATACGTATGTTCGAGCCATGGATAGTCGCCCTCCAGATAGTCGCCCTCCAGATAGTCGCCCTCCAGATAGTCGCCCTCCAGATCTGCTGAGCACATATTTCTTGGGGAGTGCGACTGATCAGCGACTCCCACATCAATACCAGCATATAGGAGATGGATTCGAAGACGCAGAGTCAGCTCGTGGCCCTGTATTTCCTGCCCAAAACTGGCAAGATCCCCAGTATGCACATTCGGAATCAATCCCGCCAGCGTACGATTATCATTTCGGTCAGCAGAGCTTTGTCACGGGTGGACGAGCAATACAACCCATACATAGGCCCCTTCAGTTTGCCGAACAACAAAACAATCATCAGTCTACCATCTCAAGCGGCCGCTCTCGTGACCCGCGGATGATCCAACCGCATTATTCTGGGAGCCCTGATAACCCTCATCCGCGATATCCTGCTTTTACATCGGCAAAACATGTGGGGTATGCCGCACAACAGCACGCTCCTCTAAACTTGACGCAGCCTCCACAAACAGTTGTGCATGGGATTACGAAAGCGGTACTGGGAAGTTCGGCCCAAACTCCAATAGATCTTGATGACCTTTCCTCGCCTTCACGTCCATTCAGATCTGCGTCATCTGAGAGTTATAATCCTGGCGACGAGACTCCACCCACAGCTCATTCAGGGTCAGGCTCACCCCAACATGCACTCGCATCTCCGAGGTCAAGAGCAAAGCGAGCGCGGGAGATCGAGGAAGATGAAGCTGAGCGAGCAGCCAAAAAGGCTAAGACAGAAGCAGGTGTGGATGCCGATTTGAAATTATATGACGATAATATGGAGTTGATTGAGCGGTTTTGTTTGACCAGGCAAAATCTCAAGAAGGTCAAATGGTTCGTCAAACTTGACGCATGGAAGCGGGCAACTCATAGGATACTGCCTTCAACGAAGACAGCAGTTCCTGACGACAACACCTCACAGCGTCCGGTAGATAGTACTGGCCCCGGAAAGCCAGACACGTTCGTTCGAGACGCGCTCGCCAAAGGGTCAAGGCCAGACAAGATCAAGCATCCGCGGGACAAGGTGTGTGTACCCGACTATCCAAGCGACGACGATATCGACACTTGCACCCAGATGGGAGACGGAAGGTACTACTGCACGCACGACTTTGGAAACCTCAAATGCTGCAAGGAAGGTCTTGATCGGTCAGGGAAGCTTTCATCCATCAACAAGCAAATGAATGCATGGAGGGCGAAGGTCGAGCGGCTGATAATGAGCCATGATCTTCATGCAACTCACAAGACATGGGATCGGTGTTACGACAGCGACCTACGAAAGAAAGAGATTGAAGCTCAAAATACCGCGAAGAGTGCTGCTCAGGCCGCTCAAGCTGCGCAGATGCAAGCGCAAACCAAACCGCAGCAAGCAGAAAGGGTGGAAACGGCACCACCTCGTGTAGTTGTCGCCGACCCTGTGACCACGCCGGCTGTGGAGCCTTTATCAGAGACGGCGTTGCCCCAGAGCATCGAAGATCAAGATCAAGATCAACCAGAGCCTGATCTCACAATGACACCTCCACAACATGCCTTAGATTCTCATATCAATGAGGAACAGACACCCATGCTATGGGCTGATGGCAGCATCTTTGATCTCGACGCGTATCTCCAGAATCCATACGTGCTAGATAACGATTACGATAAATTTCTCGTAGGAGACCCGGCAGCTGTTCAGAGGGTTACCAACTCTTTCTTCGGTTTCATCGTTGCTCAGGCTGCACGAGAGAGCCGCGTCCCTCCTGCATCTGCCGTTTCCAATCATACAGATACTGATGGCAGTATGCTTAGCTTCAACGCGATTCCCACGGGCAACAAACCAATAGCTAAGGAAGATGACCGGTTTCTGGGCAAAGAGCCGAAAATTGTCTACGATACGATTGAATCATCTATTGATCACTCCGAGGGCAAACCTTCGCAAGAGTATCCGCATGCAGGCGAGGTTTCAACAGTGGACAAAACAGCATCCAACAACGCGCAAGTCAACAAAGCGGCCCCAAAAGCAGAGCGGATTGTATCAGTTTCAGCAGCGAAAGAGGGAGAAACCCCAACCGCCCGTAAAGCTCTCGATCCCACACTGGTACGAGCGTTGAAGCAGCACGACAGACTGCACCGCGATGCTCAAGACCGCGAGCATCGCAAGCAATGGCCCAATCTCGAGCGACTCAACGCTTGGTGGTCAGCTACCCGGCGAAAGGTACAAGGTTTGCCTCTTACGCCTGAAGAGCTGGAGCTGCTGCAACAAGCAGAACCGTCGTGGCTTGCTGATAGGCGACCACCTACCACGGAACATGTGGAGCCAATCGAAGTAGGCGAAATTGATGAGGACGATCTCGACGATCTGTTCGTTGACAAAGACGATGACACGTCCCTTTTTGGAGACGGCGAACTGCTTTGAAGTCACTCAACTGATACACCTTTCGAAAATCTGACAAGTACGTGAGACAGATTAGCGCACATACAAAGTACATGAGTGGCTATGTAGACCTCGATGGCCGATGATTCCACTGAATACCATGGATCACATTGGTTAACAATATCAAATTACGCAAGAGGAGGAAAAAGATGGAAATGAACAGAGTGTAGCAAGAACTATAGAAGCCTTTACATGCCTTGTATCATTGTATTCTGTCGCAATTTCGTAAAACTTTACACCTTGTTCATGTGCTAAGTGGACATTATCACGAGATCTCACAACCCTTGCTATCAACCATCAATTTTGTAAATGTATGGAGCATATTATGCAAAGCACACCCAAGGTCCTATGCTCAGGTCATTGACAGTCTGCCGTTCATTGAAGAAGGCATGATTATCTAATGGTGTAGCAAGAGTGGCTGGAGTATAGATCGAAGGAGACCATGAGATTTTCTCACCATACCCGCAACCCTACTACAGTCCTCACAACTAATCTTTTTACTAGCATTGAACTATCCTTCAATTTGTACCAATCGCCTGTCTTGTCTTCAACTCTTGATCATCTCATAACTCACACCAATCAAATATTCAACACACACATCTGACCACACATCGTCCACCACACCACTCAACGTAGAGGGCAACACAGCAGACATGAGATACATCGTCTTCATGACCTAGACTTCGTACGTCCCCTACAGCCAAACCACCACTACAACGCCGGCACTCGTGAAGCCGCCAATATGGGTCTCAAGGAAAAGCTCATCACTCATAGCTCTGGTCCCACTAGCGCCCCTTAGCACCAAGAAGACGACAAGACCGGTCAAGGGCTTCGCAAGGAGATGGGGGAAGGATATCGCCAGATCAGGTTCCTCGAATACTAGACGAGCAAGTGGAAAAGGATTTGACGCGTCGTTGGAATAGAACTCGGCGAGTGAGGAAGAGTGCTAGAAGAGGGTTGTGATGTTGAGGGAGATGACGAAGGAGAAAGGTGGGAGATAGGAGGCGGTGTCTGTAAGATGTTAAAGGGAGAGAGAGGTCTGAGTTGCCAGAGGAGCTGGAGTTGGTAGATGGGTCATAGTTCGTATTGTCTTCTGATGTTTCTCATGCGCACCGAGGTTATGAAGTTTGGTCTGTTGATAGAGGAATGTGTGGAACAGCTATTTTATGTCTGTAGCGGGAGAACTTCGATTTCTGTCGCTAGTTATCAGACTTCTATCAACAAGCGCCTATCCGAGAACGATCCCACCGAATTACCCACTTACATTCGCAACACCGCGACATCAAAGCCTGTGATAGTGAAGTGAAGTAAGAGATGACGTGCACCCGTTGTCGGAAGAAGCTTTCGCTACCCCACATAGCGCCTCGTCCGTGCATAGCCAGACCCCAGATCTGGTCACGCCGACATTCACTCGCCGTCATCACCCCAGATATGCGCTGACGACAATCCTTCGGCTGATAAGCACCCTTGAACTCTCAATCTATTCTACCACAGCCTCGTTCTGTGTTTGTCCATTCCCGAATCCATCGTGTGCTGTTACTCCGAGTCTATCGATACCCCGGTCCCCGATATCGCAGACGCATCGTCATCCTCGCGTGCCCATGCGAGTGCCTTTGAACATATAAGATCGTCGCGAAGAGGTGGGTTGTACATCTTTTACCCTCTCAAGTCATATCCTCTGCGACTAGACGCGACTCGGAAGGTGCTACCGAACGCGCTGCCGGCAATTGCCATCAAGCGCGTCTGTAGGGTTTTCGATATCTTAGGTCTTACTTGCCCCATCTTTGCGATTGACAGGGATTGGAAGGGTGGGAAGACATTGACTTGACTGGAGTTGAACTGGACACGGCCTCCGAGCGTAAAGGGCGCCCATACAACTTCGCCACCCGATCTACCATCTCGAACAATAAGTTCACGTCTCGCTTTCCAATAGCAACGCAACAACCACCATCATGAACACAACGCCTCTGCCTTCTCTGTTTACTCTCCCATCAGAACTCATCCATCAGATCCTCAGCTATCTGCCTGTCTCGGACCTGATCACCGTAGGACTGGTCAACCGCGCCCTAAACGAGCATTCGCAGCAAGACACATCAATTTGGCAATCGTTCGTCCAGTCAAATGTCCCCGGATACATTGTACCGAAACCTGCAAATCAAACATGGCGGGAACTCTTCATACAACACCATCCGTATTGGTTTCTCTCAAAGAACAAGATCTGGTTTGCAGACACACCGCACACGGGCAAGCTACTTGTGGCGCGATACGACCACAGAATCAACGCGATTGAGGCCTATGCGCTTGTCGCGGAACGACGTCGTCCCACGCTCCAGAATTGGGAATATAACCCAGAAGCCATCATCCACACCTTTAACCCGAGGGTGCAGCTCGACCTGAACGCGCCCATCATCCACCTCGATGCCGGCTCATACGAGAACGCATCTGGCGACATCGGCCACCGTCTACAGAAAGAGATCCCGATGAACGTGTACCATGACATTCCGCAATCCACAGCAGGCCTATACTCGCGGCTTCTACTAACCAGACCTTGGCCTGCATATCTCACATCCGACGCAACGCCGGTTTGGCCATCACTCAATCTCCCCAGCGCCGCTCGAACGCGCAATGACGCTTCGCCATCAGGATTCAAGCAGATCGCGAACAAGCCGTCTGTGATGAACGAGCTGTCGACGTCGACGTTCCGGACTAGGAAGTGGATGGAGTTCTCCTCCCGACCACATGGCGGCAGCATGCGGATTGGCGAAGACATCACGACGTGGGCGACTCTGCCGGAGGAGTGCTATACGCCGACGCAACAGAAACCATGGCAGGGAATCTGGTGTGGCGACTACGCCGGACACGGTTGTGAATTTCTAGTCATCACACAGCCCGACGATCCGAAGCCGCTGCCCGAGCGAGCAGAATGGGCGATGCGGGCTAGAGAGCGTGAGGGCAGCGTGAGCAGCGCGGGATCCTGGAGCACTGCGCCCACGGATGCTGCGGCCATGTCGGACGACGAGGATGCAGCCGCGACTGCGGATGATCTGGAGGATAGCGTCGCCACTTTGCAGGACGCTTTCTTCGACGCAGATCCAGATCAACCAGCGCAGGACGACGCTTCGAAAGAAGACGAGAGCGTGTATCGCGGCCGTATCGAAGCAGTCAAACTTACAGGCGACCCGAACATCCCGAGGGGAGAGTATACGTTCATCGCGCCGGACATCGGACCGAATGGGCTGATACGCGTTGCGAATGAAGAGATCTTCAAGGGGGCGCGGATCGTGAGGAGCGTTGGGCATATCGCTGCTAGAGGGTTTCGAGATGGTGAGTTGTCCTATCGTCTGGTGTAGAGGTTGGAAGCTAACGTGGAACAGATGACTATATGACTTCGCAGCTCATTCTCATTTCGCATGATCGGTTGGCGCAGTATTGGGAGACGTTTGGTCATGTGTCGTTTTATGAGAGGGTTGATATTGAGAAGTTTACACGGGTTTGAGGTTTTGGGTATGGTGTATGGGAGTTTATTGCATGTTGGAGTGTCTATCGTGTTGGAATTGCATTTAATGGTTCTATCAAGGAGCTGTGTCATCGAAATGTACTTGTAGCAGGGCAATCATGAACTACATATATAAATCCTCGACAACAATTTCCCCATGGAGGCTAGCGCCCGAAACCCTGCCGCAGATCTGTACATGCGTCATCGCCCGCACATCACTAAATTTCGCGGGCGTCGCAAACACCCCCGCCACCGGGGCGTTGTTCTCTACACTTCAACAACGAGTAGACGTTGCTGAAGTATTCCTTTTGGACATCATAGAACCTAATCAGACTGGTTAGACATCACAACATGGCACACCACGAACAATACATGCTGCGGCTCACAGCAGGCGCAACCTACGACCCCACCAAGCACCAAGACGTGCCCGTCAACACGGAGAAGCCAATCCACATATCATCCGACCTAATCGACGCGACAGTCAACATCCGGATCAAAGACTACCGCGGTACGCTTCCCCTCCCCTACAACCCCCTCCAAAAAAAAACCCCCCAAACACGCATAGCTAAACATCGTCCACAGGCCTGCCTAAAAACTCCCCTTCCACATCCCCTTACTTCGCTACCCCCCAGCACCCCTACGACCGCTACTCCATCTCCTTCACCTTCACGCCCAAACACGACATCGCAGGCGACAAGCTCGTTTTCGGAAACGACTTCGACCACCCGATCCGCGACCGCCTGCCCCCGCTGTTCGACAAAGCATTCGGCGTGGTGAAGTGGTGGATCGACCCCGGGCTCGACGGGGACGTGCAAGCCGACGAACCGTATCTGTACGGCGCACTACTGAGTAGTATCAACGTGCTCAACATCGGCGACAAGAAAGGTGGTGCCGGGAAAGCGGAGAAGAAGCAGAAAGACGGCGAGACAGTCGTCTACGCCGAGGGCGCGCACGGGTCCGGTGAAGCGGTGCGGAAAGCGCAGAATATCCCCGCTGCGCCGGCCCAGCGCCAGAAGTTCTTCCTCAACGAGGCGCATCGCAAGGCGTTTACGTTCGAGGCTGGGCGCGAGTACCAGTGCGACTTCTTCAACCCGTACCTCGACTTCAACGAGTTCAGCCTCAAGATCGGGTACGGACTGCCTGCTATTTCCATCATCGGGAGCTGGGACGGTCAGCCACTGAGGTATGTTTTTCCCCTGTCAACTTCTTTTTTCAAACTCGAAGAGAGTGATGTGGGAATGGGAACTAACGGGATTTTGCGCTGACTAGAACGCACCACCTCAGATATGTGCTGAAGAATCGCGAGACGGATCAGGAGCTTTTTGTTGTTAAGATTGAACTGCTTCCCACTGAGCAGGCGAAGAAGGATCATGGTATTGCGACGCCTGAGGCGACGTTTGAGAAGGTGCATGGTGGGGGGACGAAGGCGGTGGATGATGGGGATTTGGATTAGAGGGTGGGTAGAATCATCAGCGAGGCGTTTGAGGAATGGGATGGGATGGGATACACATGGACAGTATTAGACGGGAAGAAAGTCAAGACCAAGCCATAGAATACCGCGCAAATCGTACACAAACATGCAAACTTTTCTTCCCCCCATCAACAAAGCCCATCTACAACCTCCGGCAAATATCCTCAATAATCTCCTCCGTCTTCGCCTTACCCCCCAGATCAGGACTCAACAACCTCCCCTCCTCGAGATTCGCATCCACAGCCTCGTAGATCCTAGCAGCTGCCTCCTCCTCGCCCTGAAACTCGAGCATAAGCGCCGTGGACCTTATCGTCGCAATCGGATTCGCAATGCCCTGGCCCTCGATATCAGGCGCAGACCCATGGCACGGCTCGCCAATGACAAAGTCCTTGCCCACGTTCGCCGACGGCACAAGGCCCAGCGAGCCGACCAGTGCGGCCGCGCCGTCGGATAGGATGTCCCCGTAGAGATTGGGCGCGACGATGACGTCGTAGTCGCCTGGTTGGCGGAACAGCTTGTACACCATGGAGTCTACGATCTGCTCTTCCACGTTGACGCCGGTGTATGTGTTTTGCGCGAGGGCCCGGCGCGCCGTCTCGCGGAACAATCCGTCTGTTTGCGACAGCACGTTGCTCTTGTGCGTGATGGTGACGAGGGGGCGGGCGTGGATGCTGTTCACGCCTGCGTCGCGCACGCGCTGGCGCCGCAGCGCGATGTCGCCCGCCATGGCGCTGATGTTCCACGACGCGGTTTCAGAAATGCGCTTTATCGCCTCTGCGATCTTGGTCCCATCCGCAGCGTTATACGTGCGCTCCTCCTTGACATACAAATCCTCGGTGTTCTCGCGCACGATGACCAAGTCGACGGGGCGGGCTGCACTCTTGATGCTCTTAACAGGGCGCACGTTGGCGTAGAGGGCTAGGCGTTTCCGCAGCGCGACGATGGGGGACGAGTAGCCTTTTGTTGCGGTGGTGGGCGAGCTGACGGCTCCGAAGAGGGCGCCGTCGCAGTCGGATTTCAGGGCTTCGACGGTTTTGTCCGGGAGAGCTACGCCTTGCTTTTGGAATGTGTCCCACCCGGCTTCGTGGTGCGAGAAGCTGAATTTCAGGCCGAAGGAGGAGGGGAGTGCTTCGAGGATGCGGCGGCCGGCTGGGATTACTTCGCGGCCGATGCCGTCGCCGGGGATGAGGCCTGGTGGTTGTCGTTAGTGAGGCATTTGGCAGGGCAATTGCGTCTGTGGGGTGTGGAAGAGGCGAGGGGGTGGGAATTGGATCCACGAACCGATTCTCAGCGTGCGGGCGGCCATTGCGGGAACTGTGTCGTGTGGTGTTGAAAGTCGAGCTCAGCGAACGGAAGATTTTGGTGTTGCGATGCTTGTGCTTGTCCAGCCGAGACGCCGATGTCGGGGCTTCACAACGCTAACTTGGAACCGCGTTTTATTGCCGGGAATTGTTCGACCTTCGTGACTCTTCATCATGTATTTATTCCTTCGAAGTCTCGGTTCGGTTTGCTGCGCTGTACATCCTGGGGATGATCACGCTTGCATCGTTCGTCGTGCCACATACTTCTTGTCAGACTCCACAGCTCCACAGGGCTCCTGCACTATGAGTCGATCCGTGGTGTGATGTGTGATGGGGATATGGCTCATCCACCGCGCTTGAGTATGAGTTTTCTGATCTATGAATGTCGGGGCATGATGCTTGTTCAACGCTGTTCCTCGGCTGGTATAGACTCTCGAGTAAATTGAGACGAATACATATGGTACGGAGAGTCTTTCAATTCCTTTTCCTTATACCTAGTAGATCTGGCGTAAAGACGTCGTGGTTTTGTATACTCTCAATCTATATTTGTCACTCGAAGTCATTCTGCGCTCATCATCTTCTCCTCCTCTCCCTATTTGTCACTTTGCTGAGTCTTCATAAGTCTATCGTTCTGTCCTTTCCAATAAGTCGTGACTTTCCCGCTCAAATATACATCATGCTGCCTACTACCAGCCGATGTACACGGTGCTCTTATCCGCATGTACATCTTCCACAAGAACTTAAGTCCTCTTCACTTTTATCCATTCTCCGTAAAATAGAAAGAGTACGCCGATAAGGCTAGGCAGATACAGCTCACCAAATCATACGCCGGAGTCTAAGTTCCGGCGAATTCTCAATCCCTTCAGGACGATACACGTCCAGCCCTCTCTATCAATCATTGTATATCATCATATTGTACCCCAACATCAAGTCTACTTCCATAATACAAGTATCCCAACTTACGCACACAGCACTACGGGTTCGGTTTCTTCAACACTGTCAGATACGTAGTTGCTGGAATTGAGCCTCAGGCTTTGCTTGTAGTTATCGCGCAGCATGGTTTAATTGTAATAGAAGGAGCCCATGGATAGGGCTGTTGAGTAGGTAATGCGGTTGACGCTCGATTGTACACCTCAGGATATTTCAAAATGACGGTGGCTTCACGTTCTAGTCAATCTTATCTCGGCATGTTTTAACCTCGTTTTCATCTTCAAGGTTTGTTCTTTGCATGTCGATCAATTCTATGCGGGGTTATCGTTTCTATGGCTCTTACTGCTGGTTGGTGGTTTCTTTTTAGCTGACTCTGCGTCTTAGGTTAGGATGGGTCAATTATTTTCCGTTTTTAAAGGTTTGGTCGAGGCTCCTATTTCTAGATGATGCAATGCAATTGCTGTTCTGGTTGCGTTGTGACGAGTGTTAACCTTACCGCTGGTACCTAGTAGCTGAGAAAGAGGAGAAACTTTGTGCGGAAGTTACATCTGTTGTTATATATATGACATTCACTGATTTCCAGGACTTTGATTCCTTGTATTCTTGGATAAAGGTCTTTACATATCTCAATTGAGTAAGACAGCTTGCGTTCAAGTTGTTGCGGGATTCCATGTTTTCCTTTCTTGTTCAGCTTAAGCCGATACCACCACCTCGGGTCTCCATATTCATCGTCAACATTTGAAAGATTAAGTATTTTCGACATGTGTTCGCTTCGTTTTTCACCCATCGATGCGCTCTCGCTAAGCGTTACTCCCCACTGCCCTCGCCTCACCCAACAGCTAGCCGCGCGGTTGCCTATCTGCCAACCCCGCCCTGCAACTCGCATGTCCTTCTCGCTACAAGCACCCTCTGCCTACGATCTTGTACACATCCCTCGATCACTTGCGCCGCGGCCAGATTGCTGACTTCTCATTTCTTCGTTGTTGCAGGTCGAGATCATATTCACGCTACTTGTTCGATACACCCACAACCAACCGGACATCGACAGGACTCTAATCAATCCAGCTCCTGAAATCTACATCAAGCACGTCTGCCTAGCACCAGCTCGTCGCTCACATCCCACTCCCAATATCCACAATGGGCGCACACATCTCGACCGAGTCGCACACGCTCTCAGCTACGGAAGTGAAGGCAGAACTGAGAACTCATCTGTTCTGGATTTCAGTCATGATCATCACTGCCACACTGTTTCTGGTGTCGCTGACAGACGACTCGAAGCCCGACTACATGAAGAGGAAGTACATAACGACGTTCAACCAACTGGAGAATGTCACGCAGCTGTTGCAGAAACAGCAAAAGCTCATGGTGGAACAGGCAGACAGGTTGAACAGTCGCATGGATTCGCTGGATCAGAACATGGGAGATATACGCGAGATGTTGGCGACTATGCGTGTGGATATGCGAGAGCAGTTTGGAACGAAGGCGGGGTTTGGTGCTGCGGGAAGTGGTGCGGATTAAATCACTTCAAAGTTAGAGATCCTGACAGCTGACGAAAGGGAAGATACCGATAGCACCGGAATGCGTACTCCTGCGTCGACCGTCGATGGCGTATTTCCTGACGGATTCCCTGACGGATTCCCTGGCAATCTGGAGAATTCGTACCGCGGCGACTTCTATTGACGATCGAACACACCGGCCAACAAGGTGCTGCCTTTAATCGACCTAGGTCGCGGGGTTCGGAGGTTCCATGTTCTTTGGCATGACGACAATGCGATAATTGTATAGTCGAGAGGGAGGCTGTACCAACAGCCAGCGACTTCTTGAAAAGGAGGCAGGACATGATGTTGAGCACAAACTAATGCACGTCCTTCGAGCCATGCCTATGTCATGCTATGAAGCTGCGTTCTCGTATGTAAGCAGCAAGAAGATGTGATATGTGGATACACCAAAATATAGCAGGTCCTGCGATTGCAAAGTGTCGTTTCGAAGCGTGTTGATACTCCCTTTTTACCCGCTGCCGTTGCCACCTACAGCTTGGTTCACTTGCTAGTGACAGGCTTCGATGTCGCGAGACAAGCAAGGCCGTCTCACGATCGACGACTCCACTTTCCTTTCACGCTGTCATAACGCATGTCGACTCAGGAGAAGATGACAGCAGTGGGAGCCATAGCGACGCCTGGAACGAAGTCTTGACGTAAGATGCATTGATGTTGTGTAGATGACGCTGAGTCGGTGTCGATGCTTCGAATTGTCGGTGAGACTCTGCTAACCAGATGCGTTTGCGCTAATCGCGTGCGCGTCACGACATCCCGTGATCAAAGTGCTGTGACGACATAAATCAACCCACACAACCCGTTTGATTGGATGTATCCTAGCATAAGGTCTGCTCGACTCACAACGCAATATGCATTGAGATTAGGCAGAAGCTTACATACATGCATATACGTTTGACTCGTGAATCTAGATTTACCAGTAAGAGTGGGACATGCACGATCTCGACTCCATCCGTCGCTTGCGCAAGTCAGTCTTTCCTCCTACGCGTTGACCATATAGTGATCGTGCCTTCTGCATGACAATGGCATTCTCCCATATGCATCAGGGCGGCATCGGGAGATCATCGTGTTGTTTACCCCAGGTTCTTCTCATTGGGCGCACTATGCATGGAGATCCAACTCCCACCACCACCTACGACAATGCTGCTTATATTAAAGACTTCCTTTGCTGAAAGAGGCTAGCAAAGTTAAACCAGCGCATGAAGCATAGACGTTGGTGAACGGCGCGGAGACGGCACTGCAGATGTATGGTCGTGCTTGCTCGACCAGGTGTGTCTTCGATTGCTCCTGCATCGATCGTTGACGTGAAAGAGAACTAAAAGAAAGGGGAGAAGGCACATGTGGGCCACAGCTTCCGTTGAATCGAGTTGTATAAGTACCACCGTCCTGCTCGTCTCAATTGAAATCATCAACTTCATCAACTCTTCTCACACCCAACCACAACCACAAACCAACACCTCCAACTCACAACACCTTCACCAAAATGGCAAACTCAGGAAACGTCGTCGGCGGTCACAAGGCCAACCTCAACAACCCCAGTACGACTCCCATCTTCCTTCTTCCAGTATTCAAGACATGCTAATAAACACATCCAGACACATCCGAGGAGTCGAAGCAGCACTCCCGTGAGGTCATCGAGAACCAGGGCGCCGATACCCAGTCCAACACTACCACCAGCTCCAGCACCAAGCCTGATGGAGAGAAGAACCCCAACAATGTTGCGGGCGGCTTGAAGGCAACGCTCAAGAACCCGAATGTTTCGGATGAGGCCAAGGAGAGCGCCAAAGAGAGGCTTGAACAGATGGAGTAGAGAAGTGATCGATTGAGAACTTCCGAGCTTGTTCCTCAGTTTGAGAGAATAGTCACAATGAAACATCTTCCTCAACACTGTTCTTGATCTATGTGACCTTTTTCGTACTAACCAAATTGTGAGCACGACTTCGTCCTTTCCGATTGGAGGAGGTGTAGCAAGGCTGCTAATGCACCAAGAGGTTTTGTGACATCTGATTCGAATAATCAGTTTCCAAGATTTGAACCCGTACTTTAAAAGGACTTGGGGACAATGGCAATTATTGCATTTCGACTATATGGCATCGTCAGTATGGTAAAAAGCTGTGTCAATATTGAGTTGCTTACTGTTAGCTTGCACCTATCTTGTATGAGCGCATCCTCGCTATCCATTCAAGGTACTGAGATAGCTCGATCACGGTCTGCTTCCCACCTAGCTAAAAACGTTGAGGAATTCATAAAGTCGGGGTGATCAGCTCCCAAGACCTGTTGTTTAAGCTGGACACACTCCCTCATCAGACATATAGCTTCAGCATCTCGGCCCTGACTTTTCCACGTAGAGGCAAGATTGTTCATGTTAATCAGCGTGTCTGGATGGTCTGTTCCGGGCTTCTTCCTGCGAGCCTCTAGCACCTGCACCTCTAGCTCTTCTGCAGCATCCCATCGGCCTTGTCCAGAGTATGTTGCCGCCAGATTGCTCATGCTTCTCAGCGTTTCTAGATGGTCTACTCCGAACT